GCGGAAGAGGGCGCTGGAACATTTGAGACCGCATCCCGACGAATGTATTGATGCGCAGTGTCGCATGCAAATACGTATGTAGCGCTGATCGCGACCAAGAAGTTGACAAAGGAGCGCATTGTAGTAAATCTCAGATGTAATGTAAGACACGCCTGGTATCTCAATGCTATGCCAATTCAGCTGGGCGGAATTTGGGAGCTGTGGGAGCTTCCTTATGTGTATCTTAGGAAGCCCCCCTGGAAGACGAGGTCGGAACCGGAACCGGAATCAACTTGACTACGACGTGTACGTCGTGTTCGTGGTAGCACGGAACAAATCGCGGTATTATTCCGTCAAAAGAGGAAAAAAGCTGCGATGCCATTTAACATGTTCTGTGTGTACGTATGCTTTTAAGATGGCTTTTGCAAGCACACAACGTAATGAGGTTTGCTGGAGGAGGTAGCCTCCTCCAGCAGCTGGTAATGCTGTGAATTATACTTTGCCCCTTTTAGCTCCTTTGCAGTTATCTCGACCGATTCATAGTAGAATCCTTGCTGGAGACGAATTACCGGCTTTGCCCAAGAAGGGTTTCCTATGCGTTCCACTTCGCAGACTCCTTGAAGTTGGGCTGCAAAGCAAAATGCATAAGTCGTGGTCGATCATGTCTTCTGCTGAAAAATATCTACGTTCGACTTCGATTCTCAACCCTCTCTGCGACAGGTATTATCCGAAGTAATATGTTCCTAACTGGAGCTGCTCGAATTTCCGCATTTTGCATCAAGCGGCCCATAGCTTCGAAGGAGATGCATTTCTCGAATGAGACCGCCTTTTAAAAAAAAGCTTGGGGTGTCAATTATACAGACACAGATATTGTCGAACGTTGATCCGTTTTCGATATAGCGTGCAAGTAGAAGATGTACTCTAGTGCAAACAACAAACGAGCTTGTCCAGGAAACTAGGTTATCATCGATGTCTTTTCCGCCAAAGGAGATGTCTTCGAAGCATATTCTTCTACTTGCCAGAGCGTGTTAGTTGAGCTGTATTGCTTTAGAGTAAGAAAGCGGACATGGTAACGGGATACATTCTCGGTTGTCTCGAAGAGCCATGCCTTGTCTCCGGTTGGGCTTACTGGGGAAACCCCGGATCAGAAATACTGGATGTCTACGACTCGTTCATTAAATTTTTTTGAGTACCATTTTTCTACTTCGGCTTAGGGTTTCAATGCTGTGCTCACGAGACCTCGAACCACACCCACCTGGGTAGCCAGAGCCTCGCCAACACTCTTCCACCGAGGCCTTCTCTGTCTTCTTTTTGGGTTTCTCGCATGATATTCCTTCACACGTAAAGGCTTGGCATACTGATTTCATCTACAATATTCCTCTACAAGCTACATCCGCGCCGCGACCGTCGTACCAAGCAACACATCAAGTACCGCATTACAATCCCTTAATTTCGTCATCATTCTACTGCCAAGTCTCGCATTACATACAGGCGCATTCATAGAAGTGTTGAGAACATCACTACATCCCGGAATGGCGCATCATGGTCTCCACCGCCAACCAGGGTGCTTCCACTCCAAATCATGAACTTCCTTCTGACTTAACCCCGCAAGCTGCTCGTGCGCACCAGCCTCACATTTCTCACGCTTCTTATTGTCCCACTTCATCCAGAGGAAAACCAGAATAGCAACGATCGTCCAGAGAATGGCGCACGCGAGGTTCACACCATTACCAATGCGGTACATTGGCGCATCCCAAGGGAGATATGTCCACGTTGCAATGAGGCCACCAATATTGCCGAACATGACTATGACGGCTGTCAGTGTCTGGCCTTATATTCACCAGTGAAAGGGTGATAAAAGTCTTACCGTTCGTCCCAATTGCAATACTCCTCGCCGAGTCACTCAGCACATTTGCACTGACCTGCGCATTACACATCGCACCAAGCGTAAATGCCGTACTCGCCGTCAAAAAGATGGCTCCGTACCGTACGTTCGCATCAAGCGTAGCCAGCAGGATCGAAAATCCCGCCATGGCCGTGGGCCCGGTAATTGCAAGGAACCATTGCCGGTGATCGAATCGCCAACTTAGTGTCGTTATCAAGAGCACAAAGAAGCCACCTACGATATATGGGGGCACAGTCAGGAGTTGCTGTTGCACGGCTGTGCGACCTGGGTAGATGCCTTTGATGATGGTCGGGAGGAAAAAAGAGATTGAGAGTACTGTGATGTTGTTGAGCATGAATATGCACGCTGTAGCGATTGTGATGGGGTTTGTGAAGCCGCGCTTCAGCTTCGTGCCATCGATCTTATCGAGCAGAAAGGCTTGGGCGAGGCGCTCCGACTTGACGCGATTGATAGCAAGTTCTTTCTCTTCTTCAGAGAGCCATCGGGCGGTGTCGGGTCGGTCGGTCAGGGTAACAAGGGCGATGAGTGAGATAATAATGGTGATGGTACCTTCGATGGCAAAGATCCTGGATCATTGTCAGCGAGTTGTGGATCTAGTGAAGTGCTGTAGTATTAACGTACATTTCCCATTTGTGCAGTGATCCGAAATGTGACAGCTTTAGAATGCCAGAAGCTAGCAGGCCGCCAAAGGCACCGGACAGCGGTGCCATGGTCATGTATAAGCCAAGGCGGAATGCAAGTTCAGCTCGGCGATACCAGCGCGAGAGGTAGTACGCAATGCCGGGCATTATGCCCGCTTCGAACATGCCCAGGAGGAATCGGACTGCGCATGCCTGAGCGCGGGTACGCACAAAAGCAGTTGCAACTGAGACGACGCCGAAGCCGAGGGTCGTCAATGGCAAAAACCAACCGGGGCCTGAGCCAGGCCGTCAGCGCAGATATTCCATATACCAAGGGTCCAAAGCCATACCTATCAGCTTGCAGCATATTGTTGTTGGGATCTCGAAGAGAATGTACGAGATGTAGAAGATTGATAACACGGTGTTGTAGTCATATCCATGAAGGTTTAGGTCTTGTTCAAAGCCAGCAAGACGCGCGTTACCTGCAACATTGTTAGGACTCTCTGTCTTTGATCACCTCGTACTCGCTCACCAATATTCGCCCTATCGATGAAGCACATGAGATAGAGCAAGGCGACCGTCGGCACGATATAAAGATCGATCTTGGTGCGCAGCTTCCTCTCAGCTCGACGCGTAGCCTCATCCAAATCCGCCGTACGGCCTTGGGTAGGAGTGTCTACCTTCTCGGCAATCTCGAGGGTATTTTTGGAGTCCATTCTGGCTGAAGAATGATAAAATAAAATATGGGGCTCAAGATTGGCCGTATGGTGGATCATTTCAGGTTGAAAGTCCGGGGTACTTATGTACTTCGAGCACGAACGATCCACCAATTTCACTATGCGATGTCCCTCGGTTGAAAGACCCCATGGGGTATCAAAACATAATGCGGAGAACCTTGCAATACTAGATCGAGGCCACGGTCCACTTCCGCGATTATAGACCAGGGGGCAATATCCCTTACAATCTTGCAGTAAGTTGGCGTTCCGGTTCCGCGCACGTGCCCGGAACGTCTTTCCCATACTTGTGCTTGTGCAGCACAAGTTGTACTTCCTGAACCCGTGTACGGAATTGCATTTGCCATGGATTTTCGTCTGTTTTCGTTCGATTATAATAAGAACATGTCCTCCGTTGAGGTCAACTTTGCTAGATGAAGTAACTTCAAAGTTTTTCATTGCGAACCTCCTTTGGCACCCCCTCTTAAGCACACCACACTATCATGTCCCCGCCCGCTATTCTCCAAGACGCTCCTGTCGCGTCAGACTGTTCCATCACACAGTCCCAACCTCTCACGACTCAGATGCATGTGAAGCCCGAGTACAAATCCGGGCACCCAGCACTCGCTTATGTTGATGAAGAAGCCGAGAGCCCGCCGAAATTCTCGGATCCCTACGAGGAACGCGCATACTTGAAGCACCGCCTCGCCATCGCTTTCCGAGTGTTCGCACAATTCGGGCTAGCTGAAGGTGTCGCAGGTCATATCACGCTTAGAGATCCTGTGGACCCTACTAGCTTTTGGGTGAATCCATTTGGCACTCATTTCAGCCTGATTCGGGATGAGGACTTGATTCGCGTGGATCATGACGGCAAAGTGGTAGAAGGTGGAAAAAATAAGAGGTTGAATTATGGTGAGTCCCCAAGTCGAAGTCACCTTTTCAAGGAAAGATACTAATGGTGTGCCAGCCGCGTATGCAATCCACGCTGAAATTCATAAAGCGCGACCAGATGTTCTCTGCGCAGCCCACTCGCACAGCTTATATGGTCGGGCCATGTGCGCAACCGGTCGAACACTCGACATGCTGACTCAAGATTTCTGCGTCTTCTATAACGACCACGTACTCTACAATAGCTTTGCAGGTCTAGTCTTAGCACCCGAAGAAGGCAAAGCTATCGTAAAGTGTCTTGGGAATAAGAAGGCGGCGCTTCTGGGAAATCACGGTATTCTGACTGCTGGCCAGACAATTGAGGCAACAGTCGCATGGTTTGTCTTGTTCGAACGGTGTTGCCAAATTCAGCTGGTTGCTGATGCGGCAGCATCTGGGCGAGGCGTACCGCTTGTGACCATTGGAGATGAAGAGGCCAAGGCGACTTGGGAGGCTGTAGGTACAAAGGGCAATGGATACTTCCAAGGGTTACCACTATTTCAAGTAGCAGAGCGTGAGTTTGGTGAGCGGTCACTGCTAGGTAGAGGGACAGCTGCGGCTTAGGTGCGACCGCGCAATTCAAGCTATATACTATGAAAGAGCCTTGGTTCACAGTTGGAGAAACATGGTCCTCTCTAGGAGGCTTCCTGGAGCGTGTCTGCCGTATTGTATCGGCCAGAGTGCATCCAGTCGAGGTGACTGAAGCTTCGACGCATATTGAATGGATAGCCATGCGAGACTTCTTCTGCATCAAAACAACACTCAGCAGTAGTACCTCAGAATTGGAACTTTACAGAGTTGATGTCATTCAGGGGTTACTGAGCTGTACTGCGTACTTTTGATAACTAACCTAATTCCCGCCCGAGCTGCGCGCCCAACCCTACTGGAAATTTTCAAAATCAATTATCTCAACCAAAACGCACTAACTCAGCTGGATGTAGCAATTTACATGAATTAAACCTGTGGTCAATCTCCCTACACCCACTACACCTTGGCGGATCCCTAGTGGGATTCAGCCTGCATGCGGGGATACCGTCCCGCAACACCACCGCCAGGGCGCCGAATAGTCACCGTTCCACCAGAGCTAAGGCAGCATATTCAAAAGGTCGTTCGCAGGGCTCGACGGTCGCCGCCCTCACCGAATGCGAACGTAATGAAGCGACGCGTTGCGGCGCAGCAGAACGAACGGGGCGGCATAAAGCAGATCGAGCTGAACTCGGGATAAAAAGAATCCAGATTGCTACTCCAGTAGGCCCCTGCCTTCAAATGAGGCCCTGGAAGTGCCGCGAAATCTCCTCCGTCTCCCACCCGGAAGGACCTTGTCCACTCAAGTTGCCGGCTGCAGCTTCTGGCTGCATCGGCTGAGCCGTACCGGTTGAGCCGAAAGCATTGTATAGGTCCATGAGGTTGTTGCTCAAATCAAATACGTCGGGTATTGAAGTGCCAAAGTCTCCATTGAAGGTTGGGTTGTTGTCCGTCCAAAGGCTGTGCGGCTCGCAAATGGTCTCTGCAGTGGCCCTGTCTTGCTGTTGGTCGTGCTCCCATGACTCAGAAATTTGAGCAGCGGTCTCAGTGATGTCACTAGTATTTTTCACAAAAGCTGCATCTCCTTGACCGCCGAGTGACCTAATGACGGGCAAAAGACCACGAATGCTCTTCCACAGCCTGCGACTAGCGGAGCTGTGGCGGGAGAAGCCTTTGACAAGCTCCACGCCGGACATAAAAGGGTCTTTACATGCCTCTGAGAACATGATTGGGGCGTGGCAGACAGCGAGAAGCATGATAGCAAGACCGCTCAGCAGATAGAAATGATATATAGATTGTTGGCGAACGTATATATCGCTCGTTCCGTTCAAGTGGACCAACACCTCGATACTATCTTTGGCGATATCAACGACTAGACGCGCACTTTGCGTATCCGCCTTGATGTTGTCGGGATTCAGGACATGGTGTCGATGGATAAGGAGGCGCATATAATTGCCGCGGAGATAACACAGAGTCCGGAGACGGTGCAGTATCCGAGGCTGAGCCCTCAACGCGAGCCCTAGGCGGGGATGCCGGAATTGTAATTCTTCCGGAATCGACAGAAGCCAGTTCTGAGTGACAAATTCCAAGTAGTCCTCCTTTTCTTTCGGTATCCCTTGTGAAGAGGAACCATATGGTGGCAACGCTTCCCATACCCTAGAGCAAAGTCTTGCGTAACTGACCATGCACATGAGATACGAATGCTCGCTGTCGGGTTCGGGCAACTTCGGATCGATGTCGCGATCATCAAGTGCAAAGGAAAGGCTGGTGCCGAAGCTCCATCGACGGTCGAGCTCGTAAACTACCCAGAAGACCTGAATAGCGAAATTGCGAGCGTCTGCATCCTTGAAGTGTTTGAATAGACTCTGCTTGCGGTGGAGACCCATCTCTAAACACTGGCGAGCAGCTCGGCCAATTGCACGCCAAGCGAACAGCTCTTCTTCGATATGGCAGAAGTAGATGCTCTGCGAGCAATTAGCAATTTCTCTAGACAACCTTAGGATCGCTATCTGATGGTTATTTTGGACTTACTAGCATGGCCATAATTTGTATATCTTTCAGTTCAACTTCAGAAGTACTCGATATGCTCCCAACATCCTGTTCCACAGCGGTGATCAATTTGTCGCAGAGCTCGGCCTTCCCCTGAGGCTCAGTGGTGATCGCTGTTGCTATAACTATTCTAAGCATGTGTACGTCTTTGGTGTGAACTTTTGGTGAGATGTCCTCCATGCGATCAGGATGCCTGGCCAGCTCTAATATATGTGGAAAGTTCAACACTAGTAACTCGGTATCAAGGATCGGGTGGCAACAGACAACTTCCTCTTGGTAAACGCCGATGAGTCGCGCAACTTCAACATCAGAAAAGCTGAGCAGGCAGTCGGATTCCGAGCAAAACGTTGCCGCGGGAACTTCTGGTGATGGCTCTGGAGTTGGCTCTCGTGAGGAAGCATTTGACGACTGGGCTGTGGACATATGTTGATCTGTTAAGATACCCATACGAGTGAGCGCCGTCTCGGCAATATTAAAGCTGAAGGCAGACCGTGTTGGCCCAACGAATTGCGGCTCCCTTGGCTGTACACTCCGGAGGGAAGTAGTACTATTGTAGACTCGGCATGTAGGCTGCGCACACGGAGTACGGCAGTCAGCGACAGACGATTGAGCTGGAACCCGCTCCAAGAGGGACTTCACGGTTGCCGTCAGCGCCGTCAGCTCCCGACGCAGTGATGCGACGTCGTCGCTCAGCTGCTTATAATGGCTGTGCTCAATCAGCTACCGATCGAGTCGCTATTGTGGCCTCTTTTTTACCTATCGCCAGAGAACCTTTGCCTCTCCTTCTTTTTATCTTTCGTCGCCTGCATGGCGGTCTGAACAACAACGCAGGGAATGTGCATGGTTGCGCAACGCTGGCAGCATGCGTCATCGTCAAGTTGTATGCATTTGACTTTACATCTCTTGCACTCAGTGCTGATTTCGATTAGCGAAAGTATGACAATGGAAAGAAACAAGATTACCACGCGGCAGAGGCGTATTTTGCGCGCTTTGGGCGGTTGGTTCCCGGTATCTCCTCAGCAGAGCGCTTTTGCGAAGGGTTGGAGACAGCTGCATTGCTGAGGAGTCGTTCATCCATGGCCCTGGTGTTGGCATGCTAGAGAGTTCGAGGCGACACGCAGCAAGTGAGGTTGATGATCTGAAACGGCCAGACAGGTGGGGTCGCGGAGTGCTTCGACTAGGGCCTCCGCTTTACTGTGGGAATTGCTAAAGACACCCGCTTTTCCTGGAGACACTTCTTATTAGTAATACCGGTGATTAACTAACCTAACTAACGTATTTCACCAGCGAGCGGGCCACACCGCCGAGCGGGCCACCCCATCGAAAATCGCGTCTTCCTACCAACACACCAACTTCAATAGCCTACCATGCCACCAATTCGCTCTGCAAACGCGCAGAAACTAGCCAATCAAGAGGGCAAGATCCTATTAGCCCTTTCTGATTTAGAAAATGGCCGTATCAATTCTCTTCGCGCGGCGGCAAAGCTATACGCTATACCTCGCTCTACTCTGCAAGCGCGCGCTGATGGCCGGCTGTCACGCGTTGATATACACCCAAATAGGCGTAAGCTTACTGAATTAGAAGAGGATTCGCTTGTTCAATGGATTATCTCTATGGATGAGCGTGGAGCAGCGCCTAGGAAGGCTACTGTACGCGAAATGGCTAATATCCTACTAAGCGCGCGCGGTAGCCACAGGAGCCACCCTCCGCCTACCGTTGGTGTTAATTGGTCATCAAAATTCATCGACCGTCGCCCTGAGCTTCGCATGCGATTATCAATACGGCATGACTACCAACGCGCACTAAATGAAGACCCTAAACTGCTACGAGAGTGGTTTTCTACCGTACAACGCACTATCGATGAGAACGGTATATAACCGGAGGATATCTACAACTTTGATGAGACAGGATTTGCAATGGGCCTTATATCTACGCAGAAGGTTGTTACGCGGGCAGAAATGTATGGCAACGGCCGTCGCCTTCTTCAACCAGGAAATCGCGAATGGGTTACTGCGATTGAGGTAATTGGCGCTGATGGCTATTCGCTTCCGCCATGCGTGATTTTCAAAGCTAAGGTTACTATCGCTAGTTGGTTTGATAAACTACCAAAAGACTGGCGAATCGAGGTCTCTACCAATGGCTGGACTAGTGATGAGATTAGCCTACGTTAGCTACAAAAGCTCTTTATCCCATCGACGAATTCGCGCGTACGCGGTCGGTTTCGGCTATTGATTCTTGATGGCTATGGTAGCCACCTTACGCCCCAATTCGACCGAATCTGCGTATTAAACGATATTATACCTCTTTGTATGCCTTCGTATGCATCGTATCTACTCCAGCCACTAGATGTTTGCTGTTTTGCAGTGGTTAAACGCGTATACGGCCGCTTTATAAGCGATCTTGCCCGCCGAGGATATAACCATATCGATAAGCTCGATTTCTTAGATAACTACCAACGCGCGCGGCTAGAGGCCTTCTAAAAGCCATTAACTATTCAAAACAGCTTCGCAGCTAGTGGTTTAGTGCTAATCGATGTAGAAAGGGTCCTTTTAAGGCTAAATATCTCTCTACGAACGCCTACACCACCAAGCAGCCGGCCAAGCAGTAGATCTAGCCAATTCACACTAAAAACGCCTAAAACCATCGCCTAGCTATATAAGCAATCTTCAATGCTTAAAGATCTAATTGACCGGCGGTCCCAAACGCCTACCCCCCTACTAACTCAGCTAGTAAAGGGGTGCGCGACGGTTATGCATAGCGCTGCTCTGCTTAGCTAGGAGAACGCCAATCTACGCGCAGCCAACGAGAAGAAGCACCAGAAACGCTAGCGGTCAACTAGGCAGATACCCTGCGAAGAAGGTCTAACCGTTGAAGAGGGCCAAAGACTAGCTGAACAGCTAAATCAGCCAGTGGAAGCTGATGGGGTAGGATCGCATGGGCAGGGCGAATTGCCTAATCTGGCAATTAAACCACCTACCAGGGCCCCGCCTAGGTGTAGTGGGTGTAGAGAGATTGGCCACAGGATTAATGTATGTAAAAACCGCTATATTTAGTTGAATTAATGGGCGTTGGTTGAATTAATCGATTTTGAAAATTTCTAATGAGGGTGGGTGGCCCGCTCGGCGGTGTGGCCCGCTCGCTGGTGAAATACGTTAACTGGACACCCGGCCGATCTGGACACCCGGCCGATCTGGACACCCGGCCGTCCTGGACACCTGCCCCCATTAGAAACTTTTATATTCAATTATCTCAACCAACACTTATTAAATTGACTAGATAAAGCCATTTTTACATACATTAATATTATGGCCAATCTCCCTATACCAACTACACCTAGGCGGGGCCCTGGTACGTGGTGGACTTGCCTGACTAGGCAATTCGCCCTGCTCACGCGAAAGGCATCACCGTCATAGAGTTATAATTACTTTCGGGATGCGGAGGTCTAGACGAATGTTTGCTATGAGGTAGGGAGATAGGTATTTCGTCTAGCTGATGTGTAAGCTTGTCATCTATCAGACCATTTACTCCGTAGATGAGTAGAACAGGTACCAAGTTGTGTTGGCTTTTGGTTGCTTCCCCATAATTTCAGTATACCAGTCCATACACCAGACGTTTGACAAGTAGATATGCCATGTATTACCCTCATCGCCAAGTCCCAATCTAACAAGGACTGACACAAAACCGAAGACGCACATAAGGCCAGAAGAAATAGAAGATACACGCCAGACAATTTCAGACCACGGGAAAACGATCAAATAAAAGAGTTGATGAAAAATATTTTTCAGGGATATTACATCCCGTTGACCCCGATAGGAACATGCAATAGCTTAAACGAATTTCAGAAGTTATCCGTGGGAAACCGAAAAATGCCCCCTATGAAGAAGAGAAATAGAGGATGGAGATGGAAGAATGAAAAGAGGGGAATATAAAAAAAACCCTAATATCTGAAGAAACCGCACCAATCAGACAGGAAAGAAGAAACCACAACCAGACGCCGCCCAAACCGAGGAGACATGATGGGGAAACATATGGATGATGGTGAGAAAAAACCGGTGCGAGTAGAAGAAAAAACTGATCTGTGTAACCATGCAAAAAAGAAAAACGCCTGGCAAATGCATTGAATGTGAAACGGGGTGGAGCCGAAGACAGCGCGTGCTGTCTATCTGACTTCGTAAATCATGCGCCGATGACCGAGAGACAAAGAAATGAATTCACAATGAAATGATGGAGAATAATGAGAGCGAGAAGAGCGTAAAGAAGAGGAGGGGACGTGGTCTATGGGAGTGGTTATGCATTGATCAAGCATTCACGCAGTCATTGACCATTCATGACTGCCGCTCAGCCTCGTCTGCCACGGCGACAGCCACAGCGACAGCAGCACCGAGAATAGCGCTCTCCGGCGCGGGTTCTAGGCGAATCGCGGAGCCAGCGGTGTTGTGAGATTGTTCGGAAAGCTGGTCCAAGTAGGATTGGCAAGTATCACGGAAACCGGGGTACTTGTTGATGACGGTGCCGTCACAGGCAATGGACAGGTTCTTGGCAGACTCGCCGCTTTCGACGACGGTAATCTCGGGGGACTCTTTGACGAGGTTGTCGGAAACGGAGGGGCTGGTGGAGGACTCGACGTCATTGCTTAGGCACCACATGCTGTGAATGGCGGTTGCCAGGTATGCGGCTGCGCGGCGCGAGACAACCTGGCAGACGCGTCGGATGAAGCGCAGGTCCTCGACGGGAGGGAAGCTGGGGAATGTATGTTGCTTTTGCAGGAGGGCTGCAGAGGCGGACATTGAGGCAGACGAGTCCTCTTCGATAAAGGCAACGATGCTGGTGTCGAAGGAGTAGGCCTCACGCATGGAGTGCGGGAGGTCGCCGCCGAACAGACCGGCTGTCTCGACAGCCTCAACGATGATGAGACGGACAACCTCTCCAAGGTAACGACCGGTAATCATGTACTCGAGAGGCTGGTAGTCGGGGCGCAAGTGGGTGCGATTCAGAACGTCATCCCATCGGGTCATGGGGAGGACACCACCTCCAAACATGCTCATTTCGCTGTTGATGATAACGTGCTTGGCGTAATCAAACCACCCCTCGGGACGCATGCCGAACTTGCTTCGGCCAATCTCGTGCACGGGGAAGTGGATGGCCATGTTGGTGCCCGTTCCCAGGATCAGAGACATGCGGGTCTTCGGGTCGACATAGGCACGCGACAGCAGAGCCGCGGAGCTATCATTTACAATAGCCGCCATGGCGACGTTAAGATCGCGCTTGCGACAAGACTGAATCAGTAGATCGCCCAACTCTTGCCCGACAGTGCCATTCGAGCAATGGAAACCCTTGCCCATGTGAATCATCAACCCGCTGCCCAGAGAAGTCTGATCAATCGGGAATGACCACGACAAACCCATCGGCAGTGCAACGTCACCACGGCCATAGTCCGTGCCTACGTCCTTCAACATATTCTCAATGTGCCCGGCCATCCAGTCGAAGAATTGTGTACCCTCCAGCAGCTTGACGCTATTATCAATGTACGAGGACGCGACCTTCACAATACGCATCTCCTCGTCCCGTCCATGCAGCTCGATGAGCGCAACCCGGAAGGTCGAACCTCCCACATCCAGCGCGAGGAATGTACCCGTTTCGGAGCCCGTGGGCAATGCGTGGTTGTACGAGGGAAGCATGCAGACAGGGCTGTTCTGCAAGCAATGACGGAATTGCGCGCGGATCTTCTCCGACATTTCGAGCATTTTGGGCGTGGACAGCGGCTTGGTGAAGAGGGTCTCGACCTCGTCGGCGAAGTCGTCCAGCGTGCGACGACGCCAGTGAGCGCCCAGGAAGGGCTTGCGCTTCCGGTGTGAGAGGCCGCGGAACAGCGATGGGAAGAGCATCATGGCTTCGAGGGCGGATACGACGTTATGAAAGAGCTCCTGCAGGCGGTGCAGGACCTTGACGAGCGGGGCCGACATGGTCGGATTCGGAGAGAGGGTGTAAGAGTTGAAAAAGGGAATCGAGGTCGTGATCGATGGTCGGAAGGAGAAGGATGAGAAGTGAGAGATTCCCCCCAGCAAGAGCTCAAGGGTGAGGGAGGGAATGATTCGATCGGAGTGCGATAGATCGAGGGATAGGATTTGGAGAGGGGAGATCGTTTAATGCGGCGACATGGGTATAATAGAGATCAGTTTCACGGGGAGAAGCATTCGCGAATCGACTGAAAGGGGAAGAGTGTTTCGGCAAGGGAAGGTATAAAAAGAGGTAGACGAGGTTGAGGTGACACTCCCACGGAGGTAGTGTTTGAGGTGGATCGGAGGGAGTGTAGCAAAGGTGGTAGTAGTAGTAATAGTAGTGGTAGTAGCAGAGAAGACAGATTTGGGGTTGGGGTTATGGGGGCAAGGCCCAGAGTCGAGTGTCAGGGAGAGAGAGACGACCCCACCGAGGGTCAAGAGCAACAGCAGGCAGGGGAGGAGGAGGAGGAGGACAGTCGAAGCATGGATCAACATTGGCCCATTCCTGGCCACCACAGTGTTACGGTGGGTGCAACTAGAAGCCCTTGCGGTGTCGCAATGGAGCTGGGGGAAGGCGGTGTACGGTATGGTATTGTACTCCTGCCCACTTGGAAGGGACTGAATGGTGGGTATTGAAGTGTAATCCAATTACTGGGCAGACTAAGGTTATCGTCGTATCTGGGGCGCCTTGCGGCTCAGCAGGCGGAAGAAAGTAATTTAACTCGGTACCTTAATTATTACTTTGATCGATATACACGAATATACACGCTCCTCGAATGAGACATTTTCCCTGCAGGAATAACTCGAGCACCGATCTCTATACCTTCCACATTGGAAAAGGCAATTTGTGTACGTGTCCACCAATTTGCGACATTCCAGTCCGTGGTATGTCCGTACATGCTCGATGCCCCCCTTGAGTGCAACGGTGGTAGTCGGCCCAACTGGTCGGGACGGTTACACTCGTGTGGAACCCCGTCCCCCAAACTACATAACGTGGGAAAAAAAAATAGGGAGGCCATTTCCACTTCATCCACCGTGCTCCATTGATCATGGCACTGTACTCTCGAATGCTCCCTCTGATTGTGTATCATACAAATCGATAATAGTGTATTTGTCCAACCCCATAATGGCACTAATCGGGATAGACTTTGAAACATTCGCCTCTGGGCGATCGCCCCCCCCCCCCCCCCCCCCCCCCCCCCCCCCCTGATAGTCTTTCAAGGTTTGGGAGCACTCCTTGGTCACCTGCAATTAGTGTAAGGTAGTCTATCCGAACTTCTTTTGCCTGTCTTCCCCTGCCGTGCGGGCCACTTCCCTGATTTGGGGTGTATGTGATAGCCGTTGCATTCATTGGACTGTAACCACGGACCACTCGGGACGTGCTTCGGACCTGTCGGGCAGACGAAGGGAACTTGCCGCAGAACTGGCAGAACTCGCAACGTTATAGACTCGCAGACGGGGCGGATACTCACGCTGTTTCTACCGTGAAGGCTCGTCTGTGCCAAGCCCGTGATGAACGCCTGCAATGGTAATGTGTCATGTCAAGTCTCCCTCTTGAGACACGGCATGGCCACGGCCACTCGAGATCATATCCCCTTGTCAATTTTGTATAAGATGCCCGTCTCGATGTGAGTCTGAGCCAATGTCGCTCCCAGATGATGCTCATGTTCGGTTTGGATGACATCACCCGTGCACCAATATCGCGTTATCGTCGGTTCGATTTGCAGCGCAGTGGGATTGGGCATGCGAGGGGCACTGAAACCCTGCGGTGCATCATCTGGACTCTCTTCATCGTGTCGGTCGAACCCATGACGGAGCGAATAGGCCGGTTGTCGAGGGAGAGCTCGCACATACAACAGAAGATACCGTTGTGAAACATGGCAACTGAAGAATGCCACATACATCCCAGTCCGTGAGGCCCTATCATAGACCGAGTAGAGTATCGTTAGGGTCGAACAGATCACCCACGAAGCAAAGATTGGTCAGCCCGCTCAAGAAGAGTCGCAGCCGTTGACAATCGACGTCAATGGGTCCACAGCTCACACAGTCAGTGCGGTTCATCCCGATGCCATGTCATCAATGTCGGTCAGCATGGGGACCAAGTCGTGTACAATCCTACGAGGCGATAGACGCAGTAAGACCCTGGGGATATGGGAGCACGAGCACCCTAGCCTGATCACGATCTTAGCTTTGCTCGTATCTGATTCCGTCAAAGAACGAGATACTACCTGCTTGTACGGCATAACCTGCGCCACCGGGGTGTGGCCGGGGCATTTGCGGGGACGAGCTGGATCGGTTGATAGTATTGAAATCTTGGAGCATGGACCTCTGATAAGGCCACCAATGTGGGTTTGATAGGCTCGTGCCATTGATCGGCTTGATCTGGGCTCTAGATGAATGTCACTACCACTGGACCAAGCACGGAGCACACGAGATGCTGTTAGTGCGATGGATCATATAGTGCTTTGTTCTTCGTACACGAAATGTTACATGCTCTCACTTGATGATTGTGAACCGATCTCAGCATTTGATTCTGGGATATGCCCACCTTCGCGGACCAACGTAGGTTCATTGTCGGGTATGGTGAAGGGTTAGCTTCTTCCATGGGCCTTGGTATGAACGTTAGGCCTTCAAACGCATAGTCATTGCCCCGATTCTCAATGACTTCGATGCCAAAATTGGATCTTGGATGTCTGCTTTCACCATATGAGGCTCATCAATATGAGCCTGGTGTATACAAGCCTCATCGATTCGCCCACAAATGCGGTAGGTGGTCACAAGGGCACTTACCCGTACTCATTGAACTGCCGGCTATCATTAACTAGGCTTAAGAAGAAAATATTCCCTCCGTCGCTTTCCAAGCAGTGGCATAGCCGGCGCTGCCAGTGCCCCATAAGGCGATGCAAGAGGGAGGTGCCAGCCTTGCTGATGTGGCTAGAGTCAACGCAGCGGCCGGTCTCGTGCCACTAGGTCCAGTATCCTCCTCTTTAGGGTGGATCTTAGCTAAATTCTTTGCAGAATGAGAATTCAGCTCTCAGTCTGAAGACAGTCTTCACATAAGAGTCCAGACGACGATTTAAATGTACTTGCTCAGGAAGGGCCGCCTGAGCAGTCACCAACCCACCCGAGACATTTTGAGTCGGGCGCAATAGCAACCCCGGTCGTCTTGGTTCTAAGTATGGACATCGGCGAGATAACCCACTGACTTTGACATCACATTTCAGCCTCAGCAAACTGAGGTCCGATCGGTGCCCATAGTCAGCCCAACCCCAGCGTGCAAACCTGTCAGACACGTTGCCAAAAGTCGCCTATACAGTACAATGAACCACGTCGCGGTCTAACTCTCTCGCAACGTGAGATCCGATCGTATCCCACAAGCCCGATTACGCATGCCTCGGCCCTGTTGACAAACACCCGCGTCTACGCCCGGTATGCGTACCAGCCCGCCGCCGGCTTTTATTCAGAGCCATGAGAGGGGCTTGTCCTCTATAGTTGACATTTTACACTTTTCGGTTTGGACGTGCTCGAGGCTGTGAGCCACTGCCATTCCCGGCCCCTTGAGTGGGCCTTGGTTCTTGACGCCATCGTGCATGACGAACCATATCGTACTGAACGTGTCAACCATCGGCGCGTATACCATGCATGGAATGCGCGTTGTGCCGCCGTGAGAATTGCACAGGTTGATTTTGCGGGTTGTGTATTGCGGTCGAGTGGGCGGCGGTTTGGATGGTGGAGAAAGGGTTACGCGTCGAATTGGCTCTGGTCGGGAAGTGTTAATTGCGGTGAATAATGATCATCTTTATGTGCACAGACGGAGATTCATGCTAATGGGAATAATAGGGGGTAGGTTGACTATTTTGTGATTGTAAATTATTGAGAAATTGGCTTGACATGGTCACGGTTCGGGGGTCATCACCACGGGGCTTCATTGTGTCGAGTTTCACAGCCACAATTTTAATCAGGCCTATTGATTATGGTACTAGTAGGACAAGCACTGCCACCAGTGCCCACGCCAGTCTTTATCCCGAATAAGCTCCATCACGTCACCCCCGGACGGCAAGACGTATACAGCGGGACAGTATAGAGTATCCATTACGACGAGGGTGGGGTATATTCCTACTACGGAGTACGTTACGAGGGTATGTATAGAGCCAAGCATTTCTCGATTGATCGCATCCATTCAAATCTGAAGAGCCCGCTCGAATTAGTCATAATGGAGATTCTGGACGTGACTGGTCTTCCGTTTTGCTCACGTACGGATAGGATGACGAGGATCTTGTCTTGAGCTGATCAGCCCATTCGAATGGCGTGAAGAACGCTAGAAACGGACCCAAAGTCTAGAAAATCGGGTCTTCTTCGGCCCTACCAACCGTCTGGCTTGTTTCGCATGCAAATACCGAACGGGATGATGTGGAGTCGGACGCAGATCGATATCAATCGCTGCTTCGTCGAGTCTGATGTGTTGAGTGATCGACTGTGATTGTCTGTCGTATGTATACGAGTTGTTCATCTAGATTGAGTAGAATCTGTAGCAAGAAAAAAGGCACTATAGTATTCAAGACTAGTCCGGAAATTGAACACTTTTATTCAAAGCCATCAATCGCCATTGGAAAGATCACAGGAACAAACTTTGTTAGAACAATCTTCATTTGCTGAACGAGTACGGAGTACTCCGTACAGAGTACAGTATGAAGGTGTCAGGGGACCAAACTTGCTGGGGCAAAATGCCAAGACCGCCATTCCCCTGGGCGTCTCCAGTCGCGGCTTCCGTTGGCCACACACAGCACCACCGTGGGCCCTTTCCTCCCCGTCGGAGCCCGGCACGCCCGGCAATTCGCGCTGTGGGCAGCACTGTTGGATACAATTCGAGAGGCGTACGTGTTAACCGTTCTCACGAGCTCCCCTTGACGAAACTTTGCGCAAGCTGCTGACGGGGCTGGATGTGGCTGGTTTGATTGGCGATTTCGTGGTTCCTTTGGGGTAAACAAGCCCGAGGTCGAAGCATCCATAGGAAACGCCCGTGTTACGGGCGTTGTGCGACAAGGATGCAGAACGATGAAGAGAGATAGAACTCTTTCTCCGAGAAGCACGGTGCTTCCATATTCCATGCTCTACGCTCCCCACGCTCCACGCTCCCTGCAGACTTCCAACCACTCCAGGAGCTGTGGAACCCCCGACTGGGCTAACAATACGCTTGATACGAGGGGCAGCACTTGCGTAAGGGCGGAAGGAGAGGAACGCTTCCAGACGCGACGCCTCTTGATCCCTCTTCTCCAGTAATGTTCCCCAATCCTCGCGGGTTCCACCCTCCGAAACAATGCCAAGCCTTCTCGTCGGTCCTGCTTTGCTCCTCCCCTGAAGCTGCTTGGATTTTCTCGTTCAGTCCCTCCCAGCCAGTCCTCTCCTGGTGAGCGGAGTCAATTTTCGCCCTTGCCCTTCTCATCCGAGCGGAGGGGCCTCCACTCTCGTTTTGACCCGATTCCCCTGGACTACAACGACGACCAACCCGAAAAGAGGAAGAAAAAAAAAAGGCCGCCCCGACGGCGCCCGCTTTGCCATCTTGTCTCGTGAACTAATACTGACTAGTTCGTGGCCCGGATCTCAGAATCCAATCTTACAACTTTTCTCTCCCTCTTTTCTTCCCCCATTCCCCCCCTTGCGCTTGACGGCCTCGGTTTTTGCCTTTCAGTCTACTCGTACGGGAAGCTTGTCTTCCTAGCCACTCCTTCGGTCCGCCATGCTGTTCGCCGGCGCATTATCATTACTGTTCCTGCAGACCGTCGTTGCACAGCGCCATGATGCCGATCTTATGTCCTTTGTGACCGTGAGTCGCACCTTTTCCAAAGCAACAGCTGATGTTCAATGGAATTGCGCGAATCACCCGTTCCCCAATTGATGCTGACTTCTGGTCTTTTCGCATTCTTAGCTCCCCGAGGTGCGCGCCTTGAAATGGGAGGTCACTCATCACGACCGCACGCGAGCTGCTCCGGGTTACTGGTTTGTGGCGCCTTACGGACAGATTACGCCGGAGAACCCCACACAAAAATATCAGCAGTACCAGGTTGGGCCGTATATCTACGATAATGACGGTGTATGTCGTTTCCTATATGGACTCTTTTTATTTCTCTTCTCCACTTGAGCTATTCCCTATTTCGCAAAAACCATTGTCTGACTCGGAACGTTTTTTTGGCGGGGAAACAGATGCTTATTTGGGCCGGCGCGCCATTGTACGATAATCGCAATGTCTTCGACTTCAGACCGGTCACCAACATCGACGAAGAAACGCATCTTTCATTCATCGTCAATTGGGATATCGACAACACCAGCAAGGGTTACGGCGTGATCCTGGACAAGAATTATAAGATGGAAAAGGAAGTGCGCGTCTTGAATGACCTACACGATTTCAACATGCACGAGTTTAATGTCCTGCCCGGTGGGAAGACGGCTTTGGCGTGCACGTACCGCAACCAGGAGATCGACATGGCGGATTTCGGACGCCCGACGGAGAAGAGTTGGGTGGTAACGGGTGGCTTTGTGGAACTGGACACGGAGACGAGCCAGGTGCTGGTGCAATGGGATTCCTTCGATAAGATTGCCCTGCATGAGTCCAACATGTTCCACGCCTGGGACTCACCGTCTGGCCCCCCCGGCTGGGACTATGTGCACATCAATGCGGTTGATAAGAACGCAGTCGGCGACTATATCATCTCTCTGCGTTTCACCAACACGATTTACGGTATTTCGGGTGAAGATGGCCATATTATGTGGCGTCTCGGTGGACTCGAGAGTGACTTTGCCATGGATTTTACTTTCTCCAAGCAGCACGATGTGAAATTCGTCTCCTCCAACGGAACCCACCATGTCATTTCATTCTTGAATAATGCCTCTGATGAGCGCGGCAACGACGAGAACCTCTCGGCCGCCCTGTTCGTCGAGATGGATACTATCGCCATGACTGCCAAGGTTATCAAGCGCATCAACCGCCCTGACAGCGGTCTCACCCGTCTCCGCGGGAGCCTTCAGCTCCTTCCCAACGACAACGTCTTCATCGGTTGGAGCGAGCGCGGCTACCAGAGTGAGCACGCGCCAAACGGTGATCTATTGATGACTGCCCGCTTCGTGTCTCAGCGTTACTCGACCTACCGTGCGTACAAGGGTGAATTCATCGGCCGTCCGACTGCCCTGCCCGACGTGGTTGCTTCAGTGTACGGTACCAGCGACGAGGATATCACTACGTTGATCCACGTCAGCTGGAACGGCGCGACCGACGTCGCTGGATGGAAGTTTTATGCCCAGGCATACGACAAAGGTTCGCCCGTGCTCATCGGCCAGGCCAACAAGACCGATTTCGAGACGATGTACATTGTGGACGGCTACATGGACTGGATCACTGCCGAGGCTGTCGACAAGAACGGAAACGTTATGAGTGCCTCGCGGGTGATTCGCAGTGAGATCCCGCAGAACTGGAAAGCCGTTGGCTTCGTAGGCTCTGCGACGGGTCCCACGCCCGATGACCCCTCTATCATCTCCGCTGTCAACAAGGGCAGTTCGTCTGCCTCACCTTCTAATGATAACACCGGCACCGATGGCATGGACATGGTCAATGATGACACCTCATCGGAGTCCGGTTCAAGCTCTGACCACTCATCTAATGCCTACGCCGATGCCAAGGAAGTTGCCAAGTCAGTCTACAAGGCTTACGAAGTGATTCGCGGCGTGGGAGGTCTTCTCATTTTCATCCTAGTCGCCTGCACTGTCGGCGGCGTGGTCGCCGGTCTCTGGCGCCTGTTTCAGCGCCGCAAGATGCGCTCATACCAGCACGTTCCCTCTGAAGAGGGCATCCCCGTGGAGGAGATCCACCTGCGTGCGCACGCGCCAGAATGATTCCATACAAGCAACACTTTTCGACCTCCTTTTTTCCCTCTCTCTTTTTGTCGCATAATTATCAGCGTTGCATCCGCATTTACCACCTACTTCTCTTCCCGTCCTCATTGTTCTCTTTTTTTGTGGTCTTATTTTCCACCTTTCGTCCCCACCTCGTTCTTCCAGGTGAAGGTTTCCCGGGGTCGGAAAAAGCACTCTTTGCAATACTACCTGAACGAAGCATGATCCGGATACATAATTCCCGGAGAGGCGGCTCGATGGAATAGGTATATACAACCAGACCGGGGTCAGGTCATGATCGTTCCACGCATATCATACCCAGCAGGCGTTTTATCATTTTTCTTCCTGTTATGTCTCACTACTACTCTTTCTGGGATGGTTGATTTTTTTTTTCTAAAATCATTCTCTCGGACATTTGGGTTTTTCTTTCCCATCTTTCTTGGACCGTTTGTCAATTTTTCTTCCGCCTTGGCCTTGACTTCTTGTGTAATAATTTTTCCCTCTTACCTTTCACCTGACATATGTCAGGCTATCCACTTTTGACCGGATGCCTTGCATCTGGTCGGAGACCATGTACATATTACATAATATTTTGGATGTATTTTTTCTGTCAGTAGTGTCGATCCTGAACTCCTTACGGAAAGGGCCGCGCAATGCACTGGGTACCATGAGTAGAGACTTGCCTTGCGACGAGATTCAGCCACTCTACTAGTGCTGGCGATGGATAGATCTGTCATACGGTGAATTTGACATGTACTTATCCGCTGGTGCGAGGCTGGGCTGTCGATGCTTGTTCTGAGCCTACTCAAAGCTAAAATGGATCCACTGGCGGGATTTCAATGTGATATCTATCAGCAATGTAGTCGGATACGCGGCCTGAGCTAAAGGCGCTAGAATAGCCAACCAAGAATCATGGCTATCGTTCATGAATTCCCATGTGAGTCTTATGGTTGTCCACTGCCAAATTGACTGCAATCTAGTTTTCTGAACTCTGTGTTACGTTGCTACATATCCTTTATCACCAGTAAAACACAACTTACCGCCAGCAACCCCTGAACCTTTTGGAAGGAATATAGAATAAGACAAGGAGAGAAACCTTGGAAGATCCACCAGATTACGGCTCTATGGTCAGCATCATCTAGAGGTACCTCACTTTTTCTTTTAGATAGCTAGGGGTGCAGAATGTAAGAATAATGTCGTGGCTCGATACAACGTTCTACCTTCAAAGCATAAACAAACATCGTCGATTTTAGAATCCCCGGTACCAGATCTCTGAGAGAATCTCCTATATTCGCGATAGGATTCGGGGACCATATTAATAGCCGATTTCTCCCACGGAACCCCTCGAGTTGACGCCCAAGCAGTCATCTACTCCACACAGCTTTCTCTTCCACTTGAATTTGGTTAATAGTCAACAAAATATGGGTAACCTTCTGAACAAAATTCGAACCATCATGATTCTTCCAGAGAGAGCTATATCCAAAACAGTGTCAGTCGTGTCTTGCAATAGATATACTGTATAGTATCGCTGCGGACGAAAAGTAGGTATAAGCACATTTGGGTGCGAGACCGGAGATCTCACTCCTCCAGTAAACTACACTGGTTTCCTTGGGGGAATCGGAAGTTGAATCGATCTGTGTTGTGATTGTAGGTGAACTTGGGTCTTTGATTTAAGTGAACCGGTTTTTGAGCCGGGTAGTCTTTTCACTCAGTCAGAAATGCGGCATTTAGGGTAGGTAATAATAAGGTTACCGATCTTTCCGGTCAAATATCAACATGGAACGCCAACGGCACCCACTGACTGACGTACTTGTGATCCGTGGGCCAACTGGAATAATTCCATATTTCCTCTTTTAGATGGCATGTGCGATAGCCTCCAGACCGGACACTACCAACCCAGCTAAACCATCAACTTCCTGTCTGACCTTTCCCACACGTTATCGAGCTCTTATCTACGCCCTCCTTGATTCCATCATGCCCGTCTGGATTCGGAAAGGCATCGACCCTGGCACTATTGTCACACTCGATCAGCCTGTTCCCTCACAATGGAAAATTCTTCAGAAGCTAAGTGAGTATGACTGGCAACTCCCCGAAGCTGACTATCGCCGTGGGGAGCGCCTTTCTCTTGCTGCCGCAAAGCTTCTTTGTTGCGATGTGAACGACTCTCGAAAGCTCGCCTTTATGCGAATCTATCTCCAAGTCCCTTACAGCGGTACTGAGGAGGATGACGCGGATTCTAGAGCTACGCAGGCTATGAATTATATGCCGAGAGAGTTACTCGCCTACCAAGACCTTACTTCTCAAAACCTGGGATTCACTCCAAGCCTGCTGGGATACAAAATATCAACACAAGAAGAGTCGGGGCGGGTCCCGGGAGGATTCGCAGTCTGGCTAGTATGGGAGAAGGTTCCAGGAGTACGCCTCGGAGAAAAAGATGGATCTAACGTGTTCTGGGCTTTGTGAAAATGCGGAAAGAGACGAGATCCGGGGACACCTCATGAAGAATTCTAAGTAAGTTATTGTATAACTTTCTGCACGTCAATAACTGACTTTGATACTAGTGCAATAAAGAAAATCGCATACTTCCCTGATACAAACGCGCTTAGTAGCCTGGTATGGACTAAGGATTCAAATACCCTGTATGTTGGAAAGTTTCCTTACCACCGCGTGAAGCAAAGCGACATCTATCAGGAGGATGTTCATCCGCGCCAGTACTAACAGTCAATAGTTACTTTATCGGATTTCGCCGCCGAAACATAGCGAAGGGTGGACCTAGATCTAATACTCGAGACGTGAATAAAGAGTTTGCATTCTTCAGGCTGGCCAAACCAAATACTCGTGCATGGCTCAGAGAAGGCTGGGACCAGAATACCACTAACTGGATATGGTAGTTTGGGTAGGGCACTATCCTCGCTGGTAGTCCCTCCTGAGCCCTAGACAGAATTTTTCCAGAATGGATACTGTTTCGCTTGCTTTTGCACTTTGAGTAAATTTCGTTCTTGTCTCCACACTCCCTTAGGCTATGTAAATTGCAAAAAATTTCAGCTTTTATCTCTCCTTGGTCTTGAACGTCAAAAATTTGATCATTTGCCAGACAATTCGGAAAGACTTAGCTGACCATAAAACCAATACCTCACCCACAACTTTCTTTCGAGAAGACCGCGGGTCTTACGACGAATGAAGTCGAAATAATGACTTTTGGAAATTCTCCTCAAGTTGTGAGAAGTTAACAAACATGGCTCGGTTAATATCTGAAGGGCAGTGCTAGAACCACCCCCCCTAGGTCTACAGCCACCCCCGTTTGGATCGAGCCACCCTAAAGCGCATAGGATTCATATTAGAGCCTAGACATCTTTCCTCCTCAATCTAACGTTGTGAGCTACTTATATCGGTCCCGGGCATGCCAGAATGCCACGTTCCAGCAAATTTAGTATTTTTGGCTTATTTGGCTACATTTATATTCGCCATCAATAAAACCGATTCTAATGAAGTAGGATGGCATTAATGACACGACAGAAAAGTTCATGGCACGAGAAGGCTAGTCCTAATGAGGAATGCCCCCCCTTCCACACAGAATACTACATGAGAAACATATAAGATACCTACCGAGTCCTTCTGTATAATTCACATTAACACTTCTCGCTGAAAACGTTAGTGACTATATACGCGACCTCTATCTATATATCTTTATAATAGACTAAGTTAATATTCTACTCCCCCTCCTACTATATCGCCCTCTTTTACGGTATTTTCTATAGTCTTTTTAATGGTCTTCTCGAAAGATAGGGCTATAAATCCATATGGACTCCTAGGTAAATTGTGTATTTCAAATGTACCATTCTATATCGAGGTGGGGGCATTCCTCATTAGAATTAGCCTTGTCGTGCTATGAACTTTTTTGTCGTGTCATTAATGCCATCTATAAAGTACCCAACTATAGAGGTATAGTGTCTGTTAGTATCAATGGATGGATGGCCATCCGTAACTTACCCACATTGATTGTTACTAATCATTACTCGAATTGATCGTGGATCGGTGATCATGGATCGTTGATAAACGCTTGAAATATTTATATAACGTGTACCATGGGCGAGTCGTATACACAAGCGCGCTACCCTAGACCTATTTCATATCCACAATAGTCTGTACAAAGCCATCCTCGGTACCTAGTTGCCTCATCGAATCAAAAGAAATGCCCCAGACGACCAGACCCCCAACCTCGCAAAACCTGCCCTGCCCAGCTTTAAACACGAGGTAGCGATCGACAACGCTAAATAGACCCTACCTGAGTAACCTGACTGACAAGCGACCAAAGTAGAAGGCCTGCCGAAGGGTGGACGTGCATCTGCCATCCCACATCCCGCATTTCGATCTAGTACGTGGAGCATGCGGGATCTCGGAGAATTATCTGCCTTGGTGTGTGGGGTGGGATAGGCCCTGTCTTGCCATGTGGTCTGGCCGTTGAGCTGGCGGGTCTAGCGTTGCGTTTTTTGTTTGATCTTTTGTTGTGTTCTTGTGGCTACCTTGTCCCTTATAGACATGACCAAGTGAGGATAGAATACACTAGGGATCCTCTGATGGTGTTTGATTGGGGTTGGGTGGATTGGTCGGATTTGTGATGACTTTTGGATGACCGGTAATAACAGTATGTGACGCGCTAGTGGTGTTGGGACGGTGGGAGGTTAGATCGTATACGTCGCGTAGGTTCACATTTCTCGGATCGTGAGTGAAAACAAGATTTTTTGACTCGTCTCAACGATGAAGTTGCTTGCCGAATGTTTATTGATTTAGGTCATTTCACAAGGTGACTGGATCCTAGACTTGAAAATTCAGGACAAACCTGGTTTGTCTAACAAGATTATTCAAATAGACGAAGGTACAACTATTAAACTACTGTATGATCAATGGAAATTATAGGATGACAATGCATTCTATTACTGAAATCAGAGCAAGCTCTATTTTCAAAATCATCTCCTCCCTTCATGGTATATAACATAAAAAGCACTTAAGACATCAATCTGGCAGCAATTAACCACCATGTCATGCCGACATCATAAACTCAAAGGAAAACGATAACAAAAAGAAAGGTTGGGGAATAAATAATGCAAGGCATCAAAACACTCTAGAATATGTGCAGAGTCGTCGCAACATCTACAAACGCTTTCCGTCACCAGGATGGAACGCTAGAGCAAAATGTACATATGGCTCTGTGACTTGAAAAGACGGCGAGTTTCTGGAATTTACTCGGTCTTCTCATCGCTCGAGTTGCCACTGGACATGGCCATCTCGACCTTCTCATTCTCGGAGGCGTGCTGGTGGTCAGACACGTCGAGGCCAATCTCACGCGCCATGGAGGCAATCTCGTCGGGGGAAAGCTTGGGCAGGGAGTTGGCGATCTGGTAGGGCCACTTCTTCTCGATGTGGGCCTTGGCGAAGATAATATCAACCTCCTCAAGGTCACGACCGGCGGTCTCGGGGTAGTAAAACCAGGCGAAGGGAAGACCAATGAAGTTGACCAGGGCGAAGAAGAGGTAGATACCCCAGGGAGAAGCGTCGGAGAAGACGGGAGTGAACATGACAACGGCGAAGTTGGTGATCCAGTTGGTGCAGGTGGAAGCGGCGGCAGCCATAGTACGGGTGCGCAGGGGGTTGATCTCGGGAGGGTAGATCCAGGGGAGAGGCAGGGTAGTAAAGGCGAAGAAGCAGATGAACAGGAAGATACCGACGATGGCACCCTTGGCGTTCTGCTCGTTTTCTTTGATCAAGCAGGCCATGGTGATGACGAAAGACAGACCCTGGCCAAGGAAACCGATCAGGAACAGCTTGCGACGACCGACTCTCTCGATCATGAAGAAGGAGGGGATGGTAGCGAGAGCGTAGACGGTGGCGAAGACACCGCCCAGAACCAGAGAGAGACGGTGCTCCATGTTCAAGTTCTGCTCGAAGAGAAGAGTAGAATAGTAGATGGCAGCGTTGCAACCAGTGAACTGCTGGAAGAACTGGCCAGAGCAACCGATCATCATACGCTGGAACTCCTGAGTCTTGCCGAAAGTGAAAAGGGTCTTCCAGCTGGCCTTGGCACCCTCCTGGGCCTTGAGATCGGCCTTCATCATGTTGAAGTCGGTGAGGACATCCTCGCCGTCGACAGTGCTGTCGTTGAGAGCGGCGAGAACCTCGAGGGCTTCCTGGTCCTTGCCCTGCATGACGAACCAACGAGGAGACTCGGGAAGCATCATGGCACCGGCGCTGACCAGAACAGCGAACAGGATTTGGAAAGCGACGGGGAAACGCCACTGAACGGAGCTGTTGACATAGGAAAGACCGAAATCAATCCAGTAGGCGATAAAGGTGCCGACGGCAATGATGGCGCCCTCGAAGCAGACAAGGAAACCACGGTTGTGGGCACGAGAACACTCAGACTGCCACACCGGGATGGTAGCAGTGTCCATGCCGTTTCCAAGACCAGAGATAACACGGCCAACGACAAATTGACCAAGACCCCATTGAGGACCGAAAGCAGCAGTGGAGATGACAGTACCGATAATCATGAGAACACCACCGGCGACCAGCAGAGGAGTGCGGCCGATGCGCTCACCGAAGCAGAGAGTGAAGATAGCGCCAAAGAAGCAACCAAGCTCGTAACAAGCGGTCACGGCACCACGGAGGACGGAAACATGTTGAGAATAGGCGCTGGAAGAGCCTTCAGGGATGGCAAGGGCGCCGAACTCCTTGGTGAACTCGGTACCGGAAATGATACCAGACATAAGACCCTGATCATAACCGAACAGGGAGAAACCAACAACGGAGGTGAAGGTGATGGCAATGTGGAGCTTCTTGCCCCGGAGGCCAGATGTTGTTGTCCACATCTTGAAGTTCTGTCTTCTTCGTCGCGTGATATATGCGCGAAGGGATGGGAAGGACCAGTACAAGGAAAGGAAGAAAAGAAACCCGGCTGGGGATCTGGGGTCAGGGAGGAGGCCTTATGTATCTATACTTCTTTCAAGGGGCGGAGAACGCATGTTACGGGCCAGGTCGGCCAAGACGAAAAACATTGGACATGACGTCGGCCGTGTTAACGCTAGAGGCAGGTCGCGCGGACCACCGTGGTACGCCGTGGGCCAGTACGGGGGCCAAGGGGCTAAGGGGGCCCCGCAGCAGAGATTTACGGGGTCGCGATAGGTGGGGTTTGCCCTGAGTGGGTTTTCTTGAGGGCAAGTCTTGCGAGCCGCCCAGGGGCCTAGGATGGAGAGGAGGGGGAGAACTTGAGAAAGGGCCATGCGCGTAGCGGCTGCTTCTGCTTCTTGTTCGGGGTTGGCCGCCCGCCACAAAGGTGCAATGCTGCATTCGGGAATCCGAAACGTTTCGTAATGGTCAGCAGTGTGGCGGACCAGTCAAATGTTGCGGGAGACCGACAGTTTCTGGGAAGAATGGAGAAGTGCCTGGGGGGGACCTGTGGTTCTGTGCACTTTGGGGTTGCTTGGCCGTGGATTGCTTGGGTTGCTTGCAAGGCGCCACCCGTTCTCGTCCGTCAAGCCACCCGTGGAGCCATCCGGGCGCCTCTTTGTCACCGACCGATCACTTCTCTCCCACTGAGTCGTCTTTGTAGCCTCGTGGGGGTGGATCGTTTCCTCCCGCGGGCGTCAGGATCGTCATCCTCTCGGCCGGAATTGGAATCTCTCCCGACCTTCCATGAATTCATCCTCCGTCCATTCACGGGGGAAAACGGGGAAAAGTGCAGTGGGGTTAAGAGTCAGAGTTTTTTTGGTTCCTTTTTGACTCTTTTCCAATTCCATCCAGTCGCAGTTGGGGTACAGTAGTCGAGTCACTAGTCAGTCCCATTGCGCATTCGAAAAGCATCGGGGATCGAGCGAGTTTCGGAGGTCAGAAGAGGCCCAAGCTAGACCAAGCCGAATTAACCTTGACAACTCAACTCCTCACTCGCCTCAGTTACTCTTTCTTGCGCATAATTCTTGGCCCCCGAAGGCCCTGCCCGTTATTCACAGCCCGATGCCGACGGAGGGTTACCGTGGAGGTGGCCGTGACCCACCGGGCGGGTCAGCCAGAGGCCAATCAAGCCACCGACGCGATCGAAACCGACACCCCGTGGGAACATCAGGAGAAAGCGGTTTTCAAATTGGGTAATTGACTTGCTGGACGGTAAATGCTGTTGGTTCCAAAGCCAAAGACAGGCTGAAAATTCTGCCGATGGCTTTGGGCGTTGAGCGTTTTCCGATCCTTGTTGGGGTGGTAGTTATCAGAAGCTACCGCGGAGGTTTTTGCGGAGGGAAGACATGTGATCATGGCGTTTTTAGCGGGCGATAGGCTTTTGTAGGATCCTCCGCGATTCTCCTCATTTTCATTTTCGGCTCCAGAGTTCAGAGTTGGGGAAGGAAGCGGGCCGGCGGTTAGTATTTCCGGTTCCGGAGGAACCTAGTCACGTGATATACCACCCGTCCCTCGATGTCGGGCAAGGTCCGAGCCCCCGCTCTGATTGGCGGTAATATCAAGCCAGTACCTAGGGGTACAACCACCAAGTGGATCCCGGGATCCTCCTTATGTCATCCTCCATTTCCCGTACCGACCGCAGAATCACAGCCGACTGAACTCGGGCCGCTACTTACGTGCTCCCGTACTCTTTCTGGAAGCCGTGCATGGACACTTGGGCAGCGTGAAACCCGCTGTCGGCTTCTGACCTTCGTTCATTTCGATGGAGTTGATCCTTCCTACTTAGAGCACGGAGTACATGTCGGCTTACCCATGCGTTCTCCATCATCGGGTATTTCAACATCGTGACTAGCTCGAATTCGAGTGGAGCAAAAGGGACGGGTCATTAATTGTTAATTTCCATACTTTCTACTCACCAGATTCAATACGACAGATGAATATTGGATGCGACAGTAATTACTTGCAAAGTATTAGTGGGAGATTATTCTTCCAACGGTACCGAAGTGTTCTCGCCTAGCGTACTCGGCTTGTCGGGAAAGAGTTTTCGAGGTTCTATGTACATGTCGGAATACTACTAACGGGAAGAAAGCCGATATTATTCTCGCCGCCACTTCCCATGGTTGGCCGATTGTTGTGTTTTCACGTCGCCAACCCTTCTGGTACCTCGTCAACGGATCTTAACAATGTGGGTCTATCAATAACATTTGCCATGAGAACGGCCATGTTCGAGGGAAGGATTCCACGTGGTAGATCATACATGCTCAAATGTTACTGGCATGCCTGGCATGCCTGGCCGGATGCGTTCTCCGTTTCTGGGTCAGATGTGCCCTCTAATTCTCCGGGGTGGCCACTTCAAACCGCTGTCATTGACGATGACGATGGTTTATACTCCGTCTGACATGGCTATTTCTCTGACCTATGATAAAGGTGGTATTATCCGTTTTCACAACTCAAGTGGAGTACTCAATTAGAATGCTCCACTCTGCCCTGTCGCTTGTTCCTTTGTAATTTTTTGATAATTTAGCTGATGTTATCTCGGCCATGGACGAGAATACTTCGGCATCTACCGACTACAGTAGTCTTACTAGTCTATTGTTGGCGACCCGTTAAATAATTACCCGAGCCTCAGCTCGGCGGCTGTCAGTACAGTACTACGTACTTGCACTGGAACTAACACTTCGGGTGGAGCTCGACCGAGGTACAGTCGCAGTTTATGGTAGGGTGAGTAGAAGAATTTGCAACCACTCGGCACGGTTCTTGGGCTTGGCACATCGGCTCGCTTTAGGATTAATGTCTCATTGCAGAGCGAAATCGAATCCACTCGCGTTGTCCACACTGGGTACTCACGAGAAAAAGCGCTTGTCGCCTGGTCCTCCCGCTTCTTAGCGCCAAGCATCGGCCACCATGTCAGCGATGATCGCAATGACATCAGTGCTGTAAACAGTTGTGTTAAAGTTTTCAATGGCCCCCAGAGCATGGTGGCCACAACCCGTCGGGAAGGGTCCGATTGCAAAGTTTCTTGGTTGAAAAATGACCGAAGCCAAGCCTGCCGCGCGGGAGGCGTCATGGCTAAACTCTCGCATGGAGACGTTGGGCCTGGCGAGAAGTGCTGGTGGCTTTCAGTTTTCAAGGTTTTCAGCGATGAAGATCTCGGGATTGCGCTGCTGCGAGTGAGAATTTTGGGGATAATTGATGGGCGAAATGGAAAATGCAGAGTTTCTCCGTGAGTGGTAGAATGAGTCGACACGCAGGCGCTACTAAGTTTTTCCATGTCTCTACAGAATCGAGTCGTATCTCCACGAAGAAAAGACCTCAATGCATGGCTATACGTATAGATCTCTATATCAACAAAAAAAAAGCGCATATAAACATGGTTCATACTCAACAAAACAAAACGCAAAATTCTCCCCCTCAAATCTGCGACTTGTTCAAGATAATCTCGGCAAGCGCCATCAATGATCCGCTCGACAACAACTCCAACACCTGCACGTTCGCATTCGCCTCGCGCGCAATCCAATTACGGATCTCAATCGCTACCAGTGAGTCCAGACCCAGCGATGCAACCGTGATCGATGGATCCATGTCCTCTAGCGAAATCACCAGCACTTGTGCCAGTTTGGCCGCGAGAGCTTCATAACAAATGCGCAGTGCCTCCTCCTTGGAGCCTGCATTGGCAAGAAGCACGTTCAGCGGTGCAGATGGGCCACTTCCTGCTGCGGATCCTGAGCCAAGCGCTGTCTTCGCGGCCTCGTAGAGAACACTGAACTTGGCGTCCTGCGCCCAGAAGTGGTCTAGTGTGCTCAGCTCGAGGCCAACGATTAATTGGCTTGAGCAAGTGTCTGCAAGGTCTCCCGTGATCGCAGCGGCGAGTAGTGCGAGTACCTCTGCCTCGTCCATGCCATCTGTACCAATGTTCTTGAGCACTTCTTGTTGTCGCTTACTGTCGACCTCGGCGAGATAACCGACGTCCCGGACGGCGGTCAGATCGATGGATGTACCGGGAAGGCCCAGTGAGCGTCGGTACTCCATGAACCCGTCGAGGAAGACGTTTGCTGCGGCATACGCGGCTTGACCGCGGTTACCGATGACACCAGCGACTGAGGAGAGGGCCACAAAGAAGTCGAGAGGGCAGTCGGCAAGGACCTCATGTAAGTTCCAGGCACCATCGACTTTGCTGGTAATGACTGACTGGAAGTCATCCACGGTCATCTTCTCGAAGAGGACATCCTGTTATGGATTAGCTGACTGAATCGAAGTTGGAGTGCCGTAGTTATTGGCAACACTTACTCGAAGAACCATTGCACCGTGAACAACACCACGAACTGGCGGGAGATATTTCATCTCTTCCTTGACGAGATTCTCGACTGACTGCTTGCTACTCACATCGCATGGCTTGACGGTAACGTGTGTGCCATTGAAAGACAGCTCATCAATCAAGGCCTGAACCTGTTCGCTGACCGAGGCGCTTCGAGAAACCAGGACGATGTTCCGGGCGCCTTTGGAGGACATCCACTTGGCCATGCTTCTTCCCAGACCACCAGTACCGCCGATCAGAATGTACGAAGCGTCGGTCTTTAAGAGAGAAGAACCAGTCTTGGGTGCGACAGCCTGTGTTTCACATGTCAGAATTGCTTTGCGCAGAACATGCTGGTCAACCTTTACTTACATTGACATAATCATCCTGATGAGGAACAACTACAATCTTTCCCATTGCCTTACCGGTCTGCAAGGTGCGGAAAGCAGTCTCTAGCTCTGAGATGCGGTACGTGGTTAGTGGCAGGATAGGGCGCACAGATTGCTTGGCCATCAACTCCGTAACATTGTCCAAGAGTCGCTTCATCAGCTTCGGGCGGTGCGCGGCCACCTTTGTCAAATCGACAGAAGCAAAGCTAACGTTGTACTCGAATGGAAGCATGTCGAGACGAGTGTTCTTGGTGATATCAGCCTTGCCAATCTCAACAAACCGGCCGAATGGAGCCAGGCATTCCCATGTCTCACGTAGGAGGTCACCAGCCAGTGAGTTGACAACGACGTCCACACCCTGATTTTTCGTTGCACGGCGAATACCACGACCAAACGAGGTATCACGGCTGTAAAGAATATGATCTTCAGGGATACCATACTGGATCATAAGGAATTGCTTCTTCTCCAAGCTGCCGACAGTGACGAAGATCTCCGCACCAATCATCTGCGCGAGCATGATGGCTGCTTGCCCGACACCACCAGCACCGGCATGAATTAGAATTCGCTCGCCTTCTTGCAGATGGCCGAGGTCGAAAAGCGCATAGTAAGCCGTGCAGAAGACCACTGGTACTGTGGCACCGACTTCAAAGGACATATTCGCCGGGAGGGGAGCAGCGCTGGTTGCTTTACAGCGAGCAAAGGTGGAGTAACCGCCCAGCGGTAGGGCCATAACTCGCTGACCGACCGTGAGATGCTGGACATTCTTGCCGACAGATGAGACGATACCACTGCACTCGATACCAATGTATGGCTGCGCAAGCTGGCCCATGGTAACGACGATATCTTTGAAATTCAGGCCGGTGGCCTTGACCTCAATCTCGACATCATCGTCAGCCAGTGGCTCAACTACGTCGTCAGCAAAGTACAATGTATCAAGAGCGCCGGGATTGCCAATCTGAAGCTTGAAGCGGCGGCCGGGCTGCTGAAAAGGCTGAGACGAGATGGTCATCTCATGAGTCTCGTTGTGGACGAAAGCATCTGCCGCGTCGTTGGTGAAGGCACGCGGGACGAAGAGTTCAGCCCCCTTAGCCCGGAACTCAAAGTCCTTGCAGGGCTTCAGGGCGTTTGTTGACCACAGAGAATCGATGGTAGCCATGATGGGAGTCACAGGATTCTCGAGATCTTCAGTCTCAAGACCGAGGGTTGCGGCCTTGGCCATAGTCTCGGAACGCAAGCTTCTGGTCAGACCGACGATCATCTGGGCATCGAGATCGTCAAGACGATACACCCACAAAATGTTGGATGCGTTCAACAAATTCTTCTTGATGTTTTCGAATGCCTCTGCCGTGAGGTTGCGAAGAGATTGGGCTCCAGTCTGGAGGACGATGAGATGCTTGCCTGTTGCATCTATATCCTCAAAAGTGGAGATGGAGGGCTTCCAGTCGCTAGTCTCTTGAATAGCATCTCCTAGCTGGTCCGCGATGCCGTCGGGCTTGCCAAATTGCGTGATCACAATATCGGTCAAGGGATGGTCATGTAGAATGCCATTACCATTGATATGCGGCTTCACGTCCGGACTGAGATTACCGTTGATGTGGCCGTTAGTTAAGCCACTCCCAGCATGGCCATTCGTTAGCACACCATTGGGCTGAGAAGCGTGCCCATTGATACCATTGCCATTCACATTACCCTTGGGCTCCTGGGATTCTGCCGCAACCTCCTCAAGTTCCGCAAGAGATTTCCACTCAAACTTATAGCACAAGTCGCGGAACTTTTGACCACGAACAGCACCTTCATCCCTGAGGGGAGTCATGATCAGCCCCTCCATGTTGATTAGAATCTCAGTGGAGTTCTCCGGCGTCACCCAGAGATCGAACTTTGCTGGCTCCGGGTTAGCCAAGCTGGGCCCACCGTTGCACCACGCTTTGGCAGATTCTCCTGGGGTAGAGGGTATTTTGTCGCTGATTAGCAAGCCCTTGATCATGGTTGGCATGTACAGCGTATCGAGTTCCATACGACCTTGACCGAGAATAGGCCAGGTCAAATGCAATAGAGCATCCAAGAACGTGGGGTGAATAGTCAACGGAGCCTCGAAATTCTTCGGCATCAGGGACTTAGTGTCCCGGACGTAAAGGTCGCCATGGGAGTGTCGGGGATGGGAGAAGATATCCTCCAGACCTTGGAAGGAAGGACCATAGCCGGCACCAACATCAGCGAGGACTTGGTACATGTTCTGCGTGTCGATCTCGTAGGTTGCTTGTTCCATGATTCGGTCAATCTGGTTGGAGAAGTGCTTCTGCTCAAGGTCCGCCGCATTGGAGACCGATGCCTGTCCCTTCTTGTTGGCGCGGGTGCGAACCAAGCCTGAGCAGTGGACTGTCCAGCCTCGCTTAGAAGTCCACGAGCTGATACGGAACTCATCCCATATATCTGAGTTGCCACGCGTGCCCTCTGCGTACGGCTTCAAGGTAATAGTAGTCTCGGTGTCCACATCGTCGGTAAGAACGAGCGCAGCACCGACTGTCACCTCACGAAACTCGAACTGTGAGAATGGAGTCTCATGGGCCTCGGCGCGTCGACGTGCAGCCTCAATGGCCATAGCCAACTAAACCAAAATTGATTAGCATCATTTTAACTTGATAGTCAACATTGAGGAGAACTTACATATCCGGCCATCGGATATACACTCATACCCTGCATCTTATGCTCCCGAAGCCACGGGACGTCGTCCAGGCGCACAATATTGCGCCATGTAGGCTCGAGATTATTCGAGTACATGGCCAGCGTTCCCAAGACATCATTTCGCTTTCCATCGCGAAACTTGTGTCCCTGCGCAATGCGTCCCTCATGCCAGTACCTTGTGCTGTGCTGCCAGGGATACTTGGGCAAATCCCGCAAGAATGATCGATTACAGGCACCACTCACTGGGAAGTTGACTGCAGTGATGTTGAGAATTCCACCGCGCACATAAACGGCGCCCGCAGCATCCAGAAGGGACTGGGCGGGGTTGGCATTGCGGAGCACGGTGGGTGCATAGCTGACCTTGCAGGCGATCGATCCCAGGCTCTTCAAGATGTCCAGAATCGGACCCTTGAGGGCGGAATGGGGACCCAGCTCAAGAAGGAGGTGGGGGCGCTTCTCTTCGTCGGCGCACATCTTGCCCAATGCGTTAGCAAAAAGTACGGGGGAGGTCAAATTGGCCACCCAGTATGCTGGGCCTAGATCAGTTGGCTCAGCGATCTCGCCGGTGACAGACGAATAGAAAGTAGCGGTTGCGGACGTTGAGGGCAAGATGGAATCGATAGCTGACAGGTATGCCTCCGCTACTTTCTTCATGTGGTCTGAGTGATAGGCAACATCGATCTTCAGCTTTCGGTTGAACAACTGCTTCTCCTGTAAAACAGCCTCGAGTTCGTCAATCGCATCGGCATCTCCAGAAACGGTCACACTAGAAGGACTATTCACACATGCCACCGTAGCATAGCCGTTCAGGATCTTGAGCATCGGCTTGATATCGTCAGAGCTGGCTCCGACGGCAATCATTGTGCCCTTGATAAGTGGGTAGGAGCTCTTCAGCAACGAGGTCATCTGGCCACGGTGATAGGCCAGTACCATGGCTCCCTCCAAATCAAAGATACCTGCAGCGTAAGCAGCACCGATCTCGCCGGAGCTGTGACCCACGACAGAAGAGGGGCTGACACCCCACGAGCGAAAAAGGTCTGTCAGGGCAATCTGGAGAGCCGTGCAAGCAGGTTGACTCAGATGGGGAGAGTTGATCTGAGAAATTGTAGGATCCTTCTGCAGCTCTTCAAGCAGGGAGAACTCGGCCCCGTGATCACGAAGACATTTGTCGGCGCGTTCAATGGCCGTCGCAAAGATTGGATACTCATCCATCAGGGGAATACCCATCTGAGCCCATTGAGCACCCTGCCCTGTGAAAACAAAGGCGATGGTGGGCTTTCCAAGCACTCGGATGGGGTTTGCTTTCAGTTGAGCCATCTTGACACCCAGGTCATCCAGCGAGGTGGCAGACAGAGCCACGCGATAGGAAAGATGGGACAACTTGGTTCCAAGGGTATGCGCAAAGTTGCCAAAGAGGGAGTTCTCGAACACCTCTGGCCGCTGCTCAAAGTAGATTCCAAAGTCCCGGATTCTCGTACGAAGAGAATCCTTGTCATTGGCAGAGATCAAAAACAATCTGGCCTTGGGATCTCCCTCGGCACCTGCATCATCCTCTGCCCGGTCTGGGGGAGGCGGCTTTTGGAGAACCACGTGTGCGTTGGTTCCTCCAAAGCCATAGTTTGAGACACTGGCGTACTTCTTGCCTCGTGGGAAAGGCCGAGTAGTGGTAACGACTTTCATATTCCACTCTGCCAATGGAATGTTCGGGTTGGGCTTCTTGAAGTCGGCGTTGGGTAGCAGCAGCCCCTTGTCAAGAATCATGGCTGTCTTGATAATGGAAGCAATGCCACTGGCACCTTCCAGGTGGCCAATGTTGGACTTGACTGACCCAATGTAAAGCGGGTTCCGTGCCGTTCGTCCTCCACCTAGGGCTGCATGCACCGCTCGTGCCTCAATAGGATCTCCCGCTTTGGTGCCTGTACCGTGCATCTCTGCAAAGCCGCAGTCCTCTGGGTCCAGATTGGCTTCGCGGTATACACGCCGGATCAACTGCTCCTGTGCAAATTCGTTCGGCAGCGTGATACCCTTGGTTCTCCCGTCTTGGTTCACTCCAGAATTAGCGATTATAGCCCGGATAGGATCCTTGTCGCGAATTGCAGCGTCGAGAGGCTTGAGGAGGACAACGCCGGCACCCTCACCACGCGCAAAACCGGATTTGGCTCGTTCGTCAAAAGAGTATGTTTTCCCTTCATCATTAAATAGTCTGCATATGGTGTCAGTAATGAATCATTCTGGTCCAGGCTGAGTGTGCCTTACTGTGACATTGACATAGAAACGAAATAATCGGGAAGCAGATTCAATCTGCATCCACCAACCAGCGCCTCCTTGGATTCACCACTTCGCAAGCTCTGAACAGCATAATGCAAAGCCACGAGAGAAGACGAGCAGGCCGTATCGAATGTCATACTAGGACCTGCAAGGTCGAAGTAGTATGAAATGCGATTGGATTGCATAGCAGGCGCATTTCCCGTAGCTTGAAACTGGGGAACAGTTTCAACATCTCGACAATTATTGAGCTCGTAGTCGGAAAAATTGCCACCAACAAAGACACCGACATCACGACCCGCGAGAGACTCTTTGGGAATGCCTGCACTCTCCAAAGCTTCGAAGGAGCACTCCAGAAGAAGGCGCTGCTGAGGGTCCATAGAAATTGCCTCTTGCACGGTGACATTGAAGAAGGGGGCATCAAATCGGGAAACGTCTTCATCAAGAAAGTAACCGCCCGCGGGGTTGAAGGTGCCGGGTTTCGAAGGATTAGGGTGGTGGTAGGCGCCGTGTGAGAACCGGTCCTTGGGGATGGGCGACCAGCCGCTTCGAGCTCGTGTACAAAGCTCCCATAAGTCGCCGGGGGAGGAAACCTGGCCGGACAGTCGGCAGGCATACCCAATGATGGCGATAGGCTGCGGCGTCCGGGTTTCCCCGTCGCACGGTGTGCCATTGGGCTCGGCCGTGCCGTTCATGGTTGTTGTAGAGGACGAAATGAAGAACGAGAGACACAAGAAACGGTGAAAGGAGAGTAGAACGAGGGGGAAGGGGTGGAAATGAAGTATATAACGATAGAATCAACGAATGTTTAGCAAAATGGTTCGGGACTTTCTTTCTCCTCCTTCCTTTATCAATCCCTCTTATGAGTTGAGCTCAAAAGGCCATTAGGGTTAAATAGAAGAATCTGGCAGCCCTTCAAATCAAGTGTCAGATTCATCAAAAATGGTTAAAATGGATAAATTGTTGGAAACCTCGAAGATCAACAGGCCCTCTTCCCTATTTCATCCAAATCCCTAATTTCGAAAAAAAAGGCCAGATTCTCAAACTGCATTTTGGCCCATTCTTTCCCAAATAGCCATTTGCCCCGAGGTCCCTGCGATAAGAACGGGAGGTTGACATTGGGCCACTGGTGGCGTAACTTTGACGGTGCTACTGTGCAGCCCGCTCAGGTTAGACACAAATTCAGGGACTTGAGTTTCTGGGTCCATGCAACCCACTTGAGCTTCGATGGACCTGTGGATCGGTGGTGTGGATGCACCCTGTCGATCACATGTGTTCGGAGTGAATTGCTGATTTATGGGCCAGAGAACAAGTTCCGGGGAATCTTGTTCTACGGTTTGGATTTGACAAGCTCCAAGGTCCTTCTTTCTTGAACGGCTACTTCTCCTTGGCTACATTGCTTGTTTCGAATCCGAGTCATTACCGAAGCGTTCTCTCTCTCTCTCTCTCTCTCTCTCTCTCTCTCTCTCTCTTGAATTATCCTTAGGAAAGGCTGTGACCCTGCAATCGGCAAAATACATACAGTAGGTCGCTCTATTTCAATACCACCCAAGATGAAGTTCCTATGCCTTCATGGTGCCATCGGCAATATTGAAGTAAGTCAAAATGAATCATATGAGACGTTGTGTTTGAACTCCTTTGTGATGGAAAGCGTGCTGATTGATACAGAACATCAGCATTCAACTAGGTAAAATCACCTCAATGAACAGATGATGCAGTTTGGAGGAGCGCGCAATCTAACATGAAGTGATCAATTCTAGCACCGCTACAGAAGGAACTGGCACGCGATTATGAGGCTTCGTTCCATTACATCAACGGCTTGGTTCGAATCAAACCGCCGCAAGGTATGTCCACCCAGCCAAAAGGGAGTTCCACGTCTAAAGTCTCATTCTTTGCAGGATTCGAGGAGTATTTTGGCGCCGGACCGCATTATCGCTGGGCGGAAGACGGCGGCGCAGCCGAAGAGTCGATGATCAGCCGGGTACGCAAAATCCCAGTCGGGCAGAACCCGGAGGATGTGATGCGCGACCTGGCTGGAGGCCGAGATGTGGCATGGAAGAACCATGATGATGTGATGCAGTATCTTTACGATACTTTGGAGAAGCACCCAGACATTGGCGGAATCATTGGATACAGCGAAGGCGCATCGATCGCCGCAACATTCATTCTAGATGAGCAGCGCAGATTCGAAGAAAATGGCCGCGAGCGACGCATCAAGTGCGCAATTTTCATGACTGGCTGGCCTCCAATTGACCCCAACAAGGGAATTATCCTGGCAGATCAGGACGACGACCTGATCGATGTGCCTACCCTGCACGTTGTGGGCGCCAATGGTATGCTCCATCCTCGCGCGCAAATCTTTTCGGTGTATTCTTGGTTGTTTCAGGAATTTATGACTGATTTGATCTCCTAAATGTTTCATCGAAGCAGATCCCTTCCGACATGGCGCATACGCGCTATACAATGTCTGTGACCCGGATACAGCCGCATTCTTCGACACGGGCAAGGGCCACACTATTCCGCGATCCGGATTGGTGATCAGTGAGCTAGCTGACGCAATCCGAGACCTCATAGCCAAGTCAGAAGAGGCATTCTAGGCCAAAGATCCGGCTTTCTAAGGTAGTAATCACACGAAACGAGACGGGCGCTCGGATGAATGGAGGACCTTGAAGCGGCCTTCACGCAGACTACTCTAGAAGCAATATCGATGAAGTAATAATTTTTTTAAACTACAATCCAATTACAATCGTACAGAGTGTGCCTGACATATGGTTAGGTGTTCAGTAATACAGCACCAGAATGGCGTTTGTGCACGTTAACGTAGCTCTGTGGGATGGCAGTTCGCATCCCAGCTGTCGTGCGATTGTGAACTGCTAGTCAGTGTAACTTGGAAGCCGTTTTCTGTGATTCCTGTAACACTGTGAATTTTGACGCTCCAGTATTTACCATCTACTACATTAGCATTTCACTATTGCTTGTTGACTAAGTTTTCGGCCAAACTACGAGCATTTGCGCTAAATGTTCAGCCAATTTATATCGTATTCTAGGCCTTTCATTCTTCATAGACGGCCATTGAATCTGCCCTTCTCTATTCAGCCTTATCAAGTTGTAGTCTCCTTATCAAATAGAATAAATCGCAGAACTCGGTCTTCGTCTACAACCCCTCTTTCTCTGATTTTGGCTCACGTGTTTATCGCCGAAGTGGCATTTGCACTGGGAGGGAAAGCCTTGATCAATCGACTGGTCCCAAAGCGTATCTATCACTACAGGTTGTTAATTATCCACCTCCCTTCTCCTCTTTCACCGTGTCTTTCAGTGCCGAGAGGTAATGCCGATCCCAATCTGCAGATCTTACTTTTCAGCCCCGAGTCTTCTACACCCCGACGTATAAGACTATCCTTTTCTGGATAACCGTCGCACAGCACGGATAATAATACCAGTCCACAGTCTGCTAACATTCAACATTTGTAAGTCTAGCTATAATGCTCGCTGAAAGTGGTGGTATGTCTATTAGCCAGCAATAGCAAATTATTTAAATCCAATGCCATAATTTCCCTCGAAAGTTCCGTCAGCCCGACAGCCCGCCAGGTTAAATACTCGGTAATAGTTGTGGATACCTCCGAGTCCATGGCCCGTCTGGTCAATTCTATGCTCCATCTCTATTTTTTTTTTTTCACAGCTGATACGGAGGCATTATGCATGTCAATGCTTTCCGTAATTGCTTGGTCCTGGGTCTTGCCGTCTATCATTTCCAGCCGTCCCTAACTCAGGAAACCCCACCTTCGCAATGCGCTACGGGTGTGCACGCCATTCTGATGCGAGGTCAAGGCCCTGGCGATCATCTTAATGTTATGATATCTGTCCAGAACCTGGTTCTACAGCTCATTCCAGGCTCGACTAGCGTCGGTCTGCCTTATGATCACGGTGCAGATGACCACCGCATTGCCGCTTCTAATGGCACCTACATGATGCAGGATTACATTCGGTCTTATGCCGCTAGTTGCCCAGACTCGAAGATTTTCATTATTGGGTACTCTTTGGTAAGTGGAAATTCGATCTGAGTCTGAGTCTGAGTCTATCTGCTATTCTACTTCCACTGTCAACGGGAAAACGTCATAGCTCAACCTTTGTTGATCTGCGAACTTCAATCATTCCCCTAGTTTTCACTGCTTCTTCCTCATCTCGCCGTATTGGTTTTCTCTTCTAATTCAATGGGGATTTCGTTGCGTTTGCGCTGTACTGAGAAGACCACATTCTCCTTATAGGGTGGAGTTGCGATGATGGATGGGTTATGCGGTACGAGCTCGCAGTGGCTCTTCGATGTTCCTGCCCTGGAACCTCAATTCAACAAGAGCGGTGGGTAGATTCTATATCTTCGTTTATCGCCGTCACTCTAAAAGATAGCGTCCTAAGTGGTTGCGGCTGTGTCATATGGCGAGGAAACATTTGTGCCGGGACTATCATACGACCATGGAACCTGCACTGACGGCACAGGGGTAAGCCATACAGAGTCCCTTGGATATGTTCTGTCCTCAATCGTGAAACCATCTCGAAGGCCTCCGAGGATCTGGAGCCCGGGCCGGACCCAAAGAAACAGATTCAGTCTAATATATTGGCTTCCAAAATCTAGATCTATCCACGAATTCACCCGGAATGGTGCGACCCATTTCTCTCTTCAATCCGGAGTTACTGCGATGAAGGCGATGGCTCATGCTGTTTTCGGTTCCCGCCGCCGACGACCGATCCCGCGCACTTTCTCTATATCTTTCGATACAACATGGATGTAATTCAGTTTGTGCAGCAGCGCCTGAACGTATCCCGGTCAGAATGACTAGCTGCTCACGGAATAGCTCGACAGCTAGCCTAGAACCACGGCAATTTTTAATCACTGGCGACAACGTAACAAGAAATGCCGGGAATGAAACATTCGAGCTGAAGAAGACCAGAGCCAGGCTGTACCCCATGTCCACATCCACCGTCAAGTGACAGGAAGACAAGCGCCTTTTTCAGATAGGCCCCTAGTTGACTATTGGAGGAATCGATCGGAGAAGGTCTACTTTGCACAGGCTAAGACCAGCATGAAGTCAACCACGGAGCGCTAAAGATCGGAATCCCAGCTATTATTGGGGCTCGTTCCACAGATTATTCCCTAATACCTCAGTCAATCCAGTCATTTTAGCCATTGCAGCCACAGATTGTGTGATTGAGCCGTGTCTGGTAACCTATTTGTTGAAATAAATTTCACTGGTGCATCTGTTTGCCACTTTCCCTAAATATTGGACAACTTAAAACTTAAAATCAATCTGCTGGATCCTATTTCATTGCCGTGCCCGAAAAGCTTCACAAAGTACGAGTCTCGGTAATTCCAGCTCGGAATCAGCCGGCACTTCTCCGCGAGGTTGTCACGTCTACTAATTACCATTCCTTCTATACTCGCTTGCATTGCGTATGATGCACGATTCGGGCGATCAAAAGGAGCTTCATTAGTTTCTGCTATAGAACCTATGAAGAATATTATCAATAAAGGAATTAATGATGATAAGAAATCTACTATTCAGGTTGACATCGGCAAATATTCGCGTAGATCAAGATGAGCTAGTGAAGCTTTTGGGCGTAGATGCTGAACTGAAGAAAGCCACGATTCTTTTACTAGGTTCCTACCGTCTCAGCCGGGTTCGGAGACCTTGCGCGAATAGAACCGCGTGGCTGCACAAAATGTACCTTTGCCATGCAATGGAGAATCGTTCCATCTTCGTAGATTGATCGTCACTGTGCGGGACAGACGAAGGAAGATCAGAGATCTTGTTGCAACTACGCCAGACTAAACCAGACACCCGCAAGCACAATCAGGGTCGCGACCCCATCGGTGTTTGCTCTAAAGTCCTCTGGACCATCAAATCAATCGTAGCGGCTCAAACCGACTTCTACCTTCCTTATCTGCGACCTTGCTCATAGTCAGGTCTCCCTATTCCAAACCCGGCCGTAATTCGGTACCAACAGGAGGGATGATCTCTAAATTCAGACGTCCCGTCGAACGGTCGCGCGTATATTGGGGCGCGCCCACGGCCAATTTTTGCTCCTGTCGCGAATTTGAGTGGGCGGCGAATGAAGGGGGGGGGGCTCAAAGCTTGGCGTGCTCAAATTCTCGGAGAGTCTGGACGAGTAGACTGACTGGTAGATTTAAGTGGAGACTTGGAGCAAATAGCCTATTGTGGATAGACTTACATCGCAGGGCATCTGACACTTCTCCATCTACAGCCTCAAAATTGAGGAAACCAACGCTCTCAATTGACAGACTGAATCACATGTCCTGTTGGGATTTGCTTCATCAATTCTGATGCTATGGGTGTTTTAGGGGGGAAGTCCACATCTTCTAGCTAAGCAGGATCGACAATCCTGTTGTTTCGCTTTGCGTGCTACTGCAAGTACAGGGGAAACTCGTGGAATTTGATTTCCAGGGGTAGCCTGGTTGCCTTTGGATCTCGGTCATTTTATTCCTTTGGTGTCAACGGAGCAAGATCGCTGGTAAGGTTGTTTCAGATAAACTATACAGTCGAGTCAGATTGTGCATATGAATTGCTTTTCCGTAAAAGCAGGGTAGTTTAATTTAACTAGTGATCGCCAACCAAACCAAAGAGACCAGGGCAATTTAGGATCGGAAGCATCATCAGAGCCGTATAAGTTCATATACTACCAAAGCCTCTAGCTGCAAATGCAAAGGCTTAGTTTAAGGCTTACGCTTTCTTTCTCAAAGCGGCAAGATTATTATCATGGAAATGTGCATCTGATTGCATAAGAGACAATCATATATAGAGACATGCCGTTGTAGCCTACATCCTACACTCAATGTGGAGTCCAAATCCAATAGGCTTGGTGCGTATTTTCTTTCAATCTAATGAGATAAACCAATTTTCTATTCCTCAAGGGTAATCTCTTTGAAGTCTATCCATCCATCCATAAGTTATAGTAGGTAAGCATAGGTATCAATGACGGCGATACAGAGCCCTGCCAATAAGGGACTAGAGTATCTGTGCTTTGTATATATCTTCTAGGAAACGAACGATTAAGAAGGCTAGACAGAATAGCGAGAAGAAAGTACCACGTCGTAATATCGCAGCATACACCTATTGACCTACTTCTCGGGGGAAGCGTGGTCTCGTCTTGGATGTATACGGCACTATATACAGCAAAGCATGTATATTGCGTAACTTTTGAGGTTTGAATAAACATTGACCGAAATAAAGGAAGGAACTTCCCTTGGGCAAGGGTCCTGGTGTCTTGGGGTAACAGACACGCTCAGCGGCCTCATCATCGACGAACCGGTAAAGAATACCGAGTGAACGTGGATTGACAAGGTCACACGGCAATCCCGCGTTCGTGTTGTCTAATACAGTTTGTAAAACTGCTGAGTTGCGCCGGCCACTGGCAATAATAACCACATTGGCGGCGTTGTTGAGGATTGGGAGGGCATTCCAACCAGTTCTTTGTACATGTACATAAAAGCATTATATACAACAATGGCCGCGAACAAAGGATCAACACAGTCCATAATAGGCATTCTGTAAAGTAACACAACCCCATGAAGCTATAAGATTGAACATGTTCTCAACATCTTGCAGTAAATAGTCCTCCCTCCACCCTCACTATCTGTTTTCATATCAAACTGCACATTCTCATCAAGATACACAGAGCACCAGCCACGTCATGTCCGAGATTTCGGATCCAGAATCCTCCATGCACGATCGACAGCTCTTTCGTGAAGAACTACTGACATGGGCTAACACGCTCAACGAAGGATCTGTTCTCGACAGCTCTCGTATGAAAATTGCAGCAGAACTGGACGAGATGGTCAAAGACATAGAGGTACTTGGAGCCCCTCCTCCACTTGGATCTCTGCTAGCCGAAGATTTTGATCTGATTGATCGGAGCTCTGAAGACGAAGATCTCGATTGTCATGAAGGCTTTGAGCTGATTGATCCCCTTGCCGAAGCAGACTTTGGCCGTCTGTGTTCCAAAGATGGCACCGTCAGGGACACCCTCTCCTGGGCTGGGGACCTGCTCAGAAGAGGACAAGCACCGGCTTCTGATATTGCTATCATTCTGGAGATGCTCGCTCTCCATGTTGGGAGGCTTCGGTTCGCTCGAGTATCTGATGGTGTTGTTGTAGATCCATATGCGGATAAGATGGATGATTTGGCAGGAGCACAGCACAAGTCGAACCACAGCTACGGAAACGGATATCTTCAGGCGATATGGAATCGCCTCTACAATTGCATGGACTGTAATTGCGACAAGTGTAGCCTGATGTCGCGTTGAAATGGGCTAGTTTTATCTTCCCCAACACTCTTTTATTCGTCCAAATATGCCGCATAAATGACAATTTCTCATGATTTTTGTCCCGTCCTCGTATACCATTCTTATAACGTCTTGTAGTCATGTCATACCATGGTATCTATGAACCCACCATGCATCGTGAGTACACCAGCCTGCGTAGCTTTGCCACTTTATGCTCAATTGTTGTCTGATACGGATAACCAAGAGATAGGCGATTCAGGATCTGCCCAAAATATGATTTTGTACTTTTGTCTTGGGATCTGTACAAATGATAGACATTCGATTGGCACTACTGTCAAATTTCACCAAGAGAAGGCCCAAAGCATAGAGTTTTATAAAAAGATTCTGCTAAATTGGTAATGGCCGAGTCTGGGTAGTGGGCACCTTTTCCCTACACATGCAGAATTTATCATTACAGTACGATCAAACAACGAATAATGCTATTTCATCAAGCATTATATGAGTCATTTATCTCTCTCGGATCAATTACGTAGAAATGCTAGAGGTAAATGTCGAGGGCAGGGTGTGACTTGGCTGCAGAAATGCCGCTATACAGATCAATCAGCAACTAATCCTCTTCCGGCCACTCCCCTTCTTTTTTCCCATTACACCTAACAAGCTTCACAAGCCACAACGCACCTCATGTCTCTATCAATTGCCCGCCATTTCTCGTCTGGAGTCTTCTCCAAGCCAGCCTTCACTCCTACCCACCTCGTCCGATCCTCAATTCCCCAGCGCCTCTCCTCCAGCAACGCGCCCAAGTCCACGCCGCCTCCGCGCCCGTCCTCCGCTCCCCAGAACGACCGCTCACAATTCAAGATCCTGCCCATCCTCGCCATCATCGGTATCGGATCCGGCTCCTACGTGTTCCTTGTCAAGTCTCGCACTGGACAATCACCACAGCGCCCATCGAATTAGGGGAGGGGTAAGGGAGACCCCCGGATTTATTCTACAAGCGCAATGCCAGCTTGACTAGTCCACTAAAACCTGCCCAGCTCTCCCGTGTCCAGAGTCCCGCAGCTACCGCCTCTGCCCCTCCACCTCTTTCCTCCCCCCAAACTCTCCCAATCAACAACACCTTCACCGCCGCCAAAACACACAACCCTCACTTCCCTCTTTCCTTCCTCCCTCGCCAATTCCTTGACACCACCTCCTCATTCACCCCTCGTCTGCCAATCTCACAATGGCCCCTACAAGCCCCCGCTTCTCCCCTGAGGAGGTCACAGTCCTCTTCTTCCTCGGCGGCCCTGGCAGCGGCAAGGGCACCCAATCCGCCAACCTAGTCAAGGACTACGGTTTCGTCCACCTCTCCGCCGGCGACCTCCTCCGCGCCGAACAACTCCGCGAGGGCAGCCAGTACGGCCAAATGATCAAAACCTACATCACCGAAGGCAAAATCGTCCCCATGGAAGTCACCGTCAACCTCCTTTCCAACGCAATGCGCGACTCCCTCGACGCCAACCCGCCCGCACCCGGTACCAAGGCGCGCTTCCTGATTGACGGGTTCCCGCGGAAGCTGGATCAGGCCGTTTTCTTCGAGGAGACCGTTTGCCCGTCCGAGTTGGTGCTGTTCTTGGATTGTCCGGAGGACGTGATGGAGGCTCGGTTGTTGAAGCGTGGGGAGACGAGTGGACGGGATGATGATAATGCGGAGTCTATTCGCAAGCGATTCAGGACCTTTGTGGAGACATCTATGCCCGTTGTTGATGACTTCGAGGCCAAGGGGAAGGTCGTTAAGGTCCAGGCGACTGGGTCCGTGGAGGAGGTTTATGCTCAGGTGAAGAAGGGGATTGAGGAGCGTGGTGTGCATGCCCGTTAAGTGGGTTTGGGATCGGACTGGAATGGATCGTTGTAGATATTACGTGCTTGTTACTGGTCGGGACATACAGAGACCGCTGTTTTGTTTTTTTTTGAGCTTGGGAGTATAGATGAATAGAGTGTCGGTAATAATTAGGATGGCCCGTTGACACGGTTGATCGAGAGCGTGTATACATAGACCGTGTTGCTTTAATTGGATGTTAGACATAGCCTTCTTCGTCAACACAGCGTAGTCTGCTAATACAATAGGGGTTCTACTGGGTATAGCCTGCTCAACCAGTATAGACATGCCCCTGACCTTATACTATGTGGATTTCGACCGAGGGGCCAATGACAGTCAGACGATGACCGTTCCCCCTAACCCTCCATTCCCGTACAATTGGACACGACTGTTCTACTTTGATGCCTTTATGTCCATGCCTGCTTCTACAATAATCTTCTTTACCACAATCCCCTTCAGGGCAAAGGCAGAAAGACACCCAATGTCGACTACACACCCAAGAAAGAAATCATCTAAAGTATTGTAATTCTGATCAAAGACCAGGCAATCAAGACAAGAGTAATCCCGCCGGGATAACATAACAAGAGCAAAACACAGACATGACATGACTCGTGGGGATCCCAATATCAACGGGGGAGAGGGAAGAGAGGGTGGGCCAGTATATCCATCCTAACTGGACCAAGACAAAAAAAAAGAGAAAAAAGAGGAATAAAAGAAATGCATGAGGGATAAAGATAAAAGGGTGGGGAGAGAGATGGTGAGAGAAAAAAAAGACACAGGGAAGAGAGAGAAAGGAATCAATCTCCTCCCTCTATTAGCGCAAAGAAGTCGAAAATAAACAATGATTTTTTGTGTTCAGTGAGCTTCGTTTTTGTTTTTTGCTTTTCCACTCCACCGCAGAAAACACCTACTCCAATGCAGTAGTTCCACAAATCATCCCAACTTCGTCGTCAAGAATAAAGCAAGGCAAGCAGAGCGAGAGTGCTTACTCGGCAACGGGCTCCACCTCGCGGGGCTGCGATGCCTGCTGGTTGCGCCTCCGGTCACCGGAGCGGCCCTTGTCGCCGTTCTTGCCCTGAGTAGCAGCGACCTCCTGGTCGGCAGTCTGAACGCCCTCACGGAGGAAGCGCTCACGCTCGGAACGGATGACGGTCAAAACGCCCTCGAGGGAGCGGCGCCAAACCATCAGACGACCCTGGACCTCAGCCCACTGCTTCTCGCCGAAAACGCGGTAAGTAGCGCGGTGGACGAGGAACTCCTGCTTCAGCTGGGAGAGCTTACCCTCGACAAGACCAGCGCGGATGGTGTCAATCACCCACATCTCGATATCAGAGGCGGGCACACGCAGGGCAGAGGCGATGGTGGTGTAGGGGAGCGAGCGCGAGGGAGCGGAGGAGGCCAATGAGGTGAGAGTCAGGAGACGCATCTTGGTCTGGAGAGCATCGCCAGCCTCAGCGAGGACACCACCGGAGATGGAGGCGAGAGGGTTGGCGGCAATGAATTCCTCATAGGCATCGAGGGTGTCCGAAGTGAAGATCTCGAGCAGCTCGAAGAGAATGCTGTCGCTGGAGCGGAGCGACTGCACGGCATCGGAGGCAGTCAGAGGGGTGAAATCGAAGACGGTGGGGCGGCGCAGGGCAGAAGCGAGAGCGCGAACGGCCAGCTCGCGAGCAGCGGGCTTGCTAGCATCAGCAGCGGGGATGGTCTGCAAAGCCTGCACAACGTGGGTCTGGGCAAGGTCGTCGTCGCCAGCAGCGGTAGCGGCATCGGCAATAGCCAGGTGCACCTTCTGGGTCTCCTCCTCATCCAGCTCCCAGGCGGACAACCACGTAGGCAGCTGTGTGGCGAGCTGGGGCTTCAGGGCCTCAAAGGCATATCCGGAGCCAGACTGGCGGATGACGGCCACAACAGCCAGAAGGACGTGGTACCGGCTGGGGTCATTGGTGGACAGGGTGTTGAAGATGGTGGTGAGGATGGAGATGGCCAGAGTCGGGCCGAATTGAGGAGAGGTGGTGATGGGCTTAGCGAGATAGGTGCAGATGCGAGGGAGGAACACGTCGGCGTCGGACGACTGGTGAATGAGGTGAACGAGGAGGTTGTAGGAAGGGATGATCTCTGTCGAATTTTTTCACTCCAAGTCAGTATTCCTGTATATCCATCATGAAAGATTGCCTTTGCGGTGTGTCGATATTCGAACGCCATCATTTTTTTCCCATTCGTTTGGTCCGCCGCAACAATCTTCCACTGTCATTCAATCCACGCCAATATCCCAACTCACCCTTCTCGGGAGCACCGTTCAGGACGGCGGCAGCCCCCACAAGCTTCTTCAAGACCTCATCGCGCTGCTTAAGGTCGGCCTCTTCCTCGGATTGTTCCTGCTGGCGGATCGGCTCGAGGAGCGGGGCGATCTCGGACTGGAGGCTGCCCTCTTTGCGGAGGGTGTCGATGTACTGGGCGAACTCGTCGGCGAGCTCGGAGAAAGAACCCTCAATGAGGAGGGTGTTGGTCGGAGCGGGCATGATTGGGAGGGGGTATGTGGTGAGAGGAGAAGGGGGGGGAGGAGGAGGAAAGACAGGTTCTTTGATGGTGGAGTCGTATCGATAAGTTGAGAAATTTCAGTGTGTGCCAAAAAGTCTTGGCGAAAGAGGAACGCCAACTGGCCCGCGCCGCAGCAACCAATTTGACCATCCCCATCTTTTCTCCGCCATCAGCCAACTTTTCCATCCACTGATGTTGTGATCCGATCTACAGCGAGGCTCTACATGATCGAGGGCAAAGTCACCAAAAATGGGATTATTAAGACCTAATTTGCTATGCGACCGCCAATGCAGGCGGACAACTGCAAACTCCGCTAATACACAGGGAAGGACAGGCGCTCGTTTTCTTCATAGATAAGGTGATAACATCAACGCGGGAGAGCATTCAGAAACGGGGAATAAGTCATTCAGAAAAGGAAACGAGCTCTTCAGCAGGTCGTCATCGCGCTGAAAAAAAAAAAAGGGGGATACGATATCTGCACGCGGCATGACATTGCAAAAGAAACCGCCAAGCTAACTCCAAAGGCGATATGAAAATCCGTCGTGAGGGGGTTCCTCTACAGGAACAGACGCGCAGCCAGGAACATGGCACCAGCCATAAGACCAGTCGAGTAGCCCTCCAAGCCAGAGAGAGCGGCGGCAGCGTTGGTAGTAGTGCTTGCAGCTGCGACCGACGAGGTAGTCTCGCTGGAGCCGGTGGAAGTGGCCATGGCCAGAGTAGTGGAGGCCGCGGTCGTGGTCGAGCTCATGGTGGTATCCTCGGCGCTGGCATTCTTGGTACCGCAAGTGGCAGCATCCTTACAGGCGCGCTGGCCCTCGGCGTCGTTGGGATGGGCGTTGATGCACTGGCCATAGGTCTCCTCGCAGACGTAGAAGGGGACAGTCTGAATGTATGGGGAGACATCGGGGACACTGCCGTCGGCGCAAATGCAGCTGAACTTCAAGGTGGACTGCAAGTAACCTGGTGTCAGTGTGATCTTGGACCTTTGCGACGAGGTCACGGATGTAGCGGAAGTGCAGCACATACGGGTTCGCAGGTGTTTTGCTTGGTTGAGCCCTTGCAAATCGAGGGACACTCATTGCGCTGTCCCTGGCACCAGGAGCCTGTGATTGTTGATCTCGAGTCAGCATTGTTTCTCGGACGGAGGATTTGGTGTCAACGAACTCAGCTCATCCGACTTGACTAGGCCAATGTTGAACCCTGCGGGGAAGGTGTAGGTGTAGGTAGTGTTGGCACCCAAAGCACCGACTGCCAGGGCAGACATCAGGACCATGGAGGGAAGCATGATGAGTATGAATTGATGTGATTGGAGTAGAAGAGGTACGGCAAGAGAGATTGAACGTGGGAAGGGAGAAGAAGAGAGGAAATCGCAAGGTAGGCGAAGGAAGCCAAGAAGCTAACAAGAGGTAGCGCAGGACAACAAAGCCGGGAATGGCAGGCACCGTGCAGGACACTAAAATAATGGATGCCCACTGGATGGGAAATCAATGATGGAAGCTACTGCAGGGAGAAAAGGAAACACTCAGGGAGTCAGGGTAACCGGGGGAAAAGCACATACCAGGAAAGCTTCCCAGTCCCCGCCTTTCCGGTTTTTTCGTCCAGAAATGATTCTGTTTCTCCCAGGGACTAAGGGAACCATCGCGGGCGCCACAGGACCCTGTCAAGCTCGGTCCACGGTCCAACCGCCGGACTTCTTTCTGTGATGGTTTGACGAGATTGACATTTATTCGCTCAAGCGTGTTGAATCTATTGTACCTGAGACACTCGGTACGGTAGGTCCTAATTGAATATACATTATCTATCGGTGGATCTGCCAAAGTCAGACGACCAATCGCCTCGAGTGGTACGAGCTATCTTCTCCTCTCGTAGACTACTCGCCTAGATTACAATGATTCATGTCTCTTATCACCCCAATGCCGGCTCTCCAGCTCTCTCCACAGTGCCGTAGTATCAGTAAACCTTCCCACTGGGTCAAATTGGCTTCACTCATGCGTGCGCCTCCTACACCTCCTACATTCCAACCCAAAATTCTTCATCCTCAGGAGGGCGCCTCCTTGCAGCTGTCATCTCAATTCCAAACTCCAGGATGACCGTGTCTGTCAAGCTAAATCAGGGCCATTGTCGTGGGAAATCCAGGGCACACGGACACACTCTTGCGCATCCATGGTAATGCCCTAGTCTTTGTGTTCACCGATTGATCAACCATGGATGTCTTCTCCCAGTGAGTACCAACTGCGAGATGTTCCCGACGGGTCGGGTCTAAGTATTCACGTGATAAGGGTCTTCTCTCTCTCTCTCTCTCTCTCTCGCTTACCTAATGAGGGTCCAGGTTAGTTGCCCGATTAGGAACCAACCGAGGTCCCCGAGATATTGCCGGCGCAAAGGATCGACAGGTAACAATGATGCAGTAGCTCGATTACTCTTTCCTTTCCCATCCGGTGGTTGCAGTCACTCTCTTCAAATCACGATTCCTCAACATGGCCGACGCCGCATCTCTGCCATCGGCAATTGCCCACTTCCGCAACCACCAATGGGCCAATTCCCTCCTCTCCTCCGAGGACTACACCCCAATCCCCACGGACTCCCGCCGAGTTAAACCCAGCGGGGAAGACGGATTCTTCGCCGCAACGATAAAGACCCCGTCTACCATCCCACACGTCCTCACCCTCCAACGCCGCACTCTCAGTACCCCGTCATCAACACCACCCACCTGGCTCCCCGCAACGAAGAACGATGCCGCCGGCGCATCGGGTACCCCGACACCGGGCGCCAACCCGGCGGATATCATCATGATCTATGACCTCGGCGGATCGGGGATCGCGGGACACCCGTCCACCGTGCACGGGGGCGTTGTCGCGGCCTTGATCGACGAGGCGATGTCGCTGGCTGTGGCGGCGCATGCTTCGGTGCCGGTGCAGATGTCTTCGGGCCTGGTCAATGAGAATCCTCGGGGGAAGACGTTCACAGTGCAGTTGGATGTGCGGTATAAGAAGCCGGTGACAACGCCGCAGGTGTTGGTTGTGAGAGCGAGGGTTGTAGCGCGCATTGGGAGGAAGTATTGGGTGAGGGCGCAGGCTGTGCAGGAGGATGAGGCGGGTGCCGGGGGTCATCTGGAGTGGGCGAAGAGGAAGGTTGTGAAGATTGATGCAATGGCTTTTTGGATTGTTACATCTGAGCAGAGGCTGTAGGTTTGTGAGGAACGAAATGTACATATCTGATCATATAGAATGGGGATGCTTCCTGGTGCGTGTGTGTATATATTCAAGCCGACCCGATAATTTGGGGCAGTACAAATCAAGAGAATCGTGGATACAATCTACCTGAGCATTTTCATCGGTTTGAAACCTTCCGCACGTCGATTCGAGTAGTGTGTAATCGATTTAGCTAAATATACCTAGTCTAATCACAAATATATATTTCCAACGCTATCTACAGAGCCAACACTCTAACCCTGATCCCCAGGCGAAAAGCCATCTACAACTTCTCCAACTTTCTCGACCCAACATTACGACTCGCACTCACAACGAGTCCAACCTGAGTACTCAACGCAATAACCTCCCCATTCTCATCCAAAACACTAACATCCAAATCCGTCCTCCCACCCCGCACAACCTTAGTCACAATACGACTATACAACCACTCCACCCCCTCCTTAGGCAAATGCTTCTTCATATCAATATTCAACGTCACGGTCGGATACCAAAACTTAGCCTTCGTCTCCGGCACCTCCTCCCCCTTAGCCTTAGCCACCGCCGTCGCGGACAGGGTATCGAACCCCTCCAACGCCATGGGGAACATATCCAACAGATAGACAACGGCAGCGTCCGTCCAACGACCATTCTTGTCCCCGCCAGGCTGGAACCGAGCCCACTGGTCGATAGTGGTGGCCCCTGTGGGCTGCTGCCGAGTCTCGTCCTTCCGGGGCCCGTATAGCTCGATCTGTGCGCCTGCGCGGCGGAAATCAAGGAAGGGAGGATTCTGCTTTATCCACGCGCCGTCCTTCCCAGTGCGCGCGAGAGTGGGCAGGTCGATTTTCCCATCGGGAAGAGAACCCGGGGGCGGGGCGGGATACGGCTTCCACCCCGTTGGCGCGCTGATACCGACCTCCGCGCTGGGCGGGCTGACGGTGATGTAGCCAACGACATTGACGCTGAGTTGAGCAGGGTTCTTCTCGGATGGTTGCAGGAGTTTGATATGGATTGTGCTCGTTCGCGCGCCGATCTTTACGTCTTCGACTTCAAGGGTTGCGGGGCCGGCGGCCGTGCGACGGAGGAAAGAGAGTTGGAGGGAGATCGGGGAGGCGGGGGTATCATATTGTGTTGGGTGGGCGTAGGCGAAGTGTGTTAGGGCAAGATTGTAGATGACTGCCGTTGTATAGCCACCGTGGGGGACTGGGACAAGGATTTCAGGTTAGCAGTGCTAGTGGGTGTTTATTCATCAAGCGGAGACAAAAGTCCACGTGCGGGCGTGGTTTGCACGTACCGGTTCCGATGCACCATTCTGGGTGAAGATGGGCGCTGTACTTGTTATTGCCTTGGGGAGTAATCCGAATGGCGTCCTCGAAGGACGCATTGAGGGTTGACATTTTGAACAGAGCTGCTATGGAGGAAGGGTGAGGGGGGGTGGAAGGTTGAGTATGGGGAAACTGTATATATGTGTTTTGGTCTCTCCGCATCGCCTCAGCCAGCCTCGGTTCCCGGTGATTAGTCTGGGGACCGAGTTTAAGGAAACTACCGAGTCAAACCGTTATCGGGCTTATCGCACATTATCACGTTATCAGGATTATTGAGCATGCGAGTGGACAAGAAAGGATATCCACGAATACAATGAACTTTCGTTTTACAAATGCCCTTGTAGTTGTTTCAAACTAGCTGTGTTGACATATGAAAAAGAAAAATAAATACATAAAGAGAAATAATTGACTGAACAATGAAGAGTGGTGATCCGGAGCGGAAAGTAATTGGTTTATCCACAGGATAGCCTTTCACTCTCTATTCTCAAGTAAACGAAGACAATGGGACCATAAAGACGAAACATACAAAGACTGAAATTGAATAAAAACAATGCAGACGTCTTTTGTCTCCCATAAAAGATCTGCAAAAACACAACCACCAGTAACGACACTAAGATACAAATCTATCGTCTTCACTGAATAAAACTGCATCGCCATCTCGACAATTCTCTACCCTGATTTCCCCATATCTCTTCAATAATGTCTTTTTTGAGGGGCCATCAACACTGGGCCATCCTCGGCCTAGTAGATGATGTCCATGGCCAAGAAGATGTTCTCAACATACTACGTGACATTCGCACAGACTTTCCATATCACCTCAATCTAGAATCAGCGCCTAGCCGTGATCGTCTCAAGAGAGCTATCTCAAGGCGAATGCGACATATGCCCAACAATATTCCTGGTTTATATCGAGACGATGCCGTTGGGGCACTATTTGAGCTGTTCGCCCTTTGCAGCTCCGACTGGTCAGCTACTGGGTCTGCAAAACCAGAAGAAGTGAGTGGCGGCAGCTGTGAGGAGGGTAGTGATAGCAAAAGTGACAATCTCTTTATAGGAGGTGGTCCTGGGGACTACCGTGGCCCCTTTGAAGAAATCATCCCTGAAACTGGCTATGCCTTTACTCCTACTACAGTCAATCTTGATGCTCACGCTACAGATTCGGTGGAAGAGTATGCAATACAAGGAGATCAACCGGGCTTGGTGCATACTAACAGTGGCAAATACACCCCCATGGACGTCGGCATTCATAGACAGACTTCCAGAATAGCCGAAAATAACGTCCAACCTTGTCAACAGAGAAAAGACAAGTACGACTGGGACTGGTTCAAATACCAACATGCAAACTTGATATTCAACGCCTTCGTGGACATCACCTGGGCTCGGTACCCTCGCTGTCGAGAAACTATCAGACTGTCAGACATGATAGGGACAATTACAAAACCCTCGCGCACGAGCCTATTTTCTCGAGCTAGACTTCAAGACAGAAGTCCAGACGGTGACTGGATTCGTCTTGATTCTCTCTCTCTCCCTAAGCTCCGTAACCAACTACAAGTGATTCAATCATTCGATCAAGACACAGATGCTATCTGGTGGAGCCCAAACCCCTTGGACACAACGAGGCTTGACTCGACGGAGGGTCAGTCCCGAATAGATAATCAGCGTGACCTGAGATGGGCGGTATACCGGAGCTTCGATGCCCCTTGGCAGGATTGGCGAGGGCGGAGGCTTGCTGCCATGTCCGCCTCGCAAGGGAAGCATCCTCGCTTCTCTATCATTATCCGAGAGGTTGAAGATCTCGTCAATATAGCCGATTGTATGGATTTCGAGTTTGATACTAGTTCTACTACGTCCAGCGTTTGTGAGATGTTCGGAAGACTTGGTGCATCTGGGGAGAGTGTTTGTGGTGGTGATCTTGCGGACATTCTTTCTGCGATCATCAATGAACCGCTACAACCTAATAATTGGGCTTCGGGGACATTCTAATTATCAATGAAACATCGGTCAGTCATTAGAGGCTTGCTCGCACAGTTAACGTTAGATCATCGACCAAGTATGATACCTTGTTTTATAGATTCACAGTACCCTTGGTTCTGGGCAACTGTAGTTTGTCATGCCCTGATATCAATATAGAATGTGTCTTATCTCACAATGCCTAAGAGTCAGAAAAGCGATTGCGAATGAACAATTACAATGGTATTGCTCCCAGTGTATGTATCCATTACTAATCCATCTACAGACCCCGAAATGGAGACTCCAATGACAAAAAATTAGATCAATCAATGTACCCGAAAACGCCCGTTAGTCTCTTAGTCTTCATAGAATCGTCTTGGTATTTTCTCGTCCTCAGCATATGCATCGCCAATTTCGTACGGGTACCGGGCCGACGTTTGCCCTCAGTACCACTCTATCGGTGCAGTAGATTAATGCGCAGGTGCAGATGTTTTATTTGATGACGCTGCTAGTTGTTGCAGGCAGGATAGAACGCCTGAGAAATGTCAGTCGCTTTGTACAAAACCAATTCAATTTCTTGGGGACGACTTACCAGTTACTCCCTGAGTCAAGGTTGCCTTAGCCTCAGTACTACGCGATCCCAGAGTGACGGTCATTGCATATTCGACAGCCTTGGCTTTCTGCAATTTATTTGCCCAGCGGAATACGGGCTCATCTTCGCGGTTATCGCCGATGATCAACAAAAAGTCCGGTTTGCCAGCGTTGTCCTCCAGGCACAAGCGCCAGGTAAGCTCCGCGGCCGAAGACTTGTCCGTACTATCCGTCTCGACAATCAGAGCTCCCTCAACAGGGATAGCGTGCACACCCTGGTTCTTGCAGGCATCATTGATGTGATCCGCACACTCGGCCGCAAGGCGTGCTGCGACGCTGCGGTCTTCAGCTGAGCCGTAGTGGAAGACGAGTGAGCAGTGGCGCTCCTCAATCCAACTACCCTCTGTGCGATCTTTGAAGTATGACAGGATGTGAGCAACCGATGTCTTCCAGTTTTGGATGTGGTTTTTGTCGGCGAGATGTGTCCATTCGTCTGCGTTGGGCGCCCGCACGAAACAGCCGTTCTCGGCGATTAGGCCGAGATTGTTAACCTGGCGGAAGAGCCGTTCCATCTCCTCGGGCATGCGCGAACTCATCACATAGACGACGTTGTTGGGGTCGTCGGTCAATTCTGTGAGAGTAGTGATGGCGCGCTGGGGGGTAGTTAAAATGATGCTGCGTGGGGATCCCCACGAGGCTAGGGTGCCTTCGTAGTCAACAATCATAAGTCGGCGCTTAGTCTGCGAGTACTGCTCGATGAGTCGAGGTACTGAGAGTCGTGGCACGGCCATAATTTCCCGGGAAGATTGCTCATTCCATACTTTCGTGAGTGTCTCGTTGAATGACTTCACCCAGTTGGCAGTCGAGTTTGCCAGCACAGCGCGGTGCAGCTCCTCCCAAACCTCCTTGCGCTTCTTCTCGTCTCGTGTCAGGGCTGTGTGAATTGCCTCTGAGCATTGCCTGTAGTCCCAGGGATTCACCAAAAGTGCATGATTTCCAAAGACGGATGCACTACCGGTGAACTCGCTAAGAATGAGCGATCCATATTTCTTGTCACCATAGCTGCCATCCTGACAGTAGACAAACTCGTGGCTAGTGAGGTTCATACCCTCACGCAGACTGGTAATCATCAGAGCATCGGCAACCGTGATGAGAGCCAAATACTGGGGGAAAGCCAAGTCTTGCTTGAGGAAGACCAGAGGCTGGTGAGCCAATGTTGAGTGGGTAGAGTTGATGCGCATGGCAATATCAGAAATTGTTGCCTCTAGCTCGGGCTGTTCGGTGGTGCTGGTCGCAACCTGGATGAGAACCACTTTGTCTGCCCATTTGGGATAGGTGTTGAGAAACAGCTCATAGCTCAGGAGTTTTTGGCGAATACCCCGAACCGAGTCAATCTTATCTCGCGCGACGATCAATCGCTTACCATGGTACCGCTCGGAAATTGTATCTACCCATCGCTCGACATCCGCCGCTTTACGGCGCTTGTCCCAAGACGTCGGATCGATACCAATTGGGAAGGTTCCCACATTGATAAAGCGATCCTCCATCTGGATGCCCTCATTAGTAGCCTCGACGCACAAGATGCGACTGCAGGTTTGCAAGAAATGACGGCAATATTCATCAGTCTGGAAACCGATCAGATTGGCACCCAACATGCCCTCCAAAAGTTCTTTGCGAGGCGCCAAGCACTTGAAAACCTCAGAAGAAGGGAAGGCAATGTGTAGGAAGAAGCCGATCTGTGCATCCGGCAGCATCTTGCGAAGCATGGCTGGGACGAGCAGCAGGTGGTAATCCTGAACCCAGATCGCATCGCCGCGCTTCCAGTTCTTAGCAATGCGCTCTGCAAATGCTTGATTGAGCTTCACATAGTAGATCCATGAGTGGTCCTCATAAGCCTTGCTCTTTGGGTTATCCGGGATCTGGTAGTGGAAGACGGGCCAGAGGATAGTCTTGCAGAAATGGGTATAGTGACCATCGAAATCGCCATCATTGACAAATACCGTCAAGGAATTGTATTCATCCTCCATTCTCTCGGCAATGTCATTGCGCGTCCACTTCACTAACGCATCCGTCGGCATCCCTAGGGTGCCCACCCACATCATATCTCCCAAGTATCCCGACTCCTTGGCGGATCGAACTGCATTGCGCAAACCACCGTTTCCTTGCTCGGCAGTCTCGATTGTCCATTCCGCCCGGGAGAAGGATACTTTGCGATCCCCATTCTGAGGTTTCTTGGCACCCAGTGGAGGCACGGGCGCAAAGTGGGGAGTCTTCGGTGGCACTGACTTCTCGCTCGGTGCGATAATGGGATCCTGGTGTTTTAGAATGGACGGAGATGGAGAGATGAGGGTCGGTGCCTTGAGTGGCTGGTTGAGGGACGTCGTTGCACCCCACGCCGGGGAATGGGCTTCGCTTTCGGTGAGAAGCTGGTTCTCTAGGGTGGACGATGGGAACGGATATCCAGATTTTTCCTCCTCGGCCTTTGCAAGCTTGCTGGCAAAGATGCGCTCGTGGTCAGTGGTCGCACCGGGTGTGAGGCCTGGTTGAGTTTTGAGATTGTTCTTTTCAAACAGACTGGCCGTAGCGGTGGGAAGAGGAGGTACAGTGTCGGCCGCTGAATTGGGCAGAGGAGGAGTGGCCTCTGCAGGACGATTGCGGGTATTGTCGACTCGGAAATTGACCGTGTAAGGGAGGAAGCTATGGGGATTCGGCAATTAGCATTCGGTGTCTAACCTGGGGTAGGGGCTTGTTGTATTTACTCACAGAGACGCGATGAAGACCGTCATCGTGAAAGATCGGCCTTGACGGCGGGGCAGGAATGGAGGGGTGGGATGCGACAGCGACCTCCAAGGGAGGCAATGATATCGTGAGAAGGGCGGCTAAATACGAGAGAGCGAAGGATGAGGCCGTCAGGATGCGGGCATCGATTTTGGGGAGCTTTTTTAGCATTCAACGCTGGGCTAAAAGAGAATCAAATGAAGCGCCAATTTCTCATGGCTACGTCATGTGCAATCAAATCAGGTGCCGTGGGGCTGCAACAAGTTTGCTGGTAGCAAATGCCCTGCACCAGAACCGTCTAGGTGACTGTTTTTCTTGGTCGAAACAGAACAGCCTGCTTTTTCTCCTCTTTATCAAACACAAAAGTAAAAAGGACTCAGGGCCAGACCCAGAGCTGGCAGGTTCTGGAGCCATCTATGACGGGGCGTATTGACTCTGACCGGGTCGTACCAGCAAACGGCAACTCCCGCGTCGACGGAGATGTTTCAATACGGTAATACAGATACCAAAATTATCCGGGCCCGGCTGTGATTGGCGGAACCTTGGATTCTGCCGGGATGGATCACCTGACCAATGAGATGATCGTCCATGTTGCGATGGATCGTTCTCTCGAGCGAGCAGTCGGTTCCTTGTCCCTTCGTTTGGAGCCTTTTACTAGTGACTGTCCCGGCATGACCCTGCGTCTCACCTCAGCTCCAGTCTCCGGTGTCAAGAAGCACAAGTCCACTCCCAAGCCTCGCAGTTCACCCTTTGCTGCTCATGCGCGCCGCAAGCCGAGTTCGGCTGCGTCTAGCGCCGTGAAAGCGGCGGCCGACGATCTTATCGACGATGACCTTCTCCCCGATATAGGTGGATCTCGATTTATATCTCAGACTGCAGAAGTCCAGAATGTGGTACAAGCGATCCAGTCCATTCGGACGAAAATGTTCGATGAACTCCCACAGCGCGCAGGCATGAATAGTACTCGCATCGCGGAGGTCCTGAATTTGCGCCGGTCGCTGCCTCCCCTTGCCTCTGTCGCACACGTACACACTCTACTTAATGCGCCAACACAGGTGGAACGAGAGATCGTTGAGCTCTTGCAGACTGGTCGTGTCCGACGACTGATCGTCCCTGGTCGTGGCAGCGATGCAGCCGGATTGGGGGACTGTTTGGTCTTGGCTGAGGACTGGGAGGACATGGTTCGTGGAAGCGCTGTCTTGGATGACGAACTCAAGGGTGAGCACTCAGCCTCGGGGCTTTTTGTGGGAGGTACAGGCGCTTACATTCTGTAGAGAAATTCCTCGATATCCTTACGCGCATCGGATCCTCCTCTGCCCTATCGCAAAGCGTCTTCACCCCTGACGAATACCGATCTTTAGTCCGTGCTGGATTCCTCGTCTCGTCGTCATCTTATACACAAGCATCTTTGAATGTTGCATCGCTCCCAAATCTACCTCAGGCGGTAGTATCCTCAGCCAGTCGGAGGGGCCCGGCCTATCCTTCTGATTCTGACCGAACCGTGCAGACAGATGCACAGGCTCGTGCAGCGACTCTATTTTTGTCGTTGCCAAACACTGGGACCTATTTGCGGCTGCTCGGTGCTGGCCGTTCTCATCTGCTCGCTCTGCTTCGGCGGTCCACTTGCAATGAAGCCCCTTTGCAATTGCTGAAGGATCGCTGGGACGGCGCCGTGGAAACAGATAAGAGTTTCCACTTGGCGAAGCGAGCGCGGGGTGAGTTTGCGGGCATTCTACCGGGTCGAACGAAGAAATGGAAGGAGCTATATGGTATGCACTTTCGCTGGGTGCTGGAGGAAGCACTAGGCGCAGGCCTCGTAGAAATCTTTGAAACCGGCAGCGTGGGACCAGGCATCCGATGCCTGTAATGTGTATATATATAGATAGATAAATGAGTTGGCGTTCTGGCCAAAGACTCGAATCTATAACATAAACTGGCCGCCCTTTTGGATGAGAAAAGATAAGCCATGGCCCATTCGACATGCCCCGCTGATACCACCCATTCGCTCGATAAACAAGCTCTGCCGATCCCTCGGCCCAAAGGTCCCCCCCTACATCAGAAACAACATCAACATCGGTCATAACTAACGAACACCAATCGTTGCTCCCCCCATACTCGCGATGTCCCTTATCCAACTCCAACCCCATCCCTTCACCTCAATCCCTGCCCACCCTTCCTTCTCCACCGATCTATCCCGCCCCGAACTACACCAGTACATTAGCACCGCCCTCCACGAAGCTCTCCAGCTTCTCCATTCCATCCCGTCCACCTTCACGACAGACCCCAAACCGCGCCCATCCCCACCATCCCAAGCCAAGGTCAAGCTTCTACGCGGCTGGCGCAAACCCTCCCACCCACGTGCTAGCACTGGAGGGAAATCAAAGGTCAAGTCCGATTTTTGGGTCTGTCGCCAAAGCGAACATGTCGACGCAAGTTCTAAAGGGACCGCGTCGTGGCGCGAATTCGAGGCGGGACTAAGATCGCAACATGCGGAGCATGAAATGGAGTATACACCCAGCGTTTCTGCTGTGGAGAGGCTGGTGGAATGGGCGGCGGAGGATATTGGGGAAGTCGAGGTGGATGGGACTAGGTTTACAAGTGTGAGTATGGAGGGTAAGTCATGATTGTTACAAGAATATGTCTTATTGCCTATAGGATTGACGTGCTAATACTCGTCTCAGCTAATCTGATAACCCACACCTTTCATCCATCAGCCCTGATAGCTCCGCGCAGCTTTATATCCCTTACCATCTCCGCCGCACACGACAACCTCCCTTCTCGTTCCTCTCAGACTACAGCACAACCACAATCCCAAGAACAGAACGGCAAGGGCTTCTTCACCATCCAAATACCTCTCCACTCAGAAGCATCATCCACTCCGCAAGCCCTACACCAAAAGATTACCGCGTCCATACCGAAGCGTGCCATCTTCGCCAACTACGCTAGCGTAGAGCGCGTCGAGCTGATATCAGCGGCCCATTCCACGGATCAGCCCTCAGCCGAGCAGCAGTCCCAGCCTCAATCTCGTATTAAATGGACGATGGCGACTACTTCTGATGCTGGGGGCTCCATTCCGCAGTGGGTCCAGCGGAGTTGGGCGCTGGGCGGCGTTCCACGCGCGGTCGTCGCGGATGTGGGGTTATTCATTGGGTGGACGACGCGTCGGAGGCAGGCCGTTTGAATCTGTATCTTAGGGAGAGGCGGGTTCTGAGGGTAGACATTGATGGGTGCCTCATACTGAGCTGTCTCGCGACGAGCTTGATCTGCTCATACATCGAACGCATTGCCTATTAAATGAATTTGGCATTTATCGACTAGCCAATTCCTACAATGGAAACACCCGATCTCTCTTCTCTCCCTTCAACCACCCATACACCGATCAACCCCCCAGTTCAATTCTCCTCCATCCATCCTATCCACATGTCACTCCTCACTGCGAGAAAACAGCATAAGCCTGCAACGCAGCTGACAGTCCCACCGAGACCGCATTATCAGTCACACCCGTCTTAGCATACCACGCCGAACTAGCCCAGAGAATGGCATTGGCGATACTTGCCAGCGCCTTGTTCAGGGGATCTTGTAGGGCGGTCGGGTTATTAGACCACTGATAATGAAGGATAGCTGGACAGAAAAAAAAACTTGCGTCAGAGGGGACTATTAATGATTCAATTTGTTTTTCGGCAACCGTTTTTACGTACCAGTCATAAGCAGGAACGCGCTTCCCTAGAGTTATACGGGCACGCGTTAGTGATGTTTTCAATTGCCCAATTTCCATGGCGATATGAAGCTCAAGCTCAAGATCAGGCACAATGCTCGGAGTAGATTGTTTGTGCGTACCTGGAACCACCCCACAGTCCCGCAGGCCCAAGGCTTAGACCCCTTGATATTCTTGAACACCTTCTCGGCCGTCCACTGTCTACCCTGGACCTATAAGTGCAAGAGCGCATTAGCAAAACCAGACCTAGCAACGTCCACTGGCTCCAGCTATGAACCCAACTCCCGGATTTCCCCCATATCCCGGGTGTATTTTGTAGGTATAGGTAGATAGGTAGCTCCCCTGCCCCATGACCCTTCTTCATAGATCAAGGCGAGGCGTAAACGTACCGTATGTCCAATAGACAAAATAACAAAAGTCAAAGCCGAAGCTTGCAGCGATCTCGACGGTGCGACGGAGGACATGGTGGCGTGAAGAGGATGTATGACGAGGGTAGGTGCAATCCGGGGTAGAAAAAGGTTATACGGTTCTGCAGAAAAACGGCACGTTCTTAAGGGGGGGCGGGCTTGCGGCAGGTCCTTCCCATATATGTACTGGACTCACCCAATGGAAAAACGTATACTCCATTCGACTGGGGTCTTGTGTCTTGGGCGGGGAAGGGCCTCGGTTCAGTTATTGGGCCCGGTGGAGACGCCGAGGTTTGGAGTGGGGATGAGGACGAGCACATGGGGTTGATTGTGTATACTACGGGTATGTTAATCTTGCTAAGTATAGATGGAGCTAGGATGGGGAATTCAGTTGTTCGGATGTGTATAAATACATGAGAAACGTAATATACACTAGAAAGTTAGAAAAACTCATTCAAGTACAGGGTATATTATCACTACTACCTAGGTTGGAATAGCTCACGGGAGAAGGGGGATAAAGAAAATATAGAGCGCAAGCAGGTGAGAATATATGAAACTCCATTTCAGTCATTCCATGGAATACTCGACAATCCAATCGGGGGCCTCAAAGCACGGATGAAAAGAACAAAGGGAACAAAGGAGAAGGAAGTATAAGTTAAGGGATAAGCAGGATCCCGGGACTTTGATCTGCTCGAGTGGTCATGATCCAATCAATGAATCCGGACCGTCAATCAGAGCAGATATAAATCTGGTATGTCTGGAGAAAATTTGATCCCGGTTACCATGGTCATAGTCATGAAATAACTCAACAGCTCGATCACAGATCTGGGATCAGGCATGTCTCTGTTGCAATGATATCCATTTTTGGTACGCCGAACTCCGTCAGCTGACCCAATAGGAACAGGAAAGCAAGTGGAAAGAAAGGAAAAAAAAAAAAAACACCTTGCGGCTGCAAAACAGCCACCTGAAGCTTGGAAATGGAGATCGAGATCCAGTGACCGCGGGGGCAACAAGTTGCAAGACAGGAAAGATGGGCAATATCAAAACCGATAAATAAGATATCCATTACCCCACCGTCATCATCACCGAACAATTAGTGCAATAAAACAGGAAAATGAGAAGGAAAATACCACCAGCGCCGGCGAGTGTCGGGAGTGTGATCGTGGAAGGGGGCATCAAAAAAACTGAACGTCCGCGTGGGAACGCTTGGGAAAGGGAAAATTGGACGTTATCAACAGAGTAGGAGAAGGGAGGGTCGACACTCGGTTCTACGACAGAACCGATGGATGTAATAAGGAGATATATTCATATCGTACACACCAGGATCAATTGAACAGCGCGGCGGGTATGGTTATCGCGAGCCGGGAATGGTCTGGTTTACCTCCACCGGCACGGGAGCAGCCGTCGAATTTGACGATGCAATTTGCGCGCGGAGGGCTGCAACTTCGGTGCGCAGACCCGTCAACTCCTTATGCATGTCGTGCACAAATGCCCAAAGCTTCTCGATATCACCGCCCGCGGGATCTGAGCCGTCCAGCCCAACTTTGGGTGCGGTGAATCCGTAGCTACCGGAGTGGCTGTGCGAAGAGGGTGTGTGCTTAGCGGTGGTCTGGGGGTCGAACCGTGTCTGCGGTGAATTGATGACGGGCGGAGGTAGATGCACCCCGGTCTGAGGTGGGGGAAGACCGATTGGAGGCGGTACATGGTTGGTCGCGGAGGATTGACTCGTTCGGGTATAAGGCTGTGGGTGCGGTAGCGACTGGCCCAGTCCCGGAGAGTGTGCTGTGTGCGGTGGTTGCGCATTAGAGTCGTGCTGTGATAGAGTATTGGGAGAGAGCGCTCTCGGGCTGTCGCTGACAGTCGAGGGTGGGAAAATGGAGGCCCCAGACGAGTGCCCGGCAGGCGGGAAGGTGTGGTTGCTGGGCTGCGAGGTTGCCCCCGCCATCGATGCGCCCGAGCCGCCTTGTGTGCCTTGAGGTAGAGGTAGACTCGAACGATAAGCGGCGATCGGTGGATACGTGCTCGGTTGGCGAGCAGTGTGAGAAGAATCGGATCGACTCAGTTGATCAGTCTCGTGTCGGCGAATATTGGGAAGGCCGAGCCGTCGCTCATCTTCCTCGTCCATGCGCTCTGGCTCCATGTATACTACTCCATCCATTCCGTCATCTGGATGTTGGCCGTCGACGTATTCATCTTCGGGGTGGAAGCTTCCCATGCTTGCCCGCCGACCAGCGCATCCGCCTTGACCCTTGTTGTGTCGTGCGAGCGCGTCGCCGCGAGCAAATCGCCGCCCGCATTTGGGGCAAGTGTGTGGGCGTTCGCCAGTGTGGAGCTTGGTGTGTCGCTTCAAATCATGCAGGCGGCGAAATCGGGACTGGCAGGTTTGGCAAACGAACGGCTTTTCTTGACTGTGAGTGAGGAGATGGCTCTTGAGGTTGTGCTGTCTAGTAAATTCGGTTGCGCAATAAGGACAGCGGTGCTTCTTTGCAGAAGGGGAGCGAGGACCGCCTCTGTTATACCCGGAGGTGGGCAAGCTCAGCCCTCGACGCGGATCGTTGATTCCACCGGTGGGCATGGGATACGAAAAGGCCTTGTTGCTATCTTGGTCAATGTCCGTGTCTTCACGCGGGCGAGGTCGGTCTCCACCCTGCAAGGACTCTTCGATCGGACCTGGACTGGCGACGGTAGAGGTGTTCATTAAAGAGTTCTGGTTGTGATCGGCTGATCCGTACGGGTCCGATGATGTATCATTCGGGTGTGTGTCGACCTGCATCTGCTCTGGAGAGGCGTGGACGGAGGGCTCGTGGTTTGGTGGACCGGGCGATTTCTCGCTCGCGCCCAGGGCCTCACGAGCCACCTGTGAGCTGTTTCGTTCGGCTTCTCGATCTTGGTCGACCGGCCGATCCGCCGGCGCTGCCGTGGGACTCGTCATGGGAGATGCGGATCGCGAGACGTGCAAGCCAGCGCTAGCGATGGAGCTCAAGTTGGATTCGTGTTTGCCGGATGGTTTGAGAAAAGCGATGGACTCTGCGTTTGCAATGGAGGCGGTAGTGCCGGTGATGGAATTGGATACAGCGATAGGCTCGGGATTCGTGTGCATCAATGCCGCCATGGAGGTAGAAGGATTCGCGCCAACCTGAAATGGTGGACGAAGGAAGGCAACGGCTATTTCCGAGGTCATGTTAGAATCAACGTTGGGCCAGGTGAATCGATGAAATGCTGGGGGAAGACAGCAAGAAGGGCACGACCGACTTCACCCAGAGGCTATATTGATTGGAGTAGAAAGAAGCGACGCGCAAGTCGACCGTCGAGAAGGAGGGAGGTGGTGAGGGAACAGGCAGAGCCAGGCAGGAAAGTAGGCTTGAAGGCGAAGTCCAGGGCGTGTGGGGCGTTTCTTTCTCACCTGGAAGCCGAGTGTGGCGCAAGCTGACGAGGTTGGTTTCAGCTTTGCACTTGTCAGGCCGAGTGACGATCCACCCGGAATGTCCCACGGGGGCTTTCTGGCCGGGGCGATAAAAAGCAATTGGGAGGGGAGGGGCAAGTTGGAATGGACAAGATTGGCCAAGGGTCAATGGATCCGGGCCATGAGGCGTGGAAGTTTGGAACCGTGGCGGGTGTTGCAGGCGCAGGAACGAGAAGACGTACGGGAGTATGCCTGATGGGCCAGGTTGTAACGAGGAGAACGGGTCAATAATCACGGACTGTAGGCTTCAAGATGTGATTAATTCCTCAAAGATCGAGTCCAAGCTGGGTCCTCCCGAGTTCGTGCGAAAAGAGAAATGACAAGAAATTCCGGCTTGAAAGCCCGGAAGAGAAAGAAGTGAAATGCAGCGACAGAAACAAGAAACCGGGCACGGGGGAAAGTAAGTTGAGTTGGTATGAGTCAATACGCAATACTGTGTTTGGTACGGAGTACTTTTTCCAAATAGCAGTTGCTAAGTACTCGTAAGGGACCGTCTGTGGGGATGATGTTTCTTACGGGTATATTTGGTCTGTCGAGTATGATTGAATACATAGGTGCTACTGTACTATGCCGCCGTTCCTGGAGTGATCAGCATACGCTGACAGTTTTCAAGGTTCTCCAGTGATAGAGACACATTGAGAGCGGATATACATATGATTCCGTACCGTTGACGTATTGATATGTACATACCAGTCGGTCACGGAGGCTCTTCGAAGATGAACCCTTGGAGATCAAGGATGACTAAAGAATACAGTACATGCTTAACTAAGGGAACCTCCTAGTGAACTATGTACATGGTACCTAGGATAAGATTGAGGCTGTGTAGCCCGCTAACGCGTGTGGCTGGTCGTGGGTCCAGCACGAGGCGCTTCTCCTCTTTTTGCCATCCACTCAGACCTGTGGGCATCCTCCAGGCCTGGCGAGTCCACCCTCCGACCAAGGGGTGTACTCCATGCGGCTGATGGGAAAGACGGAGGTGTCGTGTCCGGTCACAGTTCTTCTAACCCGCCCAACCATTGCGGGAACTAATTCTAGTGACGTAGTACCGTCATGAAGTCATCCGGCGAATCGGTGGCAACCGAGGCATCAACGATCATCTTGGCATCCAGCAAATGGACGAATGATTAAATACGGCCTAATTCATGTAATTCCAGAATAATCCGCCCTATCTGGATGGCAGCACTCCGGCAGATCAATTAGTGCCACGGTTCGTTCATCGTGAATACCTTATGTGCTTCACGATACAGGGGACAACCATACAGGGGACAAAAGTATAAGCCCTTTAGATCCGAGAATCTTCAATACTACCCGGTCTAGACTATATAGAATTCATCTATATGAGGCACATTCTTGAGCCCATGAACAGTCCGCTCCTTGTGCATAAGGCTTACTACGGCCGCCCCCGGTTTCACTTAGCGCCCTCGGTCTTCAACCGATACGAGCAGCACGGCCCCGTGCCCCTGGCTGTGCAGAAAGGGCTGATGGACCGCAGAACTTTGCAGTGATTAGTCAATACCCGAATGGTGAAAGAGCCTTACTTTCCCAGCTTGCTTCGATTTGCTTCGGAGTAATCTCATTGGACTGGTCGCCTTCAAGGGAGCTGTCCCGCCTAATGCAACCACACGAGTCACATCTATGCGCTGGGCTCGGTTATAATACCCGAGTGGGCTCGCCCCTTGATTCTCCCATACAAATGGACAGGAAGAGTGCAGGAGTACGCCCGGGTGAGTCCATACTACGAGGATCTTCTTTACCCTCCCGCGGGGCTCTGCTCGATCTATCTGCATCTCAGCCACGATCTAGGGTCCACCGGAGCATGGAAGCTTCGGATTACATGCTGTGTAGCGTGCTACGGTGTGTTGGGTATGTGCTACAATTTTGCCGTTTGCTTCGGATCTATTTTTAAGTATTTTGAGATCCATCGCGAGACCCCACATCTCCGAGTCTATCCGTCAGTAGCACACATTTGAATACGGTGGTCGGATTCTGGCACCTCTTGTAATGAACCGGATCGACAATGTACTGCATATAGATCTGGAGAAACGGTATTGACTGCATGCTGGTGATCATGCGTGGGTGTAGATCTTACCGCTCCGTCCTACACATTCACTGCCCTAGAGCCCTACTATAAGAGCCTGACCTGACTCGGGACTATCGGTCAGAAAGGAAGCAACAGTGCTGAATTAGGCCATCCAGAGGCTTGAAAGTTGACTCGCGATGTCACGCTAGCCACTATTTCTGGCCGGCTGCACTTTCTCACCCCGAGTAATCGTGACCTATTTTCCAAGCACCAGGCATTCCTAGTGAAACTTCCCTAGCAGGTGGTATCCTCTTGGCCTTTTATGAGTCTATAACGGGCCCTTCAAGGGAATTTCTTGTGCATTCAAGCAGCGATATACATATTACCTTTCGCCATTGTCACGACGGGCCGCCTTATTAGCTGCCGCTGCCTTAGTACCCCGGTGATCATTTCGGGTCAGACTGAGAGAACAGTTTGGCAGAAGCATCTCTCTCATCCGATCCGTCTGAGCCTTTCATTTTGGGATGAAGGATAGTGGTGAATTCAAATTCATATTGACAGGGCTGGCAGATACACGCGAGCATAGGCCAGTTCGGCTTAGCTGCTTAATTTATTGTGGTCATGCAGCCAGCCGGAGGGCGACCCCGAGCGCCCCCTAGCGTCCGCATTATAATTAGAAATTGACATATTACGAGCAGAGAGCCGTTACTTCGCGGTCTCCGTATCTTACAGCACCATTCTACTCATCATTTGGTGTTGATCGGCAAGTTATGCCTAAACCGCACAGAGTATGTACCTCCTGGTAAGACCAGATAGTGCCTGGCAGATGGGGCTTTCCTATCCCGGCTACCAAGGACAATAAGATTGGTTGGGATCAGAGCAGCCACGGATCGTCAAGCAACTGCCTCGCGGTCTTGCGCTCTTCGGGCAGCCACTTAAGCATGGACCCAACAAAATTCAGAAAAGATTCCTTCTCGGCGCCAGAAAGTCGCTTCTCTAGACTTTCCAATGAAGTCGGCGGCACAGCCGCATCTTGGTGAGCAATCCAAGTGCCTACAGCAGAGTCAACTCCAGAGTTGATTTATGGAAAGGACTGAAAGCGAAGGTGAGATCACTTACCATTGTGATCAAAGCACTGCCCTATTGTTTCACTGCGCTGGACCAAATCAACCGGCGGTTGCCCAATCAATGCGACCATTAATGCCAGGTGCTTAAACGGATCATGGTTGCCATTGCTATCGAAAATATCCTCAAATAGATGTTGTCCTTCGAAGAGATCCCAGATCTGACTTTCTATTAGTAGAGTACTGAACATCAAGAATGGCTCAAACACCACTCACCAGAGCCCCTAGGTTCCAGATATCAACAGCACTTCCCCAGGCCATCTCAAATATGATCTCTGGAGCTCGATAGACATTTGGCTGTACAAAAGGGCCGGACTCCTGTGTCTTCCTGATTCTTGCCTCCCCAAAATCACAAAGAATAGGCAAGCCGCAGCTTTTCCCTCTGAAGGGTCGGCGAAACTGTCGACTTTGGTAAATGGTGCGCGATTCGTCTATCCTTTTACGGGGACTCGGCTGGCTAGCCTCTTCATCTGCAAAATCGGCAAGCATTGTATTGTCCTCTAGGCTGAGCATCAGATTGTCGGTCTTCAGATCTGGTTTATGTCAGGCATTTTTTCTCTGTCTAGGTACGAGAGGAGCAATACCAGTGTGAACAATGTCGGCTTCGGTGTGCAGGAAATCAAGCGCCAACAATAATCGTCTCAGTGTCATCTTGAGAAGGGGTAGGTCAAACGGTCTTGGATTCAGTCTCATCATCTCAAGGAGCGTCATGTGCATCGGCTGAAGGACGAGGCACCGATGTTTACCCGCATGGCCCTGGAGCTCGAAGGAGTCATAGAGCTCTCGGATTAGTGATTGTCCTTGGTGTGCCGATTTAATTTTCCCGAGGCGCTCGTAAATCTTGAACTCACGGTCGGTCGCGGTGGGGAACTTCCGTAGGGATGTAGACACCTTCAGCACAGCATACCTTTGGTTTCTTAGCTAAGTTAGCAGCGTTAATATCTTGACTTTAACAGCCACATATCGAAGATCCTGGCATAGCCAACTAGTCGAGTAGGCACCGAAACCAAGCTTGCCGGTAACCCGATACCTTCCATCGAATTCATCTCCTATATGCACGGGGTAGAATTGTTCAGTGTCGTAGTGAGGTAACGTCTCCTCTTCAATGCGAGTTTCCAGCGGTAGCCTAATTAATGATCTTTGAGAGGGATGTGGTGTTTTCCTTACGGCAGCTTTCAAGGAACTCAGGCGTGGAGCCATGATTGGCGTTGGAGAGGAGAACATTCATGGCGGGCTGGTTGCCTGCCGGGCCAACCCCACCGACCAATCACTTAAAGTAATTCACTGTTGACAAAGGGTCGATGAATTAATATGGTGAGGCCCTGAACAGCGTTTTGCCAAGACTTAACGCAGCCTGAAGTATAAAATGTGAGTAAACGACTATCCTATCTATTCACTTCGAATTAGATAAAGTGATGATAATCTTGACTTGTCCCGTAACACAGGTGTATCCTGTGCTGTACCCTCCACATGCTACTGTATATCCTGTTGAACGTCTTCACGAAAATAAGACATTCATACTGCATTCCGGGGCTCGGGAAAAGGAGAATGAAACTGCCACCTTTCTTATGCTTACTCTAGTTATTTGGAGATATACAGCATGTGAGTAGCTGGTTCTTGCTGGGCTTAATTGTTAACTCGGAGAAATTAAGCATACAATACCCATCTTGTTTGAGTAGACGCTTAGCATACGTTGATCAATTTATTTTCGTTCTTATGTGAGCACGAGCTCATGGGCAGTTTGAGCGGACCTATGGCTTTTGTAGCGAAGTTCCTTACGTAGCAGAGTAATGAGAGATATCTGGATGCTTTGTTATACAGAGCTACGCGCGAATCTTGTTACACACACTTGTGTAGCCCTACCCCCACTGTTGGAAGTCGTATATATTCTGCCCGTAAGAGAGAGCGATCGATGGATCATTCTTCCAGGGAATGTCAAAGTTACCTTGTATTTACAGTGTTGTTGCCGGAATCCTTAGCGTATCAACAATAGAATCCCGACACCACATAGAATACACTATATTAATTTTATTCCCCCAGGTTGAGGTCAGACTGTTCGGGGGAGGGATGCCGCCTTGCATTGTCGCCCCCGTCGAGGTGACGCTGATCTGATAGCTGGCTTTGACCATGTCTTGAATGGACTCCCAAACGGACAAGAAGTGGTCGAAGAGTAGCCGCTGAGGAAGCAGTAAGAGCCACTCCGATCTCAAGATGTGATGTAATAATAAGCCCCGTACTGAAAAGGAGGTTTCTAGGATCAATGAGGTCATGGATATAAGCAAATCTTGCCATAGTGGCAATGCTGGCACTGTTTGCCTGAAGGTTAGTCGCGAAAATCTTCTCTTCTCTGTGAGGGCAGCTTGTTGCGACATACCAGGAGCCGAGAGCCAGGATGCCCCCAAGATATATCTTGGTACGGAACCCAAGATTAAGATGATAGACCATGAATATAGGTACGATGATGAGCGTCCAATCGGATGCGCTGATGATGGCGGAGTGTGCATACGTGACCTTGACCGTCCCAGCTCTGTTGCAATATCCTGAGTTGGTCCAGAATGCGGACACCGGTCTACACTGAAACAGCGCGTAGAATAGCAAAAATACACTGTAGCTGAGAACTGTGGCAAGGACAACATATAGAGTCCAAGTATATTTGCGTTCGATAGTGAACCGGAGGAGGAACAAGCTTATAGATAGCTTGACTAGACATGTGGCGACAATGTAAGTCGTTTCGTACACAAAAAGTAACTACCAAGTAGGTATCAGAGTGGTTCCGGATGTAACCTGGGGAGTCCATGCCTTCAAGGTGAGAATAAGCTTTGGTTGAGAGATATCCATCCATCTGTGCCCGAAACCACCGATGCCAACGCCAACGAGGAGACAAGCTGAGCCTAGCATGAATATTATCTTTTCGTATTAGTTGCTAGCCGCGCAAGAGGCGATTTCCATAGCAGACATACCAAGGTGGCCACTGATAATGCATCATCCGCCCCAAATCCTTTTGTTAATCTGAGCCGCACATAGCAACGGAGAGCAACCGCAGTGACTGCAAGGATAAGAAAGCATATGACAATCGCAGCAAGTTGTGAGCCTCGATGATTCATTCGTGCTACCGCGATTAATTGACAGCAGAATGCACGGAGCTCACAATGCATGTATTGAGAAAGGTCATTTCACCTGACGTCATAACATGACACCCTCGAGCTTACCCTCGTCAAGCACTTGACCAACCTAATTTACCGCCTATTGTTTTCATCCGGGTATGTTTCTATTTGACCAATAAGATTGTTGGCCATTATTTCTATCGGCAGAAACTATTTCATGAATACTTGTCAACGTTTCAACCTACCATGTATCTTGTTCATACGTTCAAACGCCTAAACAAAACTCGGATGTCGTCTTGCACACAGCCATGCGAATAATATGAAATAGACATTAGCGAATAAACAGTGGTAACTGACTGCTAGCTGAACAACCAAAAATAATCAGTTGAAGGTGATAGTTTAGTATCGTATTGGAAGGTCGATCTGGCAGCTCAGCCATACAACCACAGTGCTGAACTTGCGCACCGACCTGCGTTGGAACCGGGAGATCTTGTGAGATTTGATTATGCACGTGCTGGTGTACACTGCTATGTGGCCGTACGTGGCGGCTTCGAGGTCAATCCCATTTTTTAGAAAGTGCAGCTGTAGATATTGGGCAGGCCTGGGACCCAAACCTGTCACGGACGGCACTGCTATGGCGCTCAAAGATTCCAGGTACAACCTTGAGAGAGTTTTTCTCCACGAGACTTCAACATCTAATATGGCTGTAGCGGGTGATAATGTGGGCCCAGAGGTCGTGTTTGGGCCTCGCATGGATTATGTTACTACCAATGGGCTGGAAACGTTCACTCAACGGTTCTGGAATGTTACTCACGAATTGAGGCGATTTAGAATTCGATTATCCGGCCATATCTCCATCGAACGACAAACAGTGACGTCGAACTACCAAACGAAGCCGCTGTAACAGGAGCTATATAAGCCCCCCATACTGGTCAGTCAGTATTATTTGTTGCCGATCACCCACTTACAGGAGATTACCGTGTAATCGGAGCTGTGGCTGAATATCATCTAGGTCTACTTGATCAACTTTCAGGAAACACCAAGATTTGCTTCTGGCCTCTTGCGCCATTTGCAGAGGTAACGTTAACTCCTTATTGAAAGAATCACAATGGGCATCGCAAAAGTCTGATAATATCTCTTCATCGTTCCTATCTTTGCCTTCCTAGAGGAGGCTGGTTCAATTTCTTCTTCCCCTTCCTGTTTCTAAGTCATGGTCGCGTGATGTACTCTCAACGTGTGACGAATCAGATTACGAATTCTAGATCCTGATCCGAACCGCATTTCAATACAACGACGAACTGACATTGTTTACGGATCTGGTCTCAAGATAATCACCTGAGTATGTTCGGTAGATAAACTAGATGGATCTCTTCACTTTTAATTGAATTTAGCTCCTTGCATCCTTCTTAATCCTCTTGTGTCCCTGGATTCTACCACTTATAGCCCAGGGGCCAAATACTGTCACGGGCCAGGGCCGGGATTTCGCCATCTAGGCCACGAGACCGTGATATTTTGACACTAACAAAGTCCCGGTTGTCTGAACCCTGGCTAAAGCCTAGATCTTAGCGTGGATCAGTCTGATTATACGGAATGATCACTGAGCAGCTCAGGCCACGCCAAGAATTGCCAGACATTGGTGATTATCCGGTGTCTATGCGGTATTGAGCTTCCCATCCGGATTCTATTTAGAGAGTCGGAGTTTATCCAGGTGCGATTACATGGAACTCCCCTTCTTTTCGCTGACAGTGCCTGAGTCATCAACTTCTAGCAGGGGGATCATCTAGCCATTCAAAAGCTACGTGCGAGGGTATCGTTGCGGGGGTTCGCTTTGCTTGCATGTCTCATAGACAAGGCGTCAAAAGAGTAGACAGTGGAATGGATCATATCCCATCTCGTGTGCAAAGGTAATCTTCTATTATCCATCTCTTCAACTGGATGTCAAGGTTACTGCGCTGTTCTGAAGTATGCTTTGAACGCTATTCCTTCCAGATTGCCTCGCCCGGCAATCAACATGTACAATCTTCGGGTGAAGGAGGATGCCCAAAGTAGATTGCTTGTTGTTATAGTAGGATAGAAGCTCACTGGTCTGCAAGCCCAGGGACGACAGTGCAGATATTTGACCTGGCTCCCACGCCACCGTTGCTACAAATATAGCCCAAAATAGCCCTCGTCAAGACTCATCACACAAAACTTTTCTGGACCAAGATAGATCCTGACTCGAGCTAGCCGATTCGAGATACAAGAGAAGATTTTCAAGCCGCCACGGAGTAAAACTCATAGGCCCGGTGCTTATTGACCTTGTGTGACGGGCCCGTTGGGGAATTTCTCTCGTCCCGGTTGGCGGGTATTTTTGGCTACTCCGCTTGTACACCGTGAATCCCCCTCTTCTCCCCAAACCTCTGCCCAGCCCTCGCATTATTCGCACCTTCACCTCCCGGGGATGGACTCCCCTTCAAATAGGTCGAGGCGGTTCTGCAGATCCTATGATTGGCCAGCCGTGCCGGATTGGCGCCGGTTGAGGTGATGGGGCGTGCATCGTGAGGAGCGACGGGGGCCAACGGGGTGCTTCGGGACTGCTTACTGGCCAGGGGCTCCACTGTGACAAGCTTGATTGATCACCCCGCTCAACCAGTCACACTCAAAGATGGGCGGGCCGTGAAGGTGTAAACATGCATCCTGCAACCACGCCGAGCACTGCGTCTCCAATCACGACCCCAGTTGGCCCTGCGCGATCGTGCCCTCGGCGCTTACTTAGGTATGGCTCGAGTGACGAGCTGCCATGGGTTGCAGCTCTTACCCCCTCTTCGGTCGTCGAGGAAGAGGTGCCGAACCACCCAGTGTGATTGATATTCAAATCACCCAGGTGCCATCTTCTCATTCTCCAAATGTCTTTCTCTTCTTGAGCATCTCCGTCGCTTCGCCTGGCTTCTTGTCTTCTTTCCTAAGGCTTGTCTATATAACCGTGGACGCAGGTTTCGCACACGGTATATTCCAAGGCGATCTGATCAGCGTGTTGATATTCACTTTCAGCCGTTGTACCCCTCTCCAGCGCAGGTGTCTCCGCAGCAGCCAATTTTGACTCAGCTCTGCACCCGAAAGCGAGTCGCATTCCCTCCCCGCGAAGCAAGTTCTTCGTTCGGGATTTCCATCAAGAGCCGGTTCTCTTGATTGCATTGTTTCCTTCTTCGTTATACATCGCCTCTATTGCCTTCCATGTCGAATGCTAGCGACTCTCCTCGAACGGATCAGCCCGTGATTCCTGCAGACATGACCCGAGCTTCTTATCACAGCGGAATGGGTGACCTGCCGCTACAACAACCGCATACAACACAGCAGACGCGCAGCTCATCTGAGAGCAGCGGCGCCTCGCTGAAGAGTCCTCGCACAGCTCGATTCGCCGAAGCCACAACCGTGCACTCCCCAATCGAGTCGTCGAGCCGCTCGCCCTTCGCTGACCCCCCGCAAAGACAATCTGGGGGCGTTGCCGATGTTGGATTCGGCTATGTAGCTGCTAACAACCCTGCACAACACGCTGAAGACTCGCGGCCACCCATGACCCCAGCCCTCGCCTCACCGTTGAGGAGCGGCCTGAAGGTGCCGAACACAGCGAAGTCGTTGAATCCGCTCAGCCCCACATTCCGAGAGGAGTATATGCTGGAGAAGCAGGAGAAGGAGACCGAGAAGGAGAATGCTCGTGATTTGGTAAGAAAATCCTTCGCACGCATTTGCAGATCTCATCTCATTGCACTATGCTGATAAATGTAGCGAATCAAACTCCGGGTCCGCATTGCGAAGATCTTCCTCCGCGGCGTCAACTTCTCATGCAGCCTGATCGTGCTGGCACTACTCGCTACGACGCTGACCATATTCCGCGCCACCAAGGACCTTCCCTCACGCAACAATCTGCCCGCATGGGCAGAGGGCAGCAACCCGTGGGCACAGTACTTGCTACTGGGCTTGGCTTGTTTCTCCTTGTTTGCGTGCTTGATTGTCTTTTGGGGTTATTGGAAAGGCGGTCACCGTCGAGCTGAAAAGGTCACTGTCTACTATACCACATTTTCGATCTGTTTCTTCTTCTTCAGCTTCATTATGTGGATTGTCGGTGCAGCCATTTACCAGCACTCCAAATCCTCCGGTAATAACAAGGACATATGGGGGTGGTCTTGCGCACAGAACACACGCGAGGAGATCTATTCTAATACGGTCGACTACGCGCTCCTTTGCCGTCTTCAGGTTCGTTTTATATTTCTAATTTCATACTTGCTGCTCCGATTTCTAATTCATTGCAGGATTGGGGCCTCGTCTGTGCCATAATCGAAGTCGTCATTGAAGTTCTGGTCCTGCTCATCTACGGCGTCGTTGCTTACCGTCTCTGGACCAAGCGCCGCCTTATGAAGACGATGGACACCCGCGACAAGGCCCGCTCGGATCTGTACCTCGCACAACTGCGTCTCCAGTCCGCCCCCAACACCCCCGGTTTCCCCGGCTTCTCAAGCTACCCGCCCAAGTCGCCATTCGGCATCTCGGTAGACCCCTACTCCTCCGCTGAGAAGGGCCAGGCCGAGCCAACGACGACCCAGTACGCTTCACCGCGTTCTCCAACCAGGCCAGCTTCCTCGTTCCAGCTCCAGCCTCCACCCATCCGCGTTCAGCAGGCTTCGCCCCGCGTGCAACAGGAGGGCTTCGCGGCGCCTCAGGCGCCCAGGTCTCCCTCCCCACCACCCAAGAGAGAGCCTCAACATATGGCCGCGGCACCGGGTGAGGCAGACTACGGCGCTGTGCCTATCCCGGGAGCTTACACGAGTCCCATGATGCCGACATTCCCGGCTGCTGTGCATAAATAAGTCTGGTCTGCTTGATTGCCAGGGCTTTTTAATGCCTCACCTAGCCTTAAACCCAGAAAATCCGTTTGAACCAAAAAAAAGTGAAAACCTTGAAAATTAATTGTGATGATCTGTCGGAATGAAAATTTGGACATACACTGTATCCAGAGAGGACGCTTTGTGAATCCTTGACTAATTATGTGTTCCTGGTCAATGGGCCTTTGGTCCGGACTGGGATCTGATGTGTACAGCGGGCGTGTTGGAGTTTGGTAATAGTACAGATACCTTATACCTACTGGACGGAATTGTGAATTTGATTTTACTTCTTTGTTTGCTCGGCAAATTGGGACTTTGTTCTCAGTAAAGGTTGTATCATCACTATTGATAGAATAGCTCAGCGACGCAGGTCGTCATGGATGTCCTCCCTAACTTTGAAAAGATCCGGAATCATATGAACAGATACTCTGCAAGTGATGATGTTGACACAACACAGTCATCGTTTTTGATCTCTGGCTTGGTTTGCAAGCTGCTATTGTTTTTATCTCTTTTTGATCTCTTTAAAAGACCATCTAAAAGACTATCTAAAAGACTGTCGAAAAGACCATCGAAAAGGACTATCTCTTCTTTATCTCCAGGAGAAATAGGCTTCCAAATACTAACTTAGTTTACATCCCGAAACAGCAGTCAAGTATTGACACAGATAGCTAGCCTATCCACTGCAAAAATCAACACGAAAAGACTGAGATGTTACCAATTTGTGGGCCCTGTGTGTAACGGGTTAGCCCATTTCCCAGAAACAGTCAGCGTGTTAGTAAACAAACCATATAAACCAGGTTCCGATGAGCAATGCGCCAAGTACCATCCGACTGACGCTCCCAATTATCCTGATACTGACCATACGCATAAAGAACTTGGCCCTGCGTCTCTCCTTTCCCGAAATGCGCGGCCCGAAAATACGTCACCGACCTAGCGGTGACAGGTGAAATGACATCAATCCATTGTGTACCAAGAAGATGCTGTGTTGTCACGCAGGCCAGAGCGGTTCCTAGCACGGATTGAATCGATGACAGCGGGGTCAACACGTTGAGAGGTGCGGAGTAGTTTGCTACCGCGTCGGTGGCAAAGACCTTGGTAAGCGCGTCGAAGTTTTTGCCATCAATGGCAAAGGGATAGATTGCTAGTGTGTTTCTGATTGCTTCGATTGTGCCGGCGTCGGTGTAGACCTCGGGGGTGCAATCATTGGCAAGAGAGGGAAGCTCGATGGGGGCGACGTCGGTTGTCGTGGATGCTAGCACTGAGCTAGCGGCAGCGAGAGATAGTGTGCAGAAGCAGAGAAGGTTCATTTTGAGCATAGAAGACCGGATGACTGTAAATGGAGGCAAGGACAGAGATGAGTATGGATGTAACGGTGAGTTTCCTCGCTCTTGTGGTACTCCCAACTCACGACTAATTTCGGTTGTGTTTCCCCTGAGGTCCGAAATGCAGAAAACGTTCGTTTTCGCTTACACTCAATGCTACAGCATAAGCTAGGGCGTTGCTAGTGAGACGCTGGACCAATTGGAATGACCCGCAAAGCTAAGACTACAGATTAATCAGGGGTCCATTCGGGATGATAATTAATCTAGGCGTTGTTGGCTCAGTGCGACGTCTGATCCTTTTTTTTTCTATTTGAGTTCACAATTATCCGGGGAACTAGGAACTGCGAGTCTAGCCTGATACAAAAACACTGAAAGATTATATCTTGACATCAACGCCCAGTGGTCGGCGACCACACTTGATTCGAACAGGGGGAATTCCAGCATAGACTGTACTTGGCTTAATGGAACGGCTTTAATAAACCTCACCTCATATCTCACTACCGCCGGAGAATCCAGTGAAATGCCTCATGAAAGCAACTAAGAGGTTCAACCCAAAAGCTTTCCCCAAATAGTCCCAAGCACGATTGAAGACTCCTTCCTGATTGCGATACTATAGAGGGATTGTCGAGATAAGATAGGCTGAAAATACCGTAGTGGTCCCAAGTGACTGCTTCACGCAATCAGACATCTTACCAACCATGGCAAAATGCAATCAATATTCACACTTATGCTGGCTGCTCGATGATGGAGATGATCCAATCTCCGACTTCCTTAGGCCGAGATGCATTTGGCGCATGTCCAGATTCGATTTCTGTCACATCAACCTTACCACCGATCTGCCTTTCCATCATCGCGATGCTCGCTCTCTGGAGCTCGGGCTCCTGCGCAAGGTCCTTGGTACACAGCAAGTACGAAACCGGCACATCTTTGAACCCAGCATGACTCAGACTAGCAGGGAACGTAGAGCTCGAATGACGAGTACTCATCTTTGCCCACCGTTCGGCCTCTTCCTTCGGTAAGTCGTTAAAGACAAAAGAGGAAGCAGCCGAGATATCCACCTGATGCAACCATCCATCATCCTATATTTGACGTTAGCCCTAGACACACAAATTGCATAAAGCGAGACAGACATCGATCCTGATCTCAAATGGAGCGGCCCGGGGAAGCATATTATCCGGCATAATTACGCTGGCATCGGATTCTCCCACTGGTAGAATAATGCACGAAATATAACCTAGTCTCACTAGGCCACCTGATTTGCCGTTTTGCTGTCTGTCGACTTTACTGAGTGCTTTTGTGCTTTCTGTAGCGGGTAGGCCGCCGTAAGAGTGGGCGATAAGTACGACGTCCTTGTCTTCGTTTGCGTGCTTTGAGATTTCTGACGCGATGAAAGCGGCGTCGTCTTGCATAGTGCCTGGAACGTTGGTTTTGTAGCCTACGCTGGGAAGGTGAAGCGCTTGAACGGGGTATCCTTTACTCGCGATATGGGTGATCACATCACTGTACAGTTCGGGCAGTGTGAAGCCTCCTGGCACGATCAGGATTGTCGGCTTATCCATTGGTCGTAGAGAGTTGATGAGGAAAATGTATATTGGGCACGTAGAACCTGAAGAGTTCTACATAAATATAGCGATGAAGTCGAGGATGATGATAACGACGACAACAACTATGAAGAAGTTGATGAAGAGGGAAGGAAGATTGAAGTTGGTATTGAGAGGCTGCGTAAACGTGCGAGGACAGCCCCTGAACCACCCGCCCGTGACGTGCCCAGACCCGTCTAATATCTGGCTTCGATACCTTCTATCGTGACAGTGTACGACACGGATTATTATTCAGATCTTGATATAAGACTAATTTAGATTATTTTTATTTGCCTGGGTCTTGAGTTATTTCTCCTTGAGCTGGCTAATCTTTGTTGATTCTTCTGAGGGGCTTTCTAATCCTGGCCTATGCGGCCGAAAGTATGCGGTAGATTATATGCATTCTCCCTGCAGCTAGGGCATAGAGCCCTCGCTAATGTGGCGCAATGGGGACGAAGTTATCAACGCAGTTTTGTGTCTAGTTTGCTTCTTTGAGGGTCAGTTTAAGTGCCAATCTGATCTAATTGTGGCTTCACAGCCTCAGCTGTGCGAATGGGGCACACTTAGTGCTATAGGAACAATAGATATCTCGAGTGCGGCACTCAGGATTCCACCAAAACTATAATAAACGAGCAGCCCAACTACTACATCGTCCAGATAATCTAGAAGCCCAAGAAGGAGGTTTCCACTCGAACGAATCGACATCCTCGATGCGGTCACATGCTATACTGAGTTTCCACTTTAAGAGTCGGCATCCATACTCTTAGAGTAAAATGTACGGCGCTTAGTCATTTTTCACCAGCCTCTTTGATGGCTATCTAGGCAACGTCGAGCTCAGCTTCTTCCCTTTGTGCTTGACTTTCCCAGAGCGTTTCAATAACACTTGGCTGGCCTAATATCACCTCTTCGGCGGTTGACCTTGATATCGAGGCGAACCATGTTCTCCTTTGCCAAAAAGTCACTCTGGCAGTTACCGCCCAACTCAGGGTCGCGAATTCCTCAACAGAAACTTGTTGACGAAGAGGTTTGTCCTGACTACATGTTAGCAAATTTTTACCCAGCAAAGTCCGGAGAAGTCCTTGTCAAGAAATTTCAACTACTTGTCAAATCGGATGGGGATCACAATCAACCGTGTGGCTCGCCCGAGACATTTTAAGGTATCTACTCACACTGTGACTACGCGTACCTGCTTTATATTGACTGCGAGAAACTAATCCTAGTCCTTATAACTAAGGTTTAAATGGCAATCTGAAAAAACGGTTGCTCTGAAAATAAATAATATAGTAGTAACGCTGACGATGCTCGTCATAAGAAGGAGATTGAAAGATATATTATATAGTAACATTCAGAGTATCGTGACCGCGTAATTTTACGGACGTGTCTAGATGACTTCGAAGTAACTGGTCCGGAAGGAAAGTATATATGCCTTGTGTATGAGCCGATGAGAGAGCCTCTCTGGATTTTTCCGACGCGCTTCGTTGATCGTAAGATTCCCCTCCCCCTTACTAAGGTATATGTCTTTTTCCTCCTTGTTGGCCTTAATTATCTTCACTCGGAGTGTAAATTTATCTATATAGGTGGGTACTAGACGCTATTTCCCTATGCTTATTTATGAAGTAAGACCTAATATACCTATTAGATTTGAAGCTTGGGAATATCCTTATGAACTTTGAAAACGAAAAAGTCTTGACCGACTTTATTAAGCGACTATAACCGATATAATATAAGGTTGATGGTAGAAGTGGCCGGACTATTTACCTCTACTACAATGACTTCGGTGCTCTTGATGGGAGAGATATTAAGAATATGTTTCCTAAAATAGCCGATTTTAGGAACGTAATAAGACTAGATAAGCCGTCTACCCTAAATAGATAGTAGGAGAGTAAGTGGGAGTCTATCCTATCTGACTAGACTATTACCGTGCTCTAGAGGTTATACTTAGCTATAGCTGGGATTTTAAGGTAGATATTTAGAACTTTGGTGTGCTGGTAAGACACTGGACCTGTTCTCTGGAGGTTATATGGAATCTAACGCGCTTTTCGTTTCCCTTAATTTAAGTATAATCACTATCTTAGGATTAAGGCTAATAATTCTGTTTGATAAGCTATGGAATATCCTTAGGAATCAGGAGTTGTTCCAGCAGGTACATAATACAAATTGCCAATACGACGCAAAGTCGTATCTCGCGGAAATGATTGCCTTACTCGGTCCTCCCCCTAGGGCATTGCTCGCGAAATCAAAGGCTATGTTAAAGCACAACTGGCGCGAGCCTATCAATAACGACACTAGATCACTCTGCAATAATGCTCAAGAATTCTTTGGTGGCCCTTTCTTCAACGCAGAAGGTTGGTTGACAACTATCTTCGTAAGCTAATACCTGATATACTGGCTGGTTTTAAGGTCAATTCTACTATGATGGATTAATCCCGTCCCGAAGTCTAGAGGATAGAGCCCCTTTTCTCGAGGAGAATGATCAAACGGCATTTCTATCTTTTGTTGGGGATATGCTCACCTGGCTCCCGGAGAAGAGGAAGACAGCTCGTGAACTGATGGACCATCCATTTCTTAAACTTGGGGGTTGATTTAATACCTAGTCACTGGAAAATGGAACGACCCTCACTACGGGGATGGTCTGAGACCGGCTCAATAGGCCCTAAGTTGTCGACTAAACCGCGAGACAGGTCTGTCACTGGTAGATAGAGGTGAACCATGGATGCAAGGCAGGTAAAGAATAGTCAAATTGCCAAGGCACGATTTCAAGGTCTGTATGGAGGAAGAGATATTGGCAGCGAACGTACGGGTATTTATTAGGATGGCATTAAAGACAGGACAGAAAAGTTCATGGCACGACAAGGCTACTCTTGTTCAAAGCTATCCACCATGGCGCCTACAATAATTCTAGAGTCCCTGCAGGCCTCCGTGAGCGAGCTTGCGGAAAAGCAATCAAAGGAAGCGATCTCCTGGTTACTATACCCTTGACTTACGATCTGGGACAATTGTCGTACTCTTTAACAGCCAGCAAAAGCAACAAGGTCCCAATGAGGAGCGCCTCCTCCCCCCCCCACCTTCAATACAGAATGCTACATTCGAGATATACAAAATACCAGTAGAGCCCTTATATATGTATAAGCCTAAATCTTAGAAAAGACCATAGAAAAGACCATAGAAAAGACCATAGAAAAGACCGTAAGAAAGACCGTAAAAAAGACCGTAAAAAGGGTGATAGAGGAAGGGAAGTAGAATAATAACTTAGTCTATTATAGAGATAAGTAGATAGATATCGCGTATATAGTCGCTAAAGATATCAACGAGAAGTATTAATGCGAATTATACATAAGGACTCGGCAGGTACTTTGTGAACTTCGAATGTAGCATTTTGTATTGAAAGGGGGCTTTCCTCATTAGGACTAACCTCGTCGTGCCATGAACTTTTCTGACGTGTCGTTAATGCCATCCTACTTATTATTGGCATGACCCAGGTAAAGTACCATGGAAACCAATTTTGCTCTGTTCACTTCTTCTAGTCCTCCCTAAGAAGCTTTTGTTAGCAGAGGAAAACGAATTGTATAGAAAGTAATTACATTCTACCTTACCATATCACCGGTTATTTCTTTAGCACCCGGTGACCAGGGCTACACGTTACTTACGATCGAAGTTAGCCGAATGAGAGGGTTACTAGAGTTCCATGAAATAGAGAACTCAAATAGTCTGCATTGATGAAGCAATGAGAAAAACGACCAAAGCGCCACTGTGCAAAGAAGACACAACCCGCCCAACTCCAGATGATCTACCAAATTCCCGTTCTGTCCGTCATTCGTGACCAACATAGCGTCTCAGGCACATCTAATCCAAACGGAAGACTGTACATGCATATCAATTACTGTAGCAGACCTTGCCAATCATATCCCTCCCTCTTCTAGAACGGCATGGGCATCACGGCTGACGAAAATCTCCTCCAGACTAATGGCACCATTAGCTATCTGGTCCATGTCACTCTCCAGAACGAGACCTTGCTCGTTGGCTAGATGGAGCAGACAGATGAAACCGAATGATGTGCTGATATCGCGCAGCATCTCGGCGGGATAGACCCCCTTCAGACTGTTCATGATCTGTGTGAACCGTAGCCGACCGTCTTTATCGAAACCATGGGCCTTGGCCGGGCTGCTTGCTTGAGGAGTTGGTGGGACCGGATCATCAGCTTCACTGTCAGGTTCGGCCGGACCGTCACTTGAGACTGCCCCTGGTTGTGAGGCAGAGCTGAATTCGGGGGCAGCAACTAGACGTTCGCCCATGCCCTTCCACATCTCGACCTTGAGGCGACGGACATCCACCTTCTTTGCCACGCGGGCATAATTCACGTAGTCCGGTCGTGCACGGCGTCCACCTTGAGTGACAAGCTGAGATCCGTATCCACCAGCACCGGGACGGCCTGGCGTTGCACCGACCATATTCAATAGGGCAGTGATGCCGGTAGCATTTCCGACGGCAGTTCCCGGACGGCCCTCGGCTGCCGGGGATAACATCTCGCGAGCGTCTGCGAATGGCAGGTTATCATCCTCATCATCAAGGTCCATGCCGTTCGGGAAAGCAAGACCATCGTCGTCCGCAAAGAAGTTGGCATCGTAGGCGCCGCCAACACCTTCATCGGCCGTCGTATCTTCCGTCTTGTGGTTTGCCCAGAACGCCTCATCCATGTCACCGTGTCCCGATACTTGCTCAGGTCTAGCGTCGTGTGTTCTCCGACCCAGGAGTTTCCTTGATCCCATGCGGGCCTTGGGTTTCAGGAAGAGACTGAGCAAGCTCTTAGAGTTGAAGTGTTTATCATCGGGCAGAAGATTGCGACCCTTGGTCTTCCATTGGGTCTTTGGCACGGAGATCGCAGAGTTGGAACTAGCAGGAGTGTAAATGAGTTCGGCAATGGTAGGGTCGAGAGGGGCAGAGAAGTCGATTTCGAAAGGTTCTTTCTCCTTGCGCTGTTTCGGTGCCGCATTCGTATCCTTGGCAGCTGTCGTATCTTTGATCCTTCGGATCTTCCAATGTTCGGGACCGGCCCAATTCTTCTGGAGCGCGTTGTCAAAGTAGCTCAGAATGCTCTCGTGATCTTGTTTGCTGGGCTGGTGAGACATGGAAATAGCAAATGCATCCTCGTCAACCATGGCTTCATCACCATCAGCATCCTGGCCATCGTGAGAAAGTCGGTGAACTTTGAGCATGGGCTCGAGGGCGGCCTCCCTTGCCCAGGCCTCTCCACCATCGCCGAAGCCAGCATCCTCGCTCAGGTCAAAGCCACCCAGATCGTCGTCGTCGAAACCAACGGCGTTGTCATCGTCAAGCATGATCCCGGACGGATCTTCTTGGCCACCCCCCTCCTCGTTAGCCTTGTCATGCCTCCAATCCTCGGGGGCTTTGAGCAGGGGGATATCCAGGTTCCCGCTGGGGTCACCAAGATCAAAATTCTTCAAAGAAGGACAGATATCTTGCTCGCCGAGGCGATCGAGATCTGGGAAGAACTGACTCGCCAGAGTCGCAAGATCAATGTCCGAATCGTCATCAAACGTATCGCTAGCCTGTTGGATCGGTTTTGATTTTCCTTCGCTCTGGGATTCTGGGTCCATAGACTCCTGACGGTCATCATCGCCATCAGCAGTTTTTGAGCTATCATCAACAGCATCATCACTGCTGTCGAACACGATTCTTCCATGTCCATCGATAGCAAGGTGGTTGAGGAGCAAGCCCTTGGCTCCACCCTCATCGAAATCAGCGGAGGCTTTCTTGAAGAGAGGGTCGACGGCAAATTCGAGCTCAAACTTCTTCAGTTGTAATGAGTTGAAAGACGGGGCGAGAGTGGCTTCATGCGATCGTGTCTAGAAAGTCCTTCAGTCAGCTAAGCGATCCACTGTTCATTGCATCGGAGGCCACACCTTCTTGCGCGACTTTCGCCCTCCACCCTCTTCGCCATCCTCATCCTCATCTCCGTCTTCTCCTTCGGCTTCATTATCACGGCCGCGCTTATCGCGACTGTCAGCCAGACCACTCAGGAGCTTTCCCGTCTCGGTCGCAACACTATCCACACGGCTGGTATAGATCTTGACACAGCCATCGAGTGTGCAACTCGCCTTCTGGAAGTTCACGCCGTCTCCTTCCTTCAAAAGCGACATGTCGTGGAAGTAGTCGATCAAGGCGAAGTTCCAGGAGTTGTTTGCGTTGATCTTGTTATCGGTGGCCATCTTCATCCATTCTTCAAAGTTTGCCAAAATGGGCACACGCTTCATCGGCGTTACACCTCGGCCACTGGCGTCGCTTTCGCGACCGCGATGGTTAGATCCTCGAGGCGTTGCTGGGCTGTCGTCGCTGCCTTCGCGGTATCGACGGGCGGGCATGGGTGTCTTGACGGCGGCCTTGATCTGATTCATCTGGCGGTCGTGGAGCGCCTGTCGGGCCTCCATACGCGCCGCTTTCTCGCCCATATCATCGTTGAGGGGAATTCTGATAGTAAATTAGATTCCCGCAAGTCCCGTTGCCTGGTGATACTTTTGGCGCACTTACCTGATGGGCGCGTTCTTCTGAGGGGTAGAGTTCCCACCGCCTGAGCGACGATGGGCTTTATTTGCGACACGAGGCATGGTTGCGGCTGCCCCCGATCGGGGATAACGAGATGCGCTGGTGTCAAAAGGTGAAGGTCCGGGGGGTGGTGGTTGCAGTCGCGGGGCGGTTCAAACAAATGAGGAAGTCAACAAACATACGGCGGGGTGAAGAGACCACTGGCGTACATTATCACGTGCTATCGAGGTTGAGTGCCTCAGAGATATGGCCTTCACGCCAGTAAAGCAACTTGTCACGCTACCTTTGGCTCTTCATGTAAATCGTCATCACAATGAATATCCTCCATTTCATTCCATAGTCGACCATATTTTTCTTCATTTCATGAAATTGTACATGCAGACCTCTTATCTCCCGTCTCTGTTCATAACAAGGGATCCGCCAAGCATGCGCGTCGAATAACCGTGCACTGGCCCACTCCTCTCCGCTATTGCTAGGCTGACATCACCGAGCTCACCGCATTGGCAGGGACAAGTCGACGCCAGCTCAATGGAGCCTGACCTCGGTGCTTAATCTATATTCCTAGGTCATATCGCTCTATTCGCCGCTGTTTGAAGAGTCCCTTGTTACGCCCTGGGCCCAACATGCAGCTGTCTCGGATTCCATCATGAACCGACTCCCATCCTTCCTGCGGCCCGCTCGGTCAGGCCCTCGATACTCTGTTCGGCCGTTCTACGCATCGCTTCTAGTAATTACGACCCTCGCGGTGGCTAGCTGGACTCTAGGGGGATATGGGAATGGCCAAGCACATGAGCGCACAGCATCGGGTGTACTTCTACGGCGGGCCGACGAACCAGAGGTATTCCCCCCTCGTCTCTCGTGGTATGGTCAATGAAGCTAACCGTGCCCTCGTGTGACCATATCAATAGTGCCGTCTAGTTCGCAATGTCAAAGACCAATGTGCGTATGTGCGTGAGAACTGTCCCGACCATCAGGATGGCCTCCTTTCCTATCTACAACTCTACTATTGCGCTTTACCCGATGCCAAACCATTGGCGTTCATCATCATAATTCTCTGGCTGTCGCTGCTTTTCAGTACGATTGGCATCGCAGCCAGCGACTTCCTGTGTATCGACTTAAGTACGTTAGCGAGCATCCTGGGGCTAAGCGAAAGCCTTACGGGCGTAACCTTCCTTGCATTCGGAAATGGCAGTCCCGATGTCTTCTCTACTTTCGCCGCCATGCGATCGAATAGTGGGAGCCTGGCGATTGGAGAATTGATCGGGGCCGCAACTTTCATCACCTCTGTGGTTGCAGGCTCTATGGCTTTGGTCCGACCGTTCAAGGTCGCGCGACGGAGCTTTGTCCGTGATGTTGGGTTCTTCGTGATCGCAGTCAGCTTTAGCATGGTCTTGGTTGCCGATGGTCGCCTCCAAGCTTGGGAGTCAGCTGCGATGGTTGCATTGTATGCCTTCTACGTGGTGCTTGTTGTTAGCTGGCACTGGTATCTGGTTCGGCGCCGCCGGAAGTACGAACGAGATCTAGCAGCCCGAACTCACTTCCACATACCCGACAACCAAGAACTGGAGATCGATGAGCCGGTAGAAGATGACGACCCAGGCGTGGCTTCGGAGTCTCGCAGTCTTCTCCGGGGAGCGTCAACAGACGACTTTGACCTTCTGGAAAGGGCAGGTGGCATTCCCAGTTGGAAGGAAGAAGAAGATGAAGATGACGAGACCCGGAATCGGTATCTAGCAGAGATCCGTGACAACATGCATGTCTACCGGCCTGCAGCCCTATCAAGGCGAAACACCATCAATCCAATTCGCCCCAGTTTGGTTGGTGCACTTGAATTCCAATCAGTGCTTCAATCACTTCAGAAGTCGAGAACTAGCACGCGTAATCCCACAATCAGCTTGAGCAGTTACTCTGACGATGGAGACGATTCATCTCAACCTTTCGACACGCGTTCTATAGCATCGCATCCTCGTGCTACCAGACCAACTACTGTCAACGACCGCCTGTCACCACTAAGTGCAGAAGGGTCACGGATCCGAGCTGTCTCGGCGAATGGTGCCGATGGTCTGAAGATTGACACGAGTGTTTTTGATCGACAAAATCAAACTCCTCGGCTGACCGTGAGGCGTCCCTCCGATGAACACGCTGATGGCCCGAGGGGGATGCAGGCTCCTCAGCTTCCTCGAATCGATACCACTGTGTTGTTAACTACCTCTCCATCATCTTCAGAGCATCTATCGCCAAATACAAGCCCTACAATCAGCCCCGCTGTCCCTCGAACAACAGACCTGCTCGCTGCCCCCGGGGCTTTCAGCTCGCCAAACTATCAGACCTCGACAACGCATGAACGCTCGCCGCTCCCAGTATCACCGCGAGGAGGCAGCGGAAGCTACCAATCTGGAGTTGATCCAGAAAGCCCAGCTGTACCCTTTCCCGCATTCGTCGACATGCCTTCTGCTTCATCAGCCCGAGCGCCTAGTATCCGTTTACCGAACCCATTGGCGAGCCCCTCGGAGCAACTCATGATCCATGACGGCCTTTATGACACTGTCAATGACAATATATCCTCGAAAGGCCCTTTGGCGAAGTGGTGGCCGAGCTCAGTTCTTCCTCCCGCTGCGCAAATCGGCTGTACGCTTTTTCCAACTTTGGCTGGGTGGAAATCCAAAAACATAGCGGAGCGCCTGCTGGGAATAATCGCTGCACCAAGTGTATTCCTCCTTACAATCACCGTTCCAGTCATTGAGCCTCAAGTTTCCGAGTCCGATGAGCGAGGCCTGGTTCCTGCCGTTATTATCGAACAAGTTGGCGATAACGGTAACCCAGCGCCTCGAGTAACACTACCGGCAGATAGTCCAACCCTTTACCCCAATGGGCATGAACACATTGAGTTTTTCCCTGATGGCCTTACCGCGTCCTCGCATCCCCGTCACAAATCCACACATCACGAAGCTGCGCCTCGTCCTCGTTGGGATTCCGAGTTGCCGGCCGTGCCGCATCCAGCTCCAGATATGACTTGTGTGGAAGTCAAGGACTGGAATCGCTGGCTCATTTCGATCCAGCTTTTTACAGGGCCTTTTTTCGTCACTCTCATCGCCTGGAGTACCATAGATGAAGCTTTGGATGCGAAGAATCTAATCCTGCCTTCGTTGGTATCCCTTCTCTTCTCGTTTTTGTGTCTCAGCGTCTTGATTACATCTACCCGTCGTCGTCAGCCATGGCACAGTCAAAGCCATGTCGACCAGTCATACTTCCATCGGCATGAATCGCCTGAACTCTGCAAACCCCAGGCTCTTCCATCTGCGTGGCGGCCCTTCCTGTCCCTCCTCGGATTCTTGGTCGCAATTTCTTGGATTGCAACCATCGCGACTGAGGTTGTCTCCGTGCTCAAAACTATTGGCGTGATTTTGAACATTTCCGACTCGCTATTGGGATTGACCATCTTCGCCGTCGGTAACTCACTCGGCGATTTAGTCGCGGACATCACCGTCGCCCGACTTGGGTACCCCGTGATGGCATTGAGCGCCTGTTTCGGCGGACCCATGCTCAACATCCTCTTAGGTATCGGTCTCGGAGGTCTATACATGACTCTCAGCCCGGGTAAATCATCTCCTAAGCACGACGAGATGTTCACTCGGGTCCCTTATGAAATCACTATCTCCAAGGTGCTGGTCATCAGTGGTGCGACCCTTTTATTTGTTCTTGTCGGTCTTTTGATTGTTGTTCCTTTGAACAATTGGCGCATGGATCGTAGAATCGGATGGGGGTTGATTGCAGTTTGGTGTGTGAGCACCTTGGGGAATGTCATTGCCGAGGTCGCATCATGATTTATTTGAATCTATATCGCGTCGGATGCGATATGAATTGTTTTTTTTGGCGCAGTAGGGGGCGTTACTAAGGGTTGTGTCGGGTACATGTTATGGCCGTTCTATTCCTCGGACTGCGTTGGATTTTTGGTTTAAGCACCCTGTTCTCACGCCTTGTGCAGCTTTTACAGAAGTTTGATCTCAGCCTCATATTTTGGATGCATGGCAATATGTACATGAATTGCATGAGTAACGATTTTTACCTCAATCTCGTGACAAATTTTAGGTTCAGCCCAACTGAAAACCACTCCCGACGGAAGCGAAATATAGTACCGATCCTAGTCAGTATACTCTCACGGGCCATAAGTACACAAGACTGTCGTGAGGAAATTCCTAGCAACACAAGAGGAAAGTACTCACCACCTGCAGAAAAGACTTAGATGTCCATGGCGAGATTGATTCTCGTCTGGTGTGTAACCCGTCGGAATCAAACTTATATGACTAGTGCTAACGCAAATACACACCGAGCACGGGTGGCATTCCAGCCAGAAATGGCTTGAAAGAGAGGTGAAGTCAACAGACCAATAATAGATTTAGGAGTAGAGAGTACACTGTGCGCTCCATCGGCTATAAACCTGATCAATACTTGAAGATAGTAATCCTATGTCGACTAATGTCTGAAGGCCCAAGTAGACTGGTTGAAACCCAGGGGTATTTTGACCAGTGTGACCCTCAACATGGGAAGCCTGGTAATCAGACGACTCTCTACCTAGACCACTGGAAGTGGCTGGTCCAAACTTGGAATCATACTGTACATGGCTTCCTTATTCTGTCTTAACTGAGCATACTCTTCTGCTGGTGACCCGGCCTAGGGAGCTTTGATAAATGCATTACTTCTCCGCAAAGCCGGGGAAAATGAAAACGAGGACGACAGCGACGGCGAGAAGCACGGACTCCAGCAGTCTCCAATGACATTCCTCTGGCAATACGCCATCATTCTTCTACATATATCTAACATCAGATAGGTAGCAAAAGTACTCAGACCCGGCCGAAAGTCGCGAAATGATCCTTGAAGTTAAGGTTTAAACGGCCTGAAGGTGGGTTTGAGCTATGTCGAGCTGTAACTTCAAATCTGATATCATAATTTATTTTCACTTATTCGATTAACCAGCACAGAATCCTGCCTAGGGCTAACTTCTGGCAATCCGATTACCGATGTGCGATCTTCGCACCGTGACCCGTATATAGTAATGCCGATTAGAAGTCTTTTCCTTGGCAGGCCCCATGATGACCATGATGCTGGGATCTATGGGACAGATCAACAGAACCGCCCATTCGTGGCACGGTCCTACAAATTAAGATTAATGCACGCACCAATGGTTCCTTTACCAAAGTAAGTTACGGCTTCAAGCACTCGCGGAATGTCGCTTATCGGGAGCCCAAAGTTATAACAACTTCGCATTGATCTTGCATCGTGAAGTCTGCCGTGCAGTGGAAGAAAACTCCGCTGAAAATTGACGTGATGGATCCATTGATCGATGGCCTAATCTCCGGGGATCCATTCACAATCGGACCCTTTTTCGTGGGCCTGATGCGCTAACCCAAAATCATGCAGATCGGCGACTATCGATGCCGATCATCAACAATACGAGATCCGGCCCCGCCAAGGGCTTCAGATTGAGCTCGGAAACACTGTGAATTGTGTGGTCAAGCCCTGCCGTGTGTGCTCGGCAGAAGGCTACTGTAGATATGTGAAGAGATAATAGGGGCTAGCCCAATCGGCGCATCCGATCTTGAGGATATGTTTTCCTCTGATTCCATCCTGACTCTCTTCTACTTCAACCTCGTCACTCTCTAATTTGGTTCATTGCCAGTCGGTCCTTTTCGGATTCTTTTTAGATCCAGCCATTCTTTAATAAATTCTCTTCATCATGGCCCCTGTTTGGCCATGGCTGAGCGCCCTCCTGGCGGCTCTGCCGGTGGCTCTGGCAGGACATGGCGACCCCATTGCCCAGAAGTATATAGTCGAGTTTGCCGATGCCGCGACGGTCCGTATCGACGCTTTCCCACCACACGGTTCCAATTGGACTAATTTGTTGCCTTTGGTGTAGTCGTCTGCCAGCTTCCTCACAACTCTGAAGGACCATGGAATCCCCGCCAGCCTCAACCATGACTTGTCCTTTGCGCTATTCCATGGAGGTTCCTTCACTCTCCTCGAAAATGACCAGAATGAGGCTGCCATTGTCAAGCAGATCTCTTCATGGCCTGTAGTTAAGAAGGTCTCACCAGTCCGAGAGCTGCAGCAGCCTCGGCGCGAGGTTTCTACTGTCGCCCATGGCGCTTCATTCCGTCGTAGTATCACCTCGCGCGGCCTCCGACGCCGCGATACTGCGGGCCACGAAGGCAATGACTATCCCCACGTCATGGTCGGAGTCGACAAGCTTCGTCAGGAAGGCTACCTGGGAACGGGCATCCGTGTGGCAGTTGTGGATTCGGGTATTGATTACAAGCATCCTGCTCTTGGAGGCTGCTTTGGAAAGGGCTGCCTGGTGGAGTTCGGTTTCAACTTCCTCGCCAACACGAGTGACCCGTGGGAAGGTCAAGATGGACACGGTATCTTCATAAATAGCTCTTCTGCTCATAGAGACCCGTGGCTAATTGCTTACAGGAACTCACGTCTCTGGACTGATTGCCGCTCAGCCCAACCCGTACAACTTCACTGGTGTTGCCCCGAATGTTACTCTGGGTCATTACAAGGTTATCGGAAAGCCAATCGTGAAGACCGGTACTGATATCGTCACTGCTGCTTTTAAGAAGGCCTATGAAGACAAGGCAGACATCATCTCCGCTTCCTTTGGCACGTACAAGGGCTGGAGCGATGAGCCATGGGGGCAATTGATCCAAAAATTGGCCGAGGCCGGTCTTCCTTCTTTCATTGCTACTGGAAATGACGGCAGCTACGGTCTTTTCCTCGCCTCCAATGGTATCGACAACTCTGCCGGCATTGGCATCGGATCTGTCAACAATCGGTACAGCCCTCTACTCCTGACTGGCGCATCTTACTCCACCAGAAACACCACCAAACAGTTTGGCTGGCAGCTTGCAGGTACCTCCGACTTTGTAAACGGTACATATGCCCTGTACCCGAGCAGTCTCAATGCATCGGTTGTCGGTGATTCCTGCGAGCCGTGGACGGGCGACCACCCGAACCTCTCTGACAAGATTGTTCTCATCCGCTACGGTGGCTGCCGTGGCAGTCAGCAGCAGGCTAACGCGGTCAAGGCCGGTGCTAAGAACATCCTCTTCTACCTCAACGAGCCCGGTACCTACGAACTGCCCGTTCAGAACGCTGCCCTCACTGGTTTGGGTATGGTCTCAGCCCAGACTGGAGAGAAATGGGTGAAGCTTGCTGCATCTGGCGCCAACGTTACCCTGCACATGACTAGCGAAAAGTACGCCAAGACCATCTTCATCAACGAGACTAACCCTCAATCGGGAGGTCAGATCAGTGAATTCACCCAGTGGGGTCCCAGCAATGAGATCCTCCCCGTGACAGCTGCTTCTGGAGTTGGTGGATTCATGCTTTCGACCTGGCCGCTCGCTGTAGGTGGCTATGCCATCGAGAGTGGTACTTCAATGGCCACTCCCTTCGTCGCTGGTTGCATTGCTCTTCTAATGGAGGCTCGTGGCAAGGGCAAGGTGACTCCTGCCGAGATCAAGTCTCTGTTGTCGACTACTTCCAACCCTAATGTCTTCCATGACGGTGTCACTGCGTCACCCTTCCTAGGATCTGTTGCCCAACAGGGCGGTGGTCTTATTGATGCCTACAAGCTCGTGCACACTACTACTAAGTTCAATGTGAGCACCATCTCGTTCAATGATACCGAGCACATCGCCCCGGCGTATATCCAAATCAACAACACCGGCTCCTCGCCGCGTGTTTACAGAGTCGGCCATGTGGGTGCCGCCACTGTCTACACGTTATCGAACAACAGTACCATTCCCCAGGAGAACAAACTCGGTAACTTCGTGGACCGTACTACCGTTGGTGCTTCGCTACAGTTCAGCTCTTCTAGCGTGCTCGTCGCCGCTGGCGGCACCGCTGTGCTCAAGGTCACTGCCACTCCCCCCAAGGGTCTTGAGTCTCGCCGCATCCCTGTCTACAGTGGATACATCACTTTCAACGGTACTAACGCCAGCGACTCTTTCTCCGTTCCTTACCTGGGTGTTGCCACCGCTATGCGCAACGTGACTATCCTGGACACCACCGGGGACAGCAACTACCTCGTCGACAGCGTCAACAGTGAGCGTGTCCAGGCCAACCAGCAATTCGTCCTGCCAAGCCAGGACGGTGCACTCAACCAGGCAAACACCAGCTATCCCATCTTCCAGACCAAGCTGTCCATGGGTACCGATCTGCTTCTAGTCGGTGTCAAGGCTGCCAATGGAAGCGCTATCCTTCCCCTGGCTAGCCCCCAGACAGCCCTGCCCCGGACCGTGGATGGTCTTACTGGCCCCAAGGCTACTTCCTTTACTGGTCTGCTAGCAAACGGCTCGTATGTTCCAGCTGGTAACTACTCGCTCGTTGTGCGTGCGCTGAAGATCTTTGGCAATCGTACTAGCCCGCGGGACTATGATACTGTGAAGACCGTGAACTTCGGAATCACGTATGCCCCTGCCGCTGCTAATTAATTTCCGGTGCCAATAGCATCGCGAATATGATATTTATCTACGCTGGTGAACTTGGCTTGCATCACCACTGCCATCTATTTTTTTTTCTCCTTTTGGGAACAACATCTTTTAATCTATTGAAGGAATGAAAGAAACCCGTTTTATGATTCTACACACCTATAGAATAATATTATAATGTTATTGGCAGCTGTCTTGCATACTTTGATCGGGATTATAACGAGGAATTGGAATACAATAATCTCATTGATTGTGTAGTACTACAGTTAGCCTCCGAGACATTTCAGATTTAGTAAGTGCTCTAAAACCTCTATTCATATGCGCAGCATTCCCGGCCCCAAGACGATAGTCTGAAAAACACATCAACTAACCAAGCCTAGACCTTGGTCCATGCCCATCAAGTCATGCCTATCACTGGTTTCTCCATTTAATACTTTTATCCCAATGTGATCAAGGGAATATGATATCTGGCAACGTTTCAATGCTAGTAGAACACCATTGTATAGAGAAACCCCAATCTGCAAAAAGGCATTCGTATTCTATCCGATCTCGGTAACGACTGATATACTTTACAGCAACAAAAAGACAACTATATCACACAAAATTTCAGAAATACACCCAACTCACCACCTCCCCCCGTCCATCAGTTAATCCCTAGTATGAACCAACTTGCCCTGAACCCACACGTTCTTTACATTCCGATCATCACCACTCCACATCCACTTCTGGATCTGCTCCTGCCAAGTCTCGTCCCCAAACAAATCGACATTGCCAACGGGACCCGAGGCATCCACACCCCTCGCGGCAAGCGCCGTAACAGTATTACTCGGAACGGAACCCAGCTCGATCAACTGTGCATCCCAAATCATGCCCTTGTCAAACCCACCAATATCACCCGCCATATCAACGACGGCTGCACCACCGCGCGTAGCGAGATAGAGACTCTCCTCGACGGAAAGCTTCTCCGTCCCGTTCGTGGACACATTGCCCGTCATCGTCTGGTACTCGGAGCTATACTGCAGGAGGCGGGAGACGAGGCAGGCCTGGCGGGCGACTTCGAGGATACTGGGGCTGTATCCGCCGCTGACGTCTGTACCCAGGCCTACAGTGAGGCCTTCGTCGAGCAGGACACGCACTGGAGCGAGGCCGGAGCCGAGGGCGGAATTGGAAGATGGGCAGTGCGAGATTTTGGATTTACGTTGGCGGATGAGCGTGCGTTCGTCTTTGGTGAGGTGCACGCCGTGGGCGAGGATGGTGCGCTCGGTGAGTAGGTGGGCTTTGTCGTAGACGTCGGCGTAGCTGGATGATTGCGGGAAGAGTTGTTGGACGAGGGCTATTTCGTCGAGGCTCTCGGCGATGTGCGTTTGGATGTGCAGGGGTGGGTTGTAGGATGCGGCTAGCTTGCCGAGGCCGTCGAGGGAGGCTTTGCTGCAGCTTGGTGCGAATCGGGGGGTGATGATTGGGTTGATGAGTGTGCCGTTGGGGTCTAGAGCTTGGATGTATTTGATTGTGGATTTTGTGGCGCTGAGACCCTGTTCGGCGGATTGGTCGACGTAGTAGGATGGGCTTATATCTTTGTTGTCCATGCAGACGCGGCCGATGAAAGCACGCTGGCCGTGGGAGTGGCAGATTGCAGCGAGGGCATTGGTTGCTGGGACGTGGATCGTAGCAAAGTAGGATGCACAGGTTGTACCATGGGCCAGAGTGCGAGCAACAACCTCCTCGTAGACGCGCAGTCCTTCTGGAGGCGTGGTTTTGGGGTCGGTCTGTTGGTTCTTGGGATCGGACTTGGAGCCAAAGCTGGCCTCCGTGGGATAGGTGTATTCGTTCAGCCAGTCCAGTAGGCCAGAGGATCCGAACAAGCCAATGTTTGGGAACTGAGGTGCGTGGATATGGGTATCTACATCAAGAGTTAGTACTGGGAGAGTATTAAACAAGGGAGGTGGAGTCTACCAATGAATCCAGGGAAAAAGAACTCGTTCCGTGCATCGTTGGACTTGACAACTTGGACCTTAGTCCCCCTGCCCCGTGTGGTACTATTGGCATCAGCCCAGCCATGGCTAGACAGGAACGACTGGAAAGCGGTATCGTCCTTGACAGTCCAGTCGTATCCCTTGATGCGCCCATCTGCAGAAGAGACCCAAAGGACACCTTGATTACGATCAAGCTCGGGTTTGTCCGAAGTCGAGTTCAAAAGAGGGAGATGAATGAATGTGCCTCGATAAACAGTGAATGGATATGTCGCGGCGGTGGTTCCGCATGCATTAAGCAATGCAAGCACCGCGACTGAGAATCGAGACAGGCTTGGAAACATGACGGAAATGAGTGAAATGAGTGCGAATCAAGCCGCTATCTCTGTCTGAATTCACAATCATCTCGAGGGATCTTGGTTGATATATCTCCATTGAAACGTCCGGAGATTGAAGGGTCACCATTGTCGATGGAATGGTATGGTGAGATTGAAGATATCCAGAAAAGGCAGGCATAGCAATAGGTCTTGGAATGCGAGGGCTGTACCTGCTTGATGGGAAGACGATCTTCAGGGCTGCAGAATCCTCAATCGAGAATTTGAAGTCGATATCGAGGGTATGAGACAGTTGGATCAACAGGGCGTGATAATCGAGAATGATTTGGGCTCGGTGTTCGGCTGCTTCCGACCGATCGCTGGTCTTAGTTGCAGGCAATGAAAGATACAAAAGAGGAAAGATGAACAAAATAGGGTAATACGAGGAGTAGGGATCAGCGGCTGTGCATAATCAGGTTCATCTGTCGTTATGAATAGGGCAAAGGACGGCTGGCGGCGAGTTGGAATCTGATTGAAGCAACTGACAGCGAGGCTTCCGGGGTGGAGATTTTAGTTCTACTCAGACGAACCAATCAATGATTCAAGGTTGTTTCTACCATCGGAACATTAGCTCGTGGCCTTAATATGTAAGTATCAGAGAAGGGCACCTTTTGCGCTTGTAGAACTCGAGATAGTCTAGTGTACTCAAACCAACATCATCGCTACAAGCCATCACGATTCCTACTTTTCCAATCATACACGTGGCCCGGGTCTATTCTTTGTCGTAGAGAAGGACCTCCTGCGGAACGATCATCACAGGATTGTTGATCTTCATTAAGTCGGATAGATAGCTAACTCCGTGCGCCAGATGGAACCAACCAGACACCAAATTTGGATGATCGTAGCCTAGTCTAATTATACCCTATCGAAGACTCTATTGTAGCACTCTTCAAGGACATATATTGTAAAGCTCTTGTCCCGCCAAACCCAATTGTCCAAGCAAAAAAGTCATCAGGACAAATGGGCCCAAGCGGCAAGTGGCCGCTAAGCGAGTTGAGCATAGCCGCAAGCACCCGAAGACCAGTCTGGCCACAAGCCCAAAGCCCAAAGCCCAACAGGACGGACATCAACTACGATCCGACGCTTTGCAATTTCCGATCAGGCGCTTCAACTTAACGAGAACGAGCGAAACTGCCATGCTCCCTATGAAAGGTCCAAGACATCGTAAACGGAGAAAGTTTTATGACAGAGGCGATCGATATGCACGGCGTGCATTAAGTTCGCGCGTGTTCTTGCACCCAATCAGAATCCCTGCCTTGCCGGAACTCAAGCGGCAGTTCTGGTGGTGCTGGCACTTCTGATTGCTCCAAACTCAGCCATCGAACCCTAATGGGAGCAGGATGGGGGAACCTCCAATGAGTCGAGTCATGGCAGGTTTTTCGCGGGCGGCTCCGAAGATGACTTTACATGAAATACTTTTACGGGCGATCACAGAGAAGTAACAACGTGATTATACATGTTTGGTTTGGACCTGTTAGGGTCATCAGTAGTGACGAGTTAGTTCATAGGAAGCCAGATGAGATTGACCAGGAACGAGCCGGATAGAGCCGAGGCCGAGGCTCACAAGCAGAGGCTGACGGATCCTGTCAATACCGCGAAACTCCAGTACGGAGTCCTGTAGGATAGACGGTCCTTTAGGTCGTGATAGACTCCTTCCATGTAGAAAGGAGAGATCAATGGATTGGCACAAACCCTAATTCCGTTTCTCTCTTTTCCGATCGGTCTCTTCCATGATCGACCTGAGGAGCAGGGCCTCTCCGAACGTCCAGCGTATTCCGGGAAACTCGTAAAGAATTCCAGAACCTCGTCAAGAGTCCCAGCGCAATAGAGGGCCGTTCTCTGCCCAAACCCCCAAGGGAAGTCCTCGCGACAAGGTCAGCCCCAGAAACACCTGAATGGTCAACCACCAGAACAAACATTCTCAGTGCGATCTTAATCGAACGTCTCTGCATCTTTGATAGCAATATTGGGTTATCTACCCGTGAAGCTCAATTTTAAGCTTATCCCAACAGTCCAGTATATCTTCAAAATGTGTAAACTTCACGATGAGGGGGAAAAAACGCATCGGCCACTTCCCCAGAATTTCACGATCCAACATGTTGAGACTTGCCCCGGACATCTCCACACTACCCCAGATATTTCTGCAAGCCAAGCTGCGTTGGCCCAATACCGATGGATCGTTTTACGTGCGATTGACCCATCGTGCTGTCCTGTGCGGGCTCGCCGTTCTCCCAGTTGGCCGGCGACCGGCGAGTACCGAAGACTTCAACCCCGTACTTGAAGGCGACCCACCGCAGCCGATCTGGGGAGAATAGGCCCTGGCACGACAACTGTCAAAGCAATTGCTTCGATCTCAATATCGAAACCCGCCTGCTTTGCAATTCATCATATATCGGTCGTGGATCGCCCTATAGTTGATTCCTATCTTCTCTTCTCTAACCAGCATTGACGTCGTTCTGTGGTTTCTCATTTTTTTTCCCGTTATATTCCATTCCAACCTGATATTTTCGTCATGGGCTTGAAGCCGTATATGGGCCTTCGAGGCAATGCCCTCCTTAGGGCTGCCGTCATGCTGGTCGTGTGCCCTACCTTTACCTGTTATGGATACAATATGAGTGTGGCCGGTGGCCTTTTGACGCTTCCTGCGTTCAATACCCAGTTTCCCCGGATGGATACGATTACTACAACTGGAGCACAGCAGGCGGAGAACTCGACGATTCAAGGTGAGTCCTTACCCACAAAAACTAGACTGTATGCATAGCGTCTAATGCCAGTGGATATCTACAGGCACCGTCATCGCCCTCTACACCGTCGGTGGTATCTTTGGCGCCCTGTCATGCGTCTATCTGGGCGATTTACTCGGACGCAAGAAGGTCATCTTCTGGACTAACTTCATCACCATCATCGGTGCAATCCTCATGGCAACCTCCTTCGACTTTATCCAATTCATCATCGCACGACTCATCCTTGGTCTGGGTATCGGAGGCTACGTCGCCACCGTCCCGGTCTGGCAATCCGAGATCTCCCCCGCGCACAAGCGTGGCTCTAACGTTGTCACCGATGGTATCTTCGTCGGTCTCGGCGTGACTCTCGCGCTGTGGATTGACCTCGGCTTCTACTTTGTCAAGGACAGCTCCGTGTCGTGGCGGTTCCCGCTTGCGTTCCAGGTGATTTTGTCGGTTATTGCCATGATTTTCATCACGGTGCTTCCCGAGTCTCCGCGCTGGTTGATCAAGACTGGCCGCATTGATGATGCCCGGGAGGTCCTTGCTGCTCTGCTTGAGCTCGATCCTCACTCGTCTACTATCACCGATACGATCCACGAGATTCAGACCACCCTGGCTGTCTGTGGAAATACCTCCTGGACTGCCATGTTCACCAATGGAGAGCAGCGCTTGTTCCACCGTGCCTATCTGGCTGCTACCGGCCAGATGTTCCAGCAGATGTGCGGTGTAAACTTGATCACATACTATGCTACGACCATCTTCGAGGTAAGCTGCTACTTCCCCAACATGCAAGCAACCTAAACCTTCTACCCGTTTTACCCTCTCAAAGGCCTATCACTGACAATAGTTCCTCAGCAATACCTCGGCACTGACGCAGTCAAGTCCCGCATCCTCGCCGCCGCAATGGGCCTCATGCAGCCCTTCGGCGGCTACTTAGCCTACTACACCATTGACCGACTCGGCCGCCGCCCGCTCATGCTCTGGAGCGCCGGCGCAATGTCAATCTGCATGGCCATCCTCGCCGGAACGACCTCCCCAGCCGCGAAATCCAGCACCGCCGCCCTAGTCATCGCCGTCATCGCCCTCTACTGCTTCCAATTCATCTTCACCGTCGGCTACTCGGGTCTGACCTTCCTGTACGCCGCAGAGATGGCACCCCTGCAAGTCCGCGCCGCCGTCAGCGCCGTCTCCACGGCCACCGTGTGGACGTTCAACTTCATCCTTGCAGAGGTGACGCCCGTTGGCTTTGCGACGATTCAGAATAACTACTACATCATCTTCGCGGTGCTTAATGCGTTGATCGTGCCCTCTGTTTATTTCTTTTTCCCCGAGACCAAGGGTCGGTCTCTGGAGGAGATTGATGAAATTTTTGCGCAGTCGAAGAGTATCTTTGATCCGCCCAAGGTGGCCCGGCGGATGCAGAAGACTCTGAGGGCGCACCAGCCGGAGGGTCCCGGGGCGCAGGATTCGGAGAGTGGTGGAGAGAATAATGAGTATGTTAAGGAGAGTATCAAGGCTTAGGTCTTTGGTCGGACTTGGAATGAGGTTTTCTGATCCGGAATTTCATGATAGTTGAAATGGTTTTCTTCGAATGGTTATTCGATTGATGCCTGTACAGAGGCAGTGGATCCTGCGGGGCAGGTCAACGTGGATTGGAGGGTCTAAAACCCCCAATAGCAGATAGTATATTGCGGATTCCCAATAAGGGTTGTCTGTTTATAGCAAGCCGAATGAAGTCATATGCTTGTTTTGCTCTGGCATGTGGAGTTCCTCAGATCTAGATGTTGCTGCAGTGGAGCCCGGCATAGTAGTAAACTGTTCCTGCTCAAGAGACGCTCCGTGGGGAATGGATCTCAACTGAAAAACGCCACTTGACACATCTGCACTTGAGGGGCTGAAAGGTCACAATGAAGCCCCAAGCAATACGTAAATCAAACACAGTGAAGAAGCCACCATCAAGCAAAAAGGGCTAATAAATTTTATGAATGACATACACAAGCTAAATACTCTCCACCCATGATCATCTCCATCACCATCATCCATCCATCGCGTCTCATCATAACATCTGATTTACTAAAAATTGAAGATGATATGCTTCCAGTCCAAGAAGAAAAATACCCAGTTCCCCTAATTCTGTACAATATGTTGTATCACGATACCTCATAGCACACGGCCAGCCGAGGAGCTCGTGCTACGGTCGTTGGTCTGCACCTTTCGGAGGCCCTTGCCCGCCTGGATGGAGGCGAGGAGCGCGGATCGGTTGTCGCCGGACCCACCCGCGGCTGGAGGAGGCGGTGGGGGAACTCCGGGGGCTCCACCAGCAGGAGGCGGTGGAGGGGGCGCAGCGGGGGCTCCGAATGGAGGCGGCGGGGGTGGTGGTGCGGCAGGGGCTCCGCCAACAGGAGGAGGAGGGGGAGGGGGAGCGGCAGCTGGGGCTCCGGTAGCAGGAGGTGGAGGAGGTGGTGGTGGTGGTGGAGGGGGAATGCCAGCTGGAGGGGCGGGAGAAGAAGCTTCTTCAACTGCAGGAGGTGAAATGGCCGCGGGAGGGGGAGGGGGAGGAGCAATAGGGCTGGCTTGCACTGGAGTAACGGACTTGTCTTCATCCATAGCGCTCAGGGGACGGGGAGGGGCCATGGTGCCGAACAAGATGCTGGCAAGCTGCTTGGCACTCCCGCCGCCGGGGTGATCATCTTCCTCGTCAGAGGAATCGAATTCAGAGCCAGCGGCAGACCAGTCATCATCGCTCTCGGGCCGGGCACGAGTCTTGCGCTCCAAGGGGACGGCTCCGGTGAAGGTGGGCTTGATGGGCTCCTGCTTCTCTTGCTGCGCGAGACGGTGGAAGGGGTTGGTGGACTGAGCAGTTGGTGGCGAGGTGGCTGGCTCAGAGGGCTGCTGGCCCCGGGACTTGAAATAGGGGTTCTTCGACTCGGCATCGGGTGTAGTGGCTGGGAAGCTGTCCGGGCTGACGACCTTCTCGGCTTCCGGAGCAGGCGCAGGCTCAACGGGTTCGGGGACAGCAATAGCAGGAATTGGAGGAGCAGACAGAATTTGGCTCTGCGTAGGAGTGCTGTCCTGGGGGGTGATGTTGACAGGGCCTTCATCATCTGAAGAATCCTCATCTATACCCTCCAGCTCGCGCTGCAGCTGACGCTCACGTTCCTTGGCAGCCTCAAGCTCGGCACGCTGGGCCTCAAGTCTAGCCTCCTGTTCCTTGGCCTGGCGGGAAGCTTCTTCCCTGCGACGCTTCTCTTCCTGCTTCTTGATCTTGCCCTGTCGAACCTGTTCCTCAAGAGCGCGTAGCTTAGCCTCTTGAGCTTCCTTCTGCTTCTGATATTCCTCCTCGCGCTGCTTGGCCTCGTCCCTGTTAAAGTGGTTAGCAAATTCAACGATCACATTAATATTTCGGGGCCCACTTACTCAAGACGCTTGGTCTCAGCCTCCTGAACCTCTTGCTCCTCCTTGATAGCCTGCTCACGAGCAACCTCTTCCGCCTTCTTCGAATCACCCTGACCGGCACTATCGGTGCGAGCCCGACGAGTAGGCGGTGCGGGAGGTGGTTTCTTGCCAGCAGTCTTGGAAACAGCCGGGGCGGGACCACCACGCTCTTCAGCCAAACGGCGTTGTCGCTCCGCCTCACGCTTAGCATCTTCCTCCTCCGCACGCTTGACACGCTCTTCGCGCTCACGCTTCTCCCTCTCCTGTCGCTGCGCCAAAGTTTCAGTAGCGTCATTGGGCTTCAGGCCAGCGGCGGCCATACGCTCAGCAATGCGCTTCTGAGCGCGCTCTCTCGCGGCTGCCACGCGGTCCTCGTGCGTGTTTCCAGGGTATGAGCCCGACGAAGGAGTGGAAGGTGGCATAGAAGGACGAGCAGCGGGCGACTCGGTAGGAGAGCGATACTGAGCACTCGAATCCGTAGCAGGTCGTTCACGCTCTTCCTTACGGATGTGAGCGGTCCGGCTGTTGCGGCCGAGATCGTAGATGAAATCACGAATGGTATCCTCCACACCAAGGGCATCCTCCCAGCGACGTTTCTCATGCTCGCGGGTGGAGTTCTCACCCTGGTCACGGAGGCTGTCTTCGAGACTCTTGGCAAAGTCACGAACACTCTCTTCGACATCCCGGGTCATGGTATCGTTGCGCTCCCGTTCAGCCTTCACATTGTTGTTCTCAGCCTCCAGACGGCGAGCAGCTTGGCCGTCATCATCCGCGCCGGCAGGAATAGGACGGCCGGCAAGCTCAGCAGCACGAGCTTGCATGCGGGCACGGGCGCGAGCCTTGATGCGATCGGCCTCGGTGATCGAACCACCGGGACCGGTACCGACGATGTTGCCAGCGCTGCCAGGGTGAGCCTTGGCATCCTTGAGACGGAAAAGCTCAAGCTTGGCATCGGCGATCTCACGCTCAAGACGACGAACATCGGATGCGACCTGGGGGACCTGGTCCTCGTAAGCCTGTAGCTGACGACGGAGGGATCGACGCTCGGCTCCATTGTCCAATCCACGGAATGCAGCATTCGGGTGAGTATCAATATCATCCTGAACGCGACGGATTCGGTCCATCAGGCTCTCAGCCTCACGGCGGTCCTGACGATCGAGGGCATCATCATCCTCGGCACGGTTCTCGTCTTGGAAGTCCACGGCATCAAGCATGATCTTAGCTTCACGGATCTTCTTCTGTAGTTGCTCCACAGACAGCTCATCGGTCTCAGAGGCTTGGGAAGAGGGTGCAGGAGAGGGAGTGCGGCCGTCCTGACCAACACGGCGACGCGCACTAGAACGATAGCCACCAGCAGCGTCATTGTTTTTGAACATTGTTGCATCTTTGCGACCTACGCCAGGGGAGGTAGCACCGCCGCCGCGGAAAGAGTGGTCCTTGAGATAACTGACGCCAGTCTTCTGGGGCTGCAAGAAAGCCCCCGTAGCCTTGCGGTTCTCCGCATCCTGGGACAACAGGGACTTGACGGTGCCGATAGACTCGTTCAAGTGCCTCGTGGATGGGGGAATCAGTTCGGGAGGCAGGCGGCTAGGAACGGGATAACCGTTCAAAGCACGATAGATCAAATGCATAGCCACAGCGAACTCATCCATGTTGAGACGACCACGGTTGTGCGGGTCGGCCAAAGTCCAGATGCGCTCCAGATCCTTGCGGTTCAATCCACTCTGCCCCATAATCTCAATAGCGGTCTCGCCACCGACGAAACCCTTGCGGAGACCGTCCCAAGCACGGAAGAGATCGTCGTAAATCTTCTTCTCTTCCTTGGTGATAGCCCAGGCAACGGTAGCGTTTCCAGACAGGTTGGCAGTAGTGAAACCACCCTCACGCCCAGGCTGGGGCATGAGCTGCTGCTTCATGGCCTCAATGTTGGGCAATCCCTGCGCTGGGGTGTTGATGAAGCCCCACTGTCCAGGAATTCCAGTAGGCTGAGCAGTCAACCCGGTGGGCTGAACCGCCAGTCCACCAGTCTGAGCAGGGCTGAGATTCGATCCAAATCCGGTGGGCATAGGTGGCATGGGAGGGCGAGGTCCGGTGTACCCCGTAGCCTGCGGGTTGGTCAGGAATCCAGTCTGCTGCGGCTGGAGGAACTGCGACTGATTCTGTCCGGGGAAGCCTGTCTGCTGGGGCTGCAGGCCGGTCTGCTGGGGGAAGAACCCAGTGGGCTGGGCAGTCAACTGCGACAGAAGCTGCTGGTTGCTGGCCTGCTGAGGCTGGGGCTGCTGAACGATCGGAGGAGTCGACTTGTTCTGAAGCAGTGGCGCATCAAAGCTGGGGGCGTTGGTGCGCGGGGCGGGCTCGGGCTGGGTGTCGGGCACATCGAAGGAGATAATATCAACCATACTGGAAACCTCATTCTTAATTGTATCGGGCAACGCCGCAGGGACCTCACGACCGGTCAACCGCAGGTTACAAAGGTACATGGCCAGCGCGAATTCAGGGAAGAACAGCTGGCCCGACTTGGTGGAGTCTGACAACACCCAGATCTTGGAGAGATCGCTACCGGGGAGTTTCGAGCGCATGAGGAGGTCTCTTGCTTTGTCACCTATAGAATGCACATCAGTAAATTAGTCCTACTTGTAGCAATTAATTCGCCACCATATGGAAAACCGACCTTCCATTGTCTTGCTATCACCAACCGCCGACTTGAAGAGCTGCTCGAACTTGGCCTGGTCCTGCGCAGTGATGAACGAGAGCCGGATGCTCGGGATTCTCGAACCAGTCTTCGGTGGGACCTGGGGACGAGGTCCAGAGGCGCCATCGGCCTGGAAAGAGTTCGCAATCTCAGACGATGTCTTCAAGCGGGTAGGAAGACCCGTAGGTTGCGACACCTGCAGTTGCGGGGCTTGCGGCTGCGACTGGTTCTGAGGAGGGTATCCGGTATATTGAGGCTGCTGGAAGCTCTGTTGCTGTTGCAGTTGAGGTTGCTGCTGCTGTGGTTGTTGGCCAGGGAAGCCAGTGAATTGCGGCTGGAGCTGGCCCGCGGGGAATCCGGTGGCCTGGGGTTGAAGTTGCGCGCTACCGAATGGCGAGGGCTGTCCGGCGAAACCAGTAGGCTGAGGCGCAAAGCCTGTTGGCTGTGGCTGCTGAATTGGGGCTTGCTGTTGACCCTGGGGGAATTGCGAGTATGAGGGCTGCTGCTGTTGCTGCTGCATGAATGGTGCCTGGCCTGGACGGCCAGCACCACCACCGCCGAGGTAGGAATTCGACGAGGAGAACATTATGATGAACGCGGGACTCGCATGGACAAAACAGATGCAAAGAGCCCCAGAGAGAGGGGATTGATGGGTAGGAAAAGGAGAAAACGAATGCTGAGGGGGAGTTTAGGTGATTCTCAGGAGCAACGTAAATGACGCCGTTGTAGGGACGCGGAGGCACGCTAGCCCGAACTAGCGCTTAGTCATGGAAGCGGGTCCGACCCTCGCGGCCTAAGGCAAGAAGAAGTAAATATAGTACTCATGTTGAAGAGGTCCAGCAACAAGTTGTAGGACTTGTGGAGGGTAAGAACGGTGAACAAATACTGGTGTTATTCGATTCGGGGTTGGACATTCGGGAAAGCCAATGAAACGGCTAACTAAACCAAGTGAGCCTTATTGACTAACAACTATGATCAATACCAAAAGACTTGACGGGTTATTTACAAAGACCAAGAGGAGCAATTGAATTTGAATTGCATTTGCTGTGGTATCATGCTCGATACATGGCTGAATGCACATGCAGAGATAACTATCTACTATCGAAAGTCCTCGCCGGGACTATGGGGCCGCAGGAAGAACCGAAAGAAAACAAACCAGACCAGATGGAAAGGGAAAGAGGAGGAATATGATAAGGGGAACAGACATGAAGGGAAAAAAGACATGATGATGTAAACGACGTGAAAGCCCCCAAGTTCGCCGGACCCCGTGTGGAAAGCAAAGAAGCAAGTGTGGGCGGATCTGATACTAATGACTGCAGATAAGACAGACATCGAACCAACCAACCCTTTATTCGCCGATGTTTTGCTGCTGGTTGGCAGCGTTGGCCATCTTGCGCAGCTCATACTCCTTGGTGAACTCGCGGGAGAGGATACCGAGGTCCTTGATCAGGGCCTGGCAGGCGTTGATAACGGCCTGGCGAGGGGTGATCTCGCCATCGGTCTGGCAACGCAACTGGAAGTTGGGAGTCAGGGGGTGAGGAACCTAAAAAGGAAGTCAGTGATACTATTGGCATCGATATTAGGATGATTCGATGCACATACCCGGTAGGCGGCGAAGGTGACGTGGGGGGTGCGGAGGAGGCGAGTACGGATCATGTTGGCAAGGGTGTGGTCTTCCTTGTGAAAGGTGAAGATAGCAGCGGATGGCATGCCTGTTATTTCGAATGTTAGTAGGATGTCTCACGGTATATGGCGATGCACAGGAGAGTACTTACGAGTATCGACCTCGACGTCGATCTTGTTCTCGCCGGGGGCGAGGAGAATTGCCTCGTACCTGAGATACAAAGTCAGTGTCTGGATATATGTAAACGGTGATGCACGAAATGAACGATCAAGAAGCAGGAGATATGATGCAAGAAAACAGGGCTGTGACAATCTTGGTGCATGATCCAGGAAACTAACGGGGACTGGCGATCATCCGTTTGAACCGGGCGTGGAGCCCGAGGCTCAGGGCGGGTCCGATTACCAGCACGCTCCCTGGCTATAGCCACGGAGGCAGTGTTGAAGCCGAAGCTAGATGGGTACGGGTAGGAATTCATGATGGCCGGGATGTAGGGGTGGTCTTGATGGAGATGGTTCTGATGGAGTGCGGTGGGAAATTGAGAGGGAAGACGGGGAGAGGGATTAGGATAGGACGAAGGAATCGACATGATGGAAACACGTCCACGATAAACGGCACGGCCCAAGAGCAAAATCGGCAGCGTGGTGTGGAAGATGAAGCTGTACAGGATGTGGAAGAACTGGAGTGGAGGGGGGAGAAGGAAGGAAGAGAGAGGAATAAGGAAGGAGCGATGGATGGGTTGAACTCGGCCGTCCAACAACATCATCAGGCGGATTTTCCATCTTGAATGTATAATTTCAATCCACGCCTCTTTCTCGGACTTGCTCTGCCAACCTGCCCCATGTCTACAAGTTGCACATGGAAATCGGTCGAGCATCATTGAAGCCCACGAAGGCATGAATGTCTGAAATCAATGGGAAGAAAAGTGAAGGTGCAATGAAGAAACGACAGAAAGCAGGACTGCAACCTACCGATCTGGTGCGTTCATGCTGGGCGGTGAAACTGGGCACTGAGCCGGGCGTATAAAGTTGAGTAGTCGTGAAGACTAGGCGTTGAGAATGGGGAAGAAATCAAATCTGCCCAGGATACGCCGAGATGATCAAAGCTGGAGGGCTGCGGAGATACAAGAAGCTAACTCTGCAAGCTAACTCCGTAGGTTAAATAGACTGGAAGGCCGCTGTTCAAAGAGGCAGCGGTGATCCTCTATACGTCGCTTCGTTGATGGCCTGCACCGTGATCAAACACCAGCAACCTGTCCAGTGAAAAGCGACTAGAACAAAGGAAAGCCCCAGAAGTCTATATAAGACTTGATAATTTTGGCGTAGATTGGTGGGTTCAACTGAGTATCCAATCGGAGACCAAGGCGCTGCCTGTTGCGTAGAGTCGTGGAGATATAGATGAGGAAAAGTGCCTTGTCGCGCGGCAGATCGTGATATTGGCCACGTGATGATGCCTGGAAGATAAGTCACATGATATGCTACTCGGGTCATGTGATGCTACTTGACCTAGTTGAGATGCCACGTCTTCAAGAACCACAGAAATCGGTTCTTTTCTTTAGTGTATTCAGAGGCCATATCATTCAAATTGACAGTATTTTAATCCATCGTACGGTCATAGTTTCATATATTTAAAATGAAATGGGTAGATATCAGATGTTTCCCAAGTTCACCTCAGTTCTCCACATGTTGCGGCAATTGCGGGTCCTCCACCACCAAGCTTAACAACTACGAAGGCACGAGTATCACCTTGTACAGGCAAAGTCAATATTTGACATTGAGTATCTACCAATGTAAGTGCCAGGATCTTCTTGTTCATAGAGCTCAATCTAACTTGAGTCTGAAGTTTTTAAAATCCCCCCACTACAGAATATATATCTTTTACTTCAAGACCTGACTGCGAACCTATGCCTCTGACATGTCCGGACTGCAACACCACCAAGTCTGCCTCCTATGGTGCACTTTCCCTTCTTACATCAGTCCCGCCTGCCCCTACATGAGAAAAAGACAGTTTCGAGTGATATAGTGAATAATCTTATTTCATATATAGTAAGGTGATCAACAACGGAATAACACCCCTTCGGTATTCATACTCAAGGCGGAAATTAGTCCTAAAACTTTGGACATGTGAATATATCAATCACCTACGAAGTGATATTCTGTTAGTGCGGATATCTTGCGGATATCCAAAATGTGGACTTGGATGTGGCCTCACATCCATCCATTGGAGCGGATGTGCCGTAGAGCAACCGTTCTTTACTAGTCCCATCCCATAGAAGAGGAGCAAGTTCTTACATTACAGTTAACATCAAATCTGCCGTAAGAGGCTCAACCAACGGAATGGCTAGCTGACGCACGTGGTATAAGGCTCCTCATTGGGTGCAGCCTAGCGAAACGTGGCTATACATCGTCTTGGTACTGCATGATGAGCCATATATGGAATAGTTGGAAAAGAAATCATACTGATGAACGCACACGAATTGTTAGAAACTATATGTCGTGAATCGAGGAATGGTTATAATTGGTGTGTGTCCTCCTGCTGCCCCCTGACAGAGCGGGGTAATTGACCTGTAGGTCTAGACTCGACCTACGTTCACACCATCAAGTCAGCCTCGTCACTTATGCTGATGCGGGGTTGGAGCTGAGGCTCTGTTATACAAGAACCCAAAGGAGAATATAAGTAAGATTGTTGCTCTCGCAGGAAATCTACTTACCAAGCTTCATGTTATACCAACTCCATTAATATTCTATCGACTAATACAATTCCATCATGGGTCGCGAGCAGGTTATCCCGAGCAACAAGCCTCGCGAGAGCGCCCTTCAATATGTGACCGGCAATGGGCAACATACTCTTCGAGTCGAAAAGTTCCTTGAAGCCGCCAGACCAAGTGGCGAGGAGGCGTACAGCTCCTTCGTGACTAAGTATCCCGCACCTGATGTACGCATCCCAAGTTTTTCGTCAAAGAAAATTTGTCACATTCACATTCTGATGACTCGTGACTAGGGAAAACTAAAGTACGCACCTGCCATCAAAGGTGTTTCCGGCCACGTTATCGAGACGGGTCAGTCGTTTACCATACGCGATGACTTCGACTTTGCCAACCCATCCGCCAGTGGAAAGGGTTATCATGTCAATGTACAGCTGGGAAAGGATACTGTGGCCTTTACCTCCGGCCAATATAGCACGGCGCAGTATTTTGACCGGGTCAGTATGACAGGCGAGAGACTGCATGGGGATGGGGCCCGGGATGCTGCCTCGTGGTATACACAGGGATATTCGCGATGAGTGCTAAACTCTTTGTATATTCTGTCTATCTCTTAGAGTTGTGCGACTGAAGTAAATCGGAACAAAATGTGTCGCAGCTTATTTGTCTAGGTATCCTGTCTATATAGGTGCATATACTACAAACGTTTAAAGTTGCGGCAAGTCCAGCCGTTCGTGCAGAGAAGTATGCCCGACGATCTTGTGCCGTGCGAAGATAACCTTCGAATCTACAACAATGAAAAAGACAGTATCTCCACCTAAACCCGAGAAAGTGCCTGGAGAATTCCGGACGGGCATGGGTATAACTAGGACTACGACTCCATGTCCCCATTCACAACACAACACAACCTTCCTAACCTCCATATCTGGCTCCGAAGCGGCTCCGACTCAAGGCATGGACCGTTTCTAGAAACCTTCCACCCGGATTTCGTGGTAATCCCAGATATCATAGTAATCCAAGGATCCAACGTAGGAGGCCACGGCCTCGCCGACTCCTCATATCTAATAAGCCTCCTCCTCGGTGCTACGAAGCCAGCAACCCCCGCGGGTATCAAGACGTGGTGATCCACGTCTCCGATGGTGTTACTAGTACAAGGCGATCAACCCTATACGATCGTGTCAGGGGGATAACGGGGTGACCGGGACGGGATGATGGGCGTGGCATTGTCAATTCTATGATTTTCGATGCAATGCGGGTAAATAGAGACGAGGAGAATAGGAGGCTGTGTGGGGGGTGGAGATGGGGAAGGGATATTTGGGGTGGGTTGTATGGGAAGGGAGAATGACGATTCGTGCTGGGACGAGAATGGGATTTACTCAGGGAGAGATGGGAGCGGGAGAGATTTTGGGGGAAATCTGGAGAGAATAGGTGTTGGGTTTCTAGGAGGGAGGTTAGACTGTACATCGTAGGTTTAGTTGAGGGTTCTGCAAAGGAGGACCAGAGGGCTGAAGGAAATTATACGGAGATTACACAGATAGAGAGGAATGATTCATGACAGCGGAGTGAGTACATGTCCTCGGACCGCGATGTATATTATATGTAATGATCTCCCAAAATCAGCCCGAAGAGAGGTAGAGAAAAGAGAAGACGGAAACACGACGAAAAAAGATGCAGAAATGCCGACAATGAAAACGACCACAACGAAATAACCAGGGGAGAAGAAGGGTAGAACGAGAAAGGGACGCCATGCCTGCCTGCGCCAATGCCAAATAGAAAAGAAGCGTAAAGGTGATAGAAACGACCACGATGGCATGTGTCCTCATACTATTATTGCCGCGACGCCCCAAGCATGAGATGACTGAAACAAATTAAGTCCGAACAAAAAAGGCTGGCTGGAGAACAAGGCTTGATCTAGCAGCACCGAGGATTTGCTCTTTTAATAGGAGATGTCCAAGGGAAAGAAGGCTGATGCTGAAATCAGGCGGACTTGGTCAGTCTCGATCGTGGAGGTATGTATGTGCGTCGGAATCAGGTCATGAAAGGAGCCGAGGTGAAGTGCGAAAGAATTAAAAAAAAAAGTACTTTCTATACAGCGACGCCGGGATTGCATAATATGAATGCACACAATGTTCAGACTGGAAATGCAAGAAAGAGCCGCAGAAATTAGTGCACCGCACTCAGGATATCACCGAACGAAGACGTGCCTCGCTTCAACTTCCAGCTGCTCTTCTTCTTGTCTCGTTTCTTCATCATATCAGCCCAGCCCTCATCGTCATCTTCCTCGTCAGCTGCAGGTGGCTTGCGTCCCGCCGGGGACTGGCTGGTTCGTGAGACAGGTCGTACGGTCACGGTTGCAAGCGAGGAGGACTTGGGCAGGCCCATATGGGGCTGGGAGACGGACAAGGAAGAGTGGTGTTGGTTTTCATCATTCCAGACCTTGTTCACCGGCGTGACACCTGGGCCGGGCTCGCCTGCCATCACCGACACAGGTCGGTATCGGGATGCCAGACCAGCATTGCTGCGTTCAGAGGGTGCGATGGAAGCGGCATAGCCTCCAGTATTAGGTCGGAAGGGTGGACCACCGGGCAAATGGGGCATCGGCGAGCCTCGTCGCGCAGCGATGTTGGGATCGAGCATGCTGAGGGTACGCTGCTGTTCGAAGTTCGGGGCCATCGCACCGGGCGGTCCCTGCATAGACATCGGCCTTAGATTAGGATTCACCCCCATAACCGAAGGAGGACCCATGGGGCCGCCCTGCATGGGCATACCGCCCATCATTTGCGGTGGTACACCACCCGCCATCATTGGTGGAGCGCCAGGCATACCCGGCGGCATACCCTGCATTTGCATCATCTGTCCCATCCACTGCATCTGCATCTGCATCATATTCTGCATCTGGTTGGACAGGTTCACCTGAGCCTGCTCGCTGGGAGTCAATGGCTGTGGACCCATCATCGAGTAAGGTCGAGGCACGCCACCGGGACCCATTTGCATCTGCTCGTACATTGCCATAGGATTGGGGCTTCCGCCTCCTGCACGGCGAGCTGCCCTGTTCCGCTCTTCATTGGCAATGACACCAACGAGACCACCAGGAGGGGGACCGGGAGAAGAAGCACCACCACCATACACGGAGCCAGAACCACCGCCCAAAGCCAGGGATTCCCGATTGGATGGATTGACGATACGAGCACCAAAGTAAGGATCCTGAGGCAAATGCCTGGCAAAGACCGGGAGACTGCCCCTGTTGCCAGCCTCGGGTGCAACGAGGGAGGTGGAGGATGAAGAGTACGGATGCATTGACGCACGAAGGTTCGGATGGGAGCTGACGTTGGTCAAGCGAGTCGGGGGACGGTTGCGATTTGGGAAGCCATGAGCTGCGAGAATACCCAGCGGAATCTCCTCGTCATCCTCCTCGTTGCTGCTCTTTCCACTGGAAGACTTGTCGAGCGGGTTGGATAAGCGATTGGGGAGGTTGGGGGTGCTGCTGCTGGCTCCAGCCATTTCGGGCCGGAGCATCGGGGACGGAGCTTGCTGACCCGTCACCTTCTGCATCTGCTGCCGATAGAGTGAGAGGTGGGCCTCTTGCTTCCGGCGCTGCCGTTCCGCAGCCCGCTGCTTCTCAATTTCATCTTCCTCGTCCTCAAACTCTTCATGCTCGGATTCTTCCTCGCTTTTGGTGGCATCGCTGTTGGATCGTCGGAGCTCTTGTTGCTGACGGTAATGTTCAAATTGCGACGGAGTCATTACCTTGTTACCGTTGGCCGGGGACGCCGATTGGGATAGGCTTTCGGCGAATTGAACGGCCAGTCGGGCATCGTCCAGATCTTTATCACTTGGGGCGGGGGACCGTTGTGGCGCGAACAAACCCTCGTCCACAGTGGGGCTCAGATGCGAAGGACTGGTGGCCTTGCCCTTACCGAGGAGGGGTGTTTCACCCGACGGGGAAGCAGCCTCTTCCCACCGAGGCGAAGAACCCTTAGTCCACAGCACCGACTGTCGGACCATCTTGGCGTCTTCATCGTCCACGGCGTGCGAGTCCTGGTCTACCGAGTAGATTCCACTCCTGCGCAGACCATCCGATGGCCGACGGCCGGGTTTCTCTAAAGCGCGGTGTGACGTTGTCGCGCCGAGCATTTGGGCTGGGGGCGGTGACGGTTTGCTGTAATTGGTGACAGTTTCGGGGATCGAACGAGCTGGCGAGGTGACCCTATTGGCGTCGGGGCTATTCAGCAAGTTATCGCCAGAGTCTCTGCTACCCCAGGAATAAGGCGAGGGATCAACAGCCACCGATCGGTCTGTATTAATGGGAGCGGGTCGTCCAGCCCTATTGTCAGTTGCTTGGAACTCTGCCAGGGCTTGCGTTGGTGGAGACGAAGAGTACTATGAAGACCACACCGTTAGCCCGTCTATCGTCATCTCCCCCCTTGCATTTAGACATCAATTGTTGGTTCCGCGTACCTGTTTTGTCCGCTGCGGAGAAGAATCCCGCAGGAAGGCGCTTTGCCGCTTCCCCAAGTGGTCAAACATCTTTCCGAAGTCATCTTCCCCGGACGCGAGATCGAAGTTCAATTGCGAATCAGGTAACCTGGGCGGAGTTGCCGTGTCGTCAGTACTACCGCTGTAGGCACGCGCCTTCTGTACGTCCGGCGTGGCATGTCGAGGGGGAGCAGGGGGCGTCGAGTTCTTATTGAAGCGTCCACCGAATGAGAATGTCCTGCCGGCGGCTCGCAGGGCCCCTGCCAGTGGAGGCGGAGCGGGGATATCGTGGATTCTCGAATGTGGGGACGAAGCTTCATCGGGCGGCGGAACTTCGGTCGATGATGGGAGGGTAGAGGAGGAACTGAGGCGAGTTGAAGTTGAGCTTTCGTAGGTCGGACCGCTGTCATGGCGACCGGTCAATCGCTTTCTGAGGGATTCCATGGTCCGGGGGCGGTCATACCGATTTTTGCCCAAGGATTGCTCCGACCCGGCGAAGATGTTATCAGTGTCCTCGAGACTGGCCTGACCCTCACTTGTGCGCTTGGTAAGAGGAGCACCGTCCGTCATTGATCGTTGTTGGGTTCCCGGTCGCTCGAAGACGCGGAAGGAGGATTGGGCTTGACCATCCACCTCGTCTAAAACGTTGCCCGAGGACTTCCTCCGGGCAAAGCCTTTGGGCAGCTTGATGGGCATCGGGGCGGTATTGCGAGAACTATCGACGCAGCACAGCAGGGGACCAGCTGGACGAACGGGGTATTTGATTGCGTTGTAGACCTGCCTCCCTTCAATCGCGAATCACTCCCATTAAAGTTTCCCGTTTGACGTCGGGGAGAGAGAGAAAGAAATTTAAAAAGCGCCGTGAATAGTCTTCTTTGGGGCTCTCTTTAGTGATTTCACTTGACGTGTCCAATGCAGGTGAACAGGGGAAAAGTGGGTAAAGAAAAGCGATCTGTCCAGGAGGAGGGGGTGGTGTTGTCTTTGGAGAAGGATGGGCCGATTGGGCCGATCGGTCGCAAGGGAAAAACAAGATGACTATTTTGTACAGCGGAGGGGGAATAACGAGAGTGGCGGATACTGATGCCGATCAGGGGATGAGACTGGAAAGAATTGAGAAAGAAACGAATTAGTTCAAGTCTGGGAAGAAGCTTCTGGAGGGAGGAGGAACACAGCAACCGAAGGACCGAACAGCAACAATCACACTTCTCTAGCGGCTGATCAAGACCCCCGGAAGGAATCCACCCGGTGGGTTCGGATGCTGCGATCTGATTGCAAACTCACAACAAGCTCCCGGGAGGGTGTTGGTGCTTGGTTCTGATTCTTCCCCCTGAACCGAGAAACTTACCAGATGGCAAAGGTATGATGGGGTGGTGAAGGTGTGTAGAGATTTCAAGCCAAGCGTGGGAAGAGGCTGAAGAAGCGAAAGAAAAGAATCGCGATCAGGTGAGACCCGGGGCTTGGACTGGGACACTTGTAATGGCCGTTTCAGTTTGGGCTCCGCCGTGAGTTGAGTCCGTCCAGCTGGCCGGAGCGAGTCAGGTCGGGGACGGTGGAGCTGTGGGAAAACCACTGGGAGAAAACAGACGGCTCTAAGTTCGGGTAGGACCCTGTTGGGGAGGGATGGCCCGTTGGATCGAATTCAACCTCACAGATCCAGATTCAGGGCTCACGTTTTGGGATTGCAGCGGTCCAGAGCGACCGAAACCAGGGAGATACGACTCAGGAATGGAACGAGTGAAGCCTCTTGAAGGCCTCGGAAAAAGAAATACCGGGGAATGAAGTGCTGCACAAAGTACGGAATGTCCGCAAACTTCGAGGCAAAGAATGAGGGAAAACCAAAGGGAAACAAAGGGCAGAAAAAAAAATATCATCATACAGTACGCCGTACACACGAGATCAGCCACCGAGCAACCACCAGTTTTGAAAATAGCGATTATATACCACTAGCAAAGTACACTATTATAGTAGGTACATCAACAAGACTCACTACCGAGCACAAGACTAGTCCAGTTCGGCCAGTCATTAGTGCACGCCTGGCGTCTAGGTCCATCTCGGTCCTGCAGTATTTTTGCCTCCGGACGCCTTCGTGGCTGGACTAGGGCCGCACTCGGTGGAGGGGTTTCGACGTATGATGATGACGATGTGTTAGGCGATCATGAGTCGCCATCATACTCGAATTGGCAATTCGATAGACATTATTCCTTATGGAGTGGACGGCGACTATCGACTGGCTCATGTGCAAAGCGCGAGTGAAACCTCCTTACTAAGTTTAGGTACGCCGTACGCGGTCAGTACCAACTCTGTATGTCTGTATGGTCGGTAAATCCGTAACCCTTTTTAGGCTCTCGCCTATAAATAAATAGCCCGACTTAGTCGCTTATGTCACGATCGGGTCCGCCGAGGATATCCACGAGTACGGAAGTACAGACATTGTAGTTGTCATGCTAGAGATATTGAGTCCAGGTCTTCCCTTCTCTAAAGAGTCTCTATAATACATATTCTATACTCTACACTTCAAAATGCTCTCCTTGACCGGATACAGGATACGTACAGTACTAGGCAGTCAAGAATGTCCGCACAGACTGATCAACCTCCCGCTCTAATTGACTACTCCACCAAGTTCTTCAAATGGAATGCATTCGTCGTCACAGGGCATTGTAAGCTTCTCTTGGCCTAACTAGGGGGTTCTGTCCATTGTCTAACGGCACCTACGGGAGTACAGTACATGCCCACTGACCTCAATCTTGCCCGAAACTCAACTAATGGAGTTTCCAAAATCGCACTGCCAACTTGGTCAAGGGTGAAATCAAAATCAAAGTGCACAAAATCGCCAAAAAAAAACGACTCAGATGCGAATCGGAACCACAACAGAGATCTTCTCGCTCGCCCCGACCCCGCCTGCAGGCCAATCTAATTAATTGGATCTCCAGCTGTAGGGCCCGTCCGGTCCAATGAGAAACCTTGCTAGGTCACGGTGAACGGACATTAATCTACATCTTTCATGATTTCCCCTTTCTCCTAGCTCCTTCTTCTTCTTCCCGATCTTCGCTTAGTTGCAACAGTTTTTATGGTCTCCCACTTCCCATACCGATCCCGTGGGTGCTGGAGTTCAATCTGCATCACCTTTTTCTCTCGGTCGGGTGATGATGGGTCCTCAGGTTTGTACCACTCGACGCAGTCGATGACTCGACATCTCCTCGGGACTGGACATGGAATACAGCGGAACTTGTGGCTACGGGGAATCAGAAACGAAAGAAAAAGCAAAACCAATCGAAATACATGGAGATAGCCGATAGATACACACGGCAGACGGCAGGTCAACCCATACATTGCACACGGCAGCCCTATCAAAGTTCAAACACCATCCATGGCCCCCTCTAACGCAAAAGTTGCCAGCAAACATTGATACCCATACTCCTACAAACAATGGTGTCAAAAAGCAGAGATGGGACAACGAAGGTCTTTTTCCTCCCAGAGCTCGGCCAAAATCATCTTCATATCCAACTAGTGTGGCAAGTGTGTAAATCAAAGAATCAAAAGTCAAGAATCAGAGATCATCGAGGGAAAAGCAGTGGGAAGTGGTCAAAATTCCATGATCGCGCCTTATTTGGCAAAGTGGAGATCATAGTTCAACCACTTGCGAGCAAGGACGCCGTCCACGTCTAGACCGGGCGTACCGTAAGTCAACGGAGCAAAGAAGACGAACCCATAGATAGTAAACGCCAGAATGACCAGCGTCGCGATCCATCCCGCAATGACGGACCTGCGGCCCATGCGCTCCTTGGCAGTCACGAAGCGACCGGGGTTGCGGTACGCCTTGGCCTTGCCGGAGGGGTCATCCACGGGTGGTGCCGCGGTGGCAGGGTCCAGGGGCTGCAGGTTGAAGATAAACTCAATCAACGCACCCGTGACCATGGTTGAAACCAGGTGAGATGGCAGGTAGTGGTGCAGGAAGCGCTGACGGCCCATCAACCAGAAGGGGAAGTAGTGGGCGGCCCAGCAGAGGAACAGGAATCCAGTGCTGTTGTACAGCCGAGAGCGGGCTCCGGGACCCCAGACTAGAAGAGATGAAAGGTTAGTCGCAAAATTCAAGGATGGGAGAACTCGACAGGTCGAAACTCACTCTCTTCCAATGCGTCAACTCCGCGGCGGAGGGACAACTGATCGGCACCAACAATACCAGCAAACACGGCCAGCAGACTGCTGGCAATCCACCATCCAATAGGGTTACCGAGGAAGTAGATCTGACCACGGGTCTCGTTCTTGGTCCAGAAGCTCACACCACGCAGCAAGAACGGCCACTGGAAGGGCTCGGTAGCGTACGGGTGGCTGCTAGTCAGCGCGTTGTTGTGGTGGAACATGGCACCCTGGAGCTCAAAGTACTTGCGGAGGAACGACATAGACTTGGGCTTGCGCTCCTCCCGCACCAGGCGCGGGCTATCGGGTGCGAGGCCATCGATGGTCTCGGCGAACCACAAGTTGCTGGACTGTAGGATGTTCTTGTTACCGTTGATTTCGGCCTGCTTGAAGGCCCACTCGGGAAGAGGAGTGGTGTGTGTCCACATGGCAACACGGGTAGGAACGTGGATGAGCTTAATCAAGCTAGCAAAGGTGCGGAACTCCTGAGCAGGCTTGCCGTTCTCGATCTTGAGCTCAAACAGAGTGTCATTGTGGCGCTCACCCTCGGCCAAATCGGGAGTCACGGTGGTGAATTCCTGGTTGGTCGGGTAGTATGGAGAAGCGACATCGTGGGTGAGAAGGTAGCTGTTGGTGCCAACGTGGAGGAGCTGGATGATGTCTCCGTTACGGACGCTCTTGGCATCGTCGACGAGAGGCTTAGTGGGAATAATTTGCCACAAGTTGTTGGTATCGTTGTGAGGGTAACCGGTCACTTGCTGGCCCTGGCTGGAAATACGGCCATCATCGTAGCGCAGCGGGTACTTCTCCCAGTGGCTGTGGAGAAGGGTCTTGGTGTCCTTGTGGCGCAAAGTGATGCTATCATAGTACTGGACACCGACGGACTGAGCGGTCATCGCATTGTCGCTAAGGGTCTCTTGGAACTCGGGGGACATGAACTCATCACCAGGTCCGGACCGGTTCAGGACAGCAAAGTGGACCTGGAACCAGAAGAGGTAGAAGAAGAAGGGGATGATGATCAGGGCAACCAGACGAGCGGCAAAGTGCTTGATCCAGGTGTACATATCAAGGGCACCCTGGCGACGGTTGATATCCAGCAAGTTCCACAGGTCGATCAAGACGGCAGCACCGACGGTCACGAAGGTAAAGAAACCAACGTACTTGGTCGAGATGACGCAGCTCATGCAGAAACCAGTCAGAAGTAGCCACTTCCACCACTTACGGCTAAATGGCTGGTGACGCAGCTTGTAGAAACGGACATAACACAGAATGCTGAGAGCCATAGACAACACTAGAGTGGAGTCCAGGAGGATGAGGCGGTCCTCGCCAACGTGCGCATTGTCAAACACCATCAGACCAGCTGCCAGCACACAGGCTGGGAGCGAATATCCAGACTCCCACATGATCAAGAAAACAACGGGAATCGTCAGGGCACCGAGTGTAGCGGGCATTGCGCGGAGAGCGAGGTAAGGTACATTGTTGTCGATGTACGAGTCGCCAATGTTCTCGAATAGGAAGTGGCCGTCGTATCCGATCAACCAGCCCATAAAGGCAAACAGAAGCTTTCCGAAGGGAGGGTGCACATCGAAGAAGTACGTGCGCTGAAGGTAGTAGGAGGCAAACTAGTAATGGGGCAAGCACATATCAGCTGAATCCGGTCGAGGAAGGGCCCCTGTTGCCATTGCGTCGCTGCGCAGCTCTCCAAATGAGAAACATACCTTGCCAAAGTGAACTTCATCAAAGACAACCTCGTTTGGGTAATCAATCCGGTAGAAACGAGTCGCAAATGCCAACACAGTGAGCACGATCATGGCCAGCCAATAATCCCACTCCGACTGCTTGCGTGCAGCCGCGACCGCAGGGTGCAGCGAGGCATTACCCGATGGTACCGCCGCATAATCCTCCTTCTTGCCGCCTCTCTTTCGGAGAGAGGAGGAAGGAGAAGACATTGTGAAGAAAGAAGAGAAAGGAAAAAGAAAAACCGTTAGAGAATGACCGCGAAACCACCTAAAGTAAATAGACTTCCAAAACGGCAAAGCTGTTAGCAGAGTTCCATCAAAGCAACGAGGGGAGAGAATGGAACAGTAACGCGCAGGTATATGAACAATAGTGAAGCTTACCAGAATCACCAAAGGGCATGGCACTCCGAGATTGAGGCCAGGAAAGCTGGTTGTAGAGAAAGGAGGATCGAAGGGGGCGGTTTGGACTGGTTGCGTGTCTTCTTGTTTCTGGCAAGGCGGTGGCCCGAGCGGGCACGCATCTTCAGTCGCATATGTTCCCCAGCCCTACCAATCAGAGAGCCGATGGCCTATTATTTAGAAACGAGCATGCGACAGGGGACGGAGCGATGACACGGTAGTTCTTCTCCATATGGGAGTTCACATGTACGTATGATGATGGAACTAGATATATAGAAGTCGATGCCTTATCTGTCGGGCAACGTAGGTATACTTACCTTGACTGAATACTACAACTGTGCGTCGTCTCACAAATATGTCTACTCTAATAGATCTTTTATTTCGATATCATGGGAGTGGGTGATCTTTAATATGTTTAGTTCAAGGTAAAACACTTTTGCCTTGCTCCTAACTTCCAGACACGATCGCGCCAGTGTCTCACGTTTCGGGTTGTCAGACGCTTGATAATAGCATGGCTCAACCTACATCGGAATCTTGAGGGTATACTCTCGATACTATCTTGTATACCTTGATGACCTACACTCAAATTTCCCCATGGTGTCATTTTAGTGTGATTCCGACCACTCAACGTATCTCAATATTTTCCGATAGTAGTCCTTGATATCATAGTACTGTCTCGAGATTCTTCTGTCTTACGATAGGGAGTCTCTTGAGTACTAGATACACTAGCAAGCGGTATTCCCTTCTACCTCGATGGTGGGATTATGTCGCAACTACTAGGCGCCAAAGAGCTGGACCGTGCTAATAATCTCGCACAGAGGCCGATAATCAATGGCTCGAAAAAAAAACAATGTGAAAGACCCTTGGGAATATTGCCTTCATTCTGTATCTAAGGAAAAGCTTTGGTATTACGTAGGCGAGGCAAGAATTTGAAACCCATTACCTTCGCAAAGCAGAATGCTCGGCAGATGCGAAGTGTTTACATCTCCAAGTGTAGTAGAAACCCTCAAGTGTGAAATAGAACGACACTCAGGTAAACCTATCTGGAACTTCTTGCGTGAAACTTCTTAGTCGCTCATTCACGAGATACATCGGTCACAAGATCAAAAGCCCCGAATGCCGACAACCAAACATTTGCCTCCAAGTCTAGTGACTAATTCTTTCCAAATCCTGTCAGACGAACCCCAAGTCCCCATGCACGCTGATTTAGTGGCGGTCGAGTCAAACGGTCTAGCTTTGCGATTTGATCTCTGCAATGAGACCCTCGATACGTTGACGAATCTCATCACGAATGACTCGGATAGGTTCAATGCCTTGGCCAGCGGGGTCGTTCAGCTGCCAGTCAAGGTATCGCTTGCCAGGAAAGAAGGGGCAAACGTCGCCACAACCCATCGTGATGACAAAATCGCTGAGTTCAACCGCCTCGGTAGTCAAGATCTTGGGTTTTTGGCTGCGAAGGTCGATACCTTCTTCAAGCATGGCTTCGATCACATTAGGATTGACGGAGTCGGCTGGGGCGGAGCCGGCAGAACGAACTTCGATATCGTCTCCGGCGAGGTGACTGAGAAAGCCAGCAGCCATTTGCGATCGACCGGCATTGTGAATGCAGACAAAAAGGACGCTAGGTTTGGCAGCCATGGTATGGTTTTTGTGTGATTGTTTGGGAAGTATATGTGAAGTAGTTCCTTGGCTATGAGCGGCGGGAAAAAATGTGTGAAGAATGGTTGTGGAAGGCTTTGGTTGGGTATTGTTCCGCGGGAGACAAAGCTACTGTCAGTGAACTCTATATACCACATCTGAGCTAGTGACCCAAGCTGATGTGCGGTCAGATGCTGTCCCTCAGTAGACGTAAAGTCATATACCAGTCATATCAACCACAGCTGATGCGATGCATCTTAATCGTAAATATTTTTGATTCATCCAGATACATTATTTGACATGATCAGTGGCAAGTACTGAAGCGTCGACAGTGGCCAGAAGCTACTCAATTAGCTGATTAATGTTATGAGGATATTATGATACGACATTTCTGAGGTTAGCTTTTTTGCATTAAAAAAAAGATGTCACCTCGAGCTTCTGACTGGTTGAGATCTTGAAAAAGAGATCTTGCCTTTGCATTGCCGAAGAACGGACCTGAAGCATTGACAGTTGGTCACTACTTAGCCATGATTGGTTGAGTTGAATAGGGTGTCATTCGCCACATTTGATTGGTTATTGGCACTCCATTATCTAACCATGTCAGGACTAGCGCCTAAATTTTAGCTTCTAAATATTTCTGGTTTGACATATTGCAAAAGTGGTTCTATAAAATATAGAAGGTTCTGTTTTCATTTGAAGTTTTAGGGGAATGTCATCTATAAACTCTTCATTCAATTTACCTCGCCGCAGCATATCTACCGAGTCAAAAAAATTTCACGGTCAATCGATCGGCTTGTCTCAGAGATGACCAGCCCGAAATCTTCAACACATTCGCTTCCAACAGCAACAGCAGAGCCACAGTCTCTTAGCACAACAGTGACAAAAGATCGGCCAAATTTTACGGGAGGGGATGTTGAGAAGCAAAGAACAAACGAAAATGAAGAGCCTCCATCCCAGCAATCGGCTTTCAAAGGCCTCGGATGGCTAGACCGGTTTCTAGCCATCTGGATCTTCCTGGCCATGGTCATCGGAATCCTACTGGGGAACTTTGTGGAAAATACGGGGCCAGCCCTTCAGAAGGGGAAGTTTGTGGGAGTCTCCATTCCAATCGGTAATTATTCTTCCTACTTCAGGGACGAAGACATGAACTGACCTTTCTAAGCCATCGGTCTCCTCGTTATGATGTACCCAATCCTTTGCAAGGTGCGATACGAATCTTTACACCACGTCTTCAACGAGCGGGCAATCTGGATCCAAATTGCTTTCAGTATCTTTGTGAATTGGATCATTGCTCCTTTTTTGATGGTAAGAGAGATATGCTGTCCCAAGCTCAACGACGGTTGCTAACTTCACATATTTAGCTGGGATTGGCATGGGCTTTCCTACCGGACGAACCAGAACTACGCGAGGGCTTGATTCTTGTTGGACTAGCCAGGTGTATTGCTATGGTAAGAGACGGTAGCCTGTGATCCACTCGAACTAAACTAATAGGTCTTTGAAGGTTCTCATTTGGACTGGTCTCGCCGGCGGCGACAATGAATATTGCGCTATCCTCGTTGCCATTAACTCGATACTACAAATGGTGCTCTTTGCCCCCTTGGCCGTATTCTTCATCAACGTCATCAGCCACTCGGGCAGTCAGGTTACTTTCTCCTATTCCACCGCGGCAAAAAGCGTGGCAGTGTTTCTAGGAATTCCCCTAGGTGCCGCGATCATCACACGGATGACCCTCCGGAAAATTACCAGTCCCCGATGGTACGACCAGGTCTTCGTCAAATGCATTAGTCCACTATCACTTCTTGGGCTGCTATTTACTATTCTTGTACTGTTTGCATCTCAGGGTCGCCAAGTGGTACACCAGATTGTATCAGTGATCCGAGTCTCTGCTCCACTGATCGTTTACTTTATTATTGTCTTCTTCATTACCCTCCTGGTGACTTACAAGCTCGGCTTTGGATACAAGTTGGCTGCAACTCAAAGTTTCACTGCTGCCAGTAATAACTTTGAGTTGGCGATCGCTGTCTCTGTCGCCACATTTGGCGCCGATAGCAATCAAGCGCTTGCTTCTACTGTGGGGCCGTTGATCGAGGTTCCGGTACTGCTGGGCCTTGTTTATGTTGCCAAATTTATTGGTAAAAGGCTTGGATGGAAGGACTGAATTAATAATGAAGGCAAGGTGTCATGCCCTGTGGATTGACCGCATATTCCTTGTAATAGGGGCACACCAATAACTATCACGCATAAGATTCGAGGAGCGGTTATGAGAATGAAATCGTATAGATAACGAACAATTTGCATTGCGATACCCTGTCGTCGGTTTTATGTAAGTGTCTCCAATCGAGAGTTTTCTCGCTACAGTCGGAGCAAACAGCATTAAATTTCATCTCCTAATATACCATCGTATATCATACATACTTGCCACATAACGTGATTGACCTGCTGGTTACTGACAGTGAGATCGGCGACAATCTGATCGATAATCAGACGAATCTAGAGCATGGTGATCGCATGCCAAGACTTTCCTGCTGTATGTACATGTCACAATCCCCCCTCGCGGCAATAACCCCGCAAAATGGGCTCGCCGAATTATTAATCTCGAGAAAACACATGACATATAAAGTTTTGCTTCAAGCAAAACTACCCTCCATCCTCGTCACCCTTCTACACATATATTGAAGCCCTCTGTTGCCTGATCCACAACATCAATCTATATTTACAGTACACATTGCCAAAGGATGAATCCAGAAGATACATATCGGTCTGTGCGGGAACGATATGCCGATGTTGCAAATCAAACGAACTCCGATGACCAGAGGAACTATGAACTGAAGGTCGCAACGGCATTCGGATATGATCCAGCGGATTTACGCTCTCTTCCCGACAATGCCAACCTTGGTGTCAGCTGTGGAAACCCATTAGCAACGGCTAATATCAGTCCGGTACAATACACTAGACTATAAGTTGTAAGGTTGACTTTGTCCTAACAGTTCAAACAGGGCGAGACAGTGGTTGATCTCGGTAGTGGCGGGGGCATTGATGTTCTACTAGCTGCGAAAAAAGTTGGGCCGGAAGGAAAGGCTATTGGTATTGATATGACAAAGGTACGTAATGGCACGACTCTTTTTGACTACCTTTATTCCTTTATTTCTTCTCTCTAAAGTTGCAATACAGGACATGCTGGAATTGGCTCGTCGAAACGCGAAAAATGCCGGAGCCGCGAACGCATCCTTTATCGAGGCGTTCATCACATCTATCCCGTTGCCATCCTCTACAGTGGACTGCATCATCAGTAACTGTGTGGTAAACCTAGTGCCAGAGCCCGAGAAACCTCTTGTTTTTAGTGAGATATTTCGTCTGCTGAAGCCGGGCGGTAGAGTTGCAATCAGCGATATCCTGGCAAAACGGGAGCTGCCGCTGGAGATAAGACAGGATCTCTCTTTATATGTCGGTTGTATCGCCGGGGCTAGCCAAGTTGGGGATTATGAAAGATATCTGAAAGAGGCAGGATTTCAAGGTACCTAATCTGCATCTTTTGCGTGACCAGATGCTAATGTTGAGTGTATAGATGTTTTGATCCTCAATACCAACAGCGATCTAAACCTGTACAAGGAAATGGGGCAGAAAGAAGATGCGCACGACACACCTGCGACGAGCTCATGTTGCGGCACTGCAGCTGCTAATGAATCGAAGGGAACATATAAGTTGACAGATGTTGATTTCAACCTTTGGACTGGTGAGCTGCGACAAAATGAAATGGAGCACAAAACACGATGCTGACCGGAATCAAGGCTCATTCAAGATTTTTGCTATAAAGCCCAAGCTCCATTGAAGAGGACATTGCCAGTCTGTTTGGGCTCGAAAGTGAAGCCCAGAACGCAAACCCTTCGTTTTGTCTATTAGCCAGCTGGAGAGGCTTATCACAGTTCCTTGTTGTTTGCCGTACTGGACTTCTCCAAGTGTAATAAAGGAAACCTCAGCTTGAATCTTTTATACCTGCTTCTAGCATTCCCACATTGACTGATGTACTATCGATTATTTTACCGCGATAATTAAGGTCTATTTTGTTTCCCTGGCTCCATCAATAGACTGATAGGCTTCTGTCCTGGTGCTCTGTAAATCATCCCTAGCGCCTATCGCAGGTCGGACCATCCCCAACAAAACCCCCTAAGGCTTGAAGCATGGCGAAGTGTGAAACCAAGAACAAGCAATATGGGCATGGTAAGAGGATCAGCTGGCTGTGAAGTATATACCAGATGAAACACCCGAATCAAAGTCCACGTCCTGGAACTGTACTCTCCACCACCCCCGTGACATTCAAAATCTTAAGACAATGCAGTCGATCCTTGAGCTTCTGGATCTCCCCAGGCCAAACCTTAGCCTGATCCAAAAACTCCATGTTCTCAATACTAGGAAAGCGGTCCTGCACCAGGATCTCCACGTTAGCAAAGTCAGGCCAATGAAGACACTAATGAATAACCAAAACCCACCGTGATAATACCAAACACCATCATCCATTGAGCCTGACCTACAGAATAACTAACAGGCTTCGGCTCAAACTCCGGATCAATCACGAGCGCCTTTAACCTCGGCGCATGAAACAGTGGAATCTCGACTCTATCCCTCCCGTGACGCGGTACGGCCAACTGAACAGTCTTCAAATTCGGAAACGTAATATCCTCAAAAACAGTCCGGGCTAATCGACACAACCGCTGGTCACCAATAAGAATTACCTCCGCACGGTGAATCATATTTGCATAGAATTGCCGGCGGTCAGGTTCGATTTTCAAAAAGGTTTCTGTCATCACTGAACCGTACAGTGTTCGTTCTTCCCAGTTTCGCCATAGGATGCGGGTTGTTTCGTGGAACCAGGTTTTGTTGACTGTAGCGCAGCGCATTAATACACCGCCGCTTCCGATGTACTCTCCAGGCTCATCGTCGTCGTCGTCGTCGTCGTCGTCGTCGTGGGGTAGATCGGGGTTGCCCCGCGGTGGATTCTTTTGGGTTTCGGGGACTGGCCACCAGCCATAGATGTCTTTGGAAATCCATGTGAAGATGCATTCTAGGAGGAGTGGAGAAGATAGGACTTGGCGTGCTGCCGAGAAGGGCTCTTTTGATATATTGGCGGTCATGTTCCAGATAAATAAAAGAGAAGCTTCGAGGTCTCTCGCACAGCGAGCTTGTTACTACTGTATGTAGTATCTCTGCGAGAAATTAGCCCCTTTCCCTCCCCCCCATGTCAGTTGTAGGTTAGGTCTACTCCCACCATGAGTCATCGCTCATTTCAATTGGTGAATCGCTTTTTTTCGTAGCCACAGCATTTAGCGTCCCTTCAAAATACTGATTTTCTGCTAGTCAGTCAGTATTATTGAAACTGCGCCTTCCAGCCGTAGCGCTGACTTCTGGATACTATTGAATGATGATGATGATGAGCAACAGAAAGAATCATGTAAATATGTAAGATGAAATTGCACTATGGTAGCGTATTATCAAGTACCCAGGTCAAACAACATACCTCGAAACCGACAACCCCAAGTTACATGAAGAATAATGGACCAAGAGAAAAAAATAAAACAGGGATACACCGAACCCCCCCTAAATGCAATGCATCATGCAGCATGCGTCAATCTATGACTGAATGTCCGTTCCAAATATCACTATACAGTCCATTCTCCACCTCATCCGATCTCATCACAAGCTAAATCTCATGGGCTCATGGGTATCACGCAGGAAGACGCAAGCAAAACCAAATCACACTCAATCATCCTCGTCCGTCACATCCAGCAGTTCTAGTTCCGTTCGCACCATGCTTTGAAACTCGACCCGCGACATTCCAGTCGCCTTGGCCAGTCGAAAGAGACTCTTGATGCTCGTGCCGATGTGCTGCTTCACGCCTACTTCATAGGTGCTCTGGCTTTCGGCTTCTTGCTCCAGCTTGGCCACGGCGTCGGAGCTACCGGACGAGGCGGACGCCGGGCGTGGGTGACTGAGAGAGCGGGCAGCTGCGTCACTGGGCACTTCGCCGGCTGCGTAGCCGTTTGTACGAGGGATGGCAGAAGCGTCATCGAGGTCGTTGACTTGACGTCGCAGAAGACTTGCGAGCATGTCACCGTTCAGCGAGGACGGGCCAACCTGGGGTTGCTCTTCTTCCGGGTCATGGTTGTCCATCGCGGGCTGGACGTTACCATACTGTGAGAAGTAGTTTGCCTCGGAAAGACCCGAGGGCTGGTGGTTTGAAGAACCTGCCCGAGGCGCGGGGGTCTTGTTACCTGGCGTTGCATCATACTGGGCCCAGTAGTCGTCGTCGTCGTCATCATCGTCCTCGAGTAGGCCATTTTGCATAGGCTGCGCCTCGACCCGGTCCTCCAAAGCATCAGCGAGAAGCTTCTCCTTGGCCCGATCATTGGCCTCGCCGATCGAAGAGGACCAAGAGCTCTCGTCTTCGGCGGGCCCCTCGCGCGGAAGTAGTTCCGCCACACGCCAGCCACGGCCACCGCCTTGTTCGTCGTCCGGACACCACAGGTAGATGACGGTCAATCTAAACTCGGGAAGGAGAACCTGAGCACGAAGCGTCTCGTCATCGATGCGCTTGTAGCTCACCGGGATCTCGGTGGGCAGCTCAATCTCGCCCGATACCGGGTGTGGCTCGAAGGTTGCATCGTCGACAATGCTCTGCACACGCTCTGCTTTGGTGTCGTCCCAGCAGAGGAGGCGAAGCCAGGAGTCTGAGGAGGAGGTGGAGACGGAGGTGAGGATCTGAATACGTTGGCGGAGAATAGGAGAGAGCAGTGGGAGGAGAGCTGGTGGTGGGCGGGGCGAGACAAAGGCTGTGGGGAGGCAGGCGAGGAGCGGAGGGAGGAGAGTCCGTGTGTCTGGAGGGTTGATGAGTTCGACCATGATCAGAGGAGAAGGGTATTTTCGAAAGAATAGGCAGGAAGGAAAGTGTGGGAGAGGTGTCAGGAGAAGAGAGAGAGTGAAGAAGTGAAGAAGCAGCGAAAGAGGAGTGCCATTATTTCCCAGACCCGTGGAAGCTCTGCAGCAGCAACTGATCAAAATGGCCCAAAGTGGATACGGGCTCCATTCGCCCGAAGACGTGGGGCAAGCGGGTGACTTACCTAAGCGCAGTGCTCTAGGGCGACTTGGGTTCCTTCGATTTGCCAATGACCGGAGTGGATTTCAAGGGGGACAAAGCTTACCCGGGGGTTCGTACAGCTATCTACACCAATCAGAGGTCAGATTAAACCGTTGATTAAGGTAGTGGGTAGATCATGTTTTAGTATTGATCGGTCCCTGGCTCTCTGGAACTAGGGAGTTTACTTTTCTCCCGTTTGAGTATTCTGATTGTCCTCTACTTGGTAGTAGCGTTGCATCCAGCCATGCGGAATGTGACCCTACCATGTGGTCCATGTGGCAACTCTATATAACAGTACCACGATAGTTCGTTAGGGCTCCCCACACACCGACTCTCTCGGCCAGACTCTGGTATCGTATCGAATACCATGCCAACGTTAAGTACAGTAATGCCTTGATGGATAGTTTCGCACGTGCGATCCGCCAGCCACACAAGAACCCTTCTAATTCCAAAATATATACCACGAAGTAAACACAAACCGAATTGTAAATGATTTCTTTTGAGAGCATGGTAGATCAGTCTCGCGTCATTGGCTACTAAAACTGACCTGCAGGAGCCGACAGAAATGAAATCGGCAAGCCTTCGGCCCGGTTCGAATGTCTTCGGTGTGCTCACATGCAGACGAGGAGAACACAAGACGGGGAAAAAAAAAGAACCACGATCGTCAGTCTGCGATAGCCAGCGCGTCCCCAGTCGCGTCATCTCTATCAACACGCACTTGCACAAATCACCGCGTCTTTCCTGTGAAACCTCCCACCATCAACCTGCCATCCCCATCATTCATAATCCAATTCTCCCACCGATCCAATCCACATACCTCCACTCCCATCGGGCCAAGCCATCTCTCCAAGCCAAATAGAAGATGGAGAACCGTCCTGTCGAGGCCGTCATTGGGCCCACCCACTACGTCTCCATGCCACCCTACATCCGTAGAGAAGTCGTCCACGACTGGGCCACCATGGAGAGACGAGTGCGTTGGAAAACCGACTGGCGCCTTTGCACCATCGCCGGCCTGCTGTGCAGCCTCAACCTGCTCGACTCGGGCATCCTCTCATCGGCAGCTGTCACCACCATGCTGACCGATCTGGACCTCGACCAGGGCTCACGCTTCTCGGTGTCCATTTTTATCTTCACCATTGCCAGCGTCGTCTTCCAGTTGCCCTGCACCCTTGCCGTGCGGTTTGTCGGTCCCCGTCTGTGGTTTGCAGCCATCACGTTCGCCTTTGGCTTGTTGACCCTCTGCACTGCGTTCATCCATACCTGGCGCCAGATGATTGCCCTGCGTGTGCTGCTGGGTATCGCCATGTCGGGTATCTACCCGGGCTTGACATACATGATCAGCACGTGGTACATGCGCGAGGAGCAACAGCTCCGATTCGCCTTTCTGCAGGCTGCCGAAGTTTCGGTCCTGGCCACGGGCAACCTGTTGAATTTCGGTCTGAACCATCTAAATGGGAAGGCCGGGCTTGCCGGCTGGCGGTGGATGTATCTCATTCAAGGTCTGATCACTTGTGTCCTGGGCATCATCACGTATTGGTGGATGGTGGACTTTCCAGAGAACTCTGAGCACAGTTTCAAGTTCCTGACCAAGCGGGAGTCGCATGTTGCCGCGGCAAGAATTCAGGACGATCGTGCGGATCTCCAGGTAGAGCCTTTCTCCTGGGCCCGGATTCTGTACTGCTTCAAGGATGTGAAGATCTATGGCTTTGCGATTATGTTCTTCCTGCTGAACCTGGTTTCGACGGCACTGTCATATTTCCTGCCGATCATTCTGGAAGGGGGCATGGGGTTTTCTCCAAACAAGGCGATTCTACTGTCGGTTCCGGTAAGTGTCAGGAGTTGATTTTTAATTCTGAGTTTTGCCCCGTCCTAATCTCTCGTGATGATGTCGTCGCTTATGTCGTCGTCACTGATATCGTTGTGGGACCCCTACAATTAGGTCTGCTAACATTGATTCTCTTCTAGCCTTACTATTACGCCGTCATCCCCGTTGTCGTCACCTCTCTGGCCGCTGATAAGTTCCGCCTCCGAGGCCCCTTCATCGTCTTCAACGCCCTGTGCATCGTCGTCGGCTTTCTCATGTTCGGACTGCCCCAGTCCACCCAGGTGACAGTCCGCTATATCGGCACCTTCCTAGCGACCGGGGCATACATCTCCAATTGGGCGGCACTGAACGCGTATCAGGCCAACAACGTGGTGGGCCAGTGGAAGCGGGCCGTGACAGCAGCAATGGTCAGTGCCTTCAATGGTCTGGGAGGCGTGGCGGGCAGTTATATCGTCCGTCGGGTGGAGGCTCCGCTCTTCCAAACGGCAGTCTGGGTGTCGGTGGGGTAAGTGCATTCTGATTCGTCTGTGAAGATGTTGCAGGGGAATTTGATACTGAGTTACTTGTGCAATGATAGATCGCAGATCCTACTGATGGTGATCGTGGCCGTATTCACTTTGTATTTCTACAAGGTGAACCTGCAGCAAAAGAGCCAGCAACGTGTGATCGAGCACGTGGTATGTCATGCCAATCCCATTCCACATTGTCTCCTGTGGAGGATATCTTAAGGATCAATGTGCTAACTTCCTATTTACAGCCTTCCTTCCGATACACCTACTAGAGGTGGTTGGCTCTTTCCTCATAACGGTCCACTCATGACACAAATAGCCGTTGCTGTACAATGAATGAAATGATGACTTTGCGTTTGCGTTTGCCCAGATACCGGGCCTATTATTAGCATTACATCCCTTATCTCCCACGTCTTAAACGGTCAGATAGTACTGATGCATAAATCAATATTCTATTATTGATGACGCTCAACTTTTGTTTTTAATGACACGAAAGTAGCCCGACAAGGCCTAATCTCATCCCCTTCGTCATAACTCCACCATCTCTGATCTTCTAAATCCTCGCTTGAGGAATGTGAGCCATACCACGTATTTCCGGGCTTGGGTGGTGTTCTCATAGCTCTGGAATTTGCAAGTGCGGTTTCACTTTGGGTTTGTCGGCGAGTAGGCATGTACCAGCTTTGGTGGCTCTCTCGGGGTGGAGAGGAGGACCCGGAGAGAGCGGAGAGGAGGCGTTTGGGACAGAGCCGGATGACTAGCGGCCAGATTGTGATGAGGCAGGAAGCAATTATGATGGTTGCACCCTCGATGACGGTGAGCATGCCGAGTCTGACGGAGAACCCTGCTTTGCGTATTAGTATCAATAGTGATGAAGGTTGGATGGGGATGCTGGGGGACCGTACAGGTCACATCATTCAACAGCGTAACGCTATTGAGCGTGTAGACCACCATTCGGAGGATACTCGCTACAGTTCCGCTGTTTGGAATGGTTAGCACTTGGTGCCAATTTTTTGGGTGGGGGGAAAAGGGATACTCACAGTCCACCCAGAAAGAACACTATGGTCAGCGCCACCTTCTGCGCCTTCGGCGCCTGCAACTTCCATACGAACGGCAACGGCAAGACAAGTATCAAAATACCCGTCAAAATGTTGAAAGGCGAGATATATTCATAGAATAGAGTCTGATCGATGCAAGTTCCATGACCGACGGTAGGATTCCAGCCATAGGAGACCGGTGAGCATTGGAAAATGGTTTGGAAAAAGACTGTGATGCCGATGGCTAGGACTAGAGATCCGACGAGGTAGACGAGAATCTGGAATTTGCGGATGCAGAAGATCCGGATGTAGAAGAGGAGGATAGAGATTTTGGCGGGGGTTATGCAGAGAGGAAAGTCGAGAAGTTCGAGGACGAAGAAGAACTAGTTGGGATTTAGTACTGCGAGATACGAAATAGTGACGTGCGAAATGAAATACCTTGCGCACGAGAGCTACTTTCTCCTCTGGGTGGGTTAGGTTCTTGATATGATACCCGAGTCCTGCGAGTTCAACCACTGCATTCTATTAGCTTTCGATGCTCCATTGATGATTGGGATTTTCGCAATGGAGTCCTTACAGACGATAAAAAGGATTGCCTTGGCCAAGCTTCCAGCCTAAGTGGAGAGGAAACAGTCAGTATCAAGATTGCTTCAGCATGATGATAATTTGCCGCAAACTGCCTTACCAAGGCAATTAGCATAACATAGTCGTCGAGTCCACATCTCATCCGCTGCATGTAGCGCGTATAGAACCGCGCGGCCACAAAGACGATCTGGAAAACAGACAGCACCACACAGACGATAATCAACGTCTTACCCCCGTCCGACGGCGAGGAGTAGTTCACCCGTTGTTCCTCGCCCATAATGTAAGGGAACGAGTCACCGTCGATAAATCAGCTAGCTCCCACATCAAGCCTGCTGGTATTCATTGACCAGAAATCACAACCCCACGAGGATCGATCCCTAGGGTGGACTCTTCTATTTTAACGGCCGGGTGTGTGCCCACTCGGAAGGTCACCGCTTGCCATAAAACTGGGGAAAGTTTATCACTGGGATGCAATCTTTGGTACCGGACTCCGAATACATCTTTACCCCGAATTATGGGAATCTCACAGAATTCGACCTTGACGAAGGGGGTAATTGGTCGCCATTTCGTCCGGGGACCGGGACAGGCCAGTAGGCTGTTAGGGCATATCTTACCGGAGGCCGGTTCAGTCGCGGACTTTTCCCTTTACTGCGCGCCGCGTACGTGCGCATAATTTTTCCCGGTCTGATTAGCATTCTACTTCCATGGATGAGGATCATGGTGGACCCTTGAAAGGTGGAGAGGACTAATTCTCCAGCTGAGTATGATTGGTCGTCTACGATAAGGTTGACCCATTTCCCGGATCGCCCCCGGCGATGACATGCATAGACGATCTTCTCAACGAGATCGTCCAGCGCGATTATGAACCCAATGTAGAGAGTCAGTTGGACTTCCCATGGAGTCGGTACGCTTTGCACCGAGCTCATCGCCGGATTGAGTAGCTCGACCATCTTCGAGAATGCTTCCATCTGTGATGTTCTCCAATGGACGCGCTTCCTTTCGTCCTGGAGGGGATGTCCCCATCCATCGCCGGCATTCTTAACTTTCCAACAAAGTGCCGACGTTTCCCCAGCTGGTAGATCTGCTTCGCCAATCGGCTTGTGGGCTCACTACCAACTCGGAATTGCTTGTCTCCCACAAATATTGAAAGACCCTTATTTCGCACCGAGTTCGTGGTTCCGTGGTTCGAATGAGGCGCCACGGACTACTTATTCATATTCTACCCCGCCGGTGATATTCTTTTTTTATGGAAATTTCCACCTGCTGGCTGGGGTTTTCTGGCAGCGGGAGGTGGAGGAGCAGCCCGACATGCCATATTTGCTGGGTGGTTTCGATAGGAAGGTTCCGAAACGGATGCATGCGGATCCACATTTTCAGTAGCTAGCAGCGCACTCGTTACCATTACCCGCACTTTCTGTCTGAAAAGGGAAAAGGGCAGCGCCGAGGAGGGTTCTGATCCGTACGCTCTTTGCCATGTGCGGTGTGGAGCTTCGATTGTCTGTCTTGGTCTCGGGGAATATCGTGGTTTGTGCTTGGCACGCGTCATACATTGGAAACGGTCGGGTTTTCGTGGTCTTCTCGTCAACCCTTTGGTCGAGACTAATAATTGATATAGATTTTGCTAAGATCAGTCCCATAAAGGAGGCTCAATATTGGGGATTGATCGATCTCTTATTATCTCGACGCACTGGCAAATTAATCGCTAGTAGTACATCAAGATCGTCGATCCTACCGTCACTAATCTAATGTTTCCCAAAAGTTGTCCTACTTATTTCTCCGTCCCAAGACTGGAACATTTTTCACCTACCCCCGAGTGCGGGGAAGCGTCGGATAATTGCCAGAATCTCGGACTATACATGTGCTGGTCCCTGCATAAAACTATCAAAGTCTCGAGAAGCAGAAAAGCATGGGTTGGCTTGAACCGGAGTCCATTTTCCGGCCCCACCCCCCACATGCTTTCTACCGGATCCGTAGAGTCTAGAACATTTCGTACTATAATCGTATTCACGCCTTTTCGGCGTCGTTTTGGTGCTCAATTATAGATCGAGTCGTCTCATTTGTGGGCTGTTGGAAGTGCCGAGTAAATGTATTCCAATCCGATGAGGAAGTTTGCCTTTGTACCGCATCGTTGCATATCAACTTGATACTATGGGTCAGGGTGCCATTGTGAGACTAGAATTAGCGGTGCAGTTCATTACCGGAACTACTGAATGTGTAAGGTTGAAAGTGAAAGACCTACAAAATTTAATCCAGCCACGAACGGAGTGTGCTTGATCTGCATAGGTACATCATCATGTGCTTGTCCTAGGGTTAAGGAGGAATTGAGAGTATGCTAGAAGGAATATACCCAGCTCAGTACTAATATGGCGCACATCAATATTCTAAGAGACTATCTATACAGCCACGGTCTGTTTATGCGGACTCCGGGTACTCTGACAAAGCGCACCTAGAACGAAGGTAATTATTCATCGAACTCTAGTCCTCGTACGGTTCTCGGTCCGATTTCCATTTGTTTCCTCGGTCCTTGCAGATGCGAGTAATGCTGTGCAATCAAATTTAACGGGACGGCTGTTTCTCCCGGGTAAGATGATTCTGACTGTATGTGTTCGGTGACGCTAGAAACCGGCCCATCATGACCCATAGGCTTGCTCCAGAATGTTACTGCGTAATAGGCGACCCCGGTCGACGAAGACGGTGATGAAGGTGATGATGATGTGGAGGAGGAGGAGGAGTATGTTTGGACCAGGACCGTGAAATCATAGATCCGAGAATGTTCGGGGGGAAGCATATCCCGTTGAATGATTTCCTCCGGCACGGCATTGATGTTTGCCTCTTCAATCTCCATAATGCGAGAGAAGATAGCGTGGTAATGTTTCGCATCGAGAAGCCACTCACGCTTAGGGACCTTCCGTAACAAGGACAAAGCCCAGCGGCGAAGAGATGGCCATCGGCATTTCCAGGCCAGCAAGTGGAAACAAAATAGCTTTCCGAAATCCAAACTTAAAAGCCGGAACCCATCATGAGGGAAGCGACTTAGGTCAGAGATGAGACTGTCGGCTATTGATAGCATTTCTCCGTATTCGGCTCGTGCACTATCCCAGGAGCACTCATTACCGGCCAGGTAGTTGCGCCTCCCAAGTGTTTCGGCCATTTCGATAATGCGAACAACACTAGCGGCTTGTCTCTCTCTGTATCCCCATGAGGAACCTTTTCGGAAAACCAGGTCGTCGAAGTTAGATTGCCATTGAGAGATAATCTCATCTACATTTTGCGTATTGTGGTCGACCATTTCGGCGGCCTGATCTTTAGTGGGCGAATGATGATCGGGCGGTTCGAATTGCCGGCTGGTAAACGTGGACGTAATCACGTCTAACAAGCCAACCCTGGCCTGTTGTATATTGTCGAATCGGTCACCGAGGACAACAATGCCATTTCGGTCGACCGGGTTCAAGAAGAACCCTTTCTCCTTTGCATCTTCCTCCTCTAGGATGTTGGTACGAAAGACACTGAGAAGTGGTGCAATTTCGGTTTCCATGAAATATGATTCATGGGAATCATAACTCTGACCCCACGGTTTATAAGAGAGAGGCCTCGTATTTCCGCGCCATGACTCCAAAAGATTGATTCCACTTTTGACATGAGACCTGGCTGCCGTCAAGTTTCCTCGAAAATACTCAAAGCACGTGAACAATATATTCGCCATGAATGTCAAAGAAATGGAGGTCTGCTCCGTTTTGAGCTTCTGAAGCAGAGCACGGATAGCCCTGTTATAGAACTGCGTAGGCAGCTCTTGGCCTTGGATACTCCGTTCTCGTTCAGCTGGATGCGATAACATCTCCTCGTGCAGGACTGCAATCGCAGCAATGGCGTTCCGGATGGTAGGCTCCACGAGGCTCGACTGGGCGACACTACCCTGGAAAAAGGCGCCTTCGAAAGAACCCGCTAATTGTTTTGCGGATTTATGAAAGAATAGCTCAAGTGCCCGGGCTTCTAAGGGTGATTCAACTGCGGGAGCCGGGGCTAGCGCCCTCGGTATCGCGACCAGGGGCTTGGACGATTCATAACCATCGCATGTTCGCCCAGTACGTAGACACCTGTAATATCGATTAGCTGTGTGTACGTAAACATATATGAAAAGATGAAAGACATACCTCGAACAGGCAGGTTTTCCTTCGTCGCATTTCACCCGTCGAGTCCTATCTTCTGTTAGGATTTTGGTCAAGGGTTAATCTAGTGCTATCACATCGGGTCTGAACTCACTTGCAGGTAATACAACCCGTGCGTACTTTTGGCTTGAAGGTGCGTTTCCGATTTGACTTTACATTATCCAATTCCTCCGCCATTCTGCTCCTTCAGGGAATAAGGCTGGCGCGGAACCCACCGCCAAGGATTGTACCACAGTAGGTTTTGGACGGTTCAATGGTGGTCCACTGGTTATCCACTGCGGCTCGAGTAAAGCTGGGGAATATTGAGAAGACATGGAAGAGAGGAAGGCAAAACCAAGTCAGTCCAAGAATCGAGACTATTCCTCGTACTGGCTCAACAGCGATGTTGGTTGTCTCAGAACGGTGTGGGGGCGAGAAGGTGGGGCACAAATGACGAAGGCATGCGACTGGATTGTGCTGAGATTCTCCGTCTAAAGTCCGATCAATGGTTGAGATGGAACGATATGAGGCTACTGGATGCGCCATTTGTTGTGCAAATGTATTATGCACCATTCGTGACCATTCAATGGCACTGCACAACACTGAAGCCCGTGTATCACGTGCAGCCACATTCTATACATCTGAGCTATAGATAGTACAGTCATCTCTCTAGAGAGAAGTGATACTATGTATTGCTCCTATGGCCTTACAGACTCGCTAAATGATGGGATGGAGACAGTATTCCTACATGATGTATTGAAGAAGGAAGAAAGGGGTATATGGCAAGCAGAAAGTAGGCATGGCGGGGGGTTCAAGGGTAACAGATAAGGCAGTCAGATTGCCATGTACAAAGATCATTCATAATCAAGCCACTTGATCCTTCGCCTCCAGTTTCCCAACTAATCGCTTCATACCCGCCCACTCCTCTGCTGGGACCTCCTCCGATGGACCACCAAGACCCTTCCCGACCTCGAAGACCGTAACCACGCCATTGAGACCACCAGTTGCCAGGCGGCGACCTTCGCGCTCCTCCCAAGCAACCTTGTTGAGACTGCGGGATGGCATGGCGCCAGGGCCACGAGAGGGTGTCGTCCGTACGACCGGAACCTCGGTGTCCGTGTAGAGATCCCATACCTCGACGTTGCCAGCACCGTCGACGAGAGAGAATACGCCCGGTCTGTGAGGAGACCAGCGAGCGTCGTACACGACATCATCGCGGACAATGTCTAGAATAGGCGAAACGACCTGGGCTGTGGACGTTCCCGATGTGAGAGCCGCAGTCGTCGCTGGGGGCCGAACGCGCCAGAGCTTCACACTCCAGTCTAGACTGGAGCTCAGCATAAGGTCTCCCAGGTCAACTGGACCACGTGCAGGGTGGAATGCAGTGGACATAATCGGTGCGGCGTGGCCTCGGTATGCGAGGCGGTGGTCGGTGCCTGCCTTTGCACCGGCTCGGTCATAACGATGGCACGGGTAGATGCCTCCCTCCTCAGTTCCAACAATAAAGAAGGTCGGATCAGACTGGGGGAATGACATGGTAGTGGGCGCAAGATCTTCCGTCTTAGATGGCGGGGGTGTAGTCAGCTCAAGGTATTCTTGCGGCTGGGAAAGCATGTCGACAGTCCAGCCACAGACGACTCCGTCCGTAGATACAGTCAGAATATTGTGCGCATTTTGTGTACCGATAATGGAGATGCTGTAAACTGGATGGGTATGTCCAGATCCAGTCAAAGGAGTCTTCTGAACAGGAGCACCGCCGCCGGCGCGCGAGGAACGGGTATCCCACAGAAGCACCTGGCCTGAGTATGAGCCTCCCACAATTAGGTTAGGATGGAAAGGCGAGAATTTGGCGGTGAGAATGTCAGACGTAGAGTTAAACACATATTCTGGCCGAGACTGCAAGTGTTGGTTCCAGACCTGAACAAGCCCATCGGGTTCATGAGGGGCTGAGGGATTCTTTGTGTATGATGCCAGGACAAGCTCCGGAAACTGGACACGAGTTAGTATGATGAACATGAACATCGTTCATCCAACATGGAAGAAAGCTTACCTTGGGGGAGAAGCTCAGGTCGGTGACCATGCGCTTCTTACTCCATCGCTCGTCGTAGAATTGGCAGACCTCTCGGATACCCCGCCTCTTCTTACCGGTCTCTTCGTCCTCTTCCACGTCCCCATTCACACCAAGTTCATAGTCTGCAAGGACGTCATAGTCTTCATCCAATGCCCGCTCAATCACCTTTGAGGACCGCTCCACAAAGTCCAAAAAGTCGTCGGATGAAGTAACCGCCTTCAGCTCGTCGTCGTCAAGCGTTCGCAAGGGGTATCGGAGTTGTGTCGATTGCGTAGTTGCTGCCGCAGCCCCCTCCTGATTCGTAGCTTGCAATTCCTCTTCAATTTCCTTGCGGATCTTCTGCCGGATTTCCTCATCGCGCCCCCTGTCTCGGCGACTGAGGCGCTTGCTTGACCGTGTAGTACCCACTTGTTCTTCGTTATCTGAAGCAACTGATCCATCCTCAGACTGTGGTGGTGATTCGAGACCGTCTGTCTGTACGGCCTTGCTGTAGGTGACGAGCTCGGGTTTGGGTTCAGGGGGAGGCGGGGCTTGAACTTCAGGTGCGGAGTAGGTGTAGGGCTGCTCTTCTCCGACGGTCTGTACGGCAATGGACTGCAACTGGGGTCGGGATGTAGGGGACAAGGTCTCGGCGTTCTCTCCGCTCAGTTGACTGGCGCTCAATACTGAATTCGGGCGACTTCCTTTGCGCGATATGCCATCCGCGCCATGGCTGATGGAAGCTGATCCAGGTCGGTCCACCAACCGTGAGATCAGATCATCGAGTTCGGCTCTACTGTCAGAGCGACTGGGCACCGGCGAAGCAATCTATAACAAAGGAAAGTCAGACTGCGATCGAGCTGTAGATTCAATTCTTTTAGGCCATGTTACCTCTGAAGTATCGCCGATGCTATTCCTGTTGTTGTTGAACTCCTTCTGGCGAAGTTCGCGCTGTTTTTTCAGTTCAGCAAGCTTGGCTCGCTTGGCCAAGATCTCATTTTTCCGCTGCTGCATCGTCGACATCTTGAAATCATGGGAGCCCGACCAGAGGCGTAGCTGTAGCTGCAAGTAGTAGCGCGGTTGCGCTTTATTTACCGGGATGACATAAGCGCCCAGGTCCGAACGGCGCCGGAAAAACTCGCGCAGACCAGGGACTGAACCACCTCGCCCTGCCCCATCCCGGAGATTCAACTGCCATTGACGGTCGACTTCTGTTGAACGGTCCTTCAGATATCCCGCTCCTTATTTTATTGCCTTCATACCGTGTTCCGGCAACTTTGCAGAAATGGCTAGCACTCAGGGTGTCAACGTGAGTCTGCCCCGGGCCTAGGAAACTCCCGCCCAGACCGTCGATGCGAAATCGGATGTTCTAACCACCCATCGCTCGTTCTATAGGTCTTCCGTTACTCGGCTCTTGTTGCCGGTCTCATCTACGGTGTTTACCACCAGTCATCGCTTACCCAGGCTGCCAAGCGCACAGAGATCGAGCACGAGTACGCCCGCAAGGAGCGCCTGATCGAGCAGGCCAAGGCCGAGTGGAAGAAGAAGACCCAGCCCAAGCAGGATACCCCTACGCAATCCAGTGGATGTATGTGATAACAACTTTCCCCGTCGATTGGAGGCTACGGATTGTCCTCCGATAATTGCCCGGAATCGCTCTTCCGAACGCGCAGCGCTAACCGGTCCGTCTCCTACAGTGATCACCGATTTCGAGGACCCCAAGTTCGATCTGGAGGCATTTTTGCTGGCCAAGGCCAAGGAGAACCCTTGAATATGTTACGAGACAGTATAGAGGAGGAATGGATACGCATCTCTTTGCGGAACTCGCACCTCCCCCCAGGGTATTGTTAGATGTGATTGCTCGGGTCCATTTATTGTACGATTGTTTGGGTGTAATTTGCCCTCGAGTTGCAACATTGCGAGCGAAAGATGCAATGATTTCTTTTTGATTGTTTTCTTTTACTCATCGTTTTAGACGTTATCATTTGGGTCCTGTACATACCCTGGGCTGCCGTGCGACTGTACACTACAGTTGAACCACAATGAGCAAAAAGGTCGTGTTATGCATTCCGGCGTTACCACTAGCCTTTGATTTCTATTGGCTTAGTGTTGATTATTTCGGCGCTTTGCCATCGTATCGGACTCCTTGATGAGAGTACGTAGACCCTTCATCCATCGGCTTGTTGGGGGATCCCTTCAGCGATTTGTCATTTCCCGCCGGACCTTCGTATGTCTTTCACCTTCCGCGATTACCCAGCATTGCCATTGCCTGCCGAATACCCTTCGAGGAGGTCTGATCAGTGGTCTGCGCGACGATCGGAGAGGGGTGCAGTAGTTGAGCCACCGGATCCCAGGTCCATCCGCAACTTGTGAACTTTTCGATGATAGCCGAGTCTCCTTTTTCTGCGGCTTGCGGGTCAAGGCCGAGATATTTTGCAGCGGTGGCAGGCCTTATCGCTTCGTAAGTTGTGCTGATCGCGATCAGTGTGTCATCTTGGAAAAAGCCTAGGAGGGCGCATCGTATTAGCAGCCTATAATTACATCGGATCCTGGCTTTGAGCATACTCTCATATCTTCGAACTAGCGGTTGCAGGCTTTCTGGCCATGGCAGCCCTCGAAGAATCTGGTAAACCTGGGCATGCTGGGTCTGCCAGATAGCTTGAAGGAGGGTAAGGCAGTTCTGTAAAGATGGATCTTGGTGGCGCAGGGATTCGGGCATTCGCTTTGTCAGGGCTCGAGCTTCCGGTCTATATCAATAACTTCACGTTAGTGTTGGTCCTTTGCAAGTTATATCCGGACGTACTGACAGTTGCTTCGTGAGAAGATGGGCGAAGAAGAAGCTAGAGTAGAACAAGCTCAACAACTGAGGATCACCAGCTCCAGTTTCCGTGCTCCCTGGGCCAGCAGACATGATAGATGCATCCGTCTCGTATTGCGAAAGGATCTCAAAGAGCTGTGAAGGAGGAATATTGGATGCAGCCAGCTTCGACAGCTGGTCGAAGGAGAGGGGTGGCAGCTCCATGTTGGAACCGTTCACGGAGGGTATTGATCTCGCTGTCAAATGATAACCTTTATCTTGAGGGAGCTCTATAAGATTTCTTCGATGGAACCCTTTTTCAAGATGTGAAGTGGACAACAGGTCAAGAGGCAGGTGGTTGACTTCACAATTGCGGGGAGCAGTCGGAGGTGGCGCCCTATGCTGGGACGCAGCTCAGCGGTGTTACGCTAAAACTCGGCGGTATTACAGAATAGTGCATGGGTTATTCATTTTATACGATCCCTGTGTATTGGCCTAACACGTTTTGTTTCTCATCTTACACCGGTGTAGTTATACTGAGTAATCTTCAGACTTGTCATTTAACTGGTCTTTCAGCTGCGCTATTAGCATCTTTTTTACATATCTTTCGGCGAGACCTAGCGATTGAAGTTTCTCAGTTACTTTTCCACATGATTATGTCATAATAGTGTCTTCTGTCTATATTAACGTGCCAAAGGTCATGAGCCGTATATATTGGTCTTGACGGTTTTGAAAAGGGTAAAATGAAATGTTTGTACATCCAAGAATTTAGATAACTAAGTAAGGACTTCTAGCACTGTCGAGCCTACAGCCCAGCGGTGTTAGAGAAAGGACGCTAACTTGGATCGCCGGCGAGCTTTAGTGACCACCGAACTGCATGCCCGCCTTTTCCCCGAATGCCAAGACTTCCCGAAGTGACCACCTTGCGCAGCTCTCCCTCCTCCAACCATCAACCAGGCGACCAACCATTGGCAATTCTGCCCGATCTTTCTCTTGTTTTCATGTGTTACCTTTGAATTTCTGGACTTTGCTCCTTTCCTTTGGCCATCATGGCCCAATCCTCTTCTCTTGATGTTCTGCTGAAGGGCAGCTCCGGCCAAAGTACGCGCGGTCTATTGCGGATCATTATCCTACTCACAATTGCTGCGGCCGCCGTGGCCAGTCGTCTATTCAGTGTTATTCGTATGAATTGACCCAACACCTCCATTCCAATTCATCTGTTTCTAACATCAATTCCAGGATTCGAAAGTATTATTCACGAATGTATGCTTTCCCGGCCCCTGCTGCATAGCCCAGAGTACAACTTGGCCTCGGCCAAATGACAGATCTTGAAATACTGACATCTTCACAATTGTAGTCGATCCCTGGTTCAATTTCCGTGCAACAAAATACTTGGTTCAGAATGGCTTCTATAGCTTTTGGGATTGGTTTGATGATCGTATGTTGTTCATCCTCTACCAAGCATTGTCTGTCAACGTGTTGCTAACGGTCATTGCGTCTTTGCTCAGGAACATGGCATCCCCTAGGTCGTGTCACTGGTGGCACCCTGTACCCCGGTCTCATGGTGACCAGTGGCATTATCTACCACATCCTTCGCTTCCTCACTATCCCCGTCGATATTCGAAACGTTTGCGTTCTGCTTGCCCCCGGCTTCTCGGGCCTCACTGCTCTTGCAATGTACCTCTTAACATGCGAGATGTCGGCCTCTCCCTCTGCCGGTCTCCTCGCCGCTGCATTCATGGGAATTGCTCCCGGTTATATCTCGCGGTCCGTCGCCGGTAGCTACGATAACGAGGCCATTGCTATCTTCCTGCTAGTCTTCACCTTCTTCCTGTGGATCAAGGCCGTCAAGAACGGATCGATCATGTGGGGAGCTTTGACTGCTTTGTTCTACGGCTACATGGTCTCGGCCTGGGGTGGATATGTCTTCATCACCAACCTCATCCCTCTCCATGTCTTCGTTCTTCTCTGCATGGGTCGCTACAGCTCTCGTGTGTATATTAGCTACACCACCTGGTACGCGCTCGGAACACTGGGTAGCATGCAGATCCCCTTCGTCGGGTTCCTGCCCATTCGTAACAGTGACCACATGTCTGCTTTGGGTGTCTTCGGACTGATCCAGCTTGTGGCCTTTGCGGACTTTGTTCGTGGGTACTTGCCCGGCAAGCAGTTCCAGAAGCTCTTGACTGCTATGGTCCTGCTCACCTTTGGCCTTGCATTCGGGGGCTTGGTTCTGCTCTCCGTTTCGGGTGTCATTGCTCCATGGAGTGGTCGATTCTACTCCCTGTGGGATACTGGCTACGCCAAGATCCACATTCCCATCATCGCGTCGGTCTCCGAGCACCAGCCGACCGCTTGGCCCGCCTTCTTCTTTGATCTGAACTTCCTGATCTGGCTCTTCCCAGCTGGTGTGTTCATGTGTTTCCAGAATCTCAAGGATGAGCACGTCTTTGTGATCATCTACGCCGTGCTTTCTAGCTACTTTGCTGGTGTCATGGTCCGTCTGATGCTCACCCTTACCCCAATTGTTTGCGTCGCTGCCGCCCTGGCCCTGTCAAGTATTCTCGACAACTTCATGGTTCTGGCCAAGCCGAACCCCGAGTCTCAGACCAAGACCAATGCCGAAGACTCCAAGTCGCTCCGCTCGACTCAGAAGCCCGTCGTTGGCATCTACTCTTACTTCTCCAAGGCCGTTGTGACTGGTTCCATCACTGTTTACCTGCTTCTCTTCGTTGCGCACTGCACCTGGGTCACCTCCAATGCCTACTCATCTCCCTCCGTTGTGTTGGCGAGCCGCATGCCGGATGGTAGCCAGTTCATCATTGATGACTACCGTGAGGCCTACTACTGGCTCCGTCAGAACACCCCTGATAACGCCAAGATCATGTCCTGGTGGGATTATGGCTACCAGATTGGTGGTATGGCTGATCGCCCCACGCTGGTAGACAACAACACCTGGAACAACACCCACATTGCCACTGTTGGCAAGGCTATGAGCTCCCGAGAGGAGGTCAGCTACCCCATCCTTCGTCAACACGATGTGGACTACGTTCTGGTCGTCTTCGGCGGGTTGCTGGGCTACTCGGGCGACGACCTGAACAAATTCTTGTGGATGGTCCGTATTGCCGAGGGTATCTGGCCCGATGAGGTGAAGGAGCGTGATTTCTTCACTGCTCGTGGCGAGTACCGTGTCGATGATGAGGCTACTCCTACCATGCGTAACAGCTTGATGTATGTTGGCCTCTTTTTTACCCCTTGCACTGGACCATGTTCACTAACTCTTCCACAGGTACAAGATGTCTTACTATAACTTCCAGTCCCTATTCCCTGCTGGCCAAGCCGTCGACCGTGTTCGTGGTACCCGCGTGCCGACCGAGACCCCGCAGCTCAACACCCTCGAGGAGGCATTCACCAGTGAGAACTGGATCATCCGGATCTACAAGGTCAAGGATTTGGACAACTTCGGTCGTGACCACAACAATGCGGTCGCCTTCGATAAGGGTCTCAAGCGTAAGCGTGCTTCCAAGAAGAAGGGTCCTCGCGTTCTGCGAACCGAGTAGACTTGCCTGTGCATTAGAGTTGATTTTGCTTTTTTCTGTCTTGATATTCTCCTGTGATACTGCTTACTTTTTCACGGTATGGCAAGCTTGTATTGTCTGCATGATTTCTATCCTCGGTTCTCCACATATTTTCCGAGTCAATGGCTCACAAACAGTATACAATGGAACTTTTTGGAAAGATTTGACGTACAGTGTAGGCAGTCTACCAAGATTGCTCAATGGGTGTCGTGTTGCAAACCGGCAGCTCTCCAGGGCGAGTTGTATAACTGTGCAACAACCCCACCATCTCCAGGAACAACCATCAATACCCACCAACACAGGGTGAAAATCTTTAGTTTTCAAGTCCATATCCATACATATATTGTTCATCTATGGCACAACCTATTCCACTACACTTCAGTACAATCGAGAGATTAAAAAGGAGAAGAGACTAGCATTCAAAAGAGGGCCTGATGTGCTCAAGAACATGATATCTTAGCCAATCTACTCTGTACAATCCATCAATATCAACAAATCAAACCCGCTGAGCTCACAGATCCCGACTGGAAAAAGGAGGACTGTCTAGCTCAGGAAGACTCCATAACCCCAATGTGCTCCGTTACTATTTGCCCGCCGAGGGAGCCATTTTATCTAGTCTACCCTCGGCCACTCGTTCCGCCCTTCAAAATGATGCGACTATATTGTACACGCAGAATCTCCAAGCCACGATGGCTCGAGTATCAGCCGGAAGGTCGAACTCCCGGGAAGGAACTGCAACCGTGTGTTGAGTTTATTTCTGGGCCGGGAGTTTCTGGGCGGGGGCGTCGGGGACTTTGACGTCGGAGAATTCTTCTTGGCCGACGGCGCGGATGGTGTAGGTATCTGTATTTGGAGAGACAGGTATCATGATTAGCGAGCGGGCTCTTTCAGGGTCATTGTGTGTGGTGTCTTGGGGTATTCGGTGCGGGTTCGTTGCACTCGGTGTGCTGGGTGGGTCGAATGATGCCGGGGATCGTAATTGTAGGATCAGGCCTCCCTGGGGAGAGACTGAAGACCAAACGGTACGTACAGACAGCAATTGAGAAGGCGAATAGACCGAAGCCGGTCAGGGCATTCTTGAAAAGATATGGCCGGCGGGCACGCAGGAGGGCGGCACCGGCGCGGTAGTCCTTGCCGTAGTACGTGGAGTTGAAGCTGTAGAGGGGCGCAAGATGTTAGCTTGGGTAATTCATAGGCTGTAGGAACATGCTGATCTAGTCACGTACATTCCGCTGGCCATGGTGAGGAGTGGTGGTGGATTGAAGATTGAGAGGAAGAGAGGCCGGCGACAATTCGATGCGCCGCCAAGTCGGAAGTCTTGGCGCTGATTACTTTTTGCCTGCAGATTGGGATTTGTATACTCTGGTCATGCCACTACCTTAGAATTACTCTACTTTACTTTGCAATTAAGAAGTAGGAGGCGAATCACTAGGAGTCTCGGATCTGAGATGAAGTCTAGCCACTTCATCTTTCATCAATCGAAAGGACTGCCTGCTTCTACGATGGCGCCGTTGACTTTTGATGTAGACTGTACAGCAGATCAGACGATTGAATGCATATACTCGTTATATTTCGGACACTGGGCCAGATAGAAAGTCCTGTGGCACCTTGAAGTCAATATCTTGTTGTAAACACCCCGAATAATTTGGATGCTATCGTGGTCAACTTAGGCGCAGGCCGAAGAGCATCGACAACCTTCCCCAACTTTTCTTCCGACCCCTGCGACCATCTCTGCTTCCTTCATATCCACCTTCCACACTCCACGCTCCACGCCGTACACACTCGACAAGCTACTTATCCCTACCCCCCTCCCTTCTCAATCTATCCCGCACGCGTGCAGTTCGTCCTGTCGCTTCGATTCTTTACCATCGTCTCCAAGCTCTAGCGTACCGGCGCGTCGTCTCCGCCCAGCAGCTCCAGTCACGCTTCGGCCCGGCTAGGCAAGACCTCTCGAGCTTCATCTAGACCCGCCCGCAGAAACGTCGCATCCTGCCGATCACCGACCAGCGCATACCCTCTCCCTCCCTCCCTCCGAGCCGCGATGGCTCAATCGACCGACCAAGTGGTCGACCAAGTCGCCCAGCTTAACGCCGCTCGAAGCCTCGTCCTTGGCGATGCCGCGCTCTATCCGCAAATCGTAAACGGCATCCTGCCCATCGTCGGAGCCAACGCCAGACTGGAATTGAGGAGGTGGGGTGCAGACTTTTTAGCAGAGACTTTCGCTAGTCCGATCCTAGCTACGGTGCAGAAGCAGCAGCTTGCGCCGACGGTCTTGCAATCGATTCAAGAGACCTTAGCTCTGCCCGAGACAGATACGGCAGTCCTGTCGAGCTTGGTGCAGACATCTGCTAGCCTGTACCCGCTCATATTCCGCCATATGTATGTCCGCAAAAGAGACGAGAATAAGCCATTGGTCAAGGATGTAACGGATACTAATGCGCCGCTCGTAGTGTGAATCACCCGGAAGATACCACGACATGGGAAACCATGAATGCGGTCAAACAAGAGATCCTTCGGAAAATGGACTCTTTCCCATGCCCGGTCAAGATTTGCTGTGTCAAGTTTCTACAGCGCGTGGTTCAGGTCCAGACGCCCGGTTTAATTGCGGACCCCAGGGTATGTTCTGCAAGCCCCGTCGCCCCCACAGATCCAGATGTCCATGATACTAAACTCCTCCAGCGACCTGATCAGAATGAGACGTCCCTGGCCGTTGTCCCCCGGACCCACGCCCTGCTTGCTATCCCACACCTGGAAGCCGAGGCATCGGGTCTACTTGACCGACTACTCGGGGTTTTCCAGGAAGAGACAAGGTTCGAATTTAAAGACTAGATCCATGGGTACTCTTTGATTGATACTGATGCTTTCCTAGTGACCCACTTATCGTTAATGCGACGCTGAATTGTCTTGCGCCTTTGATCCGTACTCGCCAGTCGATTGCGAACAAAATTATCATGACTATTATGGACTTCTATCCCTCCAAACATGTCCGTCCACCATTCACACCTACCGTCCGTGTCGGTGTCAAGTCTATGGAACGTACGGCCCGAGCATTGCTTTTCAATGTGATGAAGAAGTATGGCAATATCTAAGCTCTATCTGTCACCAAGGCGAAGGCTGACTCACCCCCTCCAGGAACCCTAGCCACCCGCTCATGGGAAAGATGCAAGCGTACATCGAGCGTTTGATGCAGTCCCGACTAGAAGTCACCGAAGATGCATCTCGGAAACGTGGCCTACCCGTTGAGCCGACCGATGGCCTGGATAATGCTAAGCGGGCCCGTCTTGACGCCATGACACCTCCACTGCTCAATATTCCCCCTCTGCCTCCAGGCCCGACCAGCTTTGATCAATTGTTCACCATCACTCAGGATATCGGTCTGTCCTCCTTTGATGTGAAACAGCTGCCTCCCGATCTAGTGGTGAAGATTGCCGTCCCACTACTATGCCAAGTGAACCCGTCGTTGCTTACTCAGGCTGTCGATGTAAGTACACCTCCAAGAGAAGCTGGAGTGGACATAAATTAACATCCTTAAGGCTATACGAAACAGATATCAGACCATAACGAAAGAACAAAATTTGAAGCGGCAACAGCTGCATCAGGCTGCTATTGCTGCGGCTGCGGATGACGACGACGATTATGAGCCCGACTATGAACCGCTGGATGTTGGAGCGAATGTTTCGGAGGATGCCACTGCTCTCACAGCAGAGGATGTAGAGCTGGAGCCCGATTTGGTATCATTGGGGCCCTTCGTTCTGCCTCAACCGCCACCATTGACCGAGGAAGAGGCTGGTGATGTTGGGCGTAGCGCTGTTTCGCGAGTTTTCAGCATGATCGACGCTGTCGAAACCACCTCGTCGCCTGCGCAAAGCAAGAGCCAGCAACAGCCGGGCTTCGCACGGCTAGCCGGAAGCACCTTTGACCGAGATGCTTGGGTTATTCTTCTTACTCGTTTGGCCACTCGCGCCCCAGCTGGTCTGGAGGGCAGTGACCACGCCAAAGGAGACTTGGTCGGTGGCAGAAGACAAGCGACTATTTCAGATTCGATCCGCGAAACACTGTATCGGTATATTTTGGAGGATTTCCGCGCTCGACTCAAGATTGGAATTACCTGGCTCAATGAGGAGTGGTACAATGACCGGGTTCGCATGAAGGCGGCTAATTCGGAGCGTGGTGATGAAGACGAGGAGGAGCCCACCGTGGCACTCTATTATGATACCTGGGTTCTTCGCCTTCTGGATGGTTTCCTGCCATACCTTGACTCCCGTGATATCAAGGTATTAGTACGATTCCTCAGTGAGATCCCAGAGGTCACTATCGCCATTACACAGCGGGTGGCCAGCCTGGCTAAAGATCCGGAACGTGTGAATCTTACCGTGCAGGCTTTGATGTGAGTGTTCTTACTTGTACTCTGAATCGGTCATCGTTTGTCTAACACCACCCTTTCCGCAGGTACTTGGTCATGTTCCGGCCCCCAGCCCGAGAAATGTGCCTTAACACGCTCGAGGACGTCTACCAAACTTGTAAGACCCACTTGGCCCCCAGATCTACCTCCACAGCAACGGTTACTAACAAAGAATTTCATAGATGAGGAATCGCGCCCCGCAGCTGGCAAGATCCTGGCCAGGTGGCGTCCCCAGGCACTTCCTGCGCCTGCTAAGACGACCCCAGCGCCGGCCCCCTCTTCCGCTGTGGAGTCTGCACCAGCCGCTCCCCCGGCCGAGGTGCAAGGCCCGGCTGCATCAACATGAACCCCTAAAGACTTTTTTCATTATTATGGAGTAGAGCGCAGAATGGTGGACGAATACATATGGCTTTTTTCTGAAGATTCAATTTCTTTCCTTGTCCAAATCGATACCTTTCTTTTTCTTGTTACTACACTCCCATATCCAAGTTTCGTTTTCATATCTTGAATTGATGGGTCTACCACTTGAAAGGAATTGAACTCCCGGTCCAACTTTGCTTGACAGCTACGCTCATAGCATTTCGTTCGCGAGGCCAAGAAGTATGTATCATGGGTCCAGCGGAATTCTTAGCCACCAAGTGGGCTCGGACTCTGGCTTGGGTTGGGAATATTCTTTGTTCGAGGAACTTGGAGGCTCCTAGCGACACTCGGATTTCGGTCTCTAGATTCTTTCCACCAAAGTGAATCTGCTTTGATCAACCCTTCGATCTAAATATACTGGTTATTTTGTATTGAAACATTTACTTATCCTCAAGTCGCGCAGAACGGGTGGATAGATAATGCGTTCTCCTTTGAATCCAATCCCTTTTTTCACGGGGTTTACTTCTCCTCCCTTTCTTCATATTCTGGAACCGTCAGGGGTCAAATCTAGACATGAAATACATCTCCATTTAGAAGGACTGGATTCTTGACCCGGTTCTTCTTTGAAGCTACGCTCATGTTCCTCATGTTCGGGGCCAACAGGATAGTACTCTGGGTCTACCCGAATCCTAAGCCACTCTGGGGCGCTTTGGCTACGAAAGTCTTCTTTGTCTGAGGTTCATGGCTAGACTGGTGGACACCATCTGCACTCGACTGTCTCAAGATGGGGAATTGAGTCTAGCCTGGTAGATACAATTAATTCTTATTGCGAACTCCCTTACCCTAGTGTGGCCTCTACGTACAGTGTTGGCTATCCTGATGGAATCTATCTAGGGTCTTTCTACCGAGTTTCGTTTTCTTTCAAAAATGCTCAATCTCGATTCACTGTCTATTCTTTAACTCCACCCATGCCTTTGGTGTAATTTCAATAGGCAAGAAGACTAGATCTCAGTTGTTCCAGTATTTCTCCTGTCTTCCAAACTCGACGATCGATCGACAAAAGCCTTTCGCGCAAAACCCGCCTATTTTGACAAGTTTCCGACTTCGGTTGACTGCTTTCTTTGTCCTCGCCATCCTCGTCAACCCCGAGCTCGATCTTTGGAAGACCAAGTCCCGGTTTGTTCCAGTGGTCTCCACGCCCAACAGTCGAGGTTTGCTTTCATGGATCTTCCCATCAAACTGCGTCTGCTTGTAGGAATTTCTATTTTCCAATTTGCTATTCTCTTTGTTTCGAGGAGGGATGTTTCTCCTCGACTTACCGCATTCTAGATCATCTGCTAGCTACTTCTAAGTGAATCTTCGGGTACAAATACTCATGTAGGATCCTCGTTTTTTTGGAATCTATTCTCAACTCGAAAATAATTCTCGAGCATCACTGCACATCCTTTTGAGTCCTTTTCGACATGTCGGCGAAGAGAAAGTCATCCGCCATGAGCACACCGGCTCACAGTGCCTCCAGGAGAACGAGATCACGAATGCAATCTGCCGCAGAGTCTGTTGCTGAGTCCGTCGCAGAATCTGGTGCTGAGTCTGGTGCTGAATCTGTTGCCGAGACTCGCGTAGAGTCTGCTTCAGAGTCTCCCTTGAAAGAAGAGATTAATGTTGATGATCTCGATCTCGACGTATCCTATGTGGGCAAAATCAAGCTGCCGGACCCGCCTGAGCGACCCAAGCGGAAGAGATGGACTCATAAGGGCGCTGAGCCAATTATGCAGATGCAGGATGTCCCTCAAGGGTGGAACACCGAAGAACCAGATCTGGATCCCGAGTACGTATATCGGCGCTTGGGGAAATAGGTGAACGAGAATATTCACTGACTTATTCTTCTTTTGCTTTCCAGTGATGTTGATGCTCTAATAGCTCGGTGCAAGGAGCGGATCAATGTAGATAGGATCTTGCCATACATGTTCAAAGGCAAGCTTGCCAGGCTTGAGAAAGAAAAGAACAGAAGAGAGTAAGTCGGGTGCTGTTCTTATAAGAGGCCTTGTTAGACTGTCTCGATGCTAATTCATTATCCTTTATTCTAGAAACTTGATGGCAAATTACCCAGGCCTGAGCTGGAACGTCGTCAAGCGGATTGTCCAGCTGGAAGGCGCCGTGAAATATCTCGAAAAACGTCATCTTGAAGGCCGGAAAGGTGAATACGAAAGGCTTCAAACCGCGCTGGCAATCCAAGAGGCATACCGGGTGGGAGACCTCGGATTGCACGCAGGACTTGTGACATACTGGGCTGAGGGAAGGAGACTGTCCGAGCCAAGACCCTGAGAAATATGCAGAGCTGAGGGCTATCGGTCGGCGTTACGGCAAGGAAGGGGGTTTTTGGGTAGAAGAAGTAGGTAGACTTTAGTAGCCCTGACTTCTTGACATGATGGAAGATATTAACCCTTTGGACTTCTCCAGGGTTCTGTGCCCTCTTACAGCATAAAGGTGTTGGACCATGTTCCTTGCATGGGGTCTCTTCCAACACATAGGAAAGCGGTATGTCAACACTGAGATCTCCTCCATTCATCCGAAGACCATTATGTGGGAGGATGGGGGTTCGCTAACCTGAGTTCCAATATCATCCTTAGATGACGATCCGGGTCCGATATCCTGGGGCCCACATTGGGCAGGACTTGATATTTGCCGACGATACCGGATCCGACTTCATGACTCTGCTCGATTCGGACATTGATGATCTTGATAATTTTTACCGCCTCCAGGGCTTCAATGTGAACGCCATATCTCCTCAACTCATCCGCCCAATCCCGGTTAACACATTCAGTGGCAATGAGGAATGGCACGACCTTTACCAAGTCGAGGTCGCGTTCCCTGACACTAATGGTGCCCTGCTCACAACCTGGGATCGTATTAATGTTCTGGTTTTAGCTGATCCGATTGGAGCTCCTACTCCTGATCGAGTCAATGGACCGTGGCTTCGGTACAAGCTGCACACGTCCACCGCTCCAACCCGTAGGGTTGAGATGGGTATATTCCGCATTAAATCTGCTATAGCACGAGGAACATCCGTAGGTGTCCAGCCTCCGGAAGCAAGAGTCATGAGATAGCTCATCAGTGGCCGGTCAAGAATATTCACCATATCTTATGGCCGAAATTACTTGCTGGCTCGCTGCAGTTCCCACAGATCCAAGGCTACGGCCTGGCATATATACACGGGTCAGCTTTTTGACTCATCCGCTCTCCATGTTCTGGTTGAAATCACTCGCTTGATTGCTCAATTTTGAAGTTTGCCGTTTGATTGGTCTGATTTCTTGCCCGTTCCCAACTCGATTTGTTGTTTGAATATAATAGTTATGTTTCTTTGACCTTCCAATGCATGATTTACAATTAAGATCGAATTTCGTTTAGATGTTCAAAATGCTATCAGTAATCACAGTCTCCAGATCCTCGAGACACGTTCGGGCCGTATAAACAGATGGTTTGGTATCAATGGGAAGAACAATAAAATCAAAACGCAGAACACGGCGGTCCTTTCCGTAGTAAACCAAGATATTGACGCCAATCCGACAGCTGTCATATGTAGCAAAGAAGACGACTCCAAAGGAAAGAGAAAAAAGATAAGTTGAATTTCCAGGATGTGCCCCGTACAAAACACCTCCTATGATAGAAAGATATAGTCCCATTCCCATTCCATGCAGTCAGTCATTGCCCAAATCCAGGTCCCGTAAGTCACGAACACCGCAAGTTTTCCCATATATAGCGTTGGACTTCGAGATCGAAGCCCGTATTTAAACGGACACCCTCCATGCACCCCCCCCCCCCCCCCCCCCCCCCAACCCTAATACACATCACGCTTCCACACACACAAGCACTCTTTCTAGCTCAAAAACGCTGATCAAAATGACATTTGCCTTTGCAGCAATAGCAGAACGGAAATAGGGGAATCTTCATTAAGGAGAATGGGGAGAGAAGTTGATGCAAACTCCAGAACGAAACAAAAGAATCAAAGAATCATGTCTATCGGTACAGGTTCCAGCCCTTCGCCATGAGCAACAGGCCAGCTCAGTCAGTCATGACATCGATATTTGGGGTGTTGAAGCTTGGTGTCTACCGAGCAGGCAGGTGACTTGAGGCAGATTCCGCAGATATCTCAGGTTGGTGTGGGTGGTAGAGTATCGTGTCGACTGGCTTAGTGTGGAGAGAGGGAGAGGCGCTTGGTTTGGAGGTGGAAGGGTGGAATAACCCAGCCCGGGCGGGAGGTGGAGAGAAGAGCGAACTGTGGGAAGCATCAAGTCCCGGAGAGCGGCGCTCGAGGATATGACTGGGATGTGGTTGAGCCTTTCGCACATCTAGTGGAGAAGAGCTCTGAGATCGGAAACCAGATTTATGTTCGGTGTCATAGTCTGGATTGCGGAATGCTCCTTGGCCTGGGTGACGATGATCCTGCTCAGTGCCGTAAGGTGTGTTGTTGGCGGATGAGTTAGCGGCCGACATGTTCTCAGGAATAGTGGATGCAGATCCATTGGGTGCGTTGATATCGACTACCCGTTTTTGAGCTGCTGGTGTGGCGAATGAGGATGCTGGGGGTCGATGATGTTGAGAATATGGGTGCTGTGGCTGTTGCTGATGAATGGGATGTTGAGGATTGGCCCAGGGCGTTTGCTCTAGGAAAGCCTCCTCCGCCGCGGTGCGGAAAACATTTGACGACATGGCTGACACTGCACCACGAGGGGGCATTGCCGATGACTGTGAATGTCGTGGAACCGACACTCTCGTCTCGATAGATATCTAGGGATTGCCCCGTCAGCAATGATTGTAGGCTCAGGAAGCTCGGTTAGCTTACCCCCATCTTCTCCAGGTCGTCTTCCAATTCAGACGGACGAGCCCCCAATAAAGTCGGCGCGGCCGGGAAGCCAACATACTTGGCGACTCCAGCCATGATGGAAACCTCATGGTTATAAGCAGTCTGGTGTGCGATTTGTTGCGACCGACGGGTCGGGAATGGCACGATATGGTGCGGGCTGAGCTCATCCGTCTTGAAGCGATCATGCTGGATTGCATAGAATTGCTTGCTGATCGCACTGGAATGACGCTCCCGCACATCACGAACGCGCTGGAAAAAGGTACTGTGGCTCTGCGCACGCTCGGCCAAGCTCTTGTTCACCAAGGCCTTTAAGCGGTAGCGGTACAAGGTATGCTCGTACTTGATTTTGGCGTCTCGGTAACGTTGTACACATTCAATCTGACGCAGATACTCGGGATGCGTCGGATTTGGTCCAGTCAGCATCTCCATTTCGCGATTGAGTTTTGTGATGCGTTCGTCGTAAATTCTGTCAGAATTGTGAGTAATCCGAAATGTCAACAGGAGACCGCGTAGACATACTTGTCCCGCAACGTTGCAAATTCTTTCTCCAACGTCGCCAATGATTCCATGGCCGACATCTTTTTCGCAGCTAGGAATAATATTTAGTGATAGGTTCAAGAATGCAAATTCAGAGAAAACTTACACTCCTCTTCCACCCGAGCAACAGCCTCTGCGTCATCAATTTCGTCGATGGGTTCCGTTGTTTCTTCAACTACCCCGAGCTTGTCAGCAATGTCCTCTATTCGAGCGCCTGTCTTGCAGGCATGCGTCTCTTCAACGCCACAGCGAGCGCTCCTTGTTTTCTGCTTACCTTTTTTACCCCTTCTGCCTTTGGATGGCACGACGGGGAGTTCCGACTCGGGAATATCGTCGACGGCCAACTCATCGTCCATTATAGGAGCCGGCTCATCATCCATCATTGGCTCTGGTGAAAGAGGGGTATCGTCATCGATTGGGTCACTCAGATCGCTCTTGATGGAGCTTCGGCGTTTCTTGAGCGGCTCATCCTCGCCGAGCTCGGTTCCAGTCTCGTCGCCCGCTTCAACGCGCTTGCGCTTCTTTCCAATACTATCGGGAAGCTCCACATCGTCGAGTTCGGCATTCTCGTCATCGATTGCGTTGTTATTGGAGGGTCGTCGTGGTTTGCTGGGCGAGTCATCTACTAGGTGCTCATTATCGTCGACATCGTCCAAGGTAGTAGACTGGTGAAGCTTGCTGGGGCTTGGACCAGCGCTGCCAGTGCCCCCAGCACTCAGTATGATGTCGCGTTTTCGGATATTGTGTGGGGAATCGTCGATGCGCTCGGTTTCCGCCTCCGAGTCATTTTCTAGTTGCCTCTCGGGCTTGGGGGAGTCATCATAGTCAGAAGGCTCATCGTCGGACACATCGTCAATCTCGCTCAAGCTACTCGACCGTCCGTCATCCATGAGAGGGTCATCCAAGAAGGGATTGCGCTCGCCATTGGGGATGGTAGACTCGGCCCCCGTTGTCGGACCGACGGAGGACTGCTCTCGGCTCTCAGCTACCTCCATTTGAGACTATGATGCAGCTTGGGTATATAGCGGGCGGGGTATAATAAGGAGAAGGAAGGGTATGGCAGGATGGTGGTCCTGGGGCGTCGAGGGCAGCTCTCGGTAGAGTGGTGATTGGCGGTAGAAGAGGGGTCAGGACGGCACAGTCACCAACCCGCCTGAACAGAGGATGATATTTGTTCTAGAACAGAGATAAGATCGATTAGCTCAATTGCCATTTTGTATGGACCAGAATTGACCCGAACATGAAGGTGGAGGAAAAATGGGTGGGCGGGTGCGATAGGTAGGATGGCGCCTCCAGAAGGCGGTGCGGAGATTGATCATCGCCGGATTGCCCCCAGAGTCGGCACGAAGCGCCCCAGAACAGACTGGCACCTCGCGCGGGTTCAAGAAGCGCAGATATAGCTTCCCAGGCTTCCAAAGCTCTTGGGAATGCACGACGATAACCAAAAGCCCCTCCCAGACAAATGTAAATCCAAAGCGACGTACCGTTGTAACAATGCGCCGGCAGCGATGCTGGTGAGGAGCACAGCTGCTCGCGATCGAGCCCGGTTCTCACTGCCACCGCGTTCCTGGCTCACAAAGATCTGAGCCCGAGTATATCCACGCGTCTCGCTGGTGTATAGTATCGCCAGAGGCTTCGAGGTCACCTGGGCGCCAATGCTGGAACGACGAGGGGAGGTCGGTTAGGACGTGGGCAACACCACAGTAGAGGGTCGCGGGAGAGCGGTCGGCATGAATAGGCACGGGAGGATAGTAGCTGAGGTTGTCACAATGATTGAAGAGGGCTATGGGAAAGCAGCTCAAGTCAAAGGCCTCGGAGAAAGGGGAGTGAGAGCGACAAGACTGCTACGATGGGGTGCAGCAACAGAAGCGAGTGACGGGTTCTGCCGCGTGCCGGCGAGGGCGAGGTTTCACCGCCTGCAAAAAACCCCTGATCACGTGGTGCTGACGTCGCCGGAGACGGTCACCTTCGGGGGATGGAATGATAGCAACGGCATTGTTGCATATAACAGGTGGGAACTGTAGAAGAATGAGTGTATAGATGGAAGAAGGAGCATAAATATAACAGTGGGCACTGTTCACTGACAAAAGTGTGAAAACTTGATATCGATAAGCCATCAAACCATTCATTCCGACTTCTGAGATACTCTAAATTTATTGAAAGATATTACCAGCACGCTGCTTTTCGTTACAGCCTTAATATTAACTGAGCCTACCAATGTTCATTCAACTCGAAGTATCAAATTGTTGTTGATATGTTTCAAAGTACGAAGAACTAAATCATGTGATGCGTGACAGCTCCCGCGCCAAGACTGATAAGGCCAAAGAAAAAAAAAGTTCGGAGATATGCGCATCCTTCCCCAGCGACGTTCGACTCCAAACATTAAACAAATCCCGAAGGAATAGATTCCTCCTGGGACAACTGATTTTCAAAAATGGGCAAGAAATCCAAATCACAGTCAAAGTCCGCCCCAGAGGCACCCACCAACGGTGGCCTTCCTTTCCTGGGCAGCGCACCGCTTGATGCGGGCTTGTCTTCGCTGTTCGAGAAGAGTGTATGTCCTCCCAATTGTTGAGTGAGAGATAATTGCTAATTTGTTGGATCATAGGCCGGTCCCGTGAAAACCCCAACTGTCAAATATGTCGAGCTCAAGCCGAGGAAACAAGTGAAGGAGACTGAGGATGTCGCCGAGTCGGAGAACGAGGCTGGGTCTGAGGATGAAGTGATGGAGGATTCTGCCTCCAGCGAATCCGAGGCCGAGGACGAGAAGGCCCCCGATACCCAGAGCCGCAAGCGCAAGAGAGGAGGTGTCGAGGATGACCTTGAGGCTTCATATATGCGCCGTATTGAGAAAGAAGAGCAGAGGGCCGAGGACAAGCGCAATGCCGAACAAGCCAAGCGCCAGAAGCCTACTGAGGATAACGATGATGACGAGAGCGATGCCTCGGAGGCCGAGGCGGAGGACGACGATGAATCTGAGGACGGTGACGAGAAGGAGGCCGCCAAGAAAGAGCCCATCCCCGTTCACGAGAGTCTGTCTGGCGGCGGCAAGGCCAGCGAGGTCGAAAAATCCAACCGCACAGTCTTTTTGGGCAACGTCTCGACGGAGGCCATCAAATCAAAGTCTGCTAAGAAGACCCTTCTCCGACACCTGGCATCCTTCTGCTCCGACCTGCCCGAAACCTCCGGCCCACACAAAGTCGAGTCGATCCGTTTCCGCTCCGTGCCCTTCGCCAGCGGTGGTGGTATCCCTAAACGTGCCTCGTTTGCTCGCCGCGAGATTCTCGACGATACCACTCACAGCACTAACGCCTATGCGGTCTACACCACTATTCAGGCAGCCCGTAAGGCCCCTGCTGCGTTGAACGGAACTATTGTTCTCGACCGGCACTTGCGTGTCGATAGCATTGCTCACCCTGCCGAGATTGACAACAAGCGGTGCGTGTTCGTGGGTAACTTGGACTTTGTCGATCAAGAAGTTACTGGCGAGGATGAGAACGGCAAGAAGATGAAGCCCCGCAAGCCATCCGATATCGAGGAGGGTCTCTGGCGGATATTCAATGCCCACACTGGTGACACCAAGGATAAGAAGGCCGTCAAGAAGAACGTTGAGTTTGTCCGCGTGATTCGCGATCAAAACACTCGTGTTGGCAAGGGCTTTGCCTATGTCCAATTCTACGATGGTACCAGTGTGGAACAAGCTCTTGTGCTCAACGAGAAGAACTTCCCTCCTCTGTTGCCCCGGAAGATTCGCGTGACCCGTGCCCGCAAGGTGATGAAGAGACGGGATGACACTGGCGGCAAGGGTGCTCGTGCGGGAGACTTGGCTCGGAAGACTCTGCAAGGTCGTGCGGGCAAGCTGCTTGGCCGTGCTGGTGCGTCAAAGATGAAGACCGAGGGTAAGGGTGGCATTGCTGGTAACTCATTCGTGTTCGAAGGTCACCGTGCCAGTGAGGGTGGCTCAAAGGGCTTGAGGATGAAGGTGAAGAGCCGTGGTTCCAAGGGCAAGCCCAAGAATCGCAGCAGCAAGCGTGCGGCTGCTTACCGAGCCGCTGGTGGACAGAGGCCATGAACTGAGGATAAAAGACGGGTTTGATAATGTATCTTATCGGCGTTGGGATGGGCACTCAAATTACTTGCAGATATCATCAATTGACGATTCATCTCTACAATCCGATCGTACAACCAGCTCTCCATACAGTAGATGTTTTGTCAAATTCCGGCCTGGCTCTGCGTTGCTGGATATCGAGGTTGTCCGTGAAATGACTAACAACTCCTTGTGGCATCCTTCACTTAGTTCACAACAACTGACGCGTAAGCAGGAGCGGGGAGCGGACTTGACCGATTAGTTTTTTACTTTACAAGTTCATGGCCTTTTTTTTTCACTACAAATCAATGAATAGGAGTTATTGAATTAGGGGTCAAAAGAGGCATAAGGTTGGCCATAGATCCATATTAATAGTACTTTACCCTTGTGATAGCCCGGGTGGGCTCCATAGCCCGCGTCAGATTTAGGAGGAATCAGAAAGGCAGTAAACCCATCGCGTATTTATCCAACACATAAAGGGAAACGCATGGTAGATGTGGTCAGTAAATAATTTGCACGAACTAGAACCGAGGACCTGAACCTGAACCACAACATCCGGAACAATATTATAGTTCAAGAAGCCAATTTCTCCGATCCTGACATATCAATGTTCAATTATCTATCCTTACATACTGGAATGTTTCGTAAACTTCAGACCCTGGCAGTCAAGGAATTCATCCACCTACCAGATATCATATCTACAAGTCACCTCGCTCAACGATTCAAAATGACAAACCTAGCCTCGCAAGCACGCATCACCGATATACGTACCTCCGATCATCAATTAAATCCAAAGCAGCCTCCCGGCCCTGCTTCTCTAACATTAAGCGAGCCTTTACTGCATCAAGCTCCCGCTCAGCATTAATCCGCGCTCCCTCCTGCATAATTCGCACACGCTCTACTTCGGGCTGGTAGGGTGCTAACGGGAACATCTCTCTTGGGATATCACCCCACTTTGACCAGAGGGGGAGTCGATAATGGCGCATTGCACGATTGAATTCGCCCCATGACCCGGACGGGTTGAGTAAGGTACCGCAGATGGCTAGGCTTGTCCAGCCATGGAGGGTAAGCATGGGTTTTTGGTTTCCGGATACGGAGGGAACTGAAGACAGAATGTGTTCCATTATGGCGTTCTGTGAGTTTGAAAAGATTGAGTAGGGGTTGTAAGGGGATGCTGTGGGTGTTGAGACTGGGGTTCGGGGGCGTAGGACGAAGTCGACGCCATAGGAGGTGTAATGGTCGGTTAGTTCGCGGTCGGGCACGTCGCAGCTTCGGGGGTTTTTGGCACGGCTGGCTTTCCCTGTGTCGTAGGTATTAGGAGACCATATCATGGAGACTGTGTCAAGGGGGGATGGGAGGAAATGTAGAGGATTGTACTAACAGACGTTGTGGCTCGCGGGTGCACCACAGGCGTCAATGTACTCTGAGATGGTCTCCGGACTGACGAGCCCGGTTCGATTTAGGTCCAGATGATGGAAGAACTCTTCAATTAGGGCGGAGAAGCAAGGAGAGGGTGTCATATCTTGGTTGAAAAAATAGGTCCACCCAGAAGGTTGGTATTGTTGCTGAGGTTGCTGAGGTTTCGGAGGTTGCTGAGGTCCCTGAGATTGCTGAGGCTGCTGTGGTGGCGGTGGCTGCTGATCCTGTGGATATTGTCGCGGCTGTGGAGTTTCATATTGCTGTCGTTGTTTTTCACAATCTTGCTCAGTGCCTTGCTGCTGTGGACGTGGGGATAATGGTGTTGACGGCTGCGAGGAGCCTAGTCTCGACACCGGTTCATCAGCATCTTCAACTGATGGCTGCTTGGTCGGGCGAGGAGGCATCCTGGGCGGCACATTGGTATCTGGAACAGCAGAAACAGGTCTTCGTCGTGGAGGAACAGGCGCAGCTTTGTACGTGCCACCGACAGACTGGGTTCGTACTGGCGGAGGAGGAGGTACTGGGAGGTAGCCGCTGTGCTGGTGTACTAAGAGCGAATGTGAGGCACCATCTGGATGCTGTAGGGGGTAGTCTTGCACGACATAGCAGTTGGCACATAGATTGATGGTTGGTGAGCAAGTGTTACATGTTAAGCGTGCTTTGGTAACCTGGATAACTTCCTGGCAGGAAGTGCACTTGTAGAGTAGCATGATGGGCTGGTTGAAATACTGGTCAGAGATTATCCTGGGCATAGGTTCCTGCTTACTCCTTTATATAGATCAACAGCAGCACCATTTTGGACACTGCCTCAGGGTCTGCCTTGAGTGAAGGTGGCTTGGAATTTGTACTGTGATAAGTGACAATAAAGTATTAGCAGCTTGGCAACTGAAAATTAAGGTGAAAATAGCCGAAGTGCAGCCTCTAGCGCACTTACACTAGCCTAGAATCAAGTAGTGCACTACTTTATCCAATAAATTGCAAGACTAAACGAAAGGATTTATTTTCCATTCAAGTGAAAGGGTCCACGATATGTTGAGAGTTTATCGAAGCATTTCTGGTTAGCTCCAATGAGTTGATGGCGGGAAGGATACTCCGTGAGCAACATTAAGCATCAAGCAACGTGCGCATGTGGGGTAACTGGGGGAATTTTATAGACCCCGTAACTGGGTTCTTGTCCGAAGTGAAATCAAAGCCAAGATTACCTGAAAATGGTATAAAATTGGAAAATTCACTCAATAGTTTCTATTCCCTACCGTAGGTAACCCGCCACAATGCGGGGCAAGCTGACCGAAAGGAGAAGAATATTTACAAATGGCCACTTCTTTGACAGTCGCTATTGTCATTCTTATGCCTGAATCAAAAAAACTGTCTTTCTAAGTAGCTTTGTATGGTAGTTTGAAGTGGACCGGGGGAGACGTCACGAAGATCTCGTCGATCCGTGATCTGCGGAGACCCGCTTATTTACTCTTTCCACGACCTCGCCTCAGCATAGCCATCCTCATCTCTTCACACCTCCTATTCCTCATTCTCAAATTTCAACTATCGCGCCCGGAAAATCTACTTGCATGGCTTCTGCACTCTTCATGATGATACCCCATGGCGCACGACGGGCCTTTCGCCGGATAAATGAACAGCGAATGAACGAGCACGACCAGGCAGACAACTCAAAGGCTCAAGACTCGAATTCCGAGGTGCTTGATACCCCCCTGATGATCAACTTGCTGGATACCAACGCTAATAGCAAAACAATATCTTTCAATAGACTTCTGAATATAAACCAAGTACTTGGGACGTTCTCCATGTGCGCGCTCTTCTCCAGTGGAGGATGGGGTTCCCCGTCGAGATCGTGGACGAGATCATCGACACAGCCGAGTACTGGTTATCCACTACTGCAACTATGACCCAGCCAGAAAAAGGCACGCACCGAATAATCAGAAAAGACCATGACCAAGTCCTCCTCAAGACAGTCCCGCTCTGCTACGACCGCAAGGTGCGTTTCCATGAGGGATGATTCCACTCCCCGATGACGAATGCGCTAACAAAGTATACTCCGCAATTAGCAACTTGAACGCTCCCCCGACTCTCCACGACCACTCCCCCACCGATCTTCTAACCACCCATGCCGCAAAATCGTGTTCCGTCTATCGTCTCACGACCAGGGATCGGGTCGTATCCATCCGAACATGTACGAACATTCCTGGACGTGGTTCGACGCGGAAATCATCCGTGGCGCGCATGCGCAGAAGATGTATATCGACGGTGAGGAGCGAATACTTCTGCCCAATGAAAAGGGCGAAACTGCGATATCGCGCGAATCTGGCGATCCTTTACTATTGCCAGGTGCAGAGAAGATCCAGCTTAATGGCGCCCGTGTGAGTGATACACAGGATGTCGAGATCGTCTGGCATTATCAGGATGATATACAGCCCGATTCTCCGGCAGCCAGTGATATTGAGAAGGCCAAGGGTCGGGGTCGGGCTACGCTGGATGGACGGTTTGTGCGTGAGATGCAGGTCGGGGATTCTATTGCTGTTTGGGCGCGGGCCCGCTTCCCTGGGTGGTCGAATCATGTCTACCGAGCCTCTGTGACTGTCTACTGGGCTGTCTAGCGGGAAGGGGGCTAGTCTTCTAACATTGATGAGGTATAGGATGTCCCAAATGCTTCTTCTGCCTTGATAGATTCAATTAATGTCCTACGGATGTCTTCGGGCTCGAGGACGGTAACAATGATACCCGCATCCTTTGTGTTTTGGTGTACTGTTCAGCGTTGAACTTTCTTTAGTGACGAGTAGGTCCTTATTTTGTAACTTTAGCGGTTGCATGCATAACAATTTTGTTAGAAATTATTGAAGGATTTACAAGTTTACCAAAACATGCCTTGAAAGCCGGAGGTCTATCCTAAGGCATAAAGGCACCCAGGCACCCAGGCACCCAGGCCTCAACTCGATCACGCAATTTCGCCAAGCCCTCTGGATCGACGTGACGGGGGAGTATAAGACCAAACGCCCTCCTCGACCAGCTTTAATTCCTTTTCCACCCCTTCAACGGCCTGTCAGGCACATTGACGAAGCTCTAGGCTCGCCCAACACCCCCACTAACATGGCTCCTTGAACAGAAAAGGGAATGCCCCTTCGAGGGCAACGACACCAGCACTTCTGAACACCCGAAATCCTCTCCATCGCCCTTTCCGCCTGGCAGAACCGACGCAGCCGACCAGCCGAAGCAAAGCGCAATCAGTGGGGCTCACTGCGTTTCTCGGCCGGCTGAGTTCTCACACAAACGTGGTCATTGTCAATGGTGTCCCGATGATCAGCTGATACGCTGAAAGGGAGGGGAAGTCGCCCTGCTCAGCCATGGTCCAATCAGCCATCGGATTGAGTCACGATCGTCGTTTCGACCGAGAAGATACATGTGTGTCATGGTTATTCTGGAACGGGAGGGGGCGCCCGGGACGATTCGTGTCTCCCAAGGTTGACCGGAGTGTGTACACTCCGTTTACTCCGAACTGCTTCCTCCCGCCAAGGCTCTAGCGACGTCCCGACTGGTCGGTGGTTGCGTTATCTGGACTGCTCAAATGGTGACCGGAGACTTACGCATTCCATTTGCGTTTTCCACGTCCATCATTCCTGTCTGCCGCACAGTCTTGGCTTTTTTGGGTCTTGAACGCCCCCCTTTTGGAACCCCCCCCCTCTTGCGGCCCGTTACGTGCGATAACTTGCGGTCTGCGGTTGACCGGTGACTGTGCATTTTCTCTTATTTAGATACCCGAATGAATCCATTTTGATTTGCACTTCATCCCACTTTTCCTACTTTCCCTAGCTCTGCGCCTTTTCCTCCATATCTGGCCGTCTCTTTTTCCCCCATTCTCCGGTTACCTTTTTCCCTTTGGTCTGATTCTGACTCCCTCCGCACATCCATTTGCAACCATGGCTACCAGGAGATGCGCAGCTGTCGTCGTGGGCGCTGGCCCAGCCGGTGTGGCCGTTGTGGGCAACCTACTGGAGCGCCAATTGGGCACGATAGCATGGATTGACCCCAGCTTCGAGTCCGGCCGTGTGAATCGCAAGTACCGCGAGGTTCCCAGGTAGGTGGACCCGGTCTCTTTCTCAAGATTCGATCTTCAGAAGCAAGATTAACGACCCTGATGTAGCAACACCAAGGTTGCCCTCTTCCAGGCGTACGCCAACGCCGTGCAGCCTTTCAAAACGGTCATTGAGAACACCCCTCGGCCAAACGCTTTCACCACTATGGCCAAGCTGGACCAGGAAAAGACTTGCCATCTGCACTACGCCGCAGACATGATCCGCGATCTCACAGACGGACTGATCAAGATGGATCAAGTCCACGCCTGCCGTGGCTTCGTGACGGCAGCCAACCTCAGCAGCAAGGTAAATTCAGTTCCTCCCGCAGGCTCATACCCAACTCTTACGGATCTACAACTATACGTATCCCGAGTGCAGTAAGGCTAATAATGACATCATGGTAAATAGACATCCAGTGACTCCCAATGGACCGTCTGCGTCAAGCAGCACGGCTCATCCGAGGAAGTCACCATCGAGACAGCCCGCCTCATCCTCTGCACAGGCTCCCACCCCACCAACATTCCAGTACCCATCCCCGGCCTCAACATCACCCGCCTAGACCTAGACACCGTCCTGAAGCCCTCTGAACTCGCAACGACCCTCCCAATCAACACCCCAACCACCGTCGGCGTCGTCGGCGCCTCCCACAGCGCCATCCTCGCCCTCCTCAACCTAGTCACTCTCGTCCGCGACTCCCACCCCCAACTCCGCGTAAAATGGTTCACACGCCACCCGCTCCGCTATGCAGAGTACATGGACGGCTGGATTTTGCGCGATAACACTGGCCTTAAGGGTCTGGCCGCAGACTTTGCGCGCTCCCAGCTCGAAGATGACAAACTACCTACTTCCGCTGCGGGCAAGGTCATTGAGAAAATCGACTGTGGGGGTGGTGAGGCCCGTGAGATGGCACAGTATCGGGCTGAGTTGCCGGATTGTTCGTATATCGTTCACGCTGTGGGTTTTACGAGGGATCCGCTGCCGCAGTTGCGAAGGGATGGGGAGGCTTTGAATATGGCGTTCGATCATGGATCGGGCAAGTTCCATGAGCATGGGGATGGAGCTGTTATTCCAGGCTTGTTCGGGGCGGGAATTGCGTTCCCGGAGAGAGTGGTGGATCCGCATGGGAACGTTGAATATGCGGTGGGATTCTTCAAGTTCATGAAGTTCTTGAAGAGGGTTGTGCCGTCTTGGGTGTGAGGAGGTGCGGGATTGGATGGGGCATATACTGTGCTCGAATCCCTTTCCATCGAGTGGTTTTTTCTTGTATGCATCTCTATGCTATACCCGGCGCACATGGAGTTGGTCTTTTGTCTTTCCTTCAGCTCTTGCTTACCCGATCATTCTCCCCAAAGAATTATTCTTATGTCTCATCCCCGGGTCAAATTTAACATCCTAGATCATGTTTGTTTCTGCATTATGTCAACGAGGTATCCATAAACTATTTTTAGATTCCTGATCATATATCATTATGTAGCATACCAAATCACGATACCACGATCGCCAGTACTCCTCTTGTTTAAATGACCTTCATTCGAAGACTTATCTCAAAGACGATAGAGAGCTATATACTAGAGCTGTGTTCCCTTAGCTCCTAGAGATACTCTAGGATCCTAACAAGAGAAGAGTTTTCGAAAGGAAAGGAATCTTCGTCTATATAGATCGACCTCAACCTCGACCTCTGCCTACCTACTGTACAAACTCGCCCCGCGATCCGTATTAGGCTCATCCCACTGCTCTCTTACAATACATTCCCTAGAAGGCATGAAAGGCTTTTGTGGAAAAGCAACATGAAACTCCGTCGGCATAAAAATGAAGAACCTACCGCACCTACCGTGGGGTGCGTACACTCGTCTTCGAATTAAGCGTATCGAGCTCGTCAGTTCGAGGACATGACTGCTAGGCCAGAGAGCATGGTTTGAAATGTGTAAGTTAGTGATAAAATCTCAACGCTGATGTTTTCTTGATTCCTTTGTATTGCCTCCCTTTTGACCGTGAGGCTCGCCATATCCACGAGGTCGTAAATCATAAACATCCATATCTCACGTATCATCACTGTCCAATGTCCAACCCCATTTTTAAGCCCCATCCCACTCATATCCTCTTCTTATACTACCACTCCCGAACGAACTTACATCGCCAATAACCCACCCACGATCAACCCAAGTAATCCGCCCACGGACCCGACATCCAAGCCAACACCATTCGCAGCCGCCGCATTAGCAGTCGCGGTAACACCAGCCTCACTCCCACTCCCGCTCACACTCACGCTACCACTACCAATCCCATCTCCACTCGACGTCCCACTAACAACAACCTTCCGATCATACCCCGTTGCCGTAACCGTATACGTCGCCGAAGCTTGCGACCAAGTAATCACGGTCCCACTCGGCGGCGCCGTAACCGTCCCGGCAACATTATGCAGCGTCGAAGTCCCATTCTTAGGGAAATCACCCGGTTTGTAGAACTTGTTGTCTGTGTCGGAGAAGCCGAGGTTTGCACAGTCCGCGGAGGACAGCGAGGAGTCGCAGGTTGACCAGGTGAAATCCGGGACGGAGGTGTAGAGGTTTGGGAGGTTGGAGGGGAAGAAGATGGGCCAGAGATTTACGCCGGCGAGCGTTGGGATTGTGTCTGGGCAGACTTCCCATGCCCTGTACAGGAAACAAGGTTAATTATTGCTTCTCTTCTTTTTTTTCGGGGCCCCAGATATATTGGGGTTTGTAGGAGGGAGAAGGGGAGACGTACGAGGACATGCTAGCACTAGCGCCGCAGCAGGCACACTCTGTTGCTGTTCGTGCGATATCCGGGATGTTCCCTAGATTCGAGAGGTCGGGGATATTGTTGAGGGCTTGGCTGGTTATATTGTTGACGCAGGAGATTTGGGCTTTGCGTGCGGAGAGGGTGTTTGTAAGGACCTTGCCTAGACTGCAGGAGCAGCGATTTGGGGCGTTGTCTGGGGCTGGCCAGAAGGGGATTGGTTCTGCGGCGCTGGGGCATACGGCAAAGTATTGCTGGACGAAGAGTTGGTATTCGCAGGAGTAGACCTGGATGTGGGAGGTCGTATGTTAGCTTTTGACCAATGCAATAGAGTATTCTGAAAATCACTGGCAAAATCAAGGATTGAATATGATACGGCGGCAGAGGTTGGTAGAAAGACGTACCTGGTTCCAGCAGGAGTGTGCCATGCAATTGATATACTCTTGGTGCGCGGTACATCCGCAGTCTACAATGCAGTCGCCATTGCCGTTGCAGTTGTTGATGCAGGAGCGCCATTTGTCGGCAACGTTGCGGTTGCAGTCTGAGTAGACAGATTCGGCAACACAGGTGCTGGCAGTGATGTTGGTTTGGGCAGAGACGAGCTGTGCGAGGCCGGCCAGGGACACTGCCGAGACAGCGAGGAATTTGCTGGATGGCATTGTGCGAATATGCAGTAGTGAACAATAGGAAGGGTCAGGAGCTAGGCTTCAATGGCCCTGCTAAGTTTACTCTGGGGAGGATTTCCACTGCTGACCAGAAGGCTTTATCTGATTTTGGGCCATCGACGAGATATTATATAGACCGCCTCTCCACGCAGCCCAGTAAAATCAGAAGTCCTCGGATCCCCGGCTGATGCATGATCGTATCCACCCCTCTGCAGGGCCAGCGGGCCGATCAATGCATTGGTGCATTGGTATTGGAACTACAGTGTCACCGCAAGCTCGGGCCGGGGCTTGAGTTCTCGCATCGCTATGAAAGACACTGGCACCTAACTCGAGGACTTCAGTGACTAGCGTCGCACACGAAGATACCTAACGGGCTAAAAAATCCCCTGTCACCAATATCAATGGTCAGTGACGAATCTGACAACAAACGAATGCCCTCCAGCTTCGAGTCCATTAGTCGAACCCCCCTGCTTGCATATCTCACATGCACGCAGGCAGTCACTTTTTCCTTCGGCAGGGGGCAAGCTCCGGGGTCGTCATGCTGGACGAGTCGAGCCTTATGGGACAGGCTATTTCCAGGGGTGTCCTGTATGAGGCGAGACCCTTGCTGGTAGGTGGGTAGAGACACGAGGGCGATGCGGGTCCGGTGTGGCTATGGAGTCATGGATCGGTGAGCCTTGCAGGGTGCTTGGGGGTGATGCGCAGAGGAACCCTGGATGACAGTGAGGTGTCATTGACAGGAGTCCAAATTGTGAATATGGAGAATTGATGGAGCTCTCAGTTCTGAGGGTCCATAAATTTGGCTAGGACGATGCGGTGTGCCTAGTCGCGACAGTCAGAGTCGGACACTGGGCAAGTCCAATATAAGTCCTGTGAAATATTCCTCTTTCTCGGTGGGCCCAGTGTTCTTTTCCTCTGGCAGTTCTCACCGGGATCTATCCTCTCACAAATGGGGCTGAGCCCAGTCGAGGTGCCAATAGTGGTCTTGGAACACCGCATGGCAGCCATGAACATTACTGGACTTGCGGGGAGTTGGCCATGGCAATGACATTGGCAATTTGTTGTGGCAGGGTTCGTTCGATCGATCCACTGGTTGGGTAACCATGCTGGAATTGCAGCAAGGAAAATACATTTGCTGCGTTCCTGGATGTTCCTGGGGCGGCAGTGGCTGTGGGAATTGGCTGGAGCGGGCCGAATCGAGGGGGCTCGTTTCGGTGGTGGAGAGATCACATCAAATCTCATCAGATCCGAGATGTCTCACCCCTGCCAGGTGGAGTCGAGCATTGGTGAAAATTTACGTATAGTATGACTGCATGGCCAGCTTAGTAGAGGCTGGTTTATCTCTTAGCCTTTGCGGAAGGTTGTCCCTTCCTTTTCTGTTCTTGCAGATTGTTGGTATGACGTTGCTTGATATATATCCTTGGCCCAGGGATCCGTAAGAGGTGGTGCTGCTGTCGTAGTAAGGACTCGAATTTCCCACCATAGATCTGCGAAGTTTAATTACCTGATAACTTCTTCCCTTTGTCGGGTCACCACTCCAGCCAAGTCTCACTTGTCACCGCTCCATGGATGCAGCTTATGCCAGGTAAGCGAGTATAAGAAGACTTGCCAAGGTCGGCTGCGTCCTCCGCGGACGTTGATTCGACACTTCCTAACACGGGTTTTATTACTCATAGCGCACGCTGTTCATTTTGATTCTATGTAATGTCCGGTTGGCATGACTATAATGAATGATTCAATAAATAATGCTTTCTGAAAATGTCGGGAATGGTAAGCTGGGGACTTGCAGATCTAGATATGTATCAAGTGTTTGTCAAATGTGCTATATATCAATTTTCCTGGCAAATGAATAACCAATCCGCATTAGTGTAGTGGTTAACATATTTGTCTTTCATCTCAATGTGGGAGCATCACAGAAGCCGGGGGTTCGATTCCCCCATGCGGAGAAATTTTTTCGCTCGCTTATCGGATCCCTCTTATTTTTTTTCCCTTCCTTGGGCTGCGGTCACCTAGCAGAAGATGGCATACAGTACAGCGTGATTTTATAGGGCTTGGTCTCCAGGATTTTGCCCACTTTTATAGCCGCGAGTTATGATTTGACCATGAGGCTATTCCTAGATTGATGCATTGGGATTGTGGGGGTCTAACCCGCTAAGGGGGTATGACCTTTCGGGGCCAGTCGACACGCGGTGCAGCTGAAGGGCAGCTCTGTATGTTGGCTACGTCAATTGCTTGCACCACCCTTTCGCTTAAGTGTCCCATTCACTTGTTCATCCTCATCGTATTCCAGGTTTCAGGCGAGAAGTTTCAGGCGAGAAGACTGTATACTGAATTGATGATAGTGGATTTTGAGCTCCTCAAGATACAGTCTTGTCAATATTTGACCTAGTGGTTTCATCTTTACCTGATCAACAGGCCTTCTGCAGTAGGTACAGGACCCAGTTTGACCTCACATTCTCTAGACCTGAACCTCGGAAAATAAATCCTGAACAAGTAGGGTTTTGTTGAATGACTATTGAAAGCGCATGAATCGTGACCGTCTTCTGGAATAGTCTTTGTATTTTTTAATACACCCCCAAGAACATAAGGGCTATACGTTACACGAAACTATACCACGCACGCTACCTCCTCGTTCTTCGTTCATGGACATCAGCAGCTTTCTGCGGGAAGGCCTGTCTGCTACACACAATTCACTGTGACACCAAGTGCTCACTGGCCGAGGACTCTGAGAGTAGTTGGCATGGGTTCGAGCGGGCCATATGAACATGTCAATTCCTTGCCCACAGACCCTAAGCCCCATGCAACATCGTATAGATCTCCCAGGGCGTCCTACTTCGGCAGCAATACCAGGTACAGTTTTACGCACTCTCGATTATTTTCATTTCCCACAAATCACCCTAGGCTAGAAAAGGCCAGAGGACCTTTAAGTAGGATTGCAGCGAAGATTTCGTTGAGCCATTTTGAATATCTTCGATACCTAGTTAGAGTCTACCCCCTTATGTAGGCAGATTCTTATTCTTTGAGCGTATTTTGGTGGTTTAGTGGGCGTTTGAAGGAGGGGTGATAGATAGATACGCGTTTTGGTGCGTTTCCAGCCTACAGTAGGATTCACGTTAACAAATTTTAATACAATTATAGACGAACTTGAGGAATACTGCATCTACTATCGCGGAGAAATTCACTATTGATTTTTCTGTTAGGCATGTATACCAAGTACTCAAGAAACTCGCGGGTTACTATGGATTATTCCTCCTATCTTCAAATTTCATTTGTAAAGGGAAAATAGGGTGGGAGGGGAGAGATGAAAAGTATAAAGCCTATAATCCTCTTTCCATTTTTCCTGTGGTCGCGCCCTTTATATCTCTCCAGTCAAACTATTAGACGGACTATAAAGTTAAGCACTCCCACGGCTTTCGGAATGCAGTTCTTGATTTCTACTCTTATACTTACTGCCATTGCTACTGCAGCTTTCCCAGTTAATGATACCTTGAAGGATGGGGAAATTGGCCCAAGTGGAAAAGTTAAAGCTTCATTGGTCGCGGATCAGAATCAAATTTCCGCTAATAAAGCAACCTTTAAGACGAGTCTAAAAATCTCAAATCAATCCCGCGTTGCTATCGACCGGCAGCGCGTGGCGAGCGCCCAGCAGGCGCTCGAAAATTGTCAAGCAGGTAACTGTGAGTGATTCGTACCACTCCTATCACGGGTTGAACGGAAGAGCCAGAGCTGTCAGCTTCTGAATTCTACACATAGGTGTCGGAGATGTAGAGTCAGGTAGAATGAGGGCTTATGCTTATTTGCATGTAGTTAGCTTTGTGTGGGGATACGTGTAGAAATTCCGAATAGGTAAGGGAAACAACAGAGATGAATGCAAAGGTTTATATCTAAGTGAACTAAATATATCGTAGCTAGGTTTGTCTCCTGCTTTTCCCTCCTAACTCCTGACTTGTACATAGTACCTTATCTCTGTGTGTTGCTTCCATCCATGCTAGTCTTGACGATCGACATATATATACAGTGGTCAACTGAGATGCCTCTATCTTCGGAGCGGTGATGCTTCATCACCCGCCAATATAAAGTAGGGGCGGTCTGTCAATTCTTATTGAAAATCTACCACATTCAGCGATTTTAGCCATCTGTAACGCAGTGGTTGCTATATATCATATCATGAAGCATGACAAGTTCTGAAGAAGGGAGCCTCACCACCATTTTACGGAAAAGGTATTAAGAGTTTATATCAAGGATGTTGCTTATATAAGTCCACCAGAAATTAAGTAATGTAGGTAACAAGGTATTGAAGTATATATATACCTGTATTTCCTAAAGATAGGTTATGAGATTGAGACGAAACTCCTCCTACCTAATTAGCGACTAGTCAGTGAAGGGCGCGAATCCTGACTATATTACGGCCTATGGGTAACGATGTTTTACTGAGCCCCTAGAAGAATGGTATATAAAGTAATCTTATAAAAATAAATTATCCGATCTATATTAATATAGACAGACGTTGATAGATTTATCTATGTTTAATCTAAGAATATTGCTTTCAATTGATCTTCGAATATGGACTCGACTGACTCGAAACTATTCATCCGATCCGCATTAGTGTAGTGGTTAACATATTTGTCTTTCATCTGATGAAAGATTCACAGAAGCCGGGGGTTCGATTCCCCCATGCGGAGAAATTTTTTCCTCCTTAAAATCATACAGCCAGCTTCCCTTATTTATGAACGCGAGGCCCCATCCTTGTTACATAATATTCTGACCACAAAAGCTTTCATTAACAAATGGTCTAGAAAATTGACTTCCATGTATAGCGATTGAGAGAAGCTTCTATTAATTAACAAAGGGTCTAGGAGATTGACTTCTATATATAGCGAAGGATAGAAAATTTTTATAAAACGAGGGTCATGTGTCCATAGGAATCTGCACGCAATGTATTGCCTGGAATTGCGGCTGCAAGCCACGTGCTTAGTTTGTTCTGTTTCCCTACCGCAAAGCGGATATGGGAGGCGGTCGGGAGTGCGCTGAACGGTGTGGACCGAGGGTCAAGAATTGCTGGAATGTCGCTGGCTCTGTACATTTTCTAATTTTTCAATGGAGCAAAAGAAAGAAGTTGTACGATCCAATCAGATACATAGAAATATTCAACTCCCTTGCAGTAGCAGAGTACTCCAAGTTTCCTCGTCTTGCCTAGTCGAAGGTTACCTGGCTGCCATTAATCCCTCCAAAGAGGTATCAGTTCCCTACATTTCTTTGAAATAAGCTCGCACCGAGGGTATGAGCTTTGGTCGATCGTCCATACTCTCATGGTAGCGCATGTAACCTTATCTGCGTGACTCTTCTCGTCAATTAGGGGAATCAAATCGTCTGTTAGCAGAGATTGGAGACATTCCTGGCTGCAGAGTGGCAGCAAGGATTGAGAGCACCGGTGCCAATCAAGCGCATAGAGAGCCCCGCAATTCTCACATCGAATATTCAGATTCGCCGCCAGAAATCTGGGAACATGCAAATAACCAACTTGGCTCAGCTGCGAACATCGTTGACACAAAGTTTGTCCGAGATCCTTTTGCCAACATGGTAACCAGTGAGTGTCCTCTTCGGACTTCATCTTTGTACTGCCAGCAGTAATGATCCTGGCCTCGTCTTTCTGCAGGTACACAGCTTATTGTTTCCGTACTCTTGGATCTCAGTCGAGAAGTTGTGAGTCCTCGGAGTCACTGTAATATGCTTATTCAGATTTGTCAGAAACAGCATTGCCGTCTAACAAATTCCGAGGAAAATGCTCGGCAAAATGACTGCTCCCGTTGGTTTCGAGTCCAAGCTAAAGGCTCTTCATTCTCTTGAATCAATCCAGCCTCGAAACAACTAGCTGGCACCTCAGGGATGATTTGAGTTGAGGTAGTTTGACGGGCCGTTTAAAGTCTCTGCTGTTGATGTGCCAAAACTGTGGCATTGGCGAATTTGCGGCTTTTTGGAGCTCGAGGATCTCCCCATCTATCTTCTCTCTCCAGCCACATCTGTTTCAGGGGGAGTTTGATTTGAGAAACCTGCCTTTCTGAGAACCCATTGCCTGTTTGCCCATGTTTTGGTGCGCCCTTTCTTCTTCTTTCTTTGGGATGGGGAGCGGGTCGGGGTGGGAGGCAGACTGATGCCATAACAACATTGCTCAGAGGAACCCTCGTGTAAATTGTTCCACCAATCGTGCGCAACGTAGGAAAATCCTTCTCTTCAAAACCAGCGAAAGGTAACCATGCCTTGACCTTCCAAGATATTATTTTTGGTGCCATCGGCCCCGAATTTTCATTTGTATGCTCTGCCAGCCTGTGATACAAAGGACCCACTTTTGGAAGCGGGACTAGGAATGCTATGTGAATCTCAAACTACAGTCCTACTAAAGCTCGTCTTAGCTTCACCCGAAGGGTACTAGTCACCGACCCTGCGTAGAAGGGCGAGCTTGTCGTCGGTGTACTACGAGCTACGAGCTACCAGCTACGAGCTGCGAATTCCATTCGAAAAGACTACCCTCATGTAAGTACACAAGGCCCCATGGCTTTCAACAAGAAAAAAAAACCCCCATACAACATCCGAACGCCGTTAGCAATCGGCCTACCAAAAATTAGCAAAAGACGGGAGGGGGGAATTACTCACCTCTTTGCTTGCCACCGCCATGACGCGGGGAGGTCTGCGAAACCTCCGAGGGTTCGTTGGCCGGAGCCACTCTCTCCCCCTGGGCTTCCGTGGGAGCCGACGGAGGAGCCTGCGAGGCCTCGGTGGCAGTCCGCGGGGTCGCCGGCGAGACCCTCGAGAGTTCGATGGCCTGTCGCGGCCCGGACGATTGGCTTTCCACGTCGCCCTGCTGCCCGCCGGTCTGCTGCCCGCCGATCTGCTGCAACCAGGTCAGTAGTACCTCCCGCCACTTACCTGTCCACTTCCATAACTTGCGGAGGAACAAGACCATCGTAATCGCCGCTGTGATTAGCGTAAGCACGTCGTCGACCTTGTTGGTAGTCATCCAACCTTCGGCCATCTTTTCGAAGTCAGCAAGCGTAAAACGGGGAAGGGGACGTACCTGTTCAATTGTCACGTCGTGTCGCTGCTTGTGAGATGGTTGAGGAAGAAAGTTCCCAGGGTCAAAGGCCAGAATTTTTGTAAACATTGTATTGATGTCCAAAAGGAAGGAACTATAGATCCACTATGCTGAGCGGGTAACTAGTATAATACCCACCTAGGCAGGTGGTAGCACGGGAGACCATAGATTCGGAACCGGGGAAGGCGCTCTGGAAGTATAGTGGTTGATTGAGGGAGTCTGATTTCGCCCGCCAAAACCCAGATGCTGAAAGACAAGCGGCCCTTGACAATGCACCGAGCAGAAATTGTGAGTCAGGATGAATTTAGTCATATATGTTCTTGACTGACGTCTTAAGGACAGTTTCTCTGGTACTGTGTTGAAGGACTGTCCGGCACAGCAGTGCTTTCAGTCAGGCCTGCACAAATCGTGGTTGTGGAGACTTCCAGCTGGAGGAGGATCAAGATATACTTTACCTACCTTCTGTGTTGCTCCTAATTCCAATTTATCATTTTGGTACAATATTTCAAGCAAATGATAAATAATGGATTCAACAATATTCGATTCAAAAGCAAGACAGACAGAGCTCGATTCTTCTTTCTCTCAAGCAACAAAGACCAGGGCATCTATTGTAAGTGTGATGCCTTCAAAAAATAACGGCTACTTTCACGAGGAGGCCTCAGTCGTTCATGACTATAATTCATCCAGCGCTTGTCAGGCCAATGCACGCCACCCAAATCTCTATGTAAGATAATTTCAAAAGATCGTGGGGTTTCATCAGTTTTGCTTTCTTCCCATCCAAGCCATTGGCAGTAATCGGATCCAAGAACATTCATATCAAGACTTGCTTTTGATTCCTGGAAGAACCTTTGAAGCCATCTTTTCGTATCTTGATGTAAGCACTGGTTGATATCTGATTTGCTCAGGTGTTTGAGTTGGGCAGGTGTTAACCCAGATACATCAAACTTGAAAAGATTTTGTAGTTGAAGAGACCTTGAATTCTCATCAAACCAAATCCTAATCTTGGTGTGAACAGTTGCGAGAGGATGGTCATCAAAAGTGCACTGGTGCATAAATTGCATATTTCCGGTCTCACAACCAAAGGACGACGGCTCACTAAATCTCCAGTTTCGAAAAAGACCGTGTTGGTCCGGCGTCCGAGCAGTAACGATACAATTTCGCGTACTGTGAAATGTCATCGCTGAACATGGACAGATATCAACCACTGTTGAGTTAATAGAAGAGCATCGGAGCTTTAAGTTGAAACATGATCGTAGAGCTTGCCCTATAGAGCGTCTATGAAGATTTCCACATTGTCTACAATAGACCGAACGCTTATCTCCAAGTCGAAGAAGACGTTCTGCTCGGTGATGTTCCTCTTTTGAAGACCACTTCTGCAACTCCCAAGAGGGGACAATAGAAGCAGGATGACAGTGATCATCACTATTTGGACGATGGTCTCTGGCATTTTCCCGAAAGTAAGTATATATCGCAATATTACTTAGGGCAAAGCAAATTTCGTCGGCATCAGAAAGAAAATTGAGAATGATCCGGATTAATTCCGGTGGAAGCCTCTGAAAGACATTTTTCTTAGCTTTTTGACGGGCGTTAATCGCGACCGCAGACTCGTTCTCATCTCGAAGGAGCCTTGTTCGGATAGTGGTACGTAACTTTTGGAAAGTGTATTGACCCATGTTGAAGAAGAATTGTACTTTGACAACTAGATTGATGGAAATACTTTGCAGGAAATGAGAGTAAAGGTGGTCTCAATGTTCGCTTAGGAGGTTGATGACAAGCATTCGCGTCATACACTAGTCTCCGACTCCATCCTGGGGACTGACAAATATGTTCCTGATACGACAAGATCCTCAAGCGACCCCCTATCAATGCGCTCCCTAGTAAGCTGAGAGTTACTGTATAGTAACATAGTAATACATATGTGGATATATATCTTCAAAAGCAATAAAGCTGCTGGAGGGAAGTAAGTACGCTGCCAAGGCGCTATTCACAAAAGTCTTTCGTATGAATTTTCAACTCGTTCATGGTTACCATGAATCAAGGATAAATTAAATCAGTCTAAAGCCTCTTCTAGATTATACTTTCCTCCATTAACTGAAAAGCACATGTTTCTGTTTGGGATGATTGCTCTCGGAAAACAACATTTGCGTATGGCCTCTCTTGCCTCCTACAGCCATGAGCTACATGATGAAAAACGTCTCCAACGGGAACCCCAAATGTGGTATTGGCCGCGACTGAAGCACACACGAGCATCGAAGCTGAAAAATCTTGCGCTATACTTAGTCCTGATAGAGATGACTATCGGGCTGTTGCTGTAGGCCTCCAAATCTCTTATGACTCACTCTACATCAGAGGAATTGGGGTCTTCCTGGTCCTCGATTTGGCTTTTCCTATCTTGATAACGTGGGATATTGAGGTCAGTCAGTCTGACTGAACCCCCCCCCCCCCCCCCCGAGTCAAATTTGAATAAATCAAAATAAAAAAAACATACAACAGCCAGGATTCGCATGTGGTCACCCACCATACTACTAACTGGCCGGCGTGTGGCTTAAGTACGGCTGAGCGGACGGGAAGCCCTGTTCTCCACACCCTTTGGTCGTATGTGCTGGACAGGGCGTTGCAATGATATGGTTGGTTACAATTTCTTAGATCTAATGTTAGAGCGCTGCTTTCGCATTGTGTGACTGAGGTGAGCAGGGTGAGTACGCAATAGACAGAGTAAGAAGCCGGGTAAGATCAGGTGAGAATCACCTTCTGTCGCGCGATTACGGCACTGACTCTTTCTTCCTGCGTTTAAATACAATATCATTGGTTCACCTAGGTCTCTCTGAAACTAGAGTCTCTTAGCACTTACATTTACCATTGAAGTCCAACTTAGGATTAGCCGAATCAACGGCATAACTGACTAGAATATCACCTTAGGCCAAGGTATGGAGTAGTATGCTTAATATCTAGGCGCCACTAACACCACGTGGACTTCAACGAGTTACATATCCTTGCCCGAGCAATTTTAGTTACGTAGCATTCCAATGTCATGTCCGGCGTAGCTAAAATCTGCGTGTGACAGATAATAACACGTGGCAAAAACAGCGATTGATATCTTCGACCGGCCTATGTTAGAACACTAGTCCGTCCTAGTCGTTTGCCTAAGGTCGATTATAGCTAATCAACATACTAGCATCAGAGTCACAAAATGGAAGCTAACTCGCACTATTTTCACCACGTTAGGAGATCAATCATACAGTCCGAATCTGGGACCTAAAAACCGATCGATATATGTCATTTCTTCTAACGATGGGGGGAAACACGACCGATTAAGGAGGATGAGAGAAGCGTTTCTTATTGGGGTCATAGAAAATCTCATCCCACTGATAAATCTCTCTTCTCTTGAGTCCTCAGTCTTGATACTTTCGTCAAATGACAAAAGATCATCCCTGATCTCCTACTGGCTGTAACAGTAATATCGAAGACCTACAGCGGGGTATTTGCATGGTCGAACACAGACACATTGACACCGAAGATGATGCTGGAAAGACTGAGAGCGACGATGAACTGATAGAGAAGCCCACTCAAGTTCTATGCCTTGTCGCCATATACACCTTTCTCAGTAAACGCTATTCAGATCGCTACTTAGATAGCTTGGCCTCGCTCTCTAAATTATTTACTGCCCGGAGGAGATCAGAAGGGTGATATTAATGGCACGACAGAAAAGTTCATGGCAAGACAGGGCTAGTCCTAAAGAGTCACGCCTCTTTAGCATAAATGCTACATAGTACCTGCCGAGTCATTATGTGTACATAATCCTATAGTAATCAAAACGCTTCTCGCTAGTATTGTGAGCGACTCTTTACGCTAGCATGACGTGAACTTTGTTTATCTATCTTTTTTACGATCTATGAGTATTTAGGAGAAGGAACGATGTTAAAAAAGATTTTAAAAAAGATGATAAAAAAGATGTTAAAAAAGATGTTAGAAAAGATGTTAGGAAAGACTTAAGAAAACCTCAGAAAAGGGTGATGATAGGAAGAGACGTAGAATAAGGGGGCGTTTACTGTTAGGACTAGCCTTGTCGTGCGATAGACTTTTCTGACGTGTCGTTAATGCCACCCTAGAGAACGATTTTTTGCATTCAACGAGGGGACCAAGGAGAAAGTAAGGAGAGGAGAACCTATCTAGCCAGGTGGTTGTTTGATATATCCCACCGATAACTAGCGCCATCTCTTATTATCCCAATATAGTAACTTCACTTACTTCGTCATGTATGCAAACTTCAGGATACAAACTTTGTACTTCACATAGCGACACATAAATCTCTATTTCGTGAACTATTATCCACCGCTATTCATGAGGTTGCTAAAGATGCTATCTTTCCGATTACTCAGAACTCTAGGCTTATCCATCTCTACTACCTTCCCCTGATCTAGACCGACAAACAAATCGTGACTCAACAGAGTGTGGACACGATGTGCAATCGTAAGGACTATACATACACGAAAGGGATCCTATTACAGAAGGCCTTACACACGGGCGTCAGTTTTCGTGTCGACGCTGCTGGTGCCTTTATCAATCAACAAGATCCTAGCGTTGCTTACTTAGATTTTCAACATTGCGCGAGTAAATTATAGCAGTTGTTACTCGCCTCGGGATAGCGATAAAGTGTCGTTTATCTCGGCATCTAGCCCGCCTCTTTCGAGTAGCACACCGTCCTAGATTCTAACTCGGTCGAGAGCCGCGATAATGTCTCCGTCGGGGAGGATTTCTATGGGATCGAGATTGAATCTAACTATACAACTAAACATAATAAATAGCTTTTGGGAGATAGTAATAAGCCTTTCTCGGATAATATTGGGGGAGATAGTAGTGAGGTTAATATCGTCGATAATAATTAACCCTCGGGTTAGGGTGAGCATACCTAATAATATTGAAAGTAAAGAGCTCTTTCCACTAATTCATTACGCGATAGAAGGTTAGAATGGACTAGTAATCCTAACGCTGAAAATTCTTGTTAAGGCGATAATACTTACCTCCTAGTACGTCCGTAGATACTAAGTTTCTGACCTAGTAAAAGTTTCAGAGAGACACCGTGTAATACTACTTCTCTAGAACTTTTCGTGTTTTATTAATCATACGAATAAGAGGTGGTGATAGTTTATATATAGTGTAAATTACGTACTTATATTATATAGTTATATCCGAGATCTGAATAGCTCCCTGACTTAGCTAGTTAGTTAGTGATATGAAAGTGCTTACTAACTTTGCTAATCTCATTTTATGAGGCTAGGTGCGCATATCTCTCTTAACCAAAATTCGTAATCGAAGGGGACACGCGAGGAGAAATGCGACCGCAGGAATAAGGCTAAGTATGGCTTGTTCGAACAATAGCGTGAAATCAAAGCTATCACTATAGGGCCGAAAGTGTTATCAGCCTGGAGTGAGCACTCTAATGGCATGATTTCGAGCTATCCTCCTTTTCCGCTTTTGCTTATCCCTTGATAAGATGAAGGTAAGGGCAGAATTAGTACCTATTGTCGAAACAAGAGGGTGTTTAATACCACTAGCACTATCACCCTTGCACGCTAATCGCAAACTTGACCTTAAATCAAATAGTTCTCACTAGGGCGTATACGTAATTATCCTCGGACCCGAAACTTGTTCGTAAGCTAATTAAGCTACTTAGGTAGGCGCCTAGATAACCTCCGGGCTTAAAAATAACGAATCCCTCATCATCTATAACGCCATCGTTGTCTTATCATTACTGGTTTTAAAACGTAATTCGCGAGCGAGCCGCTCACACAAGCGGTTGCGCTCTCACTTCAGAACTCCATACTAATTGCCTTACTTTTAGTACTCTGTATTTCAACCATATTGATCCCTTCCCTAGTTACACTGTATGCTTTGAAAGCCAGTATCTACTCATAAATTCACCGCTAGAGTCACATACCCTTCATCCGCCCACCTTGCCTTAGCCTTGGACCACTTTAACATCATCTAGGTACCCTGTATTCAGTCACGCCCAGATCGTTACTTCTTCAAGACTAACTACGACACCCTGCATGGAGCTCCGTTGTGTGGCATCCGCTCTCCCAGTGGTTGCACGACATTGAAATCTTTGGGTCGTAGGCGTGGAGGAAAACGCTATCGCAGTGAAGCGTGTGGTCGGGCTTGAGGATATCTTTACCCATAGGAATTTCATGACGGAAGGCGTCGTGAAGTTTACTCCAGACATAGATACAGTGAAATTGATGCCATATCCGCGGGCCGTCAAGAAGGGTATAATCCCCCCGATCCCATTCCTCACGTGGCGCTTCCTCCATTGGGAGGGTTTCATTGCTGATGTAGAAATGCCAATCCATTCTCTCCACCAAATCAGCGTGGTGGCATTCTGGCCGCTGCCATCCCCAGGACATTAGGTCGCAGATACACCAAAGCGCCCGGGCCTCTGTAATATACTTCCCACAGTGGCCGAATTCATCCCCAGTCGATTAATCTGAGAATCGGTGTATATGACTTGTTGTCAATATCATTCGGACTGCCGTAATTCCGTCACCCGTCTTGGTAGTACCGTTTGCCACGGACGAGATCATAGCGATGTTGATACTTCCTATGCTGAAGATGAGAATTGATAAGTGAAGCAGGCTGCCACTTTGGACGAGAAAGCCACTTCGAGCCTGGGTGCTAATTCGCTTTCCTCCTTGCTCTGTAAAATTCTCATCCGCGTCATCTAAGAGGGGATGATGTTGGTCTGAGCCGTTCATGTTGAATGGCTTCAAGTCCTTCACTGCAGAGAACTTGTACGGTGGAAGTCGGTTGCTCATAAGCAACTGAGATGTTCATGATGCATATTTGCGATGGTATCAAGCAGTGGCTTTAAATCATAAGGATTGTGATAACCCTAAAGAAGTGCTCATGGCTTGGACATTCAGTTTTGATGCCATCAATTCTAATTATTTGCTATCTTGCCATGTTGACTGCACTTGCAGTCGAGAAGGGCCCAAAATCAATCTTGCCGCCTGGAATTCCCTGGCCTCTTTTTTTAGTCACCCTTTTTGTATTTTGAATGCATATATTCGAGACTGGTGCGCTATATATAACCCTCGAAAGTAGCACTTGGCATTGATCAAACGCGAAGTTGTTGATGTGCACTGGACATCGGCCGTGGATCTGGTTCGGTCATCCGAGCAGCAGGGCTTATTGCTGGCATCTACATCTTGAATCATATGCTGGAAGTTTTCTGTGCAAATTTGCCTCAGGCCCTGGTTGGAGTTTTCAGGGAATAGCATGATCGGATATCAAAACTTAAATAGCCGGAGTTGAGGGTTCAATGTATTTGTTAAAAGAGGTCATTGAAAAGCAGGTTTTCGTGCACTTCCCTTCCCGTGAGTGCTCATATGACAGTGTAAATTCTTTAATCTGATGAAGTTGACCACCCTTATTTCTTGAGAATTTGATACAATTATTCATCGTATCTTCATTGCTACGCATTAAGATAGTTTCAACGCAGCCTAGCCCTAAGTCGAGTTTATGCCACGTGACTATATCGAGAACTTGAGATGGTCACGTGCTAAGCAAAAAGCCCTTGAACGAAGTACCATTGTATCTTGATCAGCTTTCACCAGAACCAGTTTAGACTATTTTTACATATTTTACCAGTCCTATACTCTCCTTACAATGGTATCTTTTTTACTATCATCTTATTCAGCGATAGTGTATGCCCAAAGCGGGCGTCAGGTAACCGGCCCCGAAGTTTGCACTTCTGGTGATGCTTGTTTTGCTTTGGTATACACAGGTTCGTCTAATCACAATGTCGAGCCCCTTGTACTCTTACCATAAAAGCTTACCATGATCTGCTCAAATATCCCGTTCATAACATTCGTGCAAGAAGCACCAGGAAACGCTGACGACATCACTCCGGCGGCAAAGGAAATTACTATCGACGCTAAAGTCATTGCGTCTCCACCGCGCCGGTGTTGATCCTTATTACCTCCGCTCAGTCCTCCGAAGCTAAATTAGCTTAAAGCAGTCCGTTAAACGTTCTTGAGCTAGGCCCCGGGGCCGTGACTCTGTCGCTTGGTATGTAACATCCTGGGAGAGAAGAATTCTCCGTCTTCCTGCATTTAGAACAATGAGTATAGGAGGGTGTCTCTTGACGCTACAAAACAAGACGGGGAAATAATTATTGACCATTGAATTATTGAAGAGCTTAATTCAATTAGTTTGTTGTGTGTACAGTATCTCGGATTTGCCGGGTCTTGGAGGGAAATTGGACGGCGTTGCGGCGATTATGAGGGAATGACTGATTTCCGAGGACCCACCGCAGTCGATCGTGGAGGGGAGTTTGACCAAGAGTCGAGGTTTAAGCAATATGGTTGTAAGAATACTGTGGAAATTCTGTGAAAATTTTGTTTATCGAATAGTTTCTCTCTGTGTATAATATTCCGTTTGAAGACTGGTTGAGATATTTCCCCGACACGATGTCCATTACTCTTTTGGATGCCACATGACATCGATCTATCGCCAATCGTAACCCGACTAAGATTATTTCTGCTTCGCATACTTGAAGGGCCACTACTGTAATGTGAAAATGAGTAATATCGGGCCCCCAGATTTCTTACCAGACGATGACGTCTAAAATGAGATACAAGCGACCTCTATGCGAGCGCATCCCAACCTTGATTAGAAAGTACAGATCGGAAAGGGTATAGGGCTAAATGCGATGAGAAGGATCAGGGACTGATAGTGTTGAAGGGTATACACGAGACAATAAAATTTCCAAATCATAACAAATTACATCCAAACATATTCAAGGCCATCACCCAGCCCGAGTCACACTCAACCCCCGTATGTGGACAATGCACAAATGCAAAATACCCAACAGCCCCCCTTCCCAACGGTATCAACAATGTCACAGATTAGACAGTATGAACAAACAATCGCCAAACCCGCAAAACGAGTACAAGTACAAATCCGGGCTCACCACCAGCAGCCTTATCCCTCTCTCCACTCATATAAAATCTCCCAAAATCAGAGACGAAACTGAAATCAGATCCACAATTTACAACAACATAGCCACACCAGCAACGGCAGCCAACAGACCACCAGAAACGCGGTTCACAACACCGGCGTTGGTGGTAGGCACCGACGCAGCAGAGGTAGTGCTAGAAGCACTGGTGCTAGCAGCGCTAGTGCTGGACTGGGTAGTGGACGAGGCGGTGGAGCTGGAGCTAGCGCTGGAGCTGGAAGTGGTCAAGGTAGTGGGGGTGGAAGAAGAAGAGGAGGAGGTGGAAGTCTTGGTGGAGCTGGTAGAGCTGGTGGAAGTAGTCGAGACGGTAGTGGAGGTGGAGGTCGCGGAGGTAGAAGTGCTAGAGGCAGAGGTAGTGGTGGTTGCGACAACGGCGCCGGACACGGTGAAGCGGGGGGAGAAGTTGTAGTTGGAGGTGTCCTGGTCGTCGATGATCTCGATGGTGTAGTCAGGCTGGTATGCGAGGTCCGAGGGGACGTTCCAGGTGAAGCTGCCGTCGTTGTCGATGTTGGCTGGGAGATGTTAGTGTCTGATGCTCTTGGATGTTCAATTGATATAAAGAATGGCAATTGGAGGCACTGGAAGGCATTGGGATATGGAGGGTATAGCTGGGATTTTATTCCGGTACATCCGGCGGGTAGTTGCATCGTCGCATTCAAGGTACGTTCTGTACTTATATGCAAATACCCGTCTAGATGGAGATGGGTGATATTTATGGGGAATTATAGGTAGATACTCACAAGCAATGATGGTGCCCGAGTTGGCAGTCGAGACCGCACCGTACTGCAGGCGCAGAGTGACGGTGGTACCGGCATCGGCGTTCCAGCTCAGGGTAGTCGCCTCACCGGCAGTGAAGGTATAACCACCAGCCGGGTTCTTGAAAGCATTGGCCTGGCTGTTGGTGGCCGAGGCAACACCGGCGAAGAGCGCAGCAGCGAGGGTGATGAAAGTGCGCATGGTGAATGTGTTGATTGAACAAAAAGTTTCCAAAAGGCTGGTATTAATGTAGAAGAAAAAAGGGGTCGGCAATTAAGCTTTGGGCTGGTAATAAGAGCTGAAGCTGAGTAGAATGCGAGCGAAGGATAAAGCAATTCAAGGCCGATCAAAGGAGTGAATACGGTCGAAAGTGATCAAGCGGCGAAAAGGCTGAGAGTTGTTTTTAATGTAAAAGAACGGATAGGAAAGCCGAGCAAAGGAAGCGAAGGCGAGAGGGAGGGGAAGGGAAACCATATATTTCAGCTGGAGACTAGATTTAGACTAGCTATTTCAGGCAGAGTCCGGACTGTACATATCTCGCCAGGTTCATCGATCATAATGAACTAATCCCAGTCCGGAGGGCACGAACGGCCACCCGAGAGTCATTGTACCAGTAGTAAACCAGAAGAGTCAGTGAAATCGTCCAAAAAGGGCCTGTGCCCCCTTGGTAAGTCCGCCCGAACCAGGAAAGCACCGGCTAGTAAAAGCTACGCTAAAATAGAGGGCCCTAGGAAATTCGAATAGTCAAATCGCAAGCCGGCGCGATCATTCCTGGGGGGATTATAATTGGTCCGGTCGAGGCGTGATGGGGGAGTGGAAAAAGTGGACAAAGGGCGCCATCACGGGCTTGCAATTGGGGTTGACCGGGTGTCGGCCAATAGGGGCTGGATCCCTCCCCGGAAATTGTGGAAAGAATTATGGGAAATTGGATGCGCAAAAGCGCAAGGGAAAACAAGGGAAAAAGAAGGGTACGGCAAGGGAAAATGTGGGAACTTCTCGCCTGGGCCCTGGAAATAATCGCAGCCTGATAACACCGACACTAACACCACGAAGTCTCGTGGCAATCTCCTCGTGCGCCTGGTAGGCCATAGTCCGGCCCTGTAGCCCCTGTCTAGTTACTTACCCACACCTCGCTTCCAATGTCACCTACACCTATACATAACTCACATATGTGGCTAACGCTGCAGACCGCTCCTGGTAGGGTCTGCCCCTCGGTGACTGTTCGCTTGTTCGCCTCTCGATCCGCCTCGCCCGACTCCAGAGTGGGCGCGCTCTAGGCAGTACTTCGGCGATAATCGTGTGGAGAGGCGCAGCGGTTGGGCTAAACCGTTTCCAGCGAGTGGGCTTCCAGTGGGCTTTTTTCTCGGGGGGGGGGGGGCTATTTATGTTCATAGGTTTCCTTTGCTCGGCACCGTTGACTCAATGAGGAGGGTGGGAAAAAAGAAAATAAGTTTTATTGTTGTTCAATAATAGATTTGGCTTTGTGTGGTGATGATAGAGAGAATAGTACGGAATTCTCTAGTCGAGGAGTCGTCGATGATAAGCGATGAGGCTCTGGTTTAAAGAATTGTGCAATTCTCGGTTCTCCGAACTAGTTTCACCTAAAATTTTGGTTGGAGGATCCAGGACGGAACGATGTGATCCTTTTAATTCATGGTCGGGCATATTCTTCATTTTGGGAGTAGGCGCGTGCTAGAATTGATGTTGCATTCGATCATGCCCTGTATTGACTTGGGCCGTGGAAAAACCTAGGCTTGCAAGGCTGGTCTTTGTTGTCAACACTTATTATTATCACTAGTGAGTAAGAATTGTTTGACGACACACTTTGCGCCTCTTCAGCCAAGAGTCTTGGGCATTCTTACAGTAGGAGTCTGGAGGTTTGTTCAGGAGGTGCAGATGTGCTGTAGTATCCGAGCGCTAGACACCGTACCTTTAACGCGAGAACTCGACGCCATACTGGACGGAAAACTCCGGACAATATACAGCCTCGTCTCTCTACGACGCCAACAAATGCCAACAAATGGAAATAGAATCCGAATATAAGACCAAAACAACTCCAAGGTATTCGTTCATTCACATAAATTTATTCGCTGGTGCAAAACCACTAGAGTGACTAAACAGGGGTATCCGATTGCGGGGCACTGGTCGCCAGCGCACTCGCTCTAACATCTGCACTACCATCCATGGTGACATTGGCATTATCATGAACATTGGCATCGGGATTGGCAGCAGCATTGGCACTGACACTGGCCGCGTCACCACTCGGCGCGGCTAAATGGCCATGCTGCCCGAGCCAGGAAATCACTTCCATTGCCCGACGGTCCTCGTCATCTTTTTGCCGTTCCAGCAGCTATCGTCCCCATGATTATTAGCTTTCGTCACTTGGTGAAATAGTTTGGGTCCTCAAATGCTTGGTATAGATGGTGGACAGAGATGGAAAACCTCCACCCATAACATAAACCAAAATAGAGACAAGGAATGATTATAACCCACAGCTTGAAGTAGTCCCTTTCGTCCCTTCTTCTCCTTCTCTGCTGGCTTTGCCTTGGGCCCTTTCCCACTGACCTCGTGCGAGAACTTGCACTGGTCACCCCGGTTGCATCGCCCCGAGCGAGCAAAGTGCCGACAGACAACCTTTTTGCCTTCGCGTGGTGGCGCAGGAACGCGCTCGGGGCCTTCTCGCCTTGAGCTTACTTCCTCAGGTGCGGAGTCGTTGTCATCACTGCCGGAGTCTGAATCCGCTTCCGAGTCTGAGTCTGAGCCGGAGCCGCTGGATGAAGTCCAGTCGCTGATGCCTGAGCCCTCGGAGTCCAAGTCCAATTGGGGATCGACGAGTTTTGTTGCAGCGTCAATAGCTGCAGCGGGGATTGAGACCGAGACGGGAACTGGAACAGAGGTTGTAGTCTCGCCTGATAGTGATTCAGGTGCCTTGGAAATTTCCTCAATAGTTGCTACGCCTCCCGTTCCAGCGACCAATGGCACACCGAGTGGCTCGGTAGCAGGTACTCCAGTCTGCTCTTGAGCGGACTCTTTATCCATCAAACCTTGAGCCTGCCTCTGCAGTGCCTCCACCTTCAGCCGCGCAGCTTCAGCCTCCGCCTCAGCTTTGGCGAAGCGTTTCTGCTCCCGATCAAGATTGCGCTTAATTTTCTCGGCCTTGCGTTGCGCCTTCATCGCCGCGTCGAGCACCGGATCTGACTTCGCAGCGGCCTCCCCGGTGGACATTGGCGGTGGAGCCTGCTGCTTGGCCTTGTGCTTTTCTTTGTCCTTCTCGCGCTCCTTTTGTTTTTCAAGTCGGGCCGCGTCACGGGCAGCCTTGGCCTCGTCGGCAGCCTTTTTCTTCTCGTCGATGCGAGCCTGCGTGGGGAACCGCTTCTTGCGTTCGGCAATCCATGCTGCAATATCGGACTGCGATTGCAGTGTCGCCGTTTGGCCTCGGTATGAGAACTGGAGCGGTGCAGCGGCATCGGCACTCGTTTGCGCAAGCTTACTCTCTTCGTCCACATCCTCTTCTTCCTCGCTTGACTCGTGGTCGTCGGTCTTCGGCGTCAGTCCCAACTGGTTGTGCTTTCTCTTGCGTTTCTTCGGTTTCCTCGTGGCATCTGCTGCGGGTGGGGGCTTGGAAGGGAGAGGGTTGCCGAAGCTAGGGACAGGTGGAGGTGCCGGGGTTCGAGGGACCGATGATTGCGGCTTGCTGAACGCAGACGTATGATCTCGCTTGTTGCTATTGTGATGTCGTGGTTTGGCTCCATGGTTGCCGTGGGCATGGGACGGCCAGCCTCCTCGCCCGTGCGGTGCGGGTGGACCACCCCACGGTGATCCCACCATCATCGGATTATTTGAAGGAGGGCCATGCTGCGATGACGGCACGCTGGGAGGGTATGGAGGTGTAGCTTGCGTAGAATAAGCTGCCGTATGCGCTAGGTTAGCGGTCGGCCCGTTGTTGTACCCCGGAAGCCTTTGATATGCAGCCGCGCCGGCGGGCTGTGAGTAGTTCTGAGAATGTTGATAGGTGGGCGGAGTTTGAGGATGTTGGAAATTTGCTTGTGTATGAGGATAGGGTGGGGGAGGAGTCGGGGTCGGAGGCATGTACGACGTCGTCGCTACGGGTTGTGGTTGAGCCGGATATCCATAGTTCCCTGCTGCGTAGTTGTAGCCCGGTGGATTTGAATATTGGGATCGGTTATTGTCCGAAGAAAAATGACCTCCTCCTCGACCTCGGTTCCCATGTCCTCGGCCACGACCTCGTCCGCCAGACCCACGAGCATTCCAGTGTTGGCCAGAATGCGCAGAGGGGTAGGCGGATGGTTGTTGTGTACTGGAAGGAGGCGGGGGAGGCGGAGGAGGAAATGAAAACCCCTGAGAGACCATGATTATTGCTGTGCCTCTGTGAGGTCCCAGAGGGAGACCTTTTACACCATCGCGGAGCAAAGCTGCGGCGCGAAAGTTTCGGCGGAGCTCGACTTTCTGACAGCTCTGTAGGTCACGTGATAGAAATCGGACCATCTTTGGAGTGGCAGGTTTTTGATTTCGCGAAAGATTACCGTGACTGCCTGGCCCCGAGCAGGGATACAAATTTGACGCTTTATGTCTTATGCTGGATAGTCCTGAGAATCGATTCACCGTTCTTCTGGCCCGTAATCATGTTTATCCTGGTACGTTGGTGGCGGTGATATCTTTTTTTTTCCTTGAGCTGACTCCCGCAGACTACCATCTCGGATCTGATCCAGATCGCACCCGAGGACTTTTCCAAGCTGAGTGCAGTCGCAATTGAGGATAATATCAACGAGAAATATGCCAACAAGGTGTGTCCTCTGCCATGCGCTCGCGCTGCCTCGAGCAGCCCTTGGGCCTCCCGGGATCGCTAACACTGTTTTAGGTGATCCAAAAGATCGGACTCTGCGTCAGTTTCTATGACCTCCTCGAGTCCTCAGATGGCCTGATTGGACATGGAACGGGTCTGGTCAATGTGAACGGCAAGCTGAGACTGAAATCTCTATCTCTGAGAACGTAGCTAAATTTGAACCAGTGAAATTCCGCATGATCGTCTTCCGGCCCTTCAAGGGTGAGATCATGTTGGGCAAAATCTCCAGTGGCACCGAGCACGGCATCAAGAGTATGTATATGGGGATATGACCGGTCGAATCTACATCTTACTGATTTGTCTTCAGTCAGCGTCGAGTTCTTCAATGATATCCTCATCCCACCATCAATGCTGATGGATGGCGCTAAATTGTGAGCTTCGCTTATTTTATACCGTATTGTCTCTCGCATTACTGACTGGATGGATATAGTGAGTATGCGGACCAAGTATGGACCTGGGATAACGAAGGCACCATGTTCTACCTGGACGTGGGCGAGATTGTCCGCTTCCGCGTGGAGACGGAAGAGTGGCATGATCAAATCCCCAATGCGCCAGATCTCGGCGAAGAGATCGCTACTGAGCGAAAGCCAGCATATTCCATCTTTGTACGTTGTTCTTCGGGGAGGGTAGTCTCCATGGAAACCCACTCTTGTACATCGGCTGACTTTGCTTTCTATCTAGGGCTCGATGCAGATCCATGGTCTCGGACCTATCACTTGGTGGTGAAGTGCTTCTTTCGTTCGAATCAGATTAGATTCTCTGCTTCCGGGCTAGCATATTGGAGGGCGTATTGTGGGGGGCAGTGTACATTTTCTTCGTCAGATCAGATACCCATGCAGACCCGGCACTTCAAGGCTGGGCGCAAAAATACTATTTCATTACATCTCCGTTGATAGTCTTTTCTATGGTTGTAAGCAAGAAGGGATAGAGCTGGAGTCCAATATATAATAAGGAAACAAAGTACACCATAAGCACGTTCAGGGTGTACTTCTGCTCGGGGCATGCATTGTACCTGGATCTCGGAGAGAGCAAAGTACGGGTTTTGTCCGCAGTACCTATCGGTGCTCAGGCAACACACCGACACTTGACGCGTATCGTGTTCATTAATAAAGGACCACTTCCTCTGATCTCGTCTTCCGACGGTGTCCGGTCGCCTTATCCTGATGTAGTATCCCCCTCCCTTTTTACCCCTCCACGGGCCGTGCTTGATAATCCAAAGATATGATGATAACCACCCGTTTCCCCGATCACTCCGATCGGTCGGCGTGTTCAGAGTTTTCTCCGAGTGACTAAGGCGGCTGCGTCCGGGACGAGCCCCAACTATGGAGCTGTCAGGGTCTCTGCACCAATCATATCCTGACGATCGATCACCTTATGCTCCAAGAAAGCGGCGGGCAACGTAAAAGAAATCCAGAATTCCGTTCCATAGTTCACGGGCTCGAATTTTTGAATTTTTTGCCTCGGAGATTGGTCAAACGGGGGAAAAAATTAGAAATTTTCTCTTTCAAGGAAATAATAACAAATCGATTCTTCTTTCTTCCAGTCAGCTTCGAAATTTCTTTCTCGTGCTTCACTGCTTGCTAATCAAAACGCCGCATACGTCCAACCTTCCAAACTTCAACTCCGCCCGATTTCCAAAGGCGGCGATCTCATCTTATCGTTGCGCAATCACCTCATAAAGCTTCTTTCGGGGACTATATATCCTGGGCGATCAAGCTTGCCATATCCTTCTTTCTTGCATTGCATTCAATCTTGTCTACTCATCACAATGGGCTCTACTGACGACGGCCACTCTACCCGTGGGTTTGGCACCCTCGCGGTCCACGCCGGTGCTCCTCACGATCCCGCCACCGGCGCTGTCATTGAGTCGGTATGTCCTCGAACAAGCAGAGACATGGAAATTGAAAGTGCAATTGGAACTGTCATGACTGACATTCTTGGCTCAGATCTCCCTTTCTACCACCTTCGCCCAGACCAGCGTTGGCAACCCCGTCGGTTTGTACGAGTACACTCGTAGCGCCAACCCCAACCGGTCAGTCACCGCCCCTTGATTCCTCGACATCCACCATTCAAAATATTTCTCAATCCTGACACGCTTTTTAGTGACAACTTCGAGCAAGCCGTCGCTGCCCTCGAGCACGCCAAGTATGCTCTCGCCTTCTCCTCCGGCTCCGCCGCCACTGCCAACATCCTCCAGTCCCTCGCCGCCGGGTCGCACGTCGTCTCCGTCTCCGACGTCTACGGTGGCACCCACCGCTACTTCACTAAGGTTGCTGCTGCGCACGGCGTGCACGTCACCTTCACCCCTACTATCGAACTGCACATCGAGGACCTGATCCGCGACAACGAGACCAAGCTCATTTGGATCGAGACTCCCTCCAACCCCACCCTCGGCCTGGTCGACATCCGCGCCGTCGTCGACATCGCCCGTCGCCATGGCATCCTTGTCGTCGTCGACAACACCTTCATGAGCCCCTACGTCCAGAACCCTCTCGACCACGGCGCCGACATCGTCGTCCACTCCGTCACTAAGTACATCAACGGCCACTCCGACGTCTGCATGGGTGTCGCCGCTTTCAACTCCGACGCCCTCAAGGAGCGTCTCTCCTTCCTCCAGAACGCCATCGGCGCCATCCCCTCCCCCTTCGACTGCTGGCTCGCCCACCGTGGTCTGAAGACCCTGCACCTGCGCGCCCGTGAGGCGACCACCAATGCCACCGCCGTGGCTCTCGCCCTCGAGGCCTCCCCGCACGTTATCTCCGTCAACTACCCCGGAATTGACTCTCACCCTCACCGCAAGATCGCGCTCAAGCAGCACCGCAACGGCATGGGCGGTGGTATGCTGAGCTTCCGTATCAAGGGTGGCCAGGCTGCCGCGCACAACTTCTGCAAGTACACCAAGGTCTTCACGCTGGCTGAGTCTTTGGGCGGTGTCGAGTCGCTTTGCGAGGTCCCCTCTAGCATGACCCACGCTGGTATCCCCAAGGACCAGCGCGAGGCTGCCGGTGTCTTTGATGACCTTGTGCGCATGAGCTGTGGTGTCGAGGATGCCGAGGATCTTACTGCTGATGTGCTCCAAGCCTTGGAGCTGGCGATTGCCTCGAACGGCAGCGCTTAAGCAGTGCGATTAGGGTTGGGGTTAATGGCTGGACTTTTTTTTGCATTTTCTTTCACGAAAATAGACGATTTCCCTTTTTCTTGCTCTACTAGCCTGGCGACCATTTATTGCGATCGATCGGCTGGCTACATGGAAGCTTTCTACCAAAACTGCATTGTTTCTGCATATCATTAATAGAGAACAAGATATCATTTTGCAGTATTTTCCATACAAGCAAGCCCCGGTAACAGTTGAGGTATACCGAGAATTACAACTAGAATATAGGGTTCTGTGAAATCGAGGCTGAGGAAGATATCCTCTGGTGCCTGAAACCACCGTCTTCTCAATAGTGCCACAATCGCTGACTCGTAGGGGAATCGGTCTCGAGGCATCCTTTCTTCCAATCTCAGCAAACGTTCAATAGTGGTTTTTGCTATTATTAGCATGCGTCCCCAATCTCTCACGCCTGAATTATTGGCTACTGCTAGTTGATCTCCTTGATCAGTACTGTGATAGACATTGCGATTATATTCAAGAGCTCACATGGAACAGTGTCAAAGCTGATGTTTTTACCCCGGCGATCCGAGATGATGGCATTGTGATTAAGCAAATATGTATAACGATACCTACCTTCAATCCGCTCAAGAAGCTAGATGAATCTCGATCTACCTTATCTAAGTTTAGCTAACATCCTTAAGCTTTGAGAAGAATTTCAGCGTCCCGTTTTTTTTTTAGACTACAGGTAGTAAATTCACTCCTAGGTATGTATGACTCGGGAAGCGTGGCAGGCTATCAATATCTCCAAAAAGATCCATATTCCCGCATCAAACCCTTAAACAGTAGCAACCGATATCAGACAAATCGAATTCTCCTTCATTACCAACCAAATTGTTTGCTAGAGGGCATCTATATGATAGCAAAACACAATAGAGTAGGAAAATACAAGGACTAAAACCACCAAAGCGAGACAAGATGCATCATCAGGCCCATTCGGTATATCATTCCTCTGTCTTCCGCACCTCAATCCCGCCGACGTTAATTGACAGGCCGAAGCAGAGGTCGAAACAGCATCACTTTTTGCGTCGACAGACGTCATGCCCTTGCGCTTTGCCCTTCTCCTTCTCCTCTTCTTTGACGTGCTGGTGCGATGGTTTGTCTTGATGCTTCTCAAGTTATCACCATTAACATTAAACGTAGTTCCACAATCACACCGAAGTTCAAGCTCGCGCGCGGCATGTTCTTCACCGAGGACGATCTTGTCAGTATCGTCGTTAGCATTTGAGTTGCCATCGGTCTCGGAATTCCTGATAGGATCACGAGTCTCGACAATTTTATTCCTATTCCATGACGTGGAACAAATTTGTTCGTATGTTGAGACGGGGGTATGAGTTCCGACGAATCCATCAATCGCATTACAGGCACCCGCAATAGCACCCTCTAGTTCACTGTTTCTTCTCGCGTAGGCGCTCTTTTCAGCTTGGAGCTCTGCTATAGTGTCCTGGGCGATTTGATATTTTGTGTGTAGTTCGGCGTTGACTTTTTGGAATACGTTGTCATAGGGTTCATGAGATAGGGAACATTGATGTGTCTCGTATTCTTTGTGAATGAACTGTGGTTTTGAATAATGGAGGTAAGGATCTTTGAGGCATGTCATTTTGTGAGTGGTTTGCGTCAAAGGATGGGGGATATGTATTCTAGAACTGGACTCGTATAACTAGATAGGCTCCTGGGTATGTCGAAGAATGTGCGTATGGTTCTTGGATTAAACGGGTTGGACGCTGAGTGGGAAGTAAGATGAGATGAAAAGAAAGAGAGGAGTGAGAAATACAAAATTTACGCTGACATAGGCAGTGATCCGTACTTGGGAAAGTTTAAGACGTTCGTCCGTGGATCGAAACCTCTACTTTCCCCGGACTGGACTCGGATGTCATATCTTGGCATCATCATGAGCGGGTCAAGTTTCAAGGCTTTTCTTAAGAACAATGAGAGAACTCAGTAATATTGCAGTCGATTTCGAAAACAGATTCCTCCTTGGAAAAAGTTCACTGACTTTGTTTCTCGCAGCGTACCCGAGTAAACGGTAGTCTTCATAAAGAAAAGATGTCGATTATCCTTTCGGAAGATTAAACTCCTTTTTTTTCTATGCATTTGGACCTTGGTGCCTCCATATCATTCTCATTCCTACCTCGCATCCTTCTGCAAAGACCTCTCATCTCCGAATTTGCTACAATTATACACTGTAAAGTACAGTACCACATCTCGGAAAATATTCATTTCTAAATGTAATGGATTTTAAAGAGCCCAGAAATGCCTTGAGGATAAAGTACTTGCTCAGTGTAAAAAGCCATGGAACATGAAATACCAAGAACTGGCCGTGGCCAGGCTTAATTCTCATACCAAACCAAGGGGGGTTACCCCCGGATTGCAGTTCAGTGTAGGCGCCTCTGTCTTTTCACTGGCCAGCTGAACGACAAGTCTGACAGTAACCTGAGCACGTGGCCCACTTCTGATCGCCTGTATGCCTACCTCCTCGTAAAAAATATGTGATGTCGTCGACATATTGAACGAAACTGGTCTGGACTTGGGCCACTTGTGGCTAATGGAGGCAAGAGAAGTAACAAATTTAGAGAGTGAATGAGTATCTTGATACTGGATGAAGTTAGAGATAGCTGGTGAGATCAATTAGAAGAATGTGAGAAGGCTGTTGTCTTGATGTTAGGGTGAGGGGCGGCATAAGCAGGTGTTCATATCCTGCAAGTTGATATTGTATGCAGCCTTAGTGCCATGCCGATGATCGGCAGATTCAAATTACTATTCGCAAGCCATTCACCGTGGATAATGCCCAGACGCTGACTGGATCTAACCTGCAGAACTCTTCAAATTCTGGGGCAATTCCCGAGCATGCCTGTCTACGGAGTAAAAACCTGTCTATTACTACTGGGTCAATTATGTATCGCTCTATATACTAAAGTATGTAGGCAATTAACAGCGTTATGTACGCAAAGCACTAGTGGCACACATTCTCTGCTGAACTTTGGGGTTTGGCTGGATATGCTTTTCAAGTGGGGCATTTCTCTAATTGACCTCTATTCCGTGCTTCGTACGAGCAGCCCAAATATGGACGATCTTACTCTGTAAATATTGTAAAATTTAGGCGTTAGCTGACGGTCGGTGAAGAGGCCCATGGCAATACCACATGAGATCGCTGTTCTATGTAGAGCTAATGAGACAGAGTACTTGTGGCCCTAAGAAGACTAAGGTGTTCGGTTCATCTCGGAGTACTGTAACAGACGGTGTACATAACAGAAATTCGTCCTGGCCCAATGCCGAATGAGCTCTACTTCTATCACTCATCTGGACCATGGCTGAACCCTCATCAGTAGACGAGTTTGAATCTAGTCTTCCAAGCCATGGCTCTTCCCTAGCAGGTCTCGAACCAATTAGCTGGGGCGATGTCGCAACCTATGAGCGAAATGCAGTGACTTCCTTGGTGCAGCACCAGCCGAGGCTCGACATTGATTTGCTTGCAGAAGAACAGCTGGCCTCACTTTTAGCCGAGACAGACATCGTGAATACACCTCACAATGCTATTGGAGCCTCATCAATGCTGTGGCCTGCTAAAAATACATTGCCCCCCAAGAGTGGCAATCGTTTCAATCCTGCCGCCCTAAAGCTGCTAAAGAGATGGTTCGCGAATCACGAAGATCACCCTTACCCAACAAGCGATGATATACAACAGCTTGAGGTGCTCACTAGCCTCAGTCAGAAGCAGATACAAAACTGGTTCTCTAATATGCGACGACGCTCCAAGGTTCGACGATCTGTATTATTCCCATCGAATCCTTACAGAATCTCCGATCCAATACCGATTCGGGGATCTTCTCTCGACGTACCTCCAAGGCCGCCTACGCCTTCACCTTTTGGAAACATGAATCCGCTTCAACGATGGGAGAGCTCTCCGCCCGAACACGAAGCTGCAGCAGTTTCTGACATATCACGCGCCATAGCCGCTTGCTCTGAAGAGTCCGCCGCTTACAGCTCTCAGAACTCGACTACACTCTCGGGCAACGCATCCCTGGACGGAAGTGACGGAACCTTATATTCAAGCATAGGCTCTGGCTCTGGCTCATCGGCCTATTCTTTCGGCGAGCGCACTTCACCCAGGTCTCAAGATCCTCTCAAGCACCCGTTTCGGCGCAGAAAAAGGCGAACCAGTGCCAAAAGGGATGAAAAATTTAGAGTCGGGCTTCCACAGCTGTCACGGCCCCTCAAAACGTTCCAGTGCACGTTCTGTACTGAAACTTTCAAGACCAAGTTCGACTGGCATAGACACGAAAAGTCACTACACCTCTCTTTCGAGAAATGGATTTGCACGAGGGATGGGACAGTAGTACCAGATACCAACAGAGGAACACTGTGTACTTTTTGTGGAGAAGCCAGTCCGAATGAACAACATCTCCAAGATCATAATGCGATTGAATGTTCAGAACGACCCGTTGGAGAACGGACTTTCTATCGAAAAGACCATCTAAGGCAACACTTAAGACTGGTACATGCCGTCGACTATTCTGAAGAGCTAATGAAAACTTGGAAAATCAGCAAGGAAGATATCAAGTCACGATGCGGATTTTGTGGTATCTCCATGACATCGTGGATATATCGTGCGAACCACTTGGGCCAACACTTTAGGCAGGGAAAACAATGGCTGATTGGAAGGGCGATTGGGGCTTTGATGATCATGTATTGGAGATAGTTGAAAATGCTATGCCTCCCTGTGAGTGTTCCTCGGTTCGGTTTGGCATGAGACCTGATTGTGGCTAATTGGATATAGACCTCATTCATTTCGAGCAAGCCTCGCCTCTGCCCTTTTCTGCGGTACAAGGACCTACCGAGACGCCGAAGAGGTCCATATGAACTTCTTAAGTTGGAGCTGGAGTACTATATGCAGAATCAATTTGATAATGACGGCAGTCTGCCCTCTGACCCGGAACTTCAATATGAGGCTTGTTCTATCATCCTTGCGGCGGAAATATCATCGCCTGTTCCTGCGCGCCGTCCTGGCTTCGGGATGTATTCATGTCCTCTGATGAACCTATAAAGCGGGCTTGCTTGCGCCCAGACAATCATTGCAAGGTGCGAGTAAGCCAGCTAAGCATCAATGGGAAAAACAACATATTTGAGAATTGCAACCTGGAGCTCGAGTTGCGCAATTTTATCATTATGCACCAGACTCTGGGTCTCGCATTGTCAGACTCAGAAATACAAGAAAAAGCTTGCAATGTCATCAGTCATGCAGACGCCAGATTCTTGGATGGATCCACACGATTCATGGATTTCATGATACGGCTTATTTGGGGGTCTGTGAACTGGATTAGCTTTCTGCTTGAAAGAGCAGGGCAGCAGGCTGCCGACGGCATGGATAACACCAACCAGAATTTCATCCCTACCTTTCCTGAACTAGATCCAGGTCCTGTGTATTTGCCAAGCATGAGGTGCCCAGAAGACATGGAGACAATTGGAAGTCCAATGTACCCAGCTTCCACACTTAATGGCACTCGCGACACAAGGGGTGAGATACTTGAATCCCGACATCACAGACAGATGCTTTCTTAGGGACGGCGCATGGTTCAGGCGGCAATGGAACTGGGCTCACTTCCGATCTCTACCTTGAATTTACTAGCCAAACTAGCTTACTGGGCACAGCGGATGTCGCATCTGGCTTCGGTGTTGCCCCGAATCCGGCATGTAAAAGTGGGTTAGCCAGACTACTTCGAAACGCTGATAGCACAACGACGGATCGACTCACTGATCCAGTACATACTACACTGAACATGCAGCGACGTGCAAGGGCATCATCAGGGCGAGTACACTTTCATAATGGCGGTAACTCCTATCTGGCTCTTGTGAAAGAGTTATCCAGCTTCGCCAAAAGAGCAATGTCGATCCGCAATCCCGACCGCCACATTCCCACTGATGATGAGATCAGATACCCAAGCGCGTTGGATATGGTACGAAGAGTAAGCTTTTTACGCGGCTGCCCCTCAAAACGTCAACTCCTGCTGACAAGGCTCTGATGTTTAGTGACGATCCGTGGAATCAGACGCCAGCAGATAACGAACAATGGTTGCAAGATTTTAAACTTCACGAGGGCATACCTGGAGTCAACGAAGAGTAGTTCCCAAACCGTTCAAGAATCACCAGCTCTTACCCAGATTCTCACCCCATCTATTACGCACTCACCCCTTCTCAATATAGCAGCACTTTATGCATTGTATGTAAGAGATTCAAAGCATATTACTTCTTTCCAGTCTATTCTCAGCACATACGACCATAGGGTGTGGAGAACAGGGCTTCCCGTCCGCTCAGCCGTACTTAAGCCACACGCCGGCCAGTTAGTAGTATGGTGGGTGACCACATGCGAATCCTGGCTGTTGTATGTTTTTTCTTTTTTTTTTTTTTAATCTTATTTGACTTGGGAATCTCTTCGATAGTTAGAGCACCCAGCTCAGCATTACCCATGGTACCTCAGCAATACCCAGAATTCATCAGAAAACTTTGGGTAGTGCTGAGCTGGAACCCGCGATAGTTAAACCGTCTTCGTAGGGGATCTGCCTAGCTGACCGACTGCGTCTCTTGACGCGAAAGATCCAGCACACGGGTTGTCCGGTCGGACCCGATGTTTGGATCCACGTAAGTCACTGGGCTGCAAGCATTAGTATGCGTGATGACAGCTCCTTTGGGTGTTTTAGTACTGCCCGAAGTATATGTCACATCAGAGAGCATGCTCAGGTGATAGAACGGGAACCCAACACTCATCTTTGGCAAGACTAGGACCCATGATGCTTTGTAACAGCCGTTCAATGACGACATATATGGCGCTTTCCGACAACTCCTCGGGGAATACTGTAGGCCTGGTAGTTTCCAACGCCAGAATCAATCGCAGACTTAGCTATTAATTAATGGAACATAGACAGTCAACGGCCTGAGATGGATCCATGGTGACAACAACGCCTCCGGCTATGATAACGGCAAGCATTGTCACAGGTGTTCAAACACCCCTCGTGTAGCAGATAGGAACAGCAACTTCGGGACCGATAATTTGATCAACAACGAGCCAGTAGGCAAGAAGACAAGCCTTGTCATAGAATTGACGGTAGGATAACCTTAAATCTCCCTGGCACAGATCGCTAGCGCATCTGGATGGTTCTCCACCCGCTCCGGAACCAAGTGATCCACCCAGCGATCGGTTCTTGGCGGAGCCGTGGCATTCCATGACGAGAGCTGTTGTCTGTCAAAGTGTGACAGCAGATTGAGCTGTGACAGAGGAACTTTATTCAAGACCTGTTCAGGCATACAGATCTCCTGTACGACTTTCTCAAGCTGGACTGACATTCATTCCGCCTGGGTGTAGTCAACTACCTAATCAGACTCCCAGTTGACGGGGACTCGTAAAGGAAAGGCATCTTGCAGACTTGCAACTTTTTGGAAGTAATTCATAGTCATTTCAAACACAACATCTCGGGTCTTGGCATAATGAGCTAAGAGCATTACCCAAGCGGCCTGTAACTTGGTGGATAAGCTGTACGGACTGTCAGTTAGTCGCACAATCAATCCGATCAATGGCACGGTCAATCATCTTGGCAATCGAGGATTGATATCCGACTGTGGGGAGTTCAGGATACGAAGATGTTTCCAAGTCGGTAAAGGGTTGTCACCCAAATTGCTCTGCCATCTTGGGTTTTCCGATTGGCTGAAAGGAGCTTGATTAATTCGTTCAATCGATCGTCTACCAGGGTATCTAGGATAAGTAGTTGAATGACCTTTACACATAAAGACTCGCGGCCCTGTTACCCCTTGCTTAAGCCTTACTACGACACTAACAGCTCAGCGTGATCGTTCTGGTATCAAGCAACAGTGCGCAGTACGATGGGGCTGAATTGTCAATTACGTGATACTGCAGTTCGAACAAAAAACCAGATTTATGAAACATAATACACTACTTTAAGCGTAACAAGTGTAATCAAAACTTGCCAAGTATAACGAATGCAACCGTAAGCACTAAATAGACCTAGCGCAGTCCCCGATCTGCTTCCCGCCGGCCTCCCGCCGGCCCAGAAGCCTCTCCTTCGATCTCCCGATAGCCCCCAAGGCAATCTTATCTTGCACCTCCACAAGTTGCCTTTTGTTGGCATGAGACTCTTGTCACAGTCTCATGGAGAGTTCACAAACAAGATCAACAAAAGCTCTGCTCACCTATCTCTAGTTCATGTTGACGCCTCAAACTACCGAGGAGCCTACGGAGCAGGCTCCCCTGTTAGGCCCGCATGGGGGCGACGCCATACAGGATGTCACTCCCACCCCTTTATCCCCCGCCCACCTGCGTCTCCTTCTCCTCGTGTGCATCTCCATTGTTGCCGCCGACTTTGGAAACTCTCTCACTTTGGCCCCGCAAATCTCAATCTTTGAATCGCTCATCTGTCGCCGAATCGGGGCGGGCGATGATTGCAAGGCCCCCGAAGTACAAGGGGAATTGGCTTTGTTGATCGGATGGAAAGAGACCATTGACCAGTTACCTGGCATTATCTTTGCATTGCCATATGGAATCGTGGCTGATCGGATCGGCCGCAAGCCCATCTTGGTACTCTGCTTGATCGGTCTCGTGCTGGAAGAAGTCGCTATTCGCTTGGTCTGTTGGTGGAATGTCGCTTTACCCATTCGAATGATCTGGGCGACACCCGTCTTTCAGGTCATTGGTGGCGGATCACAGACAGCGACGGCCATGGCCTATGCCATGATTACAGACGTGGTTCCCATGGATCGGCGGTAGGTTAAAATTTTATTCAGATTTAATTTAAGCACGGCTCGCTGGCTGACAAGTACAATTTAATTACTAGGGCATCCATCTTCTACATAACGGCCGCAGTGATTCTGCTTGGTGAAATCCTTGCCACACCAATCAGTGCCTTTCTCATGACATGGAGCCCATGGGTTCCGTCATTGTTGGGGATAGTTTTCCAGCTAGGAGGCCTGCTGGGGGCAGCTCTGGTCTCCGAGACACATCCCGACCCGACTTTGAATTTTGAGGAAGTTTATGAATCCGAAAGCTTGCTGGATGATAGTGATGGGACTGAGGTCGATGATAATGAACCTGCGTACCACAAATTTGGGTATCAGCGGGTGAGAGATACGGTGACAGAATACTGGATTCATGTCCAAACTACGCACAGAAAAGGATGGGACTTCAACATGGCCTTTGTCGTACTTACATTCCTCCTGGCCAGCATCGGGAAGCAAGCGTTTCAACTGATCATCCCATACGCCTCGAAGCGCTTCTCATGGAGTATTGCGCGAGCCAGCTTCCTCATTACCTTGAAGGGGACCATCAACCTCATCACCCTACTCCTGATTCTCCCACGACTGTCTACATGGCTGAGTAGGCAAATGTCTTGGTCTCCAGCGGTCAAAGACCTTCGCATTGTCCAAGGAAGCGCATGGATTCTTACATTAGGCATGACTCTCATGGGCTTTACCGCTCTCCCCGAGTTATTCATTTCTGGTTTGTGCTTGTTTGCCCTTGGGTGGGGTTTCTACTCGGCGCTGCGGAGCTTGGCCACAGCATTGGTATCCCCGTCGCAGGTTGGAGTATTGAATTCTGGTATTGGTCTGGCGCAAAGCTTAGGCTCACTGGTGGCAGGCCCCATCCTAGCTACAGCGTTTGGACATGGTCTCCGACAGGGTGGTCTGGGGATGGGCTTGCCATACATGGTGGCTGCAACATTGTTGTTTATGGCCAGTTGCTTGACCTGTGTGATTCACATCGCGGGAGAAAAGCGTAGAGTATGAGGGAATAGATCTCACACCAAAGACACGTGAACCCTTAATTGACCAGAAATAAGACATAGCGAAAAGCAAAAGTTTTCTAGCGCAGTCAACAAGTCTAGAAGCTCGACAAATTTAGAATTATCTCGATCGTCACGAGTTGGACTAAATGGTAAGAGATAACATCAAGGTAGTAGGGAAGGCAATGAAATAGATATCTATCTAGAATTCCTCTCTGGTCTCTGAATAGGGGCTTGAGAATTCCACTCACTGGCGGGCGCACTCCCTGTCCATGTCATATTGTCAGGATTTTCATATACCATCATATTTGCATGGCTCAACACTATTTACACCAAGTCGTGGTACTGTCATGAAATTTACCTTACCTCAAGTTTGGATCGTTTCTCCTCAGTCTCGCCCCATATTTCATCATCAAAAACGGAACCGGGACGAGTCCCAGCGCAAAGAAGGCGAGCAAGCTATTTCCCCATCCCATACCTAGAGCATCGTATATTTTTTGTCCTCCGAGAGGCAGCAAAGCACCTACTAAACTTCTCAGCACAGTAGTTGCTGCCATGGCGGAAGCGGCCTGCTTGTCAAATGCATTGACCACGTAGATTTGCACCGGCTGGAAGATACCCATCATAGCGAATCCGAATGTACCCAGGCCCACTAGTGGTACCACTGGGAAGGTATTTCCCTGCAATGACCAGCCGTACCAGAACAGGCCTGCAGGCACTAAAAAGCTTGAGGGGACCATAGGCCAAAGCCAGCTTTCTGGTGGAAGGGGTTCATTCGGGTCCAAAGATTTTGCTTTCCTGCGCTCGGTGACTTTGTCGGAGGCGTACCCGATGATGAAAATCCCTAGCATTTCGATCAGAATATTTGCTGAATAGTGTCAAAGGAGGGGAAATACCCAGGATTGTTCCGATTCCACTACCCAAGTAGACTAGTCCTGAAAGACCCGTTGATAGATGGTACTGGTCTTGGAAGATGTATGAAAGCGTCGTAAAGACTAGGTACTGGTACCCATATACTATGGCCGTGTTTATTGCAAGTAATGTCACAATATGTGATGTGAACAATATCCGAGGAGGTCGGAGGAAAGTGTCAAGCAGAAGTCTTTTCTGAGAGAGTTGCCTATCAAGCCGTGATTTCAAATGAGGGTTCCCTGTTTCTTTGCGTAGGTGCCTCGCTTTGCGCTCCAAAAGGACAGGGGCGTAGGTTTCGCGAATTAAAAAGGGGAAAATAACTGTGAGAACACCCATCTTTGACAGCAATATTGGCATCAGTTCGGGGGGTGGAATACTGGGAGGATGGTGGCCCGCTACGTACTGGAATTGCAATCACCCAAAAGATCCATCTCCAGCCCACGTATTGGCCTAGGTATCCACCAGCAATGGGTGAGAACACCTGCCGTGACAGAGAGTCCGCGATTAGTCCTCTTCGTGTCGACAAGAACGAGAAAGCCTTACCGGTGGTGCTAGCGACCCCAGACCCCAGATCGCCATTGCAGTCCCCATCCGCTCAGGCTCCATCAGGTCACTGATCGAGCCTCCACCTAGAGCCAGAGGAGTAGCTCCTGCACAACCGCATAGTAAGCGGAACGCAAGAAACATGCCTACATTGGTGCTCAGGGCACATCCAATCGTCGCACCGAAGAAGATCACATTCGACACATTGTAGACAATGGCACGGCCATAAAGTTCTGACAATGGCGCAACCAGTAGAGGGCCGACCGCGAATCCAATGACGTAGATTGATACCACGAATGATTCCAATTCCGAGTTATTGGAGTGAAGCGCTTTCATCACTTCTGGCACTGCGGGAGCTAGCATCGATGAACCGAGTGACCTAATGTAGAACATCAATCTGGACCCTGATATCGGAAGACAGAGACCAAAAAAACAAGAGGATCTAGCACGTACGTGACAAAGGTCACAAGAGAAATGATGACAATGTGAGACCATCGGTAGAAGACGGTCCAGTTCTTGGGATTTGATCGATCGTCGGTGCCATCCCAAAAGACATCGTTTGCATTTTGTATCTCGTCGCTCTCCACGGGGACAGTATACTTAAGCTGCATCATCTGAGGGGATTTCCCCTCTTCGATGGTCTTGGAGGCCATTTGCCTCCCCCTGTCAGTTTAATTTGAGGTATTCTAGGTTGCAGAGATTAAGTGAAAGCAGGCGAAGGGGTGGAAACGTGGAGAACTCCGCTAGCTACAACGGCGAAGATAGAGAACTCGATGATTTCAAGCTTGTGGCGCTATTTTTTTCAGGGACTTTCGCGCCCCTATGTCTTATGCTCGGAGTCGAATTTTTTCGTCGTTTTTCACATGGGGATCCTTTGGTATTTCTAAACACAAGTGACGCGGCCCTAAATCTCCGTTGGTAATCGCGAGAGTCCGTCCTTGGTCAAAAGTACGTCCAACGTGATTCTCTGCAGATTGTAGTCGTCGCGATCAGGAAATTGGGAAATTTTAGGTACGCATGTGATTATGGCTTAGTTTCTCTCCTACCACGCGAACTTTAGCAATTTAATACAAATAAGATCATAGCGCTTCGCCAATGTAGGCGCTGTATGTGTATGTAATAAAAACGAAACAGGGGCTAGTAATTTTCAAAAGTGCCCTCGTTGTGACCCTCGCGGTCAGCCCGCAGATCAGGGTTCGCGGACTATTTATGATAAGGTCAGTGGGAACTAGAAAGTTCGGAGTCGTTCAAGCTGATATCGGTCAACAAACCCCACTCGAGGGATCTGTGTCAAGTCAACTTAATTGGACGGTACTGGGAAATCGCACTTTTTTGTCTTAAAACGTCGTGCTGATATCGTGCGCTGAAGCCCCATATCAAGTGTGAGAGTCTAACTATGCAGGTAATGCTATCCACATTCCTCCTCAGGTCTCGGCCCGAATGGAGCTTCGACATGAGTAGAAATTGTCTGAGCTATACTCTATTATAAAAAGTCCGCTATAGTGTAGAGTTTAAGACAAGATGATACTTTGGACGGGCAGGAAATCATATAATTAAGGTAGTATAACATGGGGCTAGTGGTGTGGAAATTTTCGAGACAACACTGTATAATAGAGCAGAGATACAAGAAGGTGAAAACCACTAAACCGAACTAGAATTAGTATATACCATCTGCCTCGGGTAAGTTTGAGGTAGAATGACGTTATTTACGGCGGACTATAGAGGGGAGCCATGACCCTTGATCTCTTCAAAGACCATTCACCGCTTTTCTTCCACCCTAAATATTTTTCATGCTTAGTTACTACATCGCTAGGAGATCAACGTAGAGATCAGCTAGTAAACCGTCTAAAAGACCGTCTAGGAAACTATCCAGGAAACTACCCCTCTAAATACCTCAGTTGCGATCGTAATAGTTAATAGGATTAGGTAAAGATGTTCGGCCGTAAGAGGATTCAACATCAGGTTACGGATTATATATACATTTTAGCTCCAGTAATGTCACTAGTCATTTAATGTCAATCGATTTCGATTGTTTCGGTGCGGGAAATCGCACTTGACTAAGGGGATATAGGATATGCGTAGGCTATATGGGGAAAAGAATGCCTGAAAATGAGATTCTGTCGATTCTTAAATTGCGGACAAAGGGTTATGGCCTTCTCCTCCCTTTAGTCCGCCGTAGTTATTCTTGGCTCTAAGAACCCCAGCCCCGACACATTGGGGGTCCCCAGCATACGTATATCTGTCATCTCTCTTTGATTCTTTTCTGACACACTGGGTTCACAGCAGGTTCTCTCTTGTTCAGCCTAGTTCTTGTTGTTTAGCTGATAATTGAAATTATGCTTCACTTTAAAAAAAATAGCCCCCTCGTCGTTCTTTGATGGGAACAAGGCCTTTGTTTAGTACACAAAGCAATACGCGACATCACTGTGGCCATGTATACTTGTAATTTGACTCCAGAGTAAGTTCCGCGCGTCTGCTGTCCCGTACCTCTGACTGACCAAATTTCATGAAGGGCCTTACTGGAAGCGCCAATATGCATTCACCCTATCCTAAATGCATCGGGTAATCTCGCGGTTTACACACAGCGAAAATATTCGTTTCGCTCGCACAGCGAGATAAGAGAGATTCGCGTATGTGAGATGAACTCAACGCGATCCTGGGCTATCACCGATAACCATCATGCCAATTATCCCGGATGGCTCGGCCACAGCGAACAGCTCATCTGGCTGGAAGCCATGAATAATGGGTACGCTCGCTTTGTTGTTAGGGATGGTCGTCTTCGAAGTGCCCAGTACATTGTGGGAACTGTTCCTGGCCCAGTCCAGAATCTCAAAGTGGGATCTCTTGCATTGAGGGAGGACTGTGACGATGATCTGTCTTTCGCAGTTGTTGGCCAAGCTAATACAGATGGAACACTTTTCAATCCTGATGATAAGGTTAGTGCACATGATCCCCGCTATCCACAAACTACATTCCCTGGGCGGGGTGCTCATCGCCCCAAGAGTGTCATTTGGTTCGGAGGACTGGTGCGCCCATCACAAGCTACGGAGTCTCAATATACGATGACACCTTTGACGAACTTAATGAAATACTTCAATTTCGGAGAGCTCGAGTCAGATGGATCTTTTGACGGCGATTCTCTGGACTTTATCAATGGTAATTACAATATTTTATTTGTCGCCAAAGACCCTCGGTCCGATCAATCCACACATACAGCCTCGTCATGCTACCTTTGTCCCATGACCAATTGGACTGGATCCCCTCCAACAGATCAATACTACCATGCTTGGCGATACCATGGGTTGGGAGGTTACATCTCCTCTCCCACTGTAAATGCGGGCGGGACCGTAGCCCTCTTGTGCAAGAAGAAGGATGGAGACGCCGCCGACAAGAATCGAATTGTACTGGTGACGAATTTCCAGACTGGGGAAAGCAAAGAGTTCTTTGCGTCCGCTGATGGCACGGGAGAATGGAATCTCAGCCCGTCGTCAGGTTCATTTGTCTTCAACGGATCCCTCCTGGTCTAGGTTGAGCAAGAAGGACGTCAAGTTCTCTACCAGCTTGACTTGTCATCTTGGCCGAACCCGCTGACTCCAGCCGACCTGAAGCTATTTGACGGTCTGATGCTGTTCGGTTCGGTCATGGATGTGACACCCCTACCTGGGAAATCAAAAAGGGTTCTAGTGTCCTGTGACAGCTTCAATCGCAGCAGACAAGTCATCGTCCAAGAATTGCCGACTCAATTGTCTGGCATTTCGCAACCATCAGCCCTCAGAGGAGAGAAATTCGGCCTTAAAGAGACAAGTTGGTCAAATATGATTTCCTGGTGACGAACAGTGCCAGATCCATGCGTGGGTGGTGAAGCCATCGTTCTTTGACACGAAACAGATCTATCCCTTGCTTTATGTTATCCATGGTGGTCCGCAAAATACCTTGAGACAAGGCTGGGACTTGCGCTGCCATCTGGCGCTTTTCGCCGAGCACGGGTATATTGTCGTGGCACCGAATTCCGCAGGAAGTACGGGCTATGGGCATCATTTCAATAATGCGATACAAGGCTCATGGGCTGGAAAGCCGTACTCGGATCTTAAAAGAGGCTTTGATTATATCCGCGAGACCCTCGAGTACGTCGACACTCAGCGTGCCGTGGCACTCGGTCTCGGATACGGAGGCTACATGGTTAACTGGATACAAGGCCACGACTTGGGGCGCAGGTTCAAAGCATTGGTCGCCGATAATGGAACATTCAGCCTGCTCTCTCATCTATCTAGCAGCACCCAGCATTCGATTTTGCATGGTCTGGGCGGACCACCTTGGCTGAATCCAGAGGCGTGGAGGAAATGGGACCCTGCACAGCACGCCGGCAACTGGAAGACACCACTTTTACTCATTCATGGGGAACTGAATCATCAGAGTCCTGTCTCTGACACCCTGGCTGCATTCAACGCTCTAAAACTGCAATCAGTGGAGACTGGTCTGCTCATATTTCCAGATGAAGGTTCTCGGATCCGGAACCCCGAGAATTTGCTATTATGGTATCGCACTGTGCTTCAATGGTTGGAGCAGTATACAAAATAAGGAGCATGGAATATTTTATATTACTTGTTGATTCATCATGCCGTACATAAGGGGGGGGGTTACTAATTGTGACAATGAGAATCCTTGCAGATTTAGAGGGAGCATCAGGTGCTTCTAATAAATAATTGGATTGCCTCCCGTGTAGATGACCTGTCTCTACTCTATTCTGCTATTGCCCTAATACTTCCCGCTTGGTAGAGTCTCATGATGAATAGGAAATTGCATAAAATTTTGACCAAAGCGATATGATAGCTTTTTCCCTTGACTAGGCACCCGTTGAGATTCCTCGGTGTGTAAGTGCGAGATCCTCTCAGGTAAATCCATTGGCAAACTTGCCCACGCCAATCTCACTGGCCCTCAAGGACGGGAACGCCTGTAATCGCTTTTATGATTGAAATTGGCTTTTTTTGAGGTCCTCCAACAAAATTTTCTTTCCAGCGAGAGGACTTTAGACGATTGATTCGTGAAGCCTATCCGCTCCAGTCATTATTTATCCATTCCAGGATGGCGAAAATCCTGAAAATTATATCACATAAGAGGTTTCTGCAAATTTATCTCCGTGGCAAAGCATAATGATATCCTTCAGCGGGTATTCGAGAGCCAACAGGGTCTGCGAGCTGTATCAAATGCGCAGTTTTATCGAAACCAACAGGCATTTCGGGAAGAACCTAACATGCAGACAGCTTCGAACTCTCTGGTGAAGGGATGGCAGAGGAATACGAAAGTGCGAGCTCAGAAATAGCAGGTGTCTACTGGATAATCGATAACTCAAACAAACACCCTGCAATTTTCTAGATCTCTTGTTCAAACTGCTCAACCTGATTCTAAATTCTATATTCCATAGCGCACTACGTCAGGTCATCTCTGAACCAGGCCCATCGCGTCAAACCGGCGCCGAAGGCTGCGTGAAAATCCCTTGATACCACAGCATGCGATACATTTGATACTGCTCAACTCACGAGGGGAATGTGTTCGTTGATTTTGGAATACTTGGTCCTTGGGTTCTGGAGCTCGGCCATGGACCAAGTCGACAGTTTGCTCCGGTGAAGAGGTTGCACGGCATGGCTTTGCTAAATGAATGCGATTTAGAAAATTTTGGAGAAACGCACAGGCTTACGATGCATCTTAGCCGCAGTTGCTATTCCATTTCGTGTAGGCACTGGCGACTTGACAGATGAGCGGGAATTTCAGTACCTGGGGAACTCTCAAGAGGCTTCAGTAATGTCGGCAGAGTAAAAGCTGCGGACTCAACTGCCAACAGGCCCTGGAAGAGCCTGCAGATATTGCCGGAGGTTAAGGTGCAGTTGCTCAAGACTTTCGCGAGAATTAGACTCATAGGATTCATGGAAGACCTACTCCACACGGGGGAAAGTATGTAATAGACCATCCGGGTTGATGACGTCGTAGCTGGACTCGAGTATCAATAAGAGGAGCTCACATGGGATATTTTCAATCATTACCATCTCGGATGAGATTAGACCATGTAACAGAGTTCGCGGCTATCAGCGTTGATCATGAAGGGAAAAACTCAAAGAATGGATAAAGAAACTCAGTGCTATCCTAGGAAGACTCACTTTCGTTGCCGGGAATTCTATGCTTCTCCACAAAACAGGATCCAAGGTGAAATATCAGGGCTTCGCTGGTGATCAAATCCGCCTGGAGCAAGATCTGGGGATGACTAGTCCGCGTCTTATAATCCAGGTATTTAAGATAATTCCCTCGGGCTTTGCACGAGTCTCTGATCTGGGTGTGTGGTAGTGCCAGTTGCGCGAAAAATCCAGATAAACAAAGCAGATTCCGAGTTGATATTGCAGATAAACCACAGTGAGTCCGGGACACTCGAGCTAACGCGGTTTGTTTGCTCAGGAGAAGCGTAGACTTACCATAAATCTCTGCCATTTGGGAGGTTTGAAACCGGGTGGTATCAGTGTACTCGCCTAATTGATACCACTCTCCTCATGATCATCAGGTTCAAGTGCCGGGTGGGTGAGAGGGCCAATGCCGCACCTGGGCGGCACGATATCGGGTCTTGAGTTTTTCCTTTCCATTTGATTCATAGATTTGTCCTTTTCATCAGGTTCGGTGAGATTAGCAACAGATTTCGAAAAGGGACCAAGTCTTAGCCACATAGCACTTAGTTCTCATAGATGAGATCGAGTCCCGCGACGCCTCTCTAGCTACTGCTGCTGCCAAAAGGAGGATATTGATTAGTTTGAAAGTCATTGGCACCACTAATTGAAGAGCCCAATAGAAGGCAACTGTCTTTATAAAATCAATTGGAAAAACATATTTGGCGGTTTGCGGCTCTACAATAACACGTGAAAGCTTGGTGTCTCGAATGTGTGCCTGAAGCAAACAGGACCCACGTGTCATCCCTATCGGCAGCTTTCCCGAGCCCCACCAATGCAGTTACCCCATCCCGCATATTGCAAACAGTGCATACCTTGGAAATCAAGACGACTTAACTTGGACCTCTGGTTCCTCTCTTCTCCACATCCTCATCACAGGCATTCTCTTCGGAAATACAGACACACGGAGTAGGATGAAAGGAGACGAGTCAACATCTCACTCCTTCACTTCCCAGTCAAATACGCCTCCGCATCTCTCACGTCTCAAGCCCAAAATGCCGCCTCTCGACCCGAAGCGTGAGCCACTGAACCCAGACAGACGCTTGATTTTGACGCCATCGATGATACCAAATTCCTCCAACTTTGACGCCAAAGATTCTCGATACTTCAAAAAATTCACCAACCTACCTTCACCAGAAGAGGTCCGCAAGCAAGCCAAGGCTCAGCAACTCGCAGGAACCTCCGTGGATAAGAGGAGAACACTGTATGAGGGTGATATTCAACGGCGAGCGCCGGTAACGGTATTCCAAGAGTTGTCTCTGCTTGTGAAATGGGGGGGCGAGATGACAATTTCGGAGGGTCAGTGCCTGTATGGCATTGGTCTGCTCCTCAAGGATCATGTCCCGGTTCCAGAGCTCTACGGCTGGCGGCAGGATGGAGGCGAAACATTCCTTTATATGGAATATCTCGATGCACAGACACTGGAGCAAGCGTGGGATAGCCTGGGGTCCGATGACCGTGTTTCGATCTCCGGTGAGCTTCGGATTATCTGCGCCAATCTTCGCCATCTCGAACAAGATCCGGAAGATCCGTTCATAGGTAGAGTTTTCGGGATATGTTTGTCTTTCTCTCGTTTAAATATCTGACTCTCTGCCGTTTTCAGGTAGCATCGCACGATCTTATGTCTGCGATCGAGCCTACCGTGAAGATGGCTGGCTCGAAGCCGGGCCATTCAACACAGTCCAGAAGTTCCATGATTGGTTCACTTGGCTACCACGAAAACCAATGCCCGATCCTTTTATCGTCCCAATTGAACGCGAACGCTATGATTTGCCGGATGACACGGCCATCGTTTTTACACATGGTGACCTTCATCGCAGCAATATCCTCGTCACGCGCTCTGAGCCGTATCGCGTTGTTGCAATTGTCGATTGGGAGCAGTCAGGCTGGATGCCTGCATACTGGGAGGCCAGAAAGGCACAATGGTCCGTTGGTACCGATGATCCTTGGTCTACCACATATCTACCAATGATTATGTGCCCATTTACCAGTACCTGGCTCCCCTGGACTTGGTTCTCAGGCTCCATGGTGCCCTAAGTTACTGGCATGAAATGGCATTTTCGCATGGCACCCGAGTGACCATGGCAGCTACATCACACCAATTATTTTCTACCATTCAGACCACCCTCGATATGCTCAGGTCTGCAACCAGTTTGCTATGGCAATGGCGAGCCTCTGGGGTGAAATAGATAGCGCGGGAGACAGCGAGTTGAAACCCGAATAGCTTTTCTAGTGTTACAGCTAACTATCGATATTGTCCCAACAAACACCCTTGTAGACTTACACTGTTGTATGATGAAAAGGAACACGGACGTTTTCCACCTGTGACTGGCGTTGAGTCCAGCCGTCGCATGGGTCTTGACTGGTCAGCAAGCAGTCGGAAATCGTTCATCTTACCTTGTGCCTTCAATTGAATGAGAGTACTTTGAGTATTCATCCTGCTGTAAAGTTAACGAACCACCTATTGGCCCCGGGCTGCAATTTTAGAGGCGTTTCTGATACAAGGTTAATTTGTCTGATCTACTATGGCTTTCATCGGCAAGCAAAAGGCAACATTCCTGGCCCTCTTTTCTAACAGATTTGGTCTAGGCAACGATGATGATATTGAGGCCTTTGACAGGTAGCTTATTCTTATATGTTTATAGGGAAAAGATGTCAAAGCCGATTGTTCCACGAAAGAGACGTAAGGTGTTGTCCTGCGTGGCAAGATCGACCCTGTAATGGTGTTCAGACGAGCGCGACCCTAGATTTTGCGAGTCTGACAAACAGTCAACAGCATGGTAGCCTGTCGACCGGGTAATGCTCTCAACAAGAAATTGAGAGGATTAGAAGATGGTCGGCTGCCTTGATTGTGGAAGTCATTCTGTTGTTTGACTTTCACCTTTCTTGTGGTAGCCTGTGAGGCAGCGACCTGAACTCTGTATAGTCAGAGAAGCGTAGAAGGAAATAGAGACTGTTTGGAACACATATAAATATGAATGTTTAAGTCAAAGGTTCTCTGTTTGTGATCCCCAAAAACGTTCTCACATCTTGAAAACATTCCAACTTTCGCAACACTTGAGACTCCTCATACTCACTTGTCTACATCCTCACTCGAAAACACAAATGACCCGGCCCATCTATCTCGCCGCCTTCAAGAACTATGGCTATCCCGCACATTGGGCGATCTTCGTCCCCAATCCTCAGGCGGGCAACGTGGGAAAGCTAATCCATGTCATCGGGTCCTCAGTCAATGGCTTCTTTCTTGAGTTCAAGCGCAACTACGACTTCAGCACAACCCGGAGCGAGTACCAAATGATCCATCTTGCAGATGTCGAGGAACGTTTCGTTGCTAGGCCAGTAGCTAACGCTCTAAAAGAAACCGACACCACCCCCCGTGATCGTCTGGAGATGGCCGCCAAAATCGTTGTTCCCCCACCTCGCAGTTTAAACCGTTTCGACCCGCCGGTATGTCGACTCACAATTTTACGAACAAACGGCGCTAACATTGGCTCTATCTAGAAAGAAAATTGCCAGGGCTGGATCCAACGCTATCTCCAGCAGCTCGTCAACGATGGTTTACTTAACGACAGCGCCCTGCTCGTGATCCAGAATGCTCCAAAGACACTGTGATCGAGATAAGCGGCAAAGCTTAGCTATTCGCTACGTTGGCCTTTGCGCAAAAATCATGCTTCATTCAAACATCATCATTCAAATTAGATAATGAAACTGGTTTAAATGACATACTCAGGACATTGATTTTGATTTTGTAACTGTTGCAAGGCCCTCTGATAAGTAAATTATCTCACCATCAATGTTGAACGAGTACATCTAGGATGACACTAACGACACGACAGAAAAGTTCATGGCACGACGAGACCAGTCCTAATGATGAAAGCCTCCCCCGCCCCTTTCACATCAAAATGCTACATTCGAAATTCCCAAAATACCTGCCGAGTCCTTATGTATAATTCACATGAATGCTTCTGGCTGATATTATTAGCGACTGTAATCGCGACCTCTATCTATTTATCATTATTATATAATAAGATATTATCCTACTCCCCTTCCTACTATCACCCATTTTACGGTTCTTTTCTTTTCCCCAAGGTCTTTTCCAGGATCCTTTCTAAGGTCTTTTCTAATAAAGAGGCTTATGTATACACAAGACTCTGCTGGTATTCTATAAATCTCGAAAATAGCATTCTGTATTGAAAGGCGGGCTTTCATCATTAAGGCTAGCCTTGTCGTGCCATGAACTTGTCTGCCGTGTCAATAATGTCACCGTATATCCGGACATCTATAGTTCCGTACCATCGGGCTGTGCCCCACCACTGGCGGGCAAGGCACAATGCTTAGTCATCGTCTCTGTGGACCCACTGCAATTTTTTGGATGCATGCTCAAACGACCTTTTGAATATTGCCTACGCTAGCATACGATCGGTCACAATATACCCATCAATTAAAGGCCATAGAGTGAGAATCGTCTATGTACTCGGTCTCGACAAGGCTCTATCTGGCATCACGACATCACCTCACCTCTTACTCTGCCATCTAGCAGTATATTTCTGTCCAGCCCTCCAGACCAGAGGCTTCTGTCCAAAATGGCGTTCAGCTTCGGCTTCTCCGGGGAGGACATTGACATGGAAGATTATGAGATTAACACTGGTGTACCGGATGTATTACCGCCGAAGAACACTACGAATTCGCTTCCCGAGCTAGTCAAGCCCAAGAAGCATGATATCAATGACTGGGTGAGTGAATGCGGAAAATACTTTAATTCTATGTTTCGCGTTATATTGTCTGTTGTGTCTGTTTTGGAAGCCTCGTCTCCGGATCGTCGCCTTATTGGGAAATTTTATTTTATGGGAGGCTGTGATTTATTTCGTTTCGAGGCCACATGCGTCATGCAGTTGCTTTTGCTTCAAATTGACCACCATATCTAACATCATCCCAGCTCTCAATACTTCCATCACAAATATTCTACAACCGACTCGCAATCAGCGGTACGCCCGTGGTCATTGCACGTCGAGAAATTTTCGACATCCGCACCCAGTTGATGGCCGAGGATAACGAGAACTACGACAATGCCGAGCTGATCGCCGGTCTCGAAAAGGGCGATCTCAAGCCCAATTTCTACGAAGGTGGCTTCAAGACGTGGGAGTGTGCTCTTGATCTCGCCAAATTGGCTGCTGGTGATAGCGAGATCGTTGGCTCCTTGAGTGATTCTCAGAGCGATGTTCATATTATCGAGGTATGTATGATTGCCTGAGGTCATCGTGGGAATGATCATGCTAAGAATGCGGGATAATAGCTTGGTGCGGGTACGGCTGTGCCATCAATGACTCTGTTCGCTCAATTCCTCGGCCAGACGGAGGTGGATGGCGCGGCACCAGGGCAGAAAGCACACTTTACTTTTGCTGATTACAACGATGCCGTTCTTCGCCTCGTTACGCTCCCCAATCTGCTCCTTACCTGGCACAATAGCCGACCGCAGACTGCCGTGGAACCTGTCGTCAGCGAAGAAACTCCTCGCCATGATCAGGACGAAGAGCTAGACATCACCCCTGAACTAGTGGACGAGTTCAAGAACGACTTGGCCCGGCGTGGTATTTCGATCGATTTCATCTCCGGTGGCTGGTCTCCCGAATTTGTCGATTTGGTCTTTTCTCATTCTAGCAGCGGCGACTGCAAGACCCTGGTACTTGCAAGTGAGACTATTTACTCACCGGCTACGTTGGCCGCGTTCTCCGAGACCCTTTTGGCACTACTACGCCGCTCTAGCACGCCCGCGGCGAAGACTCGTGCCTTGGTCGCGGCTAAGAAGGTGTACTTTGGAGTCGGAGGTGGAGTCGACGAGTTCCTCGCTGTGCTCAAGAGTGTCTGCGGAGATGAACTGCAAGTCCAGGAGAAGTTGGACGTGCAGTCGGAAGGAGTTGGTCGGGTAGTATTGGAGATCACACCCTCTGCCAATGTCGTATGATATCAAATTTGCCCTGTCCGCCAGCTTTCTCAAATAGCAGCATTTATACCCTAGAGCCTTGGAAAAACAATCTTCAAACAAATAGAATTCAAAGGATAAGGTTGCTGGATTGGACTTCCCAGTCCCAACGTATATGTACATGTTTTGCTCCTCCATTGCGCATGTCTATCGCAGACAGCTAATCAACGATGAAAAAAAAGGACCCCTCTTCTATCCGCTTACTCATAGATGGACTCGACCTTGCCTTCCTTCATGCGCGCAACGCGAGCCTCCTCAATATCCTTGTTCTGGCGCTCGTAGTGGGCCACAACGGCACTCAGATCGGCCTGGGAACCGGGGGAAACGTTATATGGGGTACGAGCGTTGAACATACTGTCGATCATTAGCAACCAGCATCCCTAATTGAAGAATTTAAATCGACGTACTCGGGCTGCTTCAGCTCAAAGGCCTCGCGGGGGCCTTGGGATTGGAGGAGGTGACGGTCCTCGGCGGCCTTCTCAAGAAGGGCGGTGTGAATGGCATTGCGCTGCTCAAGAACCTCTTGCGAGGTGCTGTACTTGTTGATCAGGCCGGCAATGAAAGACTCGGAGCCGGAGTCCTGGCTGGCCGCGCTGATGCGGTAGAGGAGGTACGAGGAGGCGATGGTGCCGACGGTCACGTAAAAACTGCGCTGTTGGGTGAAATTACCCGTGTTAGCAAGCAATTGAACGCAATCGAGGACCTCCCAGAGCTTTCAGAGCTCGTTGTCGAGTTCGTCTGGCAAAGCCAGCGGGGGAGGGAGGAGCTTACGCCGAAGCCCTCGTTGACGGGCTCGGAGTGGGCGGAGTGCGAGCCAAACCGGCGAGGGGTCTGGCGCAGCAGCTGCCGCGTCGAAGCAGCGGAGCGTCTGGCGGCGAACATGGTTGAATGGGGAGAATTGGCAAGAGTCGTGAAGTGATGACCCTTCGGGCGGAGATGATAGGATGAAGTTGCGATCCGATCGAGTCACATGACCGTTGCCGGATTGGGACTAGTTCGTTTTCACTTAGTGAGACAAGGTCTACATCCTTCAAGAGAAACCTCAAGAAAACATTTATGTCAAGTTTACCAGATTAGCTTGTAAATTGCACGATTATCTGGACCTCTGCTAACTTGCATTGGCATCCACTGGTGTGCGCTGAATGCGAGAACTGCATCTCAGTCGGCTGTCAAGTCTTATTTTTTTCCGACCAGCCCCGACTAGTTATTGAATGTCCCCAGAAAAGAGACTGATTACGGAATGTCAATTTTAGAAATTCTCAGGAAACACTTCAGAGGCTACAAAACTGAAGAGGGTATAGAGGAAGAGTGATTTTCATAATTCAAACTGGGTTGAGTGGCTGCTCAGCATTTTGAAACAAGAGATGGAAGAAAAGTCCTGGCCAGACATGCTTCAACTTCTATGTCTAAAAATTCCTCGGGGTGTCTTTCGAAATATCTTCTTGGATAGCCATGTCGATATCTGTCAATTTATCTTTCGGTCGGCATTCAAACTGATGAAACTCCAAATAAGATTCGTTGTTCCGCGAAAGTGCTACATCTCTATTACTTGCTTCCCACTTACCTTACCTTATGACCGCATCGACAAGATTGTAATTTTGCTCTGGTGTATCTTCGTTTCATGAAGGCTTACTTTTGAAAGGGAAATAAAAACTACAATTTTGCGATCACATCTCGAAATTTAAGATACAACTATCCCAATTGCGTGCGAAAAAGTTCGGTCAGTCAGACAACAGTCGCTCCCGCAGTCGTTCCATACTCCTATAACCCTATGACGAGTCCAAGAGATCTGCAGAACTACCTATTTATCACAATCTTGATCAAGAAAATTGTAAAGGACGGCTAGGTGCGCACGATGAAAACTTTCCAATTTTAATAATCACGGATGTTGGCTCTAAACGACCAAATCGAGGCTATCGCACATCTATAGGTCGACACCGCTTCTAGGTATAGGCCAACAAGTCCCATGTTGTGAAATAAACCGATAATGGCGATATCCGTCGAAAGTCGATAAGAATCATTTATTTTGGTCAATATTTGGACCACTCAATAAAATTATACCAGCGCCTCGTTGAGAAGGCTCAGAGTAAGGCGGCATTCTATATACATGTCAACTCGGAGCCTGGTTGAGCATAGTTGATCGGTCTTGGCAATTTTTCCTTAATTGATAGGCTCATTTTTTAAAGTCTTTCGAACGTCTGAAATACACAAAATAAATTGTCTGGCATCAATCTTATTTTGGGGATTGAAATGAAGTGGTCGAGGTATTATTGTCCGACCATAATCTAAGGAAGTGAGTGTATCCTGGGCATTGGGAGTCGATCCTTAATTGTTTCGCCGTATTTTTTCGGACTAACGCGCCTTACCCGACGAGCCACAAACATTTCCCTCCAACATCACATCTTCTTCCTTTTTTCCGTTTTCCCCAGCGACTAACCACCTCAAGAATAATTATCCAAAGAGGGTCCAGGATGATGCTGCATATGCATGACTTGCCTCAACCCGAGAAAATCAACAATCTCGATTCTGGGGTTGCATGATTAGGGCTCGTCTCCAGATGACGTCTCGTTTTCAAACTATGTACCACCCCAGCCCCCCTGTCCGTTTTAAATTCCATCGGGCCGAATTGATTGAATATTGGACCCAACGATTCTGCCTATCAACTGGGTCTGGCTATGGATTGAACATGTCAGAGTTTGGGAGTCGGTCCCCACCAGCCTTGCCCCATTGTTTGGCAACTGGCGCCCGAAACCCGTTGATGCCCAATACCCGCATGGCGACCAGCAATTGGTTTCGCTTCGGTTCAGAATGGAATCTTCGTTGTTCCCTGGCGCGTCGATCAGCATTACGCTTGGCTGGAGCTGACTGGTCTTTTCAAGGGTGAGATAGGTAGGATTCTAGGATGGGGAACCAGCATCCACACTAAGGTTCGGTCCGCAGTGGTCTTTTTCCATGGCGAGAACCGTGTGGATGGGCGAGTCGAACTAGTTGGCGGGTTTGGAAACGCACTGTTCTTTTTTTTGACCCTACTGTCTTTTGCCCATCCACACAATCCCCCCTTATAGTTGGGTGCATTTAATATTCACTTCTGTGACTTTTTCGCTTTTTCCCCTCTCTTTTCTATTTTTTAACACTGGTTGTACTGTACACAATATCCCGTCGGATTCCATCCCATCCCTCCAGACTCTAGAATTGAGATCTGGACTTGCCCAAAAGCGTCTGTGTGCTGGGACAGGCTGCCTCACTTTCGCGTATCACCCGCATTTGTGCCCACTTGGCCAAGTGAACTTGAAAAGATCAGATCAACTGATTCTCTGCCCGATACTCCTCGCTCGGGGCGCCTGGATTCGATTATTTCCTGACATCCGAGAATTCGGGGTCTCTAGTTCTACGCTACCCTGTGTAGACCTGTTTTGGGCTATATCTCGAGGCACTGCCGGGGCAACTTGCAAATGTACAGTGCAGAGCAGAGAAGCCCCATCTATCAGCCGACTGGAACATTCACTTGACTCATTCCTGCTCGAGATCATTCATTGATCCTATTGGGAACACGTCTTCTTCCTATTCTTTTACCATCCGACTGCCTCGGGCACGCATCATTCAACCGTGATGGGTCTGGGTGGCAAGAAGGCCAAAGCCAAGGAGAAGAATGGCAAGGCCGGAGCAAAGCTGAAGATTAAGAAGGCGAAGAGTCCCGAAGTTGCTGCAGTTTCGGAGCCTACCGAAGCCATCGAGACAATCGAAGACCAGACGACAATCGAAGACCAGACGACAATTGAATCCCCTGCGCCTGCCAGTCCAGAGCTTGTGCTACAAGATCCAGAATCAAACCACCCATCTGGACCAGCAGTTGAGCCAGCAATTGAACCAGTACTTGAACCAGTACTTGAACCGGTGCTTGAACCAGTGCTTGAACCAGTGCTTGAACCAGTGCTTGAGCCGGTGCTTGAACCAGCAGTTGAAATAGCAGTTGAACCTGTGCTTCAACAATCCATTTCGATCGAAGATTTCCTGGAGAAGGAGGCTGATTCGGCACCCTCTTCACCTTCGCCTTCGCCTTCAGCGCCTGTAGCGCCCCTAGAACCTCCAGCAACCCTTGACAACGAGGAAGCACATGACGAACGACCATCTGAACCTTTGAATGAACATCAAGCTGAAGACGACCACTTTCGCGATCACCTCAACGGCCCTCGCGTTCATCGTCGTGATAGCCGTCGCGCCAAAAAGGTCAAGAAATATCTTGACGACTATAACGACGAGCAAGCGTCTCTTCCAACGACTCGCAGAGGCACGCCCGAGCCTCAATCCGTCGCTGATCCAAGGTACTCGACTTATGAAGAGGCCTATCCTCACTATCCGGCCTACCCGACATATCCGACAGAGTACCCAGATAGGCATCTTGTTGCATCACCTTTTGCCCCCTTCTCACCTACACCGGCACTGGTGCCTCTTCCATCTCCATCGTTGACCGAAGCACGGTTTATGTCAAGTGCCTCTCCTGAGGCCCATTACTATCCCTATCATCCACCTCCTCCCCTTCCATACTCACCGTACGCGGTGCCTGCATACTCTACACCGTACTACCACTCCCCCGTTCCAAAAGTCAGTAGTCCACTGGCTCGTTCTCATTATTCTTACGTGTCGCCCACTATGTCACCCACCGCCACCCCTCCTCCTCCACCTGCAGCTCCAGCAGCTCCGGCTGCCTCAACACCTGCAATGCCGCCTCCTCCTTCAGTAGCAGGAAGCTATTCGACGGCTCTTCACTCTCCCGTCATGAGCTCAGCCGGTATGATCCCGCCTTATGGCGCGTATACTCCTCAGCCACTAGATGGCCACTATATGCATCGGAGCTATAGTGTCTCTGACCAGCCTTACGCCGCATCATTCCAAGCCATTCAAAACCTCGGTCTGAATAATGGCCAAGTGAATGAGAATGGAACCATCTCCCCACCCGAAAATGATCAGGAACATATCGAACTGCTTCACCGGATTCAATCAGCTATCCCTGACATCAACCGTCTTCTCCATGGGTTCCGTCACACCCATACCAGACTTAGTAGCCGCGAGGCCGAGATGAAGCAGATTGGCAACCAACATGAGCAAGCCCTCATGCACAAGGACTTCTACATTGAAGCGCTGCAGTCTCAAATGAAGAAGACCGCTAGCGAGAGTGCCGAGGAATGCGCCAAGCTCAAGAATACCATCAATGAGCTGCGTCTAGAACTAGGTGATCTGCAGGAGAAGCAGAAAGATCTTGAAGATGGCCTAGCTGGCCATCAAAAGTCCAATGAGGAGCTTTCACAGAGCAAGTCCGAGCTCGAGGCGGAGATTGAAAAGCTGAAGGCGAGCATCAAGGAGGCTCAGGAGACGCATCAGAAAGAGCTCGAGACACAGAAGGAAGATCATGCAAAGGCCTTGACCACGCAGAAGCAAGAACTGACCGAACTCTTCGAGGAGATCAAAAATGAGGATGAGAAGGCCGCCGCAGAGACGCTGGAAGCGCGGGAGAAGGACCTGCAATACCAGCACGAGTCAGCCAAGGAGGAATGGGCGAAGGAGAAGAAGCTGATGGAAGATACACTGGAGACTCAGCGCGGTGAACTGGATGCTACCAAGTCCGAGCTTGCCTCCAAAATTGCCACTCTAGAGACCAAGGAGAGCGAGCTGGAGACACGGTTGGCTGAGCTCAACACCACCCGCGAAGAGGTCGCTACCAAGGTTGCCGAACTAGAAGCGAAGGAGAAGGAGTTGGAGGAAACCCGCCAAAAGAATGCCCAAGAACTGGAGGCTCTTTCGCAGGGCCATGCCGGTGAACAAGATACCCTTCGATCCGGCCACTCCGTCGAACTCGACACTCTCCGTCAGACTCACAGCGAGCAACTCGCCGCTGCCGCAAAAGACCTCAACGAGAAGATTGCTGCCATTGAAGCGAGCTTCCTCGAGCAAGAGAAGCACTGGGAGGCAGAACGAGCTGCGCTGCAGAAGCTGCTGGCCGAAAAGGATGAGGAGTTGAACAGTGCTGAACGCGAGAAGGATAAGCTGGAGGGTCATGGGTTGATCAAGGAGCAGCAGCTCCAACGCGCGGTGGAGGAGATGAAATCCACGATCGACCATTTGGATCAAGACTGTGATCGACTGCGCAGGACGCTGATGAGTCTCGGTGAGGCGACTGACCTGAAGACGACCAAGGGCGATCAATTCTTGTAAGTAGCCGGCCTTTGATTTTCGTTGCATTTACATTTTGCGTTGCATCTTGATTTGGGAGGTTCTTTTACGATTTACGATCATGATCATGTCTGGGCTTCGCATTGTTTTTTTTTCTTTCCTTTCCTTCTGTCAAGGATACACGCCTATACTATCCTCCGGTCATCAACGGCCACTCGATATCTCTCCTATGTCTACATCTCTATAGAATGTCAACCTCGCATCATGTTCCACGCACACCTCACGATACTTTCGATACGACCATAAACAATGACAAAATGTACAAAGTCTCTAACAAATTTCCCTTCGATAGTGTGGACTGCTTCACCCAACTCTCCTCTCTGATCGCCACCCTCTCCCACGAACATTTCGCTTACCTCCCCATCGACCCACCAAAAGACATTCTCTCCAAGATTCCCTCCGAACTCCCTTCCTTCCTCGACAACACCCCTCCATCTCGAGTCCTTCGCGCCGCTTACATCCAACACGTCGTCTCCAAAACCATCACCTATCGCGTCTTCCAACCCTTCCTCTTCACCCTCGGCCGCCGCTACGACAAAGCAGATACCTTCTTCCAGATGCTCTCCATGGATATCCGCCGCAAATCCGTCCGCCGTGAAGCGTTCTGGCGTCAGCAAACCCTGAAAGCGGCATACACCACCTCCGACGCCAAACAATCCATCAACGTCGCCGCTGCCGTCATCGTCGATGAGATTATCGATCACATTCGTCATTTCGCCGATCCCCGTCAACTCGATTCCCTACTCACCGCAGTCCGGAAAATCGTCAAACTCGCCGCCGAGACATGGCGCCATGCCCGCGTCGAGCGTGAGCTCGTGCTAGCCTCCTTCCCAGCCCCGGACGCAGAAGCCATCGACAACGAGGGCTGGAACGAGTACGCTGCCGCTCCCAAGGAAGAATGTGCCGGCCCTAAACCGGAACATAGTCGACACGTCGTGCTCCGCACGTTCCCGCGAGTCCTCCGCGAAGCAGCACACGAGGATTTCGCAGTCGGTCCGGATCGCGCAACCTCTTGCGTGTATTCATGCGGTGAGGTGTTGTACTCGGATTCCCCGGTGATCATGGCTCGGTTGCAGGAGTTGGTGAAGAAGGCACCTGAGCCGGTGGCTGTGGTAGAGGAGGAGACGAAGGAGAAGGTTGAGGCGGTTCCGCTTGCTCCGCTTTCACCACCGAATACACCCAAGCAAGACCAGGAGGCGGAGGTGAAAGTTGAACCGGTCAGTATATCTGAGCCGGTTGTGGCGGTGCGGAGCTCGACTCCAGTTTCTGTGAAGAGTCCTCCTCCTGTGAGGAGCGCGACGCCCGTGCGAAGTCCAACGCCGGTGCGGAGTCCGACGCCGGTCAAGATCACCGCATCTTCGTCGGTGCCTGAGAGTCCGAGGGGCAAGGGTCAGCCATTTAAGGTGTGAGGTTGTGAAGATTGAAGGACTTTGTTTTTGACTGATTTTATCTTTTGCTTTTTATGTTGCTTTTTTGTTTTTTCTGATTCATGTCGTTAGCGTTCAAGCTGGATGCGCAAGCTTTATATCTCCGTGTTGTCTCTTAGATTGATTTTCTTGTTCTTGTTGATGTTATTAGCGTTGATGTTGGGATTTGATTAGCGCCAAGACGTTGGATATGCGAATGTTTTTCGTTTCTTTATATTCTTTTCTTTGGTCTTTACATTTAGCGTTGAGTTAGGTTGAAGGGCTCATGTATGGTCAATGCATTAGTTAGTTATTTCGATATAGTTGAATCAGCTACGGCGAGTTACAGCAACCCATCCGTCCCGACTTCGTCCGTTCTTTTAGTCGGCTCATTTATACTAGTATTACTGATCCTTCAGATTTCTTGAGATGTTTACATAGTAGGCATCCATGACACTGTGGAGGAGGGGCAGGAACTATCGGTGTGGTTATCTTATACTTCACCAGGTATTCAATCAACAGTCTCGAAATCTTGGGTCTCGGGTGGGTTCCACCCGGATCCAAGATTCCTGGGCACTCTTTCCAGTGGGCCGTACCAGTGGTCGGCCACGCCACCCGCCGTCCAAACCTCGATGTAATATGGGGATTATAATGTCCTAGAGCCCCAGTCCAGGTTGTTTCGTGTCAATGCACCATGAGTTTGTACCTAGATCAGGCCCATCTTTCCTGTTTCTCCCTGCGTTTTGTAGAAACTTGGAGAACGGTCGGACCGGCAGAATCTTGTACCATCTTGTACCACGTACGCGGTGGGCCGTAGGGTTGAAAGAATACATATAGTGATCAAGTCTAAGGATTATAAATTTTTTTGGAAGTATTGCAGGGTACAATACAATGCGCATCCATAAATTTCAAGTCAGTGAGCTATCAGAATCAGAGGAACCATCCTGAACCCGGCCTGGCAAGGTACCGTTTCAATGGTGTGGGCCTGGCATTTATAAACAAGCTCGTGGAACCTTGGGAAATTCAGCCCTATATGGCTTTGCCACGTTCACCCCCACCGATAAGAATAGCAACAGAACTCCGAAGATGAAACGGTTGATCCTCGATGGTAGGTTCACTAGTCAGTAGTTCATGGGGGCGTTAGATGAGCGAGGAGGGGGGTGGTTCATGACTGTCCTGCTGGGGACTGCAAACAGTGCAAAATCGGTATCGCGCACAGCCTTGTTTCAGGAGTCGTTTAGTGGGGTGGACAGGTCTGCCTTGAATCATGCAATGAGATTATTGGAGGAATGTGAGTAGAGAAGAACGGCCAGAGAGACGAACCGGATACAATTCTATCAAAGCTGTCTATCAACGAGTAAAAGCATAGTCAAATGGTATCAAGGTCTATATATTGGTACTCGCGTACTCTAGTACAGTACTCTACTACGTGACAATACCTCCATCATACAAGTGGTTACGAACCGGAGTCACGATCGGACCGCGGGGCACGAACAGCGCTAAATGAGGCTCATGGCAAGCGGAGTCTCCTCTCAAGGCTGAACCCTCCCCCTCTCATGCCACGGCGCCTACGGCAGTGGCAGCTTTGGTATATTCCTTCGGGCATATCTTGCAGGACGGTCGCTAGTCCTTTTATTTTTAACTTCTCATCTTTTCATCTAAATCCACTCCATTCCCCTTCCCCCGACCCTCATATTTTCGGCCCCCAATTCTAACCCTCTCTTTCTTTTGCGCAAAACCCGATCCCCTGTCCGCTCAGCTGGTCAGACTGGTCCCTCATTCTATACGGCGTGCGACGTTATCTCTCCCCATCATTTGCAATCCCTTCCTTTTCCCCCAAAAAGAACTCTTCCAGAAAGCGCTCTACACCCTTTACCTCTGGTTTTGGGTTTTTTGGTTCGCTCTCTCTCCCCTATGCCTGGGAATCTATATACCACTTCCCCCGACCTGGCTCAAAGCAAACTGCATCCACTCAATGATTTCCCCTCATCGGGCCCTCTCTCGCCTCCGTCCGAAGGCGGCTCGCCAAATCAGTTGCTCGCTACATGGGCGAAACTCTCCCGCAACCAGCCCAAGACCGACTTGAACCTCACCCTGAACCACAAGATGTCTTCCAGCCCCTACGCGCGCCAGTCTCCCGCTGTCGCGGGGAGCCTCCACCACGTGCCGCTGGAACTCAGTACCGCAGATCCATATCTGTCGGCGCAATCCGACCCAGAAGAAAGTGACTTTCACGCCAGCGCGATTCGACTTACCCCCGTAAATGGCAGCCCGAACCATACCTCCTCGCCGTACGACGAGACCCGTCGTCCCTCTATCACGTCGCAGGGCTATTTGGCTCCAGGGGGGAATGATTATCCGGACGCTAGCTCCAGCACCTCCGGAACCAATGTAACGGAGCGCTTCTTGAACCCGACAGATGTGATGGTGAATTTCGCCGACCTCTCCAACGAAGCCCCTTCTTTGGTCTTTGGCGAAGGGCAGACTGCGGCTGCGACCAGTAATGCGCAATGGCTGCCGTCGATCCCGGTCAATACGACACAGTTCCTGGGTCCAGAACAGGCCATGCCCAGCCCGTCCTCCGTACCGGAGACCGCAACGGTACAGAACGGTATCAACTCCGTGCTGCCGACGCAGGCGTTGTTCGTTGCGCCGCAACACTCTGGTCTCGGTTCGAATCCGGCCTATGGTCCATCCAGACTGACCGTGTCGACTAACCATGTATCGAACAATGATTTGACATCTCCATCCCCAAGAGGTCGGAGTCCCATTATCACTATCTCGCGGACGTCCCGAGGAGATTCACCCGATGAGAATGCGCCCGAAACACGACCCAGCCGGTCGCTGCTATCACCAATTGGCGCTGATGATATGCCGAATGGATTCGACGATGACAATGACGATCACCACTCCATCTCCTCCGTCTCCGTAAATCCCTCACACAACGGGACTTATGTGCGGACTCCCAGCGCAGTTCGACGCGGCCTGGATCCGTTCTCCCGCGGAGACGAATACGGACCAAGTCCGAATGAGATGCACGGTAAGCACGCACAGGAGCAGAAAAATGCAGAAGTCGGTCGCTGGACGGAGACCGTATTGCCGACCAACGGCGAGGCGGGCGATGAGCCTCCACCGCAGTCTCGAGGACGCAATCATGTTCCTAACCGGATTCGGGCGCTCAGCACGGGAGACAGGCCTCTTCAGCAAGCAGACTACTTCAATCTCAATGCGGCCGATCGCTCAGTTCTAGGCCCTGGTCAGATGTTGCATGAGAGTAGTGATGACGGTATCTTGAGTGAGGACGATTCGAATGGCAGCACGGCGCCAGACTCTCCCCCTGCCCATGCCGATGATCATGGACTGTACGATTACTCTACGGCGGGCGAGTATACGTCTCAGCAAGTCGCATCTCCGGACGGGAGCTTCCCTCTTTATCCGTGGCAGGATGCTCCACGCGACCCAATGCGCAGAGCAGATATGAGGCAGCCCAGGAGTTCCGCAGCGGCAATGGCCACGTACGAGATGCGCGCCAAGGAGCAAGACGCCGCTTCTATCACGGCGACTATCGACAACAACAGTATTATCAACTTCAGTGCCGGGTTCGAGCGGTCTTTGAGAATCACGGATGCCCCAAAGAAACATGGGAGCTGGAGCAGTAGCTTCTTCAAGCAGGCGCAGCAGAGAATCAAGAGACAGGCTTCGGACCTGTCCCTTGCCAGTGTTCACACCAATGTGCAAGAGCCACCACAACCTCAGCGAAAAGAGAGCGCCGGCTCGAGCTATCGGCATCGACTAAGCTTGTCGAGTAAGCATTCGCCGAAACCTCATAGTCGCTCTCCGAGCTTGACCAATGCGCTCATGTCCATGGCTGGGCAGATGGCTGCCGTTGGAGGTAGTCATTCCGTCCAGGTGGTGTCTCCTCACGCGGATGCCAGCCCCAAGGCCTTCCCCGCGAAATGGGGTCGTGATCGAGCGAAGAGCGAAGTTCCACGGCCAACAACGCCGGGTCTGCTCGATCTCATGACAACGCATGGCGGTCCGCCCGTAGCCAGTCTGTCGCGCTACTGCAAAGTAGAGCCGGATGTGGTGGAGCACCGCGTTGGTATGGTACCGTCATCACTTGACGTGCCTGGCGCTGACGATGAGGAGGATATGGATGGCTGCGATGAGGAGAAGGGACTGGTGATGGAATTCCCAGCCGTCTCCTCCTTGCCAGTTCCCACAATGGAAGGCTTCAAGTCGCAGATCATGCAGTTGAACCCGCGCCTCGACCCAGCGTTGATCAATCGCTTTGCCGGCGAACAAGTGCGGCGGCATCGAAAGCTGATCGAATACCAGCAGAAACACGCTGCAGCCGTGGCCAAGGGTTCCTGCAAGTCGGGCAATTTCTGTCTCGCGCTAGGTGGACAAGCACGCTTGCTACCGCAGCGTAAGACAGCAGCCGACGTTGAGACCGGCCAGACCCAATTCCGAATCACGGACGGCCATGATCAGTCAAACACCGGCAGCGAAGGGGTCGTTGCCGCGGCCCAGTTTCCCCCTGGCGTCCCCCTGCCTCCCGTCGCTCGGCTACCGGCCGAGTTCGAGTGTCCCGTCTGTTTCCAAGTCAAGACCATCCACAAACCGTCCGATTGGTCCAAGCATATCTTTGAAGACATCCAGCCTTTCACGTGTACATTTCCCGGATGCACAGAGCCCAAGTCGTTCAAGCGCAAGGCCGACTGGGTTCGCCATGAGAGTGAGCGACATCGACAACTCGAATGGTGGTGCTGTTCGTACCGCAACTGTACGCACAAGTGCTATCGTAAGAACAATTTCATTCAGCACCTGGTCCGCGAGCACAAACTGCCCGACCCCAAAGCCGCTCAGGGCAAGGGCGTGGGAGTTGGTGACGTCTCTCCCAAGATAGTCGATCGGATGGTCGAGGAATGCAAACACACCACGCAGGATAACCCCTCTCAGGAGCCCTGCCGCTTCTGCGGGAATAATTGTGGCACCTGGAAGAAGTTAACGGTGCACCTGGGGAAACACATGGAGCAGTTGGCCATGCCGGTTCTGGAACTTGCCAGGCAGAGCTGCGCCTCGCAGGGCCAAGGCCAGGGCGTGTCAGCGCCGATCGGGACCGTGAACCCCTTCGGGGTCAACAACAATACCAGCTCTGACACCATTCAAACGCGAGACCAAGGTCAGGGTCAAGCCCAAACCCAAGCTCCAGCCACAACGCAGGCACATGCATACTATGGCGACATTCCAAGTTTCAACTTCACCAGCATGACGGGCGGCGAGATCTCCATGGAACCCGAATCAATGATGGAGCCAGAATCCATGATCGATCCCCTGCAGCCTAGCGATCAGTTCTCCGGGTACGCACTGGACCCGTTCGATCCGAACCCCCATGCCCAAGCCACGTCTTTGGCCACACTCCACCCACAAGGCCACGCTCATGCTCATGCTCATTCCCATGCTCATGCCCATGCTCATTCCCATACCCACGCTCCCCACCCCTCGCATCAAAGCTCAGTCTCATATCCGCCCCTCTCCACCCCGTCACGCTCCGCAGATCCAAATCTCGCACCAAACTCCTACTCCGTCACTTCCCAACTGCCACCACAGACGATGTCGGCGCTTGGGGCTGGACAGACGCCGACTCGTGGCTCGCTTTATTCGGCGCAGCAGGCGGGGTATCAAACATACCAAGCCGTCGCGCCAAATAGCCCATATATGTCAGCACAGTATAGCTCGAGTTATTCGTCGCAGATGTGATAAACTATGCCGGAGATTTGGTCCGTAGCTCTGTAGTGGGGAGTCCATTGCCACGAATCTGCACCACTTTATGAATCTTTTCCCTTCTCCTCTCCTGGTCGTTGTTGTCTGGATATTAGCCTCATACTGATGATCTACTTTGCGTGGTTTTTCCTTCTTTCACCCACCCTGTTATGCATTTCAGGTCGTGCGTCTACGTGTATACCCCCTTCCCCTTTCCTTTCAATCTTGCTACTATTTACCCGTTATGACCGTTCGTGCAGCGCCTCGAGACGGGCCCACCGACCGTGGTGCATTAGACAGGGATGAGATGATTATCCTTTTTTTGGGTCTGGGTTTCGGGTTTTGGGTTGTCTTGATGGAAGTTTCTGCAGACAATATCCCTTTTTTTTTTTTTTTTTTGTATTCGTTTTGCTTTTTCAGTCACTGTCCGTTTCCCGTTAATCGATCCATCATTTCCCTCTAGTTCGTTCGTCATTTCTTTTCTTTCTCCGAGGGCTCCCCTTTTTTTTTTTTTTTTCCTTCTGTGATCTCCTCCCCATTCCCCATGATCGTCACCGTCCATTTCTTTCTCGAATAATGTACGGAGCTACTATATACCCTATCGTAAACAGAGGGGGCTATTTTTAAGCGAAAGCGCAATGATTGTTATTATTCTGTATACTTAGTGTGGAATGATGAACGGATCCTAAATCGTGATGATCGCCGACCTATGGCACTGTACTGTGGCCGTGACTACTGTCCCTCGGGGCCGACCTGCCCGGGATGAGGGCATGTAATGTACATATTTTCTGGGGCAGCTGGGGGAGGAATCTCTGTCGCGAATTGGATTAGTGGCGTGAAAAAGGATTTACAAGACATTACATCAGCCATGCATATATGAGAGATCAGATTTTGGGGTTTGTTCTAGGGCTAGGTTGGGTGTTGGTCTCGGTTGGACTTTGGGGGAGTTCGCTTTTGCTTCCTGATTGGGAACTTTTTGGCTGGATTGAGGAAGAGTAGTGACGGTGATGCAGTACATAGTACTGTACGGCTGCCTGGAACTCGGGCGTGCAGAAAGTATTCAATAAAAGGTGACACAGGATTGGAGATCGTAAAGATTACTCTTAGCTGCCCTGCCAGTGGCTAGGGTCAGCCGTTTCTGGTAGGGTTAGTTTGTACGATGAACCACCACTCCATAGGTAAAGTTCTTGTTAGGGCAGGATACGGAGAAATCTGTGTTATTCGGGTATGTTTAGGAGGGGCTGGAGGCGTTAAGGTTAAAGCTCGAGCTTCAGGCGACCCTTTTTCCCTTTTGGGTATTGTGAAATTGGATGACCCTCCCTCGCGACGAACGCGTGGATGTCAAAATGTCAGGCGTGTTTCACCATTAAAATTATGGCACCCCCTTGAATGTCAGTTTTGGTGAACTTTAGTAACTCCGTGAACCCCCTTGCTGCAAAACGGCATGGCATCGGGAACGAGGTCGTGCCGATCGCCCTGTCACCCTCGATCTAGGCCTGCACGGGATGAGCTGGTTGTGTAACCAATCGTCTTCCGTAGATAGTCGAGATGTGCGGTATGTACTGGCTTGGTTGGAGTGTTGATATTTGTAGTCAATTAGGGCATGATTATAATGATATACAACTCTTAGTGTACCGAGTAAGTCAGACTAGTTAGTTAACTAGTCTTAGTGGATAATTATTAATCTGTGCTGGCCGTGAGCTGTCTAGCTCGCTAGCTTGTCGTCACCGTCCACTCTAAACCCCTTCCCCCCCCCCGATCGTCATCCCGAAGATCACCTATCATCATGATCTTCAACCCGGGTGAGCCATCCCTCTCCCGGTAAGTCACTAACTACCAATTAGTCGTAGTTTCATGCCCTCCCGAGTCCCGACACCTGTTCAAACACCCACACAACCCTGCCCGTGCAGCGGGGCTGTGCAATGAATCAAGGGATGACATGCACATTCCAAGGGTGTCTCATCACGGTAATGAACGGCCCCCGTTGAAAAGATCGCTTAACCGATTTTGCACGTACATTTTTCACCCTTGATTGACCGCGTGGTGAATCCCGGCTCGGGGCGAGAAGCCCACGACAAGTGCAAAAGTGGAGGAAAATAGTACCGAGGGAGGAGGGGAGGGCAAATTCAAAGACGAGCGTGGGTGGTTTATCGTTTAATTCGTGCGTTGGTCCAGCCATTGTCATGCACCTCGTTTCTTTTAGGGGCGGGTGCCACGGCCTCGGGCTTTCTGCATTTAATCTTGGGCCTTTCCTGGTGGGCAAGGATTTTACTTTTGTGACACTAAGCCTCTTCCTCTTCTTCTTGTCTTGCTCCTTCTTCCTTTTCGTCGAGGGTTTGACATTTGTAAGTGCTTCAAAAGGTATACGTGCGTTCGTATACTTCACTACCACCCACCGTGTTGTACTGTACCACGGTTCGCCGCTCTACGTTGATCTATAGCGTATAGCTTATATCCTTCCTCAATACCCACTTAATACGACAAAGCCTCAGCTGGTCTGGAACACTTTACCCCCCTCTCTCAGCCACACCATGGAGGTTCGTGCTCCCTGCGGCTCTCGCACTTGGTATCACGCCATCTTACTCTAATCTCTCCTCCCAGGATCCCCAACTGAACTGGACCGACCCGACCGACGTGCTACAAGGCATCATGGCCGGTCAAGACGGTCCCAATTCACATCCAGACCTCACAGACTGTCGTCAGTCCGGTCTCACTCTCGACTCAACCCCACATCCACTATTAGAACTGGATCTGGGATCGATCGAGCCCCGCAGCCAACCCGCTTTTCTGTGGTCATCCACCTCCACTTCATCCGCCGAGCCACATGACTTTTATCACCCGTATTATCATTCCTCGCGTCTCGCGGCGGATCAGGATGCCTGGAGCCCGTTGCAGGTCACCGGCGTTCTGCAAAACCTATCGCCCATGTCTCATATGAACATGGCGATCGGGGATCGTGAGGGCGGGTACTTGAAACAGCATTACCGTACACCCTCGGAGAGCGGGAGTCAATATATGGGCAGCTTGTACTCGGGGGACTCGGGGTATGGTGGGAGTAATAGCTGTGTGACGCACTCGGCCGTCACTTCGTCCTACGGGCTGGAATCGATGTCGAGTCCGCAGATCGGACCGAAGGAGCAGGGCTTTGAAGAGTCGCTTGCGATGTTCAATCAAGCCTTTGTTGGTCCTCCGATATTCACGGCGGGTCTGGTCGGGTCCCCGGATGATTCGGTCAAATGTGATCATCCTGCTTGCACCTGGGTGGGCAAGTGCCCTTCTGATAAGAGGTATAGACCATGAATCCGCTGGAGCGTGTCGTTGTGAGGCCCAACCGGTCAAAGACTGATCAGTATGTTTTTAGGAAACACGAGGCACGACACCGAAAGCTGTTCAAGTGTGATGAGCCTAATTGTCCCCGCAAGGAAGGCTTCGGTACGATCAACGATTTGGCCCGCCATAAGAAATGCGTTCACAATAAAGAGCCCGAGCGCGGGCCGAAGATGATGTATCTCTGCTTTGGGAAGAATTGTCCCCGGCCAAACAAGAAGTGGCCTCGACTGGATAATTTCAAGCAGCATCTTGGTCGGATGCATCATGGGGAAGATGCGGATGCCCTTCTCAAGAAGTAAGAGAGTTCCTTGTCACATGTTACCGCTGTCTACCTTCACTACTAACTTATGTCCAGGTCTATGGACTGGTACGAGAGCCTCACTGGGCAACCTGCTCAAATCCCCGAGGACACTGCCTCGCAAGACGATCCCCTGGATGAGACACAGCAGGACCTGGTCTCCAACCACGAGATGGATCTAGACTCTGTAGCCTCCGGTGACTATCCCGAGGAGAATATGGATCTTTCACCGTCCGGCGCAGCAACACCCAAGCCACTCCAATATCACAATTCACAACCCGAGATCCCCACACTGGGTACTCTCACATCACTTACAAGTGATCCCCGCGATTCAACGACAGAGCCCAACAGCATCAAATCAGAAACATTCGTCACGGACGCAGCAGATAACCTCCTCAACGCCATGACCAAAATGATGAACAACCGCGGCCGAAGATCCAGCCAACACAGCGACGAAGGAATCGAGATTGAATCCGATCCCACCACCCTCTCCCAGCCACAACGCCAAATGCTACAAAAAGTTCTCTCCGCGGCCCTGGAGCGCCTCTCAGACGATGCCTCCTCGATAGCCCCAGAACCCAACGACGAGAAACAGGACTGGTTCCAATGCGACGTTTGCTCAAAACGTACCCGGCTACGTTGCGAAATGAAGTAAGTCCCCTACAACCGCGTCCATCACACGTACGCTTTTTTTTCGGATAATTCATCTAACCAACCCTCTCTCCCCAAACAGAAAACACCAGAAACGCCACGAACGCCCGTACGGCTGTACTTTCCCCCACTGCGCCAAATCCTTCGGCAGCAAAGCAGACTGGAAGCGCCACGAAACCTCCCAACACCTCCACCTCCCCAGCTGGCTCTGCACGTCCCACGACCCTGCCAAAAACGGCTCCTGCGAACGTATCTTTTACCGCGAGGAAACCTACACCCAGCATCTGAACACGTACCACCGCGTCCCGAAGACGAAAGTAAAGAGCGTCGTGCAGGGGAGTCGCCTTGACCTCGCAGACCAGTCGCATTTCTGGTGTGGACTTTGCGGGCGGGATGTGGAGTTGCGGAATTCCGGGGGTGCGGCGTTGGACGAGAGGTTCAATCATATTGACGTGGAGCATTTCAAGAAGGGGGAGCGGGGGAGGGATTGGTGTTTTTCGAATGTGGACGGTGCTGGTGGGAAGGTAGTTGCCGCTGCTGCTGCCCAGGTGGAGGCCAAGCGTGAGACGGTACAGGCTGGTTCTGAGAGGAGTCATCGGAAACGCAAGTTCTCGGGCGAGGCATAACACTAGAGGTGGATGGGCTTTCTCGTTGGTCCGGTATAATGCTTGGTTCTGCATGCATCATGAATATTCTGTATAATGATAGATTATAGCTGGGCTTTTGTCCACGAATGAAGACTTGAAATATATTTGGATCTCTTGTAATAGTTAAAGCTCATAGTGATGCGGCGTTTCGGTATAAGCGAGCATGAGCTCCATTCTATCATAAGGTGGGACTATGACATTCAGGTTGAGCATATGGGTATAGGGTGGCCGCCACCCGGAACAGTAGTTCAATCTGGGCATAGAGGGACCAATGGATTTTGTAAAGCAATTGAAAGAAGAATACAACCCAAGGGATAGGTAAGTTTGCTTTGGATTTTAAACCCTTCCCAACTGCTAGAATCAACTATCGTACAAACATTGCATTACTGCTCCCGCCAACCCAGGAGATATATTTCATCACTTCTGGGCAGACGCCAATTCCCGAGCCTTCTTCTCCAGACTAGCCATCTCCTCTAGAAAACAAGGTTAGCATATATCTATCAAAACACCATCGCCAAGATAAAATACCATTCTTCTCAAGCATAGACTCATCCGTCTCTAGCTTCAGCCACGTCCAGTAGATAATCTGATACGTGAGCACAGCACCGAGAAAGACCTTGCCAAAAGCCCCTGCGAAAGTCTTGTAGTTGGACATCTAACCATTCATCCAACACGTATCAGCACCGGACCACCCCTGGATTGAACAAAATATCTGGAGGAGACTGGATAAATGCCCCGATACGAGATACGAGACAACTTACCCCCTGCCTATACGCGCTCGGCTGCTCTGCCGAGTTGAGGCTTGCAGTCGTTGATGTGAATGCTCGCCTGGGAATGGCGGATCGAACGGGTGATGAGATGCGCGTCGCGAGCGCGAGGTGTCGGGTTGATTGTTTGAACAGCATCTTGTATGTTTTTAAGGGGTGTGTTGGTGTGCGGAATGATGTATATTCGGGTTGGATATTGGGTGGTATTTCGTTGCGGTTTTGCGGGTGGTCTGGGGGTGCTGAATGCGGTTTAGCGTCGGGGAGTGTTAGGGATGTTGGATAGCTTTTGAGGATGTGGTGTTTAGGGGGTTAATTATAGGATATGGGATTGGAATATTAGTTAAAAGTCGAGTGAGCTACTAATATAGAGCGTTATTATTGAGATTGAGGGGCATTTGGATGGATTCTTAGTGTGAATATCATATGTATTTATTGTGTGTGACTTGACCACTCCGTAGATCCCGACGGATGATCGCGAAACGCCTACAGAAAAGTCTGTGGAAGATGGACAATTGGTCGTTTCAACGTCTATCTAAGGAATTGCTCAATCAGCTCTCTCTTTTAGTCACCATTCATGTTTCGCTCACAAACTTTCTAGACGTTTTCGAGCAATTCAAGTTACTTTAGTACCCCACCTCCCTGTCAACTTTTGAAGCCCCGACCAAACTTCATAATCACATCCCAGGTCATGCCTTTATAGACAAATAGAGATGCTCTTTGGAATATATATAAAGAAAAGCCAAAAGACATCTCAAAAGATTGTTAGATACAGAAGAGGTTGAAATATGTCCGGCTAGGTCGTTTCATCTGTATGATCCCAGTCGTCCGCTGAGTCAGCCGTCACATGATATCAGGTCCGGTTGAATTCTGGTGGGCAGCTAAAGGAAGGGGAGCCACAACCCAAATGACAGAAGGCTTCCAATTGCGCTTCTCGTTGACCCTGACTGCCTTCTGACACCTCCTTTCACCACCGGTCTCTCAAAGCCCTCCATGTCGTTCCAGCGCCCAAAATGCCCGTTCCGGGACTTGAAGAGTCCCAAAATGTATTTTCCAGAAGATTGAACCCCTCCATAGCAACCCCCAGGGGACTTTCTGGGGGTGTCGGAAATCAGCGTGGCCGTCGAGGGTGAACTGCCCTTCATCCACCTTGACGATGGTGGCACGTGCACGATGACGATGACTAATCAAGGGATGCGCCACAATGGGAGGCTGCAACGGGCCCCCTGTGGCTGGTGCCTGGACGGCTCTCTCAGGCATCGCGAGTCCCTTCCCGGGCCATCTACTCGTGTTGCTGAAGCACATCACACTCGACCCTCTCCGGCTGCCTGGCAACTCCCCCATTCGTTCATGTTGCGCGCCCGTCCAGTTGTGTGATCTTTTTTTTCATCCCACGACACTCCTTCACACGCGTCCGCCTCGAGTCCGTGGGTGCAACACTTCTCAACACATCCAGTTTGCGCTCCACCATCGCTCCCGTCGCCCGCAACGGGACCCCATTGATCAGCAATTGTCGTGGAAGGCGATCGTGGCTTTTCTTTGTTCCTCGAGACGTTGAATCGCGTACCGGCATTTTCTTCATACATACCCTGTCATCGCTGGACGAGGACTTTGTTTTGTCGTTTGTAAGCTCCCCCGATTTGCGTCCCGGTTGCTGGATGGTCGATCGACTGGCACAGCCATCACATTCAGCATTAATCTTTCATACATCTCGGTTTCTTCTGAAAATGCTTTTTGCTCCTTCTTTGTTACTTGTTTGCTGACATCCAGTGTCTTTTAGTGATTGCCCATAATCCACCCCGTCGCCATCATCATGGCTCGTGGCAGTGCCAAGCGCTCCATCGAGGAGATCGTAATGATGTCCGACTCTGCCGATGAAGACTGGAGTGCAGGCTCCGACCGCGCATCGCGACGCCCTGGCCGAAAATCCCAGTCGAGTCCTAAGAAGAAGTCGCGGCCTACGAAGAAGCGCCGCCGTGGTTCTGACGACATTGTTTCGGACGATGCTAGTCTAAGTGATGATCTTTCCGTGGACGAGTCTGAAGAAGACTTGGATGATCCCAGTATTCCACGCAATGCGCGAGGAACGGCGCGTCGCCGAACTACCCAGACCAAGATGACATACCAAGAGCCCTCTGACGAGGAGGAGGAGGAGGAGGAGGAGGAGGAGGAGGAGCAGTCCTTTGGAGACGACGAGGATGGTGAAGAACCGGAAATTTCATCACAACCCCCAAAGAAAGCTACGGTCGTCACTTTGAAGATTCGACCGGAGATCCTGTCACAGCCTGATCTTATGACTCGACGTACCACTCGCCGAACTCGCGGCGCTTCCGAAGATATGTACGCGTTGACCAACTCTGGACATCACATGGAGACAGTCGAACGAGGTACTATGAGTCCCGAGACTGCTATGCAGCACCGCCACAGTAGTCGAGCATTCAAAGCACCCGTAATTCACGAAGAAACCATCGAAACAACCGAGATTCAAGCATCCTTGGAGATTCTGGAGAGCGATGTTCCCCAGGATGCTCCTGAGGGCGACACCGTAATCGCAAATGACGGTGAAGATATTGAAATGACCAATGAAGGTATCGTTCCCGAATCTGAGATTGGCGACACGAAGAACGAGGACGAGGACGACGATGAGGAGGACGAGGGTCCTATTACTAGACGGCGGAGTCGACCTACTCGGAATTCCGACATGGACGGAGCTGGGGAGACTGAAGCGTCTGAGGGTGCTCAGCCCCGTCGTTCCAGCCGCAAGAAGCCCTCTTCCCAGCGCAAAACCCAAGAGGAGGAAAGCGATTTCGAACCCGAGGATGACGGGTCTAATGACGATGTCTCCGATTCCGCCGAGTCTACTCGCTCACCCCGCAAGGCTAGCCAAGCCCGCGACGAGGACGAAGAAGATAGCAGCGCCGTCGGTCGTCGTCCTGGCCTACGGAAACGTCCAACCCAATCTCGCGGCCATTCTGAAGTAGCCGATGAACTCGCCGAGGAGCTTCATGATCTGCGAGGTGGTCGCTCGAAACGACGTGCTATGCATGAAGTCATCTCCGAGAAACCACGCCGCAGCCGCAAGGAAGTGGACTATCGTCTCATCCGACCTGAGCACCTTCTGCCCATGGAAGACGTTGAGAATGATTTCGTTACCGAGTCTCCCTCGCGCCGTGGACGTGGCGGAGGTGGTGGCGGTTGGCAGCGAACACTCTTCCCAACATATGGACCCTTCGGTGGTGCTGGTCCGACCGCCATTCTGGCCCCTCCTGGTGCGCCTCATGCAACTGGTGGTGTCGACAGTGACAGCAGTGACGATGAAGCAATGCAACAATCCAAGCCCAGTGGACTTGTACCCGGTGGACTCGTTCCTCAAACTCATTCAGCCGATCCCGCTCAAAACCTCTCCGGGACGCCTGCCAACTTTGGCAAAGTAAAGGACAGGCAGGCACTGGCAGATGCTGACCCCTTGGGAGTTGATGTGAACGTCAATTTCGATAGTGTAGGCGGTCTGCAAGGTCACATTGACCAATTGAAGGAAATGGTTTCGCTTCCGTTGCTTTACCCGGAGATTTTCCAGCGATTCCATATCGTTCCTCCCCGGGGTGTCCTGTTCCATGGTCCTCCTGGTACGGGTAAAACGCTCTTGGCCCGAGCTCTGGCAAACAGTGTCAGTGCCGAAGGTCGCAAGGTAACTTTCTACATGCGAAAGGGTGCAGATGCATTGAGTAAATGGGTTGGTGAAGCCGAGCGTCAACTTCGGTTGCTGTTCGAGGAAGCTCGCAAGACACAGCCGAGTATTATTTTCTTTGATGAGATTGATGGTAAGTCGTGGTGGGCTGGTAGATATTCTGAAAACACCTTTCACTCACTCATGTTGTATAGGTCTCGCGCCCGTGCGATCAAGCAAACAGGAACAGATTCATGCCTCGATTGTGTCTACTTTGTTGGCCCTAATGGATGGCATGGATGGCCGTGGACAAGTCATTGTCATTGGTGCTACCAACAGACCCGATTCTGTTGACCCCGCGCTCCGTCGCCCGGGCCGTTTCGATCGCGAGTTCTACTTCCCCCTTCCTAACATCGAGGGCCGACGGGCTATCCTTGACATTCACACCAAGGGATGGGATCCTGCCCTGCCAAACGACATCAAAGATGAACTTGCCAAGATCACGAAGGGCTACGGTGGTGCCGACTTACGTGCACTTTGTACCGAGGCCGCCCTGAACGCCGTCCAGAGGAGATATCCCCAGATCTACAAGTCCGACAAGAAGCTGGTGATTGACCCAAAGAACATTGACATCACTCCCAAGGACTTCATGATTGCAATTAAGAAGATGGTTCCTTCATCCGAGCGATCTACTTCCTCCGGAGCAACTGCTCTACCTCAGAACGTGGAGCCTTTGCTTCGCCAGCAATTGCTCGACATCGAGGCCGCCCTGTCTGAAATTCTTCCCCAACGGAAGCGCCTCACCGCACTTGAGGAAGCTCAATTCGAGGAACCCCAAGATGGTAACAGCTTCAAGCGAGAACAGATCATGCAGGAGTTTGACCGATCGCGGGTCTTCCGGCCCCGCCTGCTCCTTCGAGGTGGCCAGGGTATGGGTCAACAGTACCTTGCGGCTGCTCTGCTGCACCATTTCGAGGGTCTGCATGTTCAAGCGTTTGATCTGCCAACTCTACTTAGTGACTCTACCCGGTCGCCCGAGGCCACCGTTATCCAACTATTCGCGGAGGTCAAGCGCCATAAGCCTAGTGTCATCTACCTTCCGAACATTCAATCTTGGTTCGAGACGGTCGGGCCCGCCGTCATCTCCACGTTCATGGGTCTGCTGCGATCTGTACCGCCCACGGATCCCGTCCTGTTACTCGGAGTGCTCGAGTCCACTGGGGAAGACGTCGATGCTGGTCTGCTCCATAAGCTGTTCGGATTCTCTAAAAAGAATCTCTATGACTTGGAAGCACCTGGTCAGCAAGCCCGATATGAGTTCTTTAGTAAGCTCATCGAGTACATCAAAACAGCGCCGTCCGACTTCCCGGACCCGGAGAATCGGAAGAAACGCCAGTTGGAAGAACTGGAAGTCGCGCCGCCCCCTCCTCCCAAGGCAGACATTCCGGTCTCCAAGAAGGAACGCAAAGCCCAGAAGAAGAAGGATCACCATACACTCAATCTTTTGAAGATTCGTATCCAGCCCATCATGGACCAGATCAAGAAGTACAAACGATTCCGT